GAAGACTTTGTATAAAAGTCGTTTGCTTAGGCACCTCTGTCCCATTCATGTTTCTACCGTCAAGCAGTTGTGTTTGCATGGCTGTGTTTTGGTTTAAAGGATATATAGCAGTGAATTTACAGGGTACAGTGGAATAACACCTGTATCCTCAGGAATGGCAACGCATAGGGGATATCATGAACGAAACAGTATACTCTGTTATGTCCATGATACAGTTCATATCTATAGACGATGGCTACCACTTTCCATCAGGTGGGCCGTCAGCTTGTTTGCCATTCTAAGTTGCATAAAAAAATGTTCGTTAGTAATAGTAAAAGAAATGGAATATGAACTGCTGGATACGGAAATTTACAGAATTAAAAAGGACATTAATCTACTATGAACTATTACCACATTAACCAGGTTGCTTTGGCATAGAATTTTATTTGGAATATCTATTGTACCGTCATATTATGCTTTGTTCTCCCAGCTACAGCTTACTACGTCGTAGGAATACACGTAAAATGAACGACGACGCATTTGTAGTCTTATTCCGCGTAAAATATTGAATGTTTGTATTTTAATTAACAAATATAATATATACTTATACTCCTGTATATCGACATAATTATTTCCATCTATTATTACTCATAATTAAAAGGTTTAACAATCCAATTGTGTACAAGTGGGACCCGATGATTATGTACCAGAGTGTACACAATAATGTAATCAATCACAATCATAATGACAATAAAAATCGTCATCTCAAGTGTAAACAATCATTATTTACACTTAACTTAACTTTGATAATAAATTTGTTTAGATTTCGTTCCAGACTTACATATTTATTCTATGTGATGATACAGTAAGAATTCACTCACACATTTTTAGCCCCGGGGGGCGTATTACAAACTTTTAAAAACTTGACAGATTTATGTCACGTGACTACAAAAGTTTTGTCTATGCTTTTTGTGCTAATATAATATGCAATGTAGCTTTTTGAGATACAAACACCATGACTACCACAGTGTTATCTGTGATATCCATAATACGCTTCGTGTCTATAAGCGATGGTTACTTTTTTTATCGTACACCATACACCGTCAACCGTTTATTATGACAGTGTTGTTGAGGTTTTATTTGTTACTTTTAAAAATAGAACTTATTTATTTTCTTTTTCTGTCAATGAATATTTTGTTATTTAGAGAACGTCATTTTTAAATATCACTATTATTGTACTGGGGAAAAATATAATATATCTTTATTCAATATTTTCTATTTTATTGTTCTATCCAACGAACCCTTCACAAGTGTAGTGACTTGAGAAGTTTTACTAAACTCAGCTACTGACTTTAGCTTACAGACAGATTCTGATGAATCTTGAAGTTTGAGAGCAGACAGAATAGGAACAATAGCAAACAATTATAACTGGTATTTAAACTGACATTATATATTCTACACAAATAAGTAACAAGAATGACAGAAAAAATGAAAGTAATAGAGCAAAGCAAAACATCATATTTTCCTTTTCGAAGCCAACTAATGTTTGTTATTTCAAGTTACATAAAAAAAATTCTAACTGTATTACCAAAACTGGTTATCTTAATATAAAAGTAATATGTTTTATTAATTTTTTTTCTTATCAAATTGCAAAGATAAATATAGTTTTCCATGTAGTCAACGTATAAAGAAAACTCGTGTAATACCTACTTAGTTTACGAGCGGCCTTATTGAAATGCGGCCGGGCCATCGAGCAAGGGTCACACCACGCCGTTTATTTGCGTGGACAAGTTAAATGTGTGTCCAGGGTACAGGATTATAGCTCATATAATAGTTTTACATTCAAACAATTCTATGAGTATTTTCGGATAAGTGAATTTTTAAAAGCAACGGCAAAGGACAATATTCTTTTTAATTCAGTCTTGACAACGCAAATTTTCATATAGTACTAACTTTTTGCTCACTACTTCGTACACCTTGATTTCAGAGGTAGGAAAACCAATATAAAAACAACTTATAGATGGAGTATTAAGATAAAACATACATCAGACTTTAAGCTAGATTTTTAGGAATACAACTGTGAAAATCGCATCTAATTTGGTGTAGTAGTTCTTGCGTAATATCGGAACAAACCCACAGACAAACAAAATTAAAAAAAAACGTTTTCGCTTCTATTGGTCTTATTAAGACCTCTCACATACATTTTTCGTAATTACGAATATCCCCAATATAAAAATATCGACCAATTACAACTTTATTACATTTATAAGATTTTATGTTATCCGAAACTATTATACCTATTTATCATTAGACGGCCCGTATGCTTGTTTGCTACCATATTAGTATAAAAAAATATATTAGGCAAAAGTTGAAATATAGAAAAATATATATTATTCCATGAAATAATGTAATTATTGTATTTTTACATTTAAATACTTTTAAATAATATTATTGTCAGCTATATTATTCGCATGGACTTTCAACTAAGAAACTTTTTCATTAAGGAAAAAGGTTTCGTAAAAATAAACCTTCGAAGGTCGCCGGGAATAAGCTTCTGTATAATGCTTACATAGATAAACAGGTGAAATTCCTCAGATGAACTATTATATACCTACATAATGTAATAGTAATATCTCTGTAGAATTCTAATAATCAAATAGTCTTCGAACTTTATTAAAAAAGTTACCAACATATTCTTTTTTTTTTATGCATTTTTTTACATTAAAAGGTAACTAACAGACATATGTACAGTCCATTTAAAAGTGAGTAATCCCAATATTGTAAACACGTGTACATTGCACCTAAAGAAACCTTAATACATCCTCAATTAATTTCAGTTATTATGAAATATCATTCTATAATACGTACCTACTTTTTAATACAAGTCTTTATAATAGACATTCGCTAATTTCTATACATGTTAAGTTTAATTCAACACCCTCATTCAATTTTGAAACAATGTAAAAATGAGGTACAGAGTAGACGAGATGTTGCAAAACGCCACGACAGGGACTCATCAAAATAAACGGGCCTATTCAAATTCAACGCTGCACTTTCATTCTACGATAAATTGCCACAGAGATCAACGCGGAAAGGGCGTGGAAATTACTTATTAAACAAGCAGTGAATCCAGCCCTATGGGTGACCGAATTACAGCGTCGCAGTGCGGAATCTATTGTGTTTGACAGTACAGCAGTTTTTAAACGATTTCCAAAAGGAGAAATTTCTCGATTCATCTGAATTTTTCTTTACTTTTTCTGCTATGGCGCGCGATTGTTTCGCGAATTTTGAGTAGATTATAGTCAACGGCTTCTTCCCGTATTGATTCCATCTTCATTTTTTGAAGAATGTTAAAAAAAATGGGTTCGTACAATGTGAACCGTGCAAACCGTGTTTCTAATTACAGTCTTATAATAATACTAATAATACTAGCTAAGTCCCGCGACTTTGACCGCATAAATCAGTAAATATATGTACAAAATTTCATTCAAATCCGTTTAGTAGTTTTTGCGTGAAAGAGTAACAAATATCCATCCATCAATTCATACATGATATAATTAAAAAAAATACTGGACCAAACGAGAATCATTGTGAAGTCCTTACTACGGAAATCGTAAAAATGATAATGGAGACATGATTGTATATCATATTATGTAGTACATAAGATTGTTTTTAATACATACCTACACTAGCTTTTACCCGCCATATCTACGAGATCTGGATATTTTTACTAATCGAGATAAATAGTAGCCTAAAAGTCCTTCATGTCATATTATATCTGTATTTCATAATGACCGATTAACACACTAAGAGATAACAAACAAACAAACTCACTTTCAGGAAATAAAGATTTTTTAATAGATGATAATGGAATGGTAAACCCATCTGCGCTAATGGTAGGTATACGCTGGCGAGGCGCCAGTGTGGGATGATAAGTGAGAATGAAAAGACAGGTCAGTGTCATCGTGATGAACACACCTGGAATTCAGCACGATGTTTTCCAGGGGTAACCACGTGAAGGTCGACCTGATAGCGTATATTGCTAGCAATAGGACTGGTAATTCGCATTACAAACAATTCATTCCCCCAGGAAATAAGGATTATAAATACGTAGCTAAATACTCGATATTGATTACATAAAATTTGTTTTTCCGAATACTTAATCTTGTACAAATGATAGTCTATGTTATTATTTACTTTTAAATGTACCGTCGTTGTATTCATAAGCAATATTTAAAGAAACATAATGGAAGAGCGTAATGCACGAGCGACGTGTATACCAAACATATTAAATATTATACTTTTTTAAAAAGCACTTTCGGATTTATATGGGGCTGCTTCCAAAAGGGTTCCATTATCTGGTCGTGATCTCGAAACATTAATCATCTGTAACATGTTATCAGTAAAGAGTGCATTGTATATTTGAAATAAAATAAATATAAATAACTACATAATTATATACAGTTATATACATATGATTTTAAATCTTAGTTATTTAAAATATGTTAAGAACCTGTAGGTTATTCATCCTACTTATTACCTAATGCCACATCACGTTAAGTGAAGGAAAAAAGAATTAATAGAGTGCAATAAAGTTTATCCGTGTAACCGTGTGTTACCAGCATAGAATAGGCCACCCCTTCCTTTCCGTAGGTGACGTAAGAGGCGACTAAAGGAGGGTGAAGGATGAGCAACAGCGTCCCTCTTAAAACATCTCCAAAGCCTAACTGCGGTTGCCAATCCGCCCGCCAAGCGTGGCAACTACTGGAAACACCCTCCAAGGGGGAGGCTTATGTTCAGCATTTAAAGGCTAATATGATGATGATGATGATGATTGCTGTGATGTTTATATCCTACATATCTATCAGCATCAACTTGAAACTTTGGTTTGGATATAATTCTATTTGCAATCGATCAAATTCCCTCCTACGCCGTTCCTAGTAATTTCGTCAAGATAGGAACACTAATAGTTTTTTATTGCATATCAATTTTTAAAATAAAATCCTTTTATTATACATCAGCTACTTGGGTGAACCGGTGCAGCGAAGACCTGGAATGTCTGGATTTAGAAGAGGAGCAGCCTCTTGCCCAATTGTGCTCGGTCCAAGCTGACAAGATGACATTGTTCTTCACAGAGCTGTTAGACCACGACCGGGACGACGTCATCTGCGATCAGGACTTCGACCAATTCTTCGAGGTATGAAGGTATCCGAACTGTATTAATCTTCTCTCTCAATATTTATAGAATAAAACCTTTTATTTATTGTCCTATCTTCATACAATTTAGTGTAACGTACCTCCGTATCTTACACGTTTAACTTTATTTATGAATAACAGGATAATGTATGTCTGTTTATTTATTAATTCATTAGTACATATATGTGTACATGGCGGACTTAATGCTAAAAGCATTCTCTCCCAGTCAACCATAGGGAAGTGTCAGAATACTCGAATGCTGTACTAGTAATTATTCATATATATACATAATAAAATTACATATATAAAGGAATAGATATATATAAATACCAAATATACTTACACATATATGCCTGTTGCACAGAAAATTGGAGTATTAAGAAAAATTAAAAAGAAACTTGACAAAAATGCAGCACCTATAATCTATTAATATATAAATAAATCAGTAAATATAATAATATGAGATCAACACAAGAGTAAATGTTATTAATTACAAAAAGTTTCATCAAAGTCGATTCAGAATTAGTGTAGATATTACGTAATATACACATAAAAAATTGAGTATCTTTTGCTTTTTAAAGTCTATTAAACATTTAAACCGTTCTTCAAACTAATAATAAAAGAAATAAGTTATTTACTTACTCAATGCTTAAAGCCACAAAACAAATGCTATAATTTTAGTCGATGCTTTACTTTTTTTAATGGGTCATAATGAAATAGTAACCCCACCTGCATTATCAGTATACGCTGGCGGGGCACCAGTAGGGGAGAATGGTGACGATGAAAACAGTCCGTTAACCCATCGTGACGTATTCCACTAGAATTAACCACGATAGTTGCCAGGAAAACCGCGTGGTGCTCGACTTGATAGGATGTATCATATTGAGGAAAATAGACCCAATTGCTAACAATCCCTTCCCCCCCCCCCCATGCTTTACTTACGAATAAGTAAACAGCAAAACTAATATTATAGTAAACATCAAAAGTTTATCTTGCACTCTAAACTTCTAATTTGCCATATATTAAGGTCCGGGATGATATAAAATCCACTATATGCTTCGGCGGTCACGTTAAGCCGTTGGTCGCGAGTTTTATCATACGATCGGCATAACGGTCGCCTAAAGCTATTAGACGTGGATGGGTTTTTGATGGAAGAATTGGAAAAGGCCCATAGGTTTATGAAAAATATCAGCATCTATACGTATCATATGTTCTCAAGTTAAACTGCGGAAAAGTGAAACAGAGATATTTTTTCCGTTGCGCTTCTTAATGGATTTGTCGTAATTTTTATAGCAATAATAGACATTCCTATCGATAATTGAGATTGTAAAATTTTACTGCTAAATTTTAAGACGGAATCTTGCTAGAAAGACTAATAATATCAGATATTATATTAGAAACACATTTAATACACTGCACACTGGCTTTAACTTTAAAATCAAAATACAACAACATATCATGGACTGAATCTATAAGTAGAATTACAAAATCTGCTTATCATAAACACCTGCAAACAAGATGCAGCTGTTATAAAGAATGTTAATGATCCTGACAATGGAGTCACTAATATTACATTACATCTTTTTAACCTCAGCTAACCAGATCCACCATAATGAAAGAAAATAATTAAATTCATTTCACATCGTTGTTCACAGAGGCTGGCACACTTCGCCGACTGGTCGAGCAACTCGTCCGAGTTTCATATACTGCTAGAAGTGAAGCAAGAATTCATAGAACATTTCATCAACCCGTTACCCGCTAAGTGAGTCGACTGATCGCACAATACATCCACATAAATAGTAAATGGGTCGAGATAATTAATAATCATTATTCATCAAGATTTAAGGTTCATTTTCTGGAATTAAGAGATACAAAATAACGAGACTATTAGCAAGACCGTCTTTGTTAATGGGAACATTTGCATAAATGATCATACAATTTCAAATAAAATTCTGTACAATTTTAAATGAAACATTCATCAATCAAGAAGACGGTATTTTGTTACAATTAACAAAGGTGTTTTACGTTTTGGTGTCATTAATTTAAATGAACCTGGAAAACATGACTATATAATTATATTTTAGTCTTTACTTTCATTAAAATGAGATTTTAAGACGAGATTTTCAAAACTATTTTTGAGATGCATTTAACTTTTTGCTACAGCATTATAACAGTATACTCACTCTTAAAAGATATTTCTCTGATTTCGTGCAAATTACATAAGTAGATTATTCTATTATCTGGTTATCCAGTTATGGATTTAAATTAATAAATAAAAACAATATTTTCTATCTGTAAATTTCATTACCTTCAGAATTCCTTCCTGCTCGTGACAAGTGAAATAAAGTAAAAAAGTAAAATTAAAGCTAAAGGTTATACAGCATACTATGCTGTATAACCTTTAGCTTTAATTTTACTTTTTTACTTTAATGGGACGCCATAAGTATATAACAAGATACATTAATTATATTTTATATTATTATGGTCTACGCTCACTACAATAAAATAAATTTATTCCTAAAAATTTATAATTAGCTTTAGCAATTTTTGTAATGTAAATAATTTTAAGAATTATTAAGAGAGAATAAAAAATAATCCTGAAAAACATGTTCTCCATAATCAAAGATTGTGTCCCACAATAAAACCGACTTTTGAATAATGACAAAACCATGTTCTCATTACCTTTCACAGTAGAAACTTCATCGATCGATATCTTCACAAATATAGGATATAATTTCGTACGGATTACATAAACATAGTATGCTTTTTTTTATATTTTCACATGAACATTGAAAACAAAATATTTATTTTTTCTCTAGATCAAATCAGCAATGTCAACTGCATTTAGGAATACCGAAATCATATACGAAATATTGAAAAATTCAATATAAAAATTGAAATACTAATTCTAAGACAGTTGAATTATACTACTTGTATACTATTTTATATAATTTTTAAATACTCTTACTTTGTTCTACTATATTTATTGTACATTTTTACAGTTAGAAAAAAGTAATTTATTCTTATATAATAAAAGATGGGGTGAACTGCCGTACTACAGAAGAGTGTGCGGTCCTGAAGCAAGTGGAATCAACATTCCAGGACGGACCACTCTGGAAGGCTGGCTGGCTAGATGGGCACTTCACCTTAGCGAGATGAAGCGGTTTTCTGATCTGCCCCTCTATCTACAGTACTTGTGCAAGATTCTGTTCCACGTCGTTGACAGAGCAGGTTAGTATCTACCATCCCATTTTCTAACATGTCCTTCCTTTTAATTTTAAATAATAAACTATAAAATATATAACTTAATGACCATGAGGGATGGGCAGCAGCGGGGACGCTGAGGGATCTTTAAATACTACTAAAACCTAACTGGAGTTGTCAGGGGGGAAAGGGATCGTTAGTAATGGAGACAGAATCCCATTGCTAGCAATATACCCAACCAGGTCGACCTCCTCGCGGTTCCCCCTGAAAACTATCATGGTTAATTCTTGATGAATTCATCATGATGGGCTAACTGGCCTGTTTTCATTCTCATCTATCACCCTTCACTGGTGCTCCGCCAGCGTATCCCGTTAGCGCAGGCGGAGTTACCATACCATTTTCACCCAACAAAAAAAAGAAACTGGAGTTGTCAAGCCACCTACCAAGCGTGACAACTACTAGACAAAATTCCCTTAATACGGGAAGGCCCATGTTCAACAATAGATAGTTAACGGCAGATGTGATGATGATAATGAAACTATAAAATAAATAAATTTACTTCTCTTCTGTATTTTTTATTGAAATTATAATTTTGGCCTTCTAACCAACACTATTAATTATAAATGATACTTTTCCGAGGTCGCTAATATTTTATTCTACTTTCCCTTCGATATGAAGTAAGTTTTTTTTTAAATATTATTTATTTACTTTTTATAATTAGTATTTTACTAACAAATTCAAGTTTTTGACAACGTTATATAAGAGATCAGATCAGATCAGATCTCATCCAAATTAAAAATTATAAAATATATTTTTGGCTAAACTACTAAACCAATTTTGTATACACAACAACTTCAGTAATATTTAAAATAGTTAAAATCAATGTACTATTCGATAAAACTATAGTACTTTAATTTTACTTCAAAACAAATACTAAGAAATCTCGTTTCCCTCCGACCAAAGCTGAAACCTAATTTTCGCGCGGTCAATGATATTCATGAAAAAACAAGAGAGCTATCGGAAAGTTTCGGGCGCAAGAGTGGCACCCGTCGAGCCGCGGCAGACTGATGGACGGGATTAATTTGACGGGAACAACCCGGGATCGGGAGTGACGGCGGCTCCAGCCCCGTGTACCCACGACGTGAATCACGCTAATTGATACAACCACCTGACTTATTTATGAACTTAGTTGAACAAGAGTGAATAATATTGAATCCATGTTCTACCAGTTTTGACATTTTGCTCTTAACAGATCCTTGGTAATATAATAAATAGGGAAGTGTGTTTGTTTGTTTATTTAGGTAGGTGTCTGTTTACTAATTTATTTTATTATTTATAACCCAAAATTGCAAATGTGAAAGTGAGTTATTTGTTACCTCTATATATAAAATATATCACACATGTAATATAATCATGTACTTAGTGCTTTTTCAAATGGTACCTAACATAATTTATATTTATGCAATATCTATATGTGATTGTTTTTTTATCTAATTTCACTTTTTAGTACTCAATGTTCTGCTTAAAGGTCATTTAATTATTAAAAATTCATATTATTCCCTCCAAACGATAAGTGCATTCAATACTTATTTAAATTTGAACTTATTTATTATAATATCATTAAGTACATATTGGTGTGCAAATTATTGCATTAAGTGGTGATAACGATAACGAATCACGATAAATTAGATAATAAACAATAATGTACTTAAAAAATCCTTTATATTACGTAGGTAGGTTATACAAGTATATACAAGTGTAGATAACCACAGACACACAAAATACTACATAATGTACTTCAAAAAATCCTTTATATTACCTTTCCTTTATTTTGTGTTAATTTTTCCTCCCTAAGGTAGATATTTTTAACACATTGGGAGAACAAAACACAGAATTCATATTTGAACTCCGTATCTTGGTACTCTTAATATTTTTATGGATTCCCGCGATACAGATACGTCTAATGCGAGCTCCAATGTACTTGAATTTATATATTCCTTATAATTAATAAGTAAATAATTATATAAAGAGAATGAGGCCTCATGATATATAGAGACCACAATACAGGTCGCTAAAATATATACACAAAAATATAAGATATGCAGCAGATAGATAGATAGATAGATATGTTTTAAAACACATAGGAGCTGTTAAATTATACTTTTGGTAACTTTCCAATGACTTCGTTGGCACTTGGCGGAATATTCCAGGCCAAATTCTTTACCTCTCTATGGTAGATTCTTTTATGTTCACTACCTACTGTCACAATATTTTATATTGTTCATTATACATACAATATTTCCTTCGAAAAGTCACGTTACAATATTGAAGTATAAAACTATTATTTCACGCCAAATGCAACTATCTCTACTATTTTAAATGCCAAAATTAATGAGAATGTTTGGTTGAATGGATGTTTGTTATTTTTTTTTCACGTAAAAACTCCTAAAAAAATTCGAATGTATTACCAAAACTCATCTAATTTATGCATATGGATAGATTATACAAATACAGAAAGATCAATGTTTTTATCGTTTTTGAATTTTTAATTCACGAAATTTCTATCCTAATATACTGGTATTCTATTACATACATTTTTTTTATTGTTAAGGGGGCAAACGAGCAGACGGTCCACCCGATGGAAAGCGGCTACCGTCGTCCTTGAACACCTGCAAAACGAAAGGAGTTGCTTGTGCGTTGCCGACCTTTTAAATATTTGTAGGCATATTTTTTTAAATTCCCCATATTATGTTTTAAAGGGAAAACTGATAACGGGAGCTCATTCCACAATCTAGATGTACGAGGTAGAAATGGAGATGGTTAGAAGATTCTTGGTTTACATATGGCTAAGGACTTTGATTTAATTATTTCATGCCTGTATTTGCATATTGAATCATTGTACTGAATTAGCGGCCAAATGACGACTAATTATAAATTTTGTATTGCGGTGGATCAACGTTTACCGAAAAGTATTACGGTTGAATAAACGTCCGTTGCATTGTATCGCATTTAATCCTATTACGCGTAGAATTAATACACGTATAATAAATGTAAAAAGTTTGTAAAGCCGTTTCTATTTGTTTGTCGCACACCTCACCGCTACACAAATAGAACATGCTCTAAATTAGCATACAGAATACTTTTCATATCGGACTAGCGACCCGCCCCGACTTCACGCGCCTATACAGAGATCTGCAATTTATTGAAATACAAATTAAAATACAATCCATGTTACTCGCACATAATGTAGCTTTCTAAAGATGTAAGAATTCTTAAAATCGGTTAAATATTTTTTGAGTTGATTTATTACAAACAAAACGTCGTCTTTTCTTTCTCTATTATTAATTTAGATATAACTAGTGTTAATTGCCTAATTCTGAACTTTTCAGTTACAGCCAAATCCTGCCATACCTATTGTCAAAATTATATACCTACCTATTATTACTTGTATATTATAAGCCAATTATCGTTCACTATATTGTAGAACTCATCGCTGTGATAATCTGACTATGTATCTATCTTTGCAGCCCACATTAAGCAACTGCTGGGCGTAGGCCTCCTTTTTGTCACGTCACTTATAATAGTTCTGTGCTAACCTCTTCCAATACTTCCCCGCTATCCGCACTATGACCATCGGGTTAATAGTCTACCAACTGTAAATCCACCGTAATCCACAATACGTAATACAAAAACTACTTTTAATATTTCTATATTAAATAAAGCGAAGAGTTTGTATGTTCAGACGCGCTATTATCTACAAGTACCAATGCCGATTTTTTTTTTGCATTTAATAGCTCATTTCTCGAAAAAGGTTATGACAAGATATATAACGTCACGATATAATCACCGAATGAAGTCGCGAAATACAGCTAATTTTTTTTCTTTTCGTGTGTTTTCATTCTTCTCAAATGAAAAATTTTACTTCCAAACGAGATGAATTCATTCCATAACATGTATAATATAAAGGCTATATCCGCTTACCCCCTTAATCATAAAAATATCCTATATCTTTTTACGACGTCAAGAAAATTTTCTAATCTTATTTAATTTATTCAGTATAAATACGAGGAGTTTTATTATTTTTTTATTGTTACAGGCTCTGGTGAGATAACGAAGCAAGCGCTCGCCGCTTTCTACCGCTCTGTCATCGGTCTCACTGGAAGCAGAGTCGAAGAAATTATCGACACAGCTTACAATAGAATGACAAGTGTAAATAATCCATTATTTTATAGATTTATTAGCTAGATTTCCATTGGATCTATCTTACTTTAGAAATAACAATTGGTTTTGTCGATAGAAGCAGACTGTACACTGTCTCTGTCCGACCAGTGTCTCTGCCGTGAAACAGCTGAGTTTGCGTGGCTCTTTTAGTTTTAAGAGTGTAAGATATGGCAGTAAAATTAATGGATATCGAGACATTACATTATAGACCTTAGGAAAGGCAATGCTGTAGGATATTTTTATTTGACGATTATAACTTTCATCAAAAAATTCAATTCAAAATGAGGTCGATTGACAGCGATCTACCCTTTCTTACAATCAAGTGTCCAATTTACCTATCAACAAATACGTTATCACTAACTTGTGCTTGAAATAAAACGAGACAACGACATCCAACGTTTTGCTATTTTTCATGCGTGAGTTATTGAAAACGTATCTGACAATAAATAACTATATTGTTATGTATTTTTTTTTTTTTTGTTATTAGAATGGTTACCTTATCCTGGACTACGGCACCTTCGTCCACTGCTTCACCAACTGGTTAATGGGAAAGAACCCCAACGGCCCTGGTCAGTGGGTTCTCGTTCCTCCAAAGGATTCTCTGCCACAGCCGCCATTCCCCGTCGACTACAGCGCCCTCAACACCGAGCCAGCGAAATTAGAACCTTATGCACCAGACAAAAAGACTAACAGACATTCTGTTATAGTGTGAAAAACACACGAGGTCATGTTCAGTGGTATTACAGAAAGCAGAGTTTCCAATCTTGGATACAAATATCGATCTTTTGAATTGATCCAATTGATGAAATCATTCCAGGAAAAAGTTGCTGTTAAAAAAAGTCAATTGTATATTTACGTTTAAAACAAGAACACTACAGAAAGTAAAACAGAAACCTACGCAGAGCTACACAGAAAATAATAATTATCTAAAAAAAAGTAAACCGCACTGGTGTCATTACTACTGTGGTTTAGCCTTTCTAAGAAAAAAAAATACACTGACATAAGGAACAACACATTATATAATCATATATAGATCGAGATAGATTGAAACCCTCACAGAAAGAAATGCGGTTCGGCGCAAAAGTCAATTTACTGCTAACTTTAGATAAATACGTAAGAAGTACCTATCCGAAATATATTAAGTACGACCTATTGAGTGAATGCAAAATATTATTCCTAACTTTGTTTCCCTATACATTTAAGGCGTTATTTCTTTGTCTTTTAATGTGTGTAGATACTTGAATTGATGCATTCCGCTTGTGTTTGAGAATGAAACGCTTTATAACTTGTACTTATCGTGCAATTCGACCAAACCTCTATTTACATTATTATAGTTATATTTTAAGTCGTTGTAAATAGTAGAATTAATTATGCACAACACGGTAAGCAAGAACTGCCTTAAGTAAGCGTATTCACATTTCACGACATAGCCTTATTTTGTACCTTAAATATAAAGATAATGTAATATGCGTAGATTAAAATAAATTCACTGAATCTACTTCAATAAATGCATTCATTTATTCTTTGAGTTTTTTATAAAATTCCTGGATCTCTATAAATTGTTGGCGGAACTCCAGCTGCAATTCTAACTGACGATAAAAAAAATAAAGTGTCACACACCAATTATTAAGCTAGGATGCCTTGTGTTATGAGGAATCAGGTAAAGTATATTTATGACACGGCCCAGAACTCCTAGACTCGAGTCATTTAGAAAAGTTCATTTCTTATATTGGCTCGACTGAGAATCGAACGCGGAATCACATTACGCAAAGCGCTAAGTCTACCGCTGCACCACGAAAGTCGTTATTAATATTCCAGTTTATTTACAAAATATCAGAAAGCAACCCCCAGCTCAGAAACAGAGGGTCCTTTTAAAATCCCATGATTGATGACGGGTAAAAAAGACGTCATCGTAGAGGCCATGTGATTCACGGTTGCCGATCGAGAGTACCTACTTATTTCTCATCAATCATCGGCATCCCCTGACAAATTATTATTTTCTTTCATACATATACATACATGTGTATATTATTTATTAGCTAAATGAGAGACTATACAAAAGCACTTCACTTCTTTTCACTTGTTTTCTTTGTAAAAATAGAATTGTAATCCGGCCTGTGCTATCACAATATACGCTGCCGAGGCACCAATGAAGGATGATAGCTGAGGATGAAAGCAAGTCGGTTATTGTGACGAATTTCACAAGAATTAATCAAGACAGTTTCAGGAAGAATCATGTAAAGTTCAACCTGATAGAATATATTGCTAACAATGGGGCTGTTAGATCCCATTTACTAGCAATCCCTTTCCGCCACACTTGCATGGTTAGGCGCTTGTTTCAATATTCTTATTTAGTAAATCAAAGGGTTTCAATTTAAAGGATAGAATAGGATAATTAAAATGCAGAGTTTAGAGACATAAAACGCAAATAAGCAGCACAGCATATTCTGCAATGTCCATGTTGCTAATCGTGTAGTCGACGACTGTTACTTTCTATCAAATAGGCCATCAGTTTGTTTGTTATTATTCAAGTGACTTTAAACATGACCTACACATTTCTACGGTTTTTATATATCTTCATCATTTCAAAACCAATTTTCGATTTTTTCTTCATTCTACTGTATTCACTTTAGATGTAATAATTGAATGGCAACATTCTCGATAATTAATAAAAACATTTTATTCTTGCATATGGCAATTAATAATTTTCATTGGAGGTAGAAAGATAAAAGCTCTTAAAAACAGAAATAGAAGTTTTGTCATTATCGCTCTTAAAAATATTTAATAAGTAAAATATTTAATTTCACAATCGTAAGACTTTAATTTTAGAATTTAATATTTTTGTTTTAATAAATACCTAAACTACACAAAAGATAACTTCTCGTGTCGCTAAAAAGACATTTCAAGATTGAAATGTCTATCGGAGGATTCAAGACCGAAACCCTTTAGTACTTATAACATTTACGAGGTAATCTCAGGTAACTTTAGCATGCTTTAGGGAACTGAGTGATCTGAGTATGTTATAAAAGGAATTTTCGCAAAGCAAAGGATAAATAATTTGAACTAAGTTTTAACCTAGGTAGTTTAGTAGTACTTTTAAAACAACTTGTCGATTTTATGAGCTCAGTACGCAACTCCGCGTTCTAAATTCAAATAAGTATTTTCAAATAACTACTTGATTATAGTATGAAGCGGATACTGACAATTTTTACATCCGAGTTAACTCAAGAACTAGCCGTTAAATAATTAGTTACACTAATAAAAAATCGGACAGCGAAATCGTTTTCAAACTTTTGGACTGGAAAAGATATTATACAAACATCAATGGCGAATACATCACTCATTTTTAATTTGCCGATGACATAGTAATTATGGCGGAATCCCTAAAGGATCTGAATTCTATGCTCAATGACCTCAATGGTGTTTCTGAACAGGTAGGTCTTAAGTTGAACATGGACAAGACTAAAATCATATCTAACGTCCATGTCACACCTATACCAGTTACGATTAAGAACACTACGCTCGAAGTTGTCGACAAGTATGTATACCTGGGACCGAATATAGTTGTCCAAATGGGTAAGTCCAACTTTAACCGAGAGGTCAACCGACGAATCCAACTTGGCTGGGCAGCGTTCAGGAAACTACGCCACAACTTTAGGTCCAAAATACCTTAGAGTTTGAAGACGAAGGTCTTTAGCCATGGTATTATACGATTGCCCGTATGCAAAAGCTTCAAATTACTCAGCGGGCTTTTGAGAGGGCTATGCTCAGAGTCTGAGGATAAAAAAAGAACCAACGTAACCAACATAGCCCGAAAGATAAGCAAGCTGAAGTGGCAATGGGCTGGTCACATAGCTCGAAGAATCGACAACCGATGAGGAAGAAAGGTTCTTGAGTGGCGACCACGTACGGATAAACGTAGTATAAGACGACCCTCCTTCGATGGAGTGACAACCTGAAATGCATTGCAGGGAGTCAGTGAATGCAGGCGATTCAGGACCGTTCTTTATGGCAGTCTATAGGGGAGGCTTATGCCCAGCAGTGGACGGATAATAACTGAAATGATGATAATGACTAATAAAAAAGGACATTACAGCAATTTTGTCCACATATTGTTTCCTCCCTACGTAAGGATATCATTAAAGAATACTAAGCATTTTTTCTCCGGAACTCGCAATGATGAACAGCGTGTAATATTTATTGATGTTTTCAGGATACACATTTGGCGACCTTTTTTTCTCGTTATGATCGCGCCATTTTTTTCCGTATCACATAACGATAGACGATAACTTACATTTTATTGTTTTCTTCCAAAAACGCATAGTGAACTTATGGGAATTATTTGTAATGTTGAAAAAGTTTTTGTGACTGATAAAAACCATACATTAACTAAATACTATATCAGCCATTAATTGTCCGTTGCTGAACATACGTCTCCCCATAAGGAAAGTTCAGCCAGTAGTGGCACGCTTGGCAGACGGGTTGACAACCGCAGTTAGGCTTTGGCGATGTTTTAAGAGGGACGCTGCTGCCCATCCCTTTTACGACACCCACGGGAAAGAAAGGGATGGCCGACTGTATGCTAGAACGACACAGCTGATTATATTAACCATATATCATTTAAGTATATAATACAATAAAAGACCAGATTCATAAAGGGTTCCAAAGCGATTGATATACTACATAGAAGCGGGCAACGTGGCGGAAAACGTCTAGTAATAAATAAAAATAAAAATCTTTTTTGAAGTCAATAATGGTTGATGTTCTATTAATAACTTTAATAATCGTCATAACAATGTAATTTAATTTAATATTAATAACGCTAATCTACATAACACTCAATAAATTCTCTACACACATATTTACATAAATATCTTATTTATATAATGTAAGAATATAGCACAAAATTCAAATAATTTTTTGAATTTTAATTCAATTGCAGGAATGTTTTTCGGATACTTACAACACTAGAAAATAAGACTAATTCTTTTAAGAGAAATGTGAAATTTTAAAATAATTGTAGTTATGTTTAATTTTAAGACTCTTACTGGTCACAAGTGTTTCCTTTTATTTATTTATTTTTTTCTTATAATTTTCACTCCTTTTGATTGCTCAAAAACTCATTTATTAAATACAAAACACTAATAAAAAAAAAACAAATCAAACTTGTCAAATTAGCTAACAAAAAGTTGACCCATTTTTAATACTTTAGACTTATAATCTAAGAATTTATTACTGTTTTAATCATTCTAACAATATTTTCATCACTAACATAAATGAATTCACTATCACTTGTACCCATATTTAAATTATTTTCAAGTTTACAGAGATACCTTATATTTTTACAGGAACTGTGTACTATTTTGCAGCCTAAATCAATAAATATTTTTGCATTATCACCATTTACTCCAGCTCCCGGCATCACTTCAATTTTATCACCATACATCTCTACAAGTAATTTAATCATATTTAATGCATCTGTATCTGCAGCCATTGCTTTCTGTCCACTTGTCAATACTCTATTAAAACCAAGCTCAATAATGGTATTAACAGAGCTTATATAGTCTTGACATATATCAATAGCTCTATGAAATGTTACAGGAATGGGTGTGGCAAGATTTAAGACTTTCACACAATTCTCTTCATCCACTTTCAGAGTGTTGGTCAAAGCACCAAAAACAAATCTATCAACGCCAATTTCCTTAAATACTTCAATATCTTCCAACATTGTGTCTACTTCTTCATCAGTGTAACAGAAATCGGAACCTGTACGGCACCTAATCATAATATTCAAATTTGGTTTCTGTAAATTGAATAAGTTCTTATATTATTATTCTTAATCTAACTAAAGATCTAAACTAAGAGATAACAAGATCTTAGAACAAAGTCAAGTTTCTAATAATTATAGTCTTATTAATAATAATTATAAATAGATTTATTTTCTCTTCACAATTCATCACAGTAAGATATAATAAGACATGCTTATATTAAGGTAATCAAATTATAAATATAATTGTGAGAGACTGGTGCCTGAGATAGGTATAAGAATACCTGTATTACAGGTCACCAGGGCCTCACTCCGCAGGGTTACTTACTAAGTACTTGTAATATAATAAATTATTGAAACATAAATAAGAATTCTGCTAGTATTATTACATTAATTCCTACCTGGAGTAATTTCAAGCAACTGCAGCTTTCCACACATGTCTTGTATATTGGCTTTTTCATGGGAATATTATTTACCTGAAACATTATTTTGCATTGAAATACAAAGAAAACACAAAAGTATAGTACTTTTAGCAGAGTGGATATAAATTTGCTTACATTCCAAGCTGAATAAAAAGTAAACAAGTTGATAGTCCATTTAATAAACTGTTCTTTTTCATTTAACAACTTTTTGAATGAACCATTAGTAAAGTAAATACAGGAATATGTTAATATCTATACATATTGTTGATTAAAGAATGTTATAGTACTTAAAAAAAAAAACAAGAATGTAGGTGTAATTAAAGCAGAACTGCACCTACTTCAGCATGAAGAACAGAACTTTAAGTTATGGGCATAGACATGTCTAAGAATGTACCTATTTTAAAGGGTAAGGCCCCTTAAAATAATCTTAAATATGTCAATGTACAAGATTTTAAAGTCACTTAAAAAAAAAACAAATAATACACACTATATGCTTTATTTTCTTGACAAGTCCTACAGATGGTGTTAGTCCTCCTTCATTCAAAGAACTACAAATTTCCAACTCATCTGCACCACCATGAATAGCATTTATTGCTGATTGCAAACTATCTACACAAACTTCTAACATCCTATAAAAAAAAAAGATATTAATTCTTATAATTATGTTTTTCAGCATGCGTAATTATTGTTGTTGTTATTGCTGTTATTATTTATAATTTTAATGTTTCTATCGTATGTTTTTCTACTTCTGCATACTGTGGCAACCATTTAACACTTCTGGAATTTAATGAACTAGTGTATGTCACGATGACTTGGTATTTAGTTTCCTGAAAAAAAAAAAGAGTAATGTAAAAAGTAATGACATTATTGTAGAGGATTGGTAAGATTACTCACTTACTATGTTCAATCTTGTAAAAATTTACATTGCTATCTGGTAATGACTGTTTAGGTTGTACATTATTATCCGTTTTACGCCATATCTGACTTCGTCTAGAAAAATACAACATAAAAAAATATTGATAAGAACGTAAATTATATTCAGACACTAATTAAAACATATTTAAAATTATATATATTACATACGTTGTTGCTGTTCCATGATGCCGTAAAAATGCAGCTCGAGATCGTTTGGCGTTGACTTTTTTGCCCGAATACGAATGTTTATTGTAAGCACGTTTCATTCTAATCACATAATAAAGATTAAAAAAGAAAACTTCGCTATATTTGTATATTTGAATTTTTCAAATAAAACAGAATGAATAATTATGTCCAGCCGCTCAGAGATTGCGTTTCTGACACATGTCAATTCATCATGACAAGTGATGTACCATAAATAACATTAATACTATTTAGTAATGTTATTTATTGCAGTCATTATTTAATTAAGTTTTATTTAAGTTTGTATAACTCATAATATAAAAACTTTAATAAGTAAAAAGAAATTTTAATCGTAATAACTGTAAACTATGGGTATATACCTGAAAATAAAAGAGTTATTATTATTATTAACAATTATACCGAACGACAGATTATATTAAGATTACAAAAATATTCAATTACAATTGCCTTGTTATTTTGTCTCATTACTACAAAAACAAACAGTTGACATAACCTTAAAACAGCGCAGTTTGACGTGTTTAGACTTTTAAAAACTATTGTTTTTATATTTGTTAATTAATTAATTGTCAATAATTTTAGCCCAAAATTAATACATTTATTGTAAGTTAGCATAATTATTAATTTTTTAATGTTATTATTTGTTATTAAGATTAATAAAAGATATTTATAATTTTGCCTTAAATTGTACGCCAGTGCGAAGTTACATCGCCCATTCGATAATGTTCTGTCAGAAACGCAATCTCTGAGCGGCCGGACTCTAGTACAAAACAATCGGTCAATATCAATGGTTGCAATGGTTACCACAGATATAATAATTATATGGTCTGTGATGATTATGGACCTATTCCAAAACTAAAAACAAGGAATTCCATTGAAGGAATGATAAAATATAAACTATAAATTATATAGTTGCCTCCTTTTTTCTTATACAAATATAATTAGTAAAAAGAGGACGAAAGATACATCACAGTTGTCATTTTTATCAATTTATAACAGGCTAGTGTATAGAAAATGTTTAATATGTCAATTATTTGTCAATGACAAATTTTACATTACTAGATTATATATTGGACACAGTTTATGTAGAAAGTATGCAAGCAAGTTGTATCTGAATTTGGTAGAGTTATACGGCCGTATAATATTTTTTATACACTAGCCTGCTATGAATTGACAAATTTATCATTTCTTCCATGTAATTCCTCGTTCTTAGACCTAAATACTGACCAGAGACATAATAATTTTGCAGGCTAAGCATACAATCAAGATATAATTAACGTCCTCTAGATTGATACACCTAGTATTGTTTTATTGATTTTATTTGTACTGATATTGCTTCTATAGATTAAACTACATAGATATTTACTTTAGCTACTTTAGCACTATTACCGTGGTTATAAACGAATTCAATTCACCCATAGATATATATACATCATCATCATCTCAGCCATTATCCGTCTACTGCTGGACATATGCCTCCCCAATAGACTGCCATAAAAAAAGGTCCTGAGCCACCTGCATCTATTGACTCCCTGCAACACATTTCAGGCCCTCACTCCATCTAGTGGGAGGTCGTCCTATACTACGTTTACCCGTACATGGTCGCCACTTAAGAACCTTTTTTCCCCATCGGTTGTCGGTTCTTCGAGCTATGTACCCAGCCTATTGCCGCTTCAGCTTGCTTATCCTTCGGGCTATGTCGGCTCTTTTGCGAATATCTTCGTTTTGAATCCTATCACGCAACAGATATATATTATTATTACTAAATATTTAGATGCTATTCACCTTTACCAAATACAAGTACGAATTCAGATTGTACTAATTCTATTCGATTTGAAATTAATTACACTTAGATTTTATGCTGTATATTTGGATTTAATACATGATATTTAGAAAGAAGCACTATGACCGTTTTTGAACGTTATTGATTTGGCAGTTCTATCTTGTTGCTATATTCAAAATTGTTCTTTTCAACTTCGACGTTTCGATCGAGGTGCATAGAACACGCGAACATAGGCATAAATTTGCCAAGTTCGCTTGCTACAACAGGTAATTTTATAGTTTTACTATATATGTTCTAAATTTTATAGTATTTTATATGTTTAACGTTACCTTTCCTTTTTCAATAGTATTTACAGTGCTATCATATGGTAACAATATAGGTTATGTCTGTGCCACATATGAAATGAAAGGTGGCTCTGTTTTCACTTAATTTAAACCAAATTGTGAATTTGAAAAGCTGACTTTGATCCACAGCTATGTCTCGAAATAAACAACATGAAGAGACAGACAAACTTACGCGTATTGCCATCGTAAACGCGGATCGTTGTAAACCGAAGAGATGCAGGCAAGAATGCAAGAAAAGTTGCCCAGTGGTCCGTATGGGAAAGCTTTGTATCGAAGTCACTCCCAATGATAAGATCGCCACTATTTCCGAAGAGTTGTGCATTGGGTGTGGTATTTGTGTCAAGGTTAGTGTTAATGTTTATTTACAATTTTAATGAAATAGTTGTTTAGTGAAAGGCTATGTCTTTATTATACTTTTTATATATTACAGTATTTGACTAGTTTTTATCTAGTAAAATTAAATATTACCATTAAATCTAATATAGCAAGTTCAAATTATATTTTTTTCATATTATTTACTGTTATATAATTATAAAATTATTTATAGTATATATACTTTATGCATATATGATTTAAAACAAACTAGTTTCATGCTGCTTTCATATCAGTATCTATAATATTATTTTTTATTAATTTTATTTTCCAGTATATACTAAATGAGTTATTCATATTGTTTACAGAAATGTCCATTTGATGCCATCACTATTATTAATATACCCTCGAACTTGGAAAAGCATACCACTCATCGCTACTCCAAAAACTCATTTAAACTTCATCGACTTCCAATTCCACGCCCCGGTGAAGTGCTAGGATTGGTCGGGCAAAACGGTATCGGCAAATCAACAGCCCTGAAGATCCTTGCTGGAAAACAGAAACCTAATCTGGGCCGCTATGCTGTAAGATGTAAATTGTTTCCTTCTATTTGTTGAGTGTTACTTAATAATTAAAACATAATATTTATTTGTTTCTTAAGCTTGCCAATTGTGTTAATTTCCTATTAAGTTAAGTAATGTTGGGTGTAAAATCCAATTCCAAGGCAATTTCAAGCCCACAACCCTTTATCCCTTGCTATTCCTAAAGAGTAGATACATCCATAATATTTTTAATAAAACCAATTCACAATTTTAATTAATGTATATACTATAAATTTCTATATGTATTATTAAAAAGACTTCAATTTAGTCTCTGAGCTATTCAAACTTTTCTTTCATTTAATTTTGTCTCCATTTATTTAACAAAACTTTTTTATTTACAAAATCAGGATCCCCCAGACTGGCAAGAAATTCTATCTCACTTCCGAGGTTCTGAACTACAAAATTATTTTACTAAGATTTTGGAAGATGATTTAAAAGCGCTCATTAAACCACAGTATGTGGATCAAATCCCTAAGGCTGTGAAAGGAACAGTTGGACAACTTCTAGATAAAAAGGATGAAATGAAAAACCAGCCTGAAATATGTCAAATGCTTGGTAAGTTATTATTAATTACTAAAAATATTAAGAGACACATTAATAATCAACTTTACAATTATAGAAGATATTTATTTATTTAAAGGAACACCAACAGTATATTGCATTATAACACATAACAATAAATATAATATATGCCTATTAAAGGTATTCACACCATTTAATACTACATTACATTTAAATTATAATACTTAATTGTCATAACTTAATTGCAACTTTCTTATTTACATTCATCTTTTTTTTTTCTTTGCCAGACCTATCTCACATCCGGGACCGTGAGATTGCTGCATTATCTGGTGGGGAACTGCAACGATTTGCATGTGCTATGGTCTGTATCCAGAATGCAGACATCTTTATGTTTGATGAGCCATCATCCTACTTAGATGTCAAGCAGCGTCTTAATGCTGCTCGGACAATACGCTCCTTGATACACCCTGACAAGTGAGATTTATATTTTTAGTAATCATTATATAGTATAACTAAATTATTTAATATAAGAAAACAATAATTTGTGTTTACTTTCTATATATTTAAAACAAATTTTCACTTATATTTATATTAATTATATATTTAAGAGCATCTACTAACATGCAAATTTTTCTGAGACATTTCCTATGAGGCTGACATAGTCACTCAGGTGTTACTAAAGCCTCAATAAAAATTTGGTTTAAATTTTTTTTCTGCCAATAAAAATCCTTACATTTGTAATACTATAATTACTAATATAAGTAGAATTCTACTGTCTTTTAAATAATATTCACATTTTAGAGCTGACAATAATCAATTATGAATATTATTCAGGTTCATCATAGTTGTAGAACACGACTTGTCAGTGCTGGACTATTTGTCTGACTTCATTTGCTGCCTGTATGGTGTACCTGGTGCTTATGGGGTTGTGACGATGCCTTTCTCTGTGAGAGAAGGTAAGATATACGTGTTATTGACAAATAAATTATTGAATATGTACACATACATTTCAAACTGTTGAATCAAGCACAAAAATCATTTGTGTTTTCTTGAGAAACACTTTTGAAATATCTTATGGGGCTAGAAAATAAGTGTAATGAAAAAAAAATCTGATTAACTATTTAAATTTAAATTAAATCAAGATTTTCATTATTTTTAGGTATCAATATATTCCTTGATGGTTTTGTACCTACTGAAAACATGAGATTTAGGACAGAATCTCTAGTTTTCAAAGTTGCAGAATCTGCTACTGAAGAAGAGGTAAATATAATTTGAGGAATAATTACTAAATATAACAATTTTTCAAAAAGCTGCTTATATGTCTCTTTTTACAAATATTTATTGAATGAAGCCATTTCTTATCTAGTGGACTATTAGCTTATTTAACCTTTCTATTATATAAGAAAAAACTTTAATTAAAGAATATACAGATATAACTTTTCATCAACAGATAAAAAGAATGAATCATTATGAATATCCTGAAATGACCAAGAAAATGGGTGACTTCAGTCTTCGGGTGATGCCTGGTGAATTCTCAGATTCTGAGATTTTGGTTCTACTTGGTGAAAATGGCACTGGTAAAACTACATTCATCAGAATGTTAGCAGGAAATTTGGAACCTGATGAAGGTATTATTTATTCTTATGTAATTTTGATTTTGAAAATATTGTTTATTAAATATAGTTATAAAATGTGGTATATTAATTGATAAATGCTTACAACACAGCACACGTAATAGAACATAACGACTTTATGGTAATTATTTTTTATTTACATTTATTCCTAAATAAATACCTGAATACCATATTAAGTAAATTATGTAAAATGAATATAACATAGTTATTGGTAAGGGCAATTTTTATGATTTGTTATATTTCTTATTGTTTTATATTAATTGTAAATAAATACCACATTTTTGTAAAATCTTTTCCAATCATATCGTTTGATGTTGTTTCACGATTTCGGAACTATTCTATCACTGACACTACCGTTTCCCACTCATACTGTGTCTAGTAACTATATTCGAATGAAGAAAAACAATTTTATACTTGGCAACATTAATGTAATGTCATCGGCGCTGTCATGATGGGCTGACAAACTGTCACCATAAAAAAATTATTGGTTTGGTTTCGTGATCTTTGTGAAAGTTGACAAATGGTTCCATTTTTTTTGCCGAAATAAACAGTTTTTATTACAATTATTGCATAAAAATCAATATTTATTTTGATACCTATGTCGAAAATTGAATTTTACGTAAATAAACTATTATGTGGAGATATCTAACGATGTAGAGGATATTTGGAATTGAGGTTATATCGTTATTTTCTCATAAATCTATATTTTGATGAATTCATCCCGTATTTAACACGATTGGGATGGCTAAGACTGAATTATTCGATCTATTTTTTCATCCTGTATTTCAAAAGTGTTTGAAACATGCCGAATCAACTTTATCCATTGAAGGTATGATTTTACTTAAATCGTGTACCTATACTTATAAATATATATTGCACCTGCTTCACAAAACAAAGCAATTGATATCATTTATTTTTAAATATTGTATTAATATCCCCAAATTCAAATATGCAAATAGAAACATTACATTTTAATATTTTCAAAATCAATATTTGTTTACTTTTTTCTATAACATTTATCTTATATATATCATATATATATATATATATAATATGTTTTATTAAATTGTAATCTTTTCCCTTTATTCAGTAAGGATTTTTTTTTTTATTGTTTTAATATATATCTAGTCTTTTTCAATATAACATAATTACAAAGTAACCAAATTTTTCAAATTTATCACAAAAATATTTCTTAAATAAAATCAATGACAAATTAAAACATTTATTATTATTTTTTATATTTTTTAAAGCTAGTACAAGTTCTCAGTGAATTAACACCATCAATGTTTTGTGAACAGGTTCAGGTCAGTTGCCACAACTGCACATTAGTTATAAGCCACAGAAGATATCACCCAAATCACAGGGTCTAGTCAGAAGCTTGCTGCATGACAAAATTAGAGATGCATATGTGCACCCGCAGGTTGGTAAATTTTCTTTATATAAAATTTGACAATTGTTCTATAAATTTTTTTTTAAACAGTTTTTCTGTTATATACCAAAGTGATGCAAATTTACTATATTTGAAGAGGAAGTGTTCAATGAGGTGGTCATAGCTAATTTGGAAAATGAATGAATAAAAACTCTTGTTTATTACCCTCAAAGAATTATACAAGTTATGGAATGAGTTCCCTGTTAACTTTTTTCCAAGAGACCAGGCTGTTGTCTCTTCTTCTGTGGGTCCTTCAAAAGGGGTGTAAAGAGGTTTCTTTAGGGTCGGCAATGTGTGCATAATGCCCCTGGTATTGCAGGCGTTCATAGGCTATGGTAACCACTTACCATCAAGTGGGCTGTATGCTTGTTTGCCACCTCAGTGATATAAAAAATACAGATATAAAAAAAACCAGTTCTATCAAAAGCAAGGGAAAAAAGCAACAATCAACAGCCTTGTTGCTAAATAGATATTTCTTGCAGGTAAATAAAGTAGAATGTCATAAAAGAAAAATTACACAAATTATAATTGGTGTATACAGATAGTTATCCAAATGTGTATATGTATTTATGGATATATAATTAAATATTGGAGCTGATTTTTAGGTACCATTTCTCTACATTTCTCTAAAATTAAAATCATATCTAAAAAAGTAACCATAGGAATCAAATTTCATTTTCAAATCAAATTTCAATTCAAATCAATTTTAAAAATAATATTAATTTATTAGTATTTATGATGTGTTTACTAAATAGTATCTAATGTTTCAGTTCATAACAGATGTAATGAAGCCAATGAAAATAGAAGAAATAATGGATCAGGAAGTCCAGAACCTATCTGGTGGTGAATTGCAAAGGGTAGCCTTGGTGCTATGCCTTGGCAAGCCGGCTGATGTGTATCTTGTTGATGAGCCATCTGCCTACTTAGATTCTGAGCAGCGTTTAGTTGCTGCAAAGGTTATTAAACGGTAGGTTTTAATTGCATAATAAAATTTTACAATCTAATAATTTGAATGAATCAAGATCAGGAGATTAGATAATTAGGGAGGGATTGAATTAAACAAAATTGATTATTTGGCACATTTTTTAAAGTTATTTTAAAATTTCTAATAAATTGTATTACTTACAAAACTAACAATATGGTGACTATTGTGTTTTAACACTATTTAAAATAATATTTTTTCTGGTTGCGCTATTTCTTTATATTGTTCATATTAAATTTATTTCTCTAAAGAAATTAACATTTTTATACAGACAATAAATGCTAAATTATAAAGTAAATTGTTCTCAGGTTCATATTGCACGCTAAACGTACGGGCTTCGTAGTCGAGCATGATTTTATAATGGCCACTTATTTGGCGGACCGTGTCATAGTCTTCGAGGGAACGCCATCAAGTCACGCGACAGCACACGCGCCGCAGTCGCTGCTGAACGGCATGAACAGATTCCTTGAGCTGCTCGGAATCACCTTCCGTAGAGATCCAAACAATTTCAGGCCTAGAATCAACAAACATTCTTCTGTAAAAGTGAGTAATTGCTTGATAAATTGTACTAAGAATCACAATATACTGTGAATTATTTTCAGAAAACTGCTTATAAATTATAATATAGTTATTTACATATCAATAGATTTATTATTTTTTTAATTGGAAACCATTATGGTTAAATTTACCAGAAATTACCACTGTGATTTCTAGGGCAAATCATGTGGAATTCAACTTGTCAGCACTACCTGTCACTAACAATATCCACTGTTCTTTTAATAGAACTTTTTTATTTAACTAGAATGGCAAACAAGCAGATGGCCTACCTGATAAAAAGTGATAACTGTTGCCTATAGACATGAACTATTTTATGGGAATAACAGAGTACATTGTTTCACCCATTATACCCCCCATGTTTCCATTCCTGAGGTGTTATATCTCTGTACCCTGTAAATACACTGCCATAAGGACTTAATAAAAATGTAATAAAATGAGTAATTAATATTTTTGACAAAACTTAACCAAGTCTGTGAAATTACAGTGGATACATATATACTGTATTATTTATTAAGCAAATTAATATACAGCCTTGTAATAATCACTTGCATATTCATTGCAATCATTGTCTTCAATACTTATGTTGCAAGTGAATAACCTCTTGATATTATTTTCTTAGTTATAAACAAGTGATAATTAATAACTTAATGAAACAGACAATAAATCAATTTATCATCAATGAGGTTATTTTAGAAAATATATATAAATGCTTAAAGAAATAAAACTAGTTATTTATTATTTTTGTTACATATGAATAAAATATTTTCATATACCTCAATTGTTATTCGAATTATAATAGGAAAATAAGTGATATAAGTAAATAATTTTACTTTTTGTATATTCTATAGATATTAAATTTTCCCCTATACTGCCAACAAACAGACTAAACTTTGGATTTTGTTTTTCTGTGAGAAAAATAAGACGCCGGTTATCATTGTCCTATTCTGTCTCATGCACAGATAATGAATTTGGTTTATGTATGTATTTGGACATTGTAGTGTAAAAATTGCCATAATGTACAAATTATTTTTATCAATATAAACAAGCATATAGCGCTTTTGACATAGGGGCTTATCGTTAATAACAAATTATTATGTAATACTTGTACATTCTAATTATATTGAACGAATGCATAGTAATTAAACTAACTGTATTTATTTTATATCCTTCATTATTTTATTTTTTTACAGGACATAGAGCAAAAACGGGCAGGTCAATATTTCTTCCTGGAAGATTAAAAAGAGAAAATATACCAATATCTATTTATATATGTGTATATGGAAGCTGTGTATCTGTCACAATGATGGTAGCCTGCCATCCAATGTATTTCCAATAATTGTATTGCTGTAATAAATCATTTTTTATAAAGCACTTTTTTTAATATTTTTAAAAACAAATATGTATAATTATTTTTGTCTATGTATACGGGGTGAAATCGAAATTATTAGCACTTAGCATCTAAATAAATAGTTTTTCAAAGGAATGAATTCATCAAAAATGTTCTGAATCAACCTCGAAATTTTTGACATTTTTTAGTTTAGGATTAACCAAATTTCTATCAGACAGAATATATAAAATATTCTTTAAGATAGTAAAGACCCAAATAGATCGTAAATTTTATTTTGATCACTATGTCTCAATTTCTAATTTACTCTCCGGTAAAGGGAAATACCGTTACAAAACACAATCTTGCATTTAACGGTAGACTCTCATTCTGTCATTTTAAATATGCTCTATGTAATGTGAATATTGTGCAAAAACGGGCCGGTCAATAGTGTTACATTACCAGTCACCAACCAGTTTGACAAATTCCAATGTTTATCAGAGAAACAAAAAAAAAAGAGTCAAACTGATGTAAATGCATATCCATCACGCTTCTCTTATTTTTTTTAATGGATGATAATGGTATGGTAACCCCGGCCGAGTCATCGGTATATATTGGCGGGGCATCAGTGAATGGTGAGGATGAAAAGCAGGTTCGTGTCGAATTCAAAGATAAATAAATAATGATAACTAACACCCCCATTACTAATAATCTCTTCCCCCTACGCCTCTCTTATTAGGGTAGGCAGAAACAATTGAACGCCAAGTGCTCCGATAAAGGAGTATGTATCACTATTTTGTGGATTCTCAATGTGTTTCATAATTTATATATTTATATATATAATGTAAAGTTAATTAGAGACGTTCATGACACTTTGGTTTTATTCAAATATCTATCATAGTTTCATAGAAAAATAATTTTAAAGTAAGGGGTTGCAATCTCCATATTCCATAAACCAATGAAATTAGGGGTTTGATAATTGGCCAAAAAATATTTCCAAAAACTAACCATATTAAAGGTACTAACGTCAACAAAGACCAGTACAGACTTAATATATAAACACGGCGAAACCCTTTAAAAAAATGTCTTCGTAAATAAAAATGTTTTGATATAAACAAGTCTGATTTGAACAAAATATTGATCCGAATATATGCATTTCTCTCCTAAATGGAATACGTACAAAGTAGATACTTTATATGCACTCTATAATTAACATTTACTGCTATTAGAGACTAAAATAATTATTATAGTATTCTAATCTGCAGCAGTGAACTATGTGTAACAGTCTAAAGATGGTACATCGTCTGATCCTTTTTTTCCAATACTCTCATCGTAAGCGAAAAAATAAGATGAAGAATCAGCAAGCACATGAATATTAAACATAAAATAACTCAGCTGCCTTTTATAATATACATCGTTTGTAGTTATATTCGGTACAGAAAGATTTTTTGAAAAATCCATTGCTATCGCTACTGTTGTAACATCTTGCCTAGCTGTCAAACGAGCTTTTCTTTTTTTATCATAAAAGACTTCAGCTCTCTTTTTGTGTGCTAAATTTTCTATTTCGAGTCTTCGAAGTTGAGACAAAATCTGTGATTTTTCTTGCCCATCAGGAAGAGGAGCAATCTTAATTTCAAGATGTTTTTTCTCAGCTTGAAATTCATCACAAGTCGAACATGTATCCACCCTGGGATAACAATTGAAAAAGTTGCGATATTTTAATGAAAAGAATAATCGATACGATATAGCTTTTTAATCTTTTTGGATATTTTTATATTTGATACCATGTAAGGATATAAAAGCTTTTCTACACACCGGTAACTCGTGTATCAGATCATAAATTTGTCCGCATTTTCTTCACCTACTCGTGGACGACGACGTTGTACATTAGATACGATTATAAGCCCGCTTAAATAATTATCTTGATCGTACCTGTTCGCAAAACTATTAAATTGTCTTAATATTATTGCTCTCTGCTCTTCATTTATCATTTTAAAACATTTAAAACGATTACACTTACAGTCATCACCAATTTCATGCCCTTGGAGTCGAAGTTTCTTTAAAACATCACTCATTCTTCCTGTCTGTTTTCTTTTTTTCGTATTTCTGATCATTTCGTTGTTCTCAATCATAATTTTAAGAAAGAAAGTATATAACTCCGTATAATATGACCTTGCAGAATGCCAGATGCACAAAGACTGACAAAACAATTGCCACTACAGCAAGATTATGCGATGGACATTTATCATTATGAATTGACGTTATTATTAAAAACATATTTATCTCGCAATACTGCTAAGTTCGTAAAGAAGATTTAATAAGTACATTGTCAAGTAATCGAATGGCATTACTCGTTAAGATTTAAATATTTTTGGACCTTCATCATTATTGCAGTGGACCCTTCATATGTAAACACGGCGAAATCCTTAAAAAAATGTCTAATCGTAAATAAAAATATTTTGATATCAACAAGTCTGATTTGAACAAAATATTGATCTGAAAATATGCATTTCTCGCCTAAATGGAATACATACAATGTAGATACTTTATATGCACTTTTTTAACACATTAACACTTTTACTGCTATCAGAGACTAAAATGATTACTATAGTATCTTCTGCCGTATTAGTCCCATATAAATTTTCACTGCTCTTTTTGTGTAACAATTTTTTATGAAAAGAATAATCGATACGGATACGATATAGTTTGACTGGATATTTTCCTATTAATGAGAAAATTTGTCCAGGCAACTTAAACCATTTCATAAGGCCAGCAAATGGTTTATGTGTTGCAATCAAATTGTGTGCTATTTTATATAGTATTTTATTATTCTCGATTCTGTTTATGACTGATAAAATGTACGCCGCCCGCCAGGGCTTATCCAACTATTATCTACGCCGGCTAATTATCTTAATACTTGTATGTAAAAATCCTATGTTACGGTATTAGTTCGCACTAATATGCAAACCAAACGAATTAACCGACTGGGTTAATCGTGACGAATTCCTAGTAGATGTGACCACGATGGTTTCCAGGAACCCCTTGTGGAGGGTCAACCTGATAAGATAATGAAAATAATGAGAATACTGAACTCCGTTACTCAATCTTCTTCCCATATAAATAGACATTAGCACATTTAGCAGTGTACTTTCTATATTTCATGTGTAAATAAAACCCCAAGATTAAGTTACCGATTTCTAACAAATTGGTATCAAAATATTAGTTACATTTATATCTAAATTGGTATTTATTTGTTGAAAAGATGTTTAAAAAATATTTTTATACGTATTTATATGTAACTGTATATGAGGTCAGATAACATAATTATAACGTTTGCAGTAATGAGTCATAAACTTGTTTATCAACTCGATGAGTTCACGCAATCATGAATAAGATCAATGGCGGCGAATCATTTGTAAAATCACCAGGATAGTGACGTTGTCTTGTCACTTCCACGATTTTCTATTGAAGTTCTTATTTTAGTGTCGTGATGTCATCATAGTATTGTAGTCATAAGTACGTAAATCTACAACCAATGTTTACACATCTTCACACCGAGACATTTGCGGATAGACAGAGATAATTCGGTACCCGTGGCGCAATTGTAAACGCCTTGCCGGATTGAAATCCGGGTTCGATCTTGTACTAATTTAGGAAACCAACTTTTTTAAATTCACTTGAGTTTGGGTATTTTGGATTCTGATTATAGATATTTGTACGGTATTCTAGTTTGGAGACCATTTAACTGGTGTGGTTAATACTATTCTGTGTATTACACACACACTCGTTTGCCTCCCTAACAATAAAAAATATATGTATTATAATAGCATTAAAAAAGCATACGACTCACCTGTTGGTATGTGACTAACGCCGTTCATGGGCACCATCACCATAGACAATGCAGGTGTATTGCCGGCATATTAAAAAGGAATATGCTCTTGAAGGTTATGATGTCGTATCATTCGGAAATACTGCTGCTGTAAGTTGATTCCAAAGCGTAATTATGCGTGGAAGAAAGTGCCTTGAAAAACGCACGGTAGTGGAGCGCCACTTGTCCAATTGTTTGGGATGGAACTTTAGTTTGTGGCAGGTTGTACGGTGGTGAAAATCAGCAGCAGGTATCAATCCGAACAATTTCTCAGAACACTCCCCATGATATATTCGATAAAAGATGCAACAACTTTATCGATTTTTATGCTTAACTCTTGCATTATGCTGCTTATATTTCTTCAGGAAAATAGCATTGAAAATTATGACTTACCTACCTACGTAAACAGTTTTTAAAATGAGCCATAAAGCACATTTATTAATTGCTTACTACTTGTATATATAGTTATTTCCGTTTGAACTGATTTGCTTCATCTGCTCAGCTAAGTGTTTTTGGTAATTAATTAACAAGCGTTCATTAGCCTTGTCCTAATACAAACTAGGTCTCTGCATGGTGACAGTTTGACGGTGTTATTGCTATAAAAAATAGAAATCGAACCTGATAAGTTTGGAATGCATCAACTCGCTTCGATGCTAAGTACCCTGTAGGGTAAATACATCCGATGGTTCTTGGGTAAAACAAAAACAATATGAATTCCCGAAATTCCCGCGCAATCGAGATAACCTAGGTAGGAAGATATTTAATAAAACGAACGATGCACTCGTTGTCTCGTTCGTGTAAGACACAAAACCGGTTCACAACATTCACTTCTTTTGCATGATAGTTTGCATCATACATACACCTACATAAATACTAGTTAAGACGTCATGTTTATAGGCAAGTATACGTATGCAAATTTTTACAGAATATTTTAGGCCATACTGAAACTGGAATACCTATTCAAGATGACGCGATGGACAATTCTACCCAAAGTTTCATTACTTATGTTTTGGGCATTATGTAGGTACATACCTAAGTAACTATAGCCATGTTAAAACTAGTCTATAATAAGGAAAAATGCAAATGTAAAAGAACATTCAATGTATAAGATTCTTCATCCTTGTTTACTTGTTAGGAGTACATCGGGTCGGGCCGCGCGGTCGGATTGACGGCGCGCCGGCGCGCGCAGCGCCATGACATCATCGTGCTTCGGGTTCATGTCGCGCATTACGTGGCACAGAGACTATCAACCTTTGGCAGTAGTTTTATAACACTGTTATGAATCATGATCATAGTCCAAAAATGTTATATGGGATAAGGTACAATCTATATAATTAGCTGACCTGACTATTGTCTTGCTAAAATATTTTCCTTTCATTACTTACAAAGCCCAATTTTTCTTATTGGGATAAAAATTACATAATGTTTAAGTTGGATTATTTCTCAATTATAAAATAAGATATACACCAACTTCAGTAATATATGCTAAGTAATCAATGATAATAATATTTTTTTATCATTGTAACTTAGTATCTGATTCCAAAAAAATGTACTCTGAACATGTATTCAATTTATACGGAAGTCTACTAAAATGTATCAATCGATATTTTAAATTACGTGCCTGATACATAATTTTTTAATTAACAAGTAAGAAAAAAAAACGCAACTTCTCAGAATAATGTTTACAAGGTACACAAAATGTTGACGATCGCTATATTCGAGAGAGGGAGAACAAAAACCACAGCGACCGACAGGCCGAACCAAGTTTCATTCTAGTGCCGTGATAATTTCGGAGTTTGCGCTATACAGGTTTTATTGGGTGTGTCGCTGTATAAAACAAGTAGGTATAATTTGTTTTTACTCGTTAATATTTAATAAATAATATGATATTTATTTAAAAAGAATATTCGATTTAAACAACGGTATTTAAATAGTGCAATTCTCGAAACATACAAACCGGCATCCGGCATACCTACCGACCGCGTTAGTGTTGATAAAAGCCGGTCAAATAAAATTTATTTTTAGCATATACGTGAATGTGTCTGTTTTTTTTTTATCGAGTTGTTGTTTTCTATAGTTTTCGTTTGTTTCTAGGAATCTCAACATGAGCGGACAACAGTACTACCCCTACAAGGTAAGTTTTCCACCTACGTACTTTGTAGATTTAGCGCAACCTATTGATTCTCACGAGATGATGTCATCTTTTCGAGGCTAACTTGATAAGTAATATATTTTTAAACGAAACAAAGCTAAACTAGCTTACCGGCGATACATAAAAATTGAAAATATTGAAGTAAAAAACAATTTAATCTACCTAATATGAAAATGCTTTGTATTGGGGAACCGTAATAAATGCGGAAAATGATCAAAAAAATAAGAAGCATTCGACCGAGACCAATAAGAACTCATTAGGCGTCGGCTAGTGGTTACGAATGTTTTTTTTTTTTTTTATTTCTTTTCCGCTTTTTTCTATTTTTAAGTAGGTAGCTACCTAGTTAATTTTTTCTTTTATCTACCTACCTATTTGGATCTTGGATCTCCATAAATGCAAAAAATAATAAAATAACATTCAAAATAACTATTCATTAAACCTGTGTAAAATCATATTATAAATGCGAATGCTTGTAAGGAGGGGTGGATGGATGTTGATTACTCTTTCACGCAAAAACTACTAAACGCATTTGAATGAAATTTTGGTAAACGGGTAAGTTATAGGTATATATATTTAAGTTAACATATAGGATACTTTATGTATTACGCAGGAGCAGCGGGATAAATCTAGTAAAAATAAATAATTAATTTAATAGGTATAAATACCTAACTTAATGAATTGTGTATATTAATAGGAAAGTATGAAAAGATTCGAGTTATGCCAGTTTAACTAGCAATTTAGTCAGTTTACCAAAACATTCTTATGTAACTTGCGTAAATTCAATTAAATTTAGTTCTAAGAAGATAAGATTAATTTGAGTTGTTAATCACAATTATAAGTAGGTTTGAAACAGACCACAAATACCTACTGACCCAAGTTAGAAATAGCTTGTGTTAATAGAACTTAAGGAAAACAATAGAATAATTAATTTACTTAAAGCAAAAAGTATCCTGCTGATGTCTAATATACAACTTAAAAAGTCAATTAATTGATTGAACGTTTCGATTTCTTACTAATTTGACTTTAAGAGTGTTTGTGATAATTCAAGAAAACTTGGTTGCTTTTTTATTCAATTGTATTCAAATAGACTGTAATACTTAAGACGCTGCTGTTGTTACAGTGTACCCCTACCGTATACCCCGCGGAACCCTTCGATCCCGCGGCCGATGCGGAAACCCTCCGCAAGGCTATGAAGGGATTTGGCACAGATGAAAAAGCTATTATCGATGTCCTTTGCCGCCGCGGTATCGTCCAAAGATTGGAAATTGCAGAAACTTTTAAGACAAATTACGGAAAGGTAAGTTTATTTTTCTTTTTCCACAGAGAAAGCTAGATACTAAATTATCATATTTGTAATGAATAGATATTAGTTAGTACTGTACGTATTGGTGGATAGTTTAAGCAATCTTTAGTTAGATATAGGGTTATTAGACAGTAGTTTTATTTTTTAAAGTTATGTTCACTAAAGTTCTAAGTTGCATGAAAAAAAAAGAAAACTAAATGACAAACATAGTATAATCATAAAATTCTTATTACACTTGTACCTATTGTATATATACAGAAGTACCTTTTTGCCCCATACCTACTGACCCTACGTCTAACCGAACCACTTTCATGAATTGAGATGTATGACGGATTTTTCACGAAAGGTATTGGAATATAAAAATTTACATATTTAGATTATTATCCTTGGCTATAAATTCAATTTTGTACTTAAATAGGGAAAATTATATTTCGGGTTTTTCCGCACTTCAAATTGGATTATCTTCTACGACTCACGCTATATGTGATATAAATATACTATCAATAAGAACAACCATAAAAATAAAAAGTTATCACGCTCCCTTGACAGCGCAAGCCCTACTTCTATAGCGCAAACAGAATAACTAGTTCCATAATACGGTCAAGGTGATGTTACGGTAACACCCTATAAAGGGAGAGGCTCCCTCTTCGTGTTCCCTGTTTGTGCCCGAATATGTAAATTTAATAATTTAAGCAAAAATGTTTTAAGTAATTAAATTTACGTAGGTATTATGATTGAGATGGCCAAGCTTTTGACACATGAGACTTAATAGAATGGTAACAAGATATATATATATATATATATATATATATATATATATATATATATATATATATATATATATATATATATATATATCGATAGCGAGACTTTTGAGGTCCATATTCCTCGTAAACCATGTTTATTAATCTACCTAGGTACATATCTGGATTTTTAAATTGTAGATTGAGAAAAATAAGAGGAAGAAATAGGTGCATGCCTATTTCAATTCTTTTATTCAAGCTCGCCGATCAATATTAAGAATTAATATTAAAACCAAATTAACATTCGTTTAACAATTTAATTGGTTTCGTCCTATTTAAAATAAATTTAAAAATAGGATGTTTTCTGTGACTTGTCCATTCCAGTTAGAAGTTGATTGTGGTCAACCAGCGATATCTGTATAGTATTGCATTATCTTGGTTGATTCCTGATTTGTCACAGATATTGTTTAACTCTGTTAGTTTGCGACATAGTTACTAGTTTGCGGTAAACATTTTGCAGTTGTATAAACAGTACGTACTCTACTAACTCTACTGAAGAAATTGTATCAAATCGGTACAGTAAGTGGCTTATAGCACCACTTTATTTTTATCCATATACATACTCTATGCTATAACAGGTTATTCTATTTTTAATCTTATTTTTGTTCAATTACCGCTAACATTCATGACTTCAAACCTTGAGGTGATAACATCAGCGAATGGGCCAAATTCTCTCACGGCGATGACCTTGATTATAACCTTACAGGTTCTTAGTCATCGTTGGACGTTGATTCACAGCGTTTACTACATCAAACTCAAAGAGGAACTCTGTTCCATATAACTGCATGTTGAAGGTTGTCAATGATTAAGTAATAGTAGTTCTACTTAGGTAGTAGTTTTTCCCTCCACTTTGCAATTTTTTACTGTTGCTTCTAGTACTTTGATCCTAACCATATAGGTAAAGACAGCGACGGGTAATGTCATATGTTAAGATTGCTGTAATATGTCGCATAAACAACCTGCTAGTTTTAAAATATTTAATATTTATTTACTACTATTATTAGCATGACAAGTATGAGAAAGAAATATTATGACATCTGTGATCCTTAAATACTTATGTATTGATTTACTTTTAATTTTGTGAATCTGAACTTACCTAGTCGTTAATGAATGATAATGTAATGGTAACCCGGCCTACGCTAACCGATTGAAAAGCAGATCAGTAAGCCCACCGTGATGAATATGCCTAGAATTCAGCATGATGGTTTCAAAGGGGGACCACGTGAAGTCGACTTACCAGGGTACATTGCTAGCAATGGGATTATTAGTAATGCGGACTACGCATTACTAATAATCCCTCCCTTCCCCCCACTTAATAGGTACAGTTATGCAGTCCATATCATATCGCTATACCTTGGTCTACAGAGAGTCATCATCTGATTGATTGATCTGGTACAATTCTATTTTAAAGATGATGACATATTTCAGTGTTATCGTGCCTAGATAGGTATAATCGGTTACAAATAGTTGTTTAACGAGATTGCATTTTATGGTAGATAGGCACTCGTATAAAATTATAAACTGACAAGATAGGCAGTGTGACTTTCCATTTAATAATGTATGAACAACTTAAATGTAATCAATAAATACCATTAAATACAATATTGCATATATTATCTGATGTTATCATCAGATAATATATGCAATATTCGATTTTAAATAGGTATAAGTGGAAAAAATTTAACCTTCCTACACCTTGATACGACAACAGTTATGTTATTTCAAATATAATAACTTATGGTAACCTATTTTATAAAAAAAAATATAGTATTATGATAGTACGTTTACCCTATAATTAAATTATATTATATTAAATTATCAATTTCACTATAAATATCGAATAGGACTATTGAACAAGGAAATTTTTTTCCGTTTTATTTATCAATGCGATTAATTAGAGAAACGATTCTGTGATAAACTAAAACATTTTTAATTTTATAATAGTCATTACTAGGTCGGCGGCATATATTTATGATGTCGTAGTAGCCTATCATATTAGTTAATGATTATGTTTTAGAAATAATTACATATTTAATGTATAAATACGGGACTTACACGATATTGATAAATAAGTAGGTATAGACATAAAAAAATTAAATTGAAGTTGACGTAGTAAATTCATCTGTTAACTTCAAACATTCAGGGTGTAAAATAGGTACAAAAGATATTGAATATTTCCATAAGCAAAATATGAAGACTTTCTAACTTTCAGACATTTATAAACTACATACCTACATATAGTTTCAGGTTTTTCTATTGCTCAAAGCTACCTACTGGGGAAAACAACGTTTAGAAATTATGATGACGTATATTTACATACTGCATTACTCAGTATGTTTACAGGTAACAGAATAATATAAGAATTACCTCATCGTGTCTGTACAAAAATGACGTTACGTAAACTAGTTAGGTGAATTGCCAGACCGCTATAACGTTCGAAAGTGCTCAGAAACTGAAACTAGAACAATGAGTTTGACGTTAGTTATGTACATTCAAAGTGAAGCTATTTAGTTTTTTAAAGCCAATATACATGTATGTCGGTATGACTTATCAATCTTACACACAGGTGTAGTAAGAATGCAGGTCCTTTATGTAGATATCAATTCTATTGTTATGACTAAGTTTCACAAGAAATAAATACCAATTATTATTAAAATAATTGGTGATGGTGAAGAAGTTATGACCCTATAAAAGTTATAGATTTTTTTTTTGCTTCCCGGACAATTAAGATGGGATGGTATTATTTGACGAGATTATGGTGAAGTAACTTGCTCATGACACTAATGTAAACACTTGTTTTATTATCCACATAAAGGTAAAAATGATCGAATTTACTAACATTCTTTAACTTTGAATTTTCTACCAGTAAAACTGATCTTTTCCCAAATAAATGGATTGAAATTAAAAACTAAACTCGTCATATCTGTTAGGCACACTAGAAACTTTTTTCCCTCTGGATATACTTAGATAGAAAGAAACATTTCTAAAAGTAAAAAAATGCCTACTTAGTAGTAGTTTATTATAATAACAACCTTCTAAAGTAGGTACTATCTATATGGAATTATTATTTTAAATAACTTATATTTACATGTAAACATGTCTTAGTTTAACATAGCTTGTCTACTGATATATCGGCCAAAACACACGCAACGTAATTAATTTTTCCAAACCAAACTATAAAAATATCTGAGACATCTTTGAAGTTCTATCATCCTTTTATTTTATATTAGTTGTCTGCTATAATTCCAACAAAATATCATCGTTTGGTCGACTTCCCGCCAAATTTATTTAAAACATTATTTAATTAATGTGTGGTATATGAAATCGCATCTTTTTATTTATCCAAATGTGATAAGTTATTTTTACTCATTCTGAGTTTGTATAGGTTAGACACACATACAATTTAAACACATTATAAAACTGTATACACTGTAGGTACGATCTGTCGAAAGAAGTACTGAATATTTCGACTTTTTAAAATGAGTCACATTTTATAAAATCAATTTAATAGATTAAACACTGTTTATGTTTATTAATATCTATTAAGCTACTTCTATATACACAAATTACCATAAAATATAGAATTGCAGAGAACGATTACAATGGAAGACTTATCTCCTACATAATATTTCTTCTATTCAATGTTTGAATTCTTTAGAGGAATTGTGGAGTAGCGAAAATAAGAAAATAACATAACTCCTTATTTGTGTGCAAAATTTATGCACAAAACCAACCGGTTTTGGCTGTTTGTCTTCGATCAGTCTGACTAAACACATTTATTTATTTTGCCAGGATCTGATCAGCGAACTGAAGAGCGAACTGGGCGGTAACTTGGAGAATGTGATTATTGCCCTCATGACTCCCCTGCCACACTTCTACGCTAAGGAGCTTCACGACGCGGTTGCGGGGATTGGAACTGATGAGGAAGCCATTATTGAGATCCTCTGCACACTGTCCAACTATGGCATCAGGACTATTTCCGCTTTTTATGAACAATGTAAGTAACAAAGTAAATAATTGAACCACGGAAACTCGTAAGATAAAACCTTCTGTCAAGGGACGTACATAAAATAAAATGAAAATCTATATCTATTTCCCAACTATAAAATATGAGTCTTGTCTTAAATGCCGGAAACTTTATCTTAATGTCTTTAAAGACCTTAGTGCTATTCAATCCATTGAAAAATATAGGCAATACAATAGAACAAGTATTGACATCAGTGGGCACATATTGTGTAATTGAGATACGTTATTGTCGTCTATACTGTGTCTAGAATTACCCAGTTGCGGATTTAGATCGTCTAACGTATAGTTTTTCATAAGACATTAAATCAAAAATTACGTAGGTAAATTAATAGGTAGTTTTTGTGATGGTACTACAAAATATTAACTAATCTTCATAAGTTAATTATCATAATTATGACCACCATAAGTACCATAACAGTCTGTAATTTATTATTTACGCACTCGCATCTACACGCTTACGTAATGTCTAAGAAAATAATAGAATGAAATAAAAAAACAGGTCAAGACAATGTCTTAATTTAAGATCCATAATTCGAGCCTATATTAGAAAAAGAGGACATTGCAATTTCAAGTTTAGAACATATCAATAGTTGAAGTTATTAGCAAAGGTTTTTTAACTATATTCCTTTTAATTTCAGTGTACAACAAAAGCTTAGAGTCGGATCTCAAAGGCGACACATCTGGACACTTTAAAAGGTTGTGCGTGTCGCTGTGTATGGCCAACCGTGATGAGAACCAGGGTGTCGATGAGAGTGCCGCGAAAGCTGATGCGGAGGCACTTGCCGCGGCCGGTGAAGGACAATGGGGTACTGATGAATCGGTGTTCAACTCTATTTTGATCACACGCTCCTACCAACAATTAAGACAGGTAATAACATTACTATATCCGTTTCTTGTTTAGTTCTTAAAGTAAAAAGTTATTTGAACCTATACAAGATCTTGTATTAATCGAAACCTATTATTAATCAATTGACCGATTTCAGAATTTAAAATCCGGTTGTACATCGAAGTATGTTAGCAAGAGGCTATTGTGATGCCTAGAATGACAACAAATATATATAATATTTAGTAGTAAGAGTAAAATGTAATAAAATGTATTTAAATTTACTTTCCTCAAATGCAAAAATTTCAAGCGAAATAGGTGCTTGTAAAAAATACAGACCATTTATTTTCTTACAATCTGTATACCTACTTATCTATTGAATACTATTTTTTTATCGGTTATTCATAAGCGGAACAAATCGCATAATAACCGTTCTCACTTCAAACAACTGTGCTTTACTGTAGGTGCAATTTAAATTCATATATGAAAATATTTTAAGTAAAGAGGCGAGTAGCGTTCTCAGATGGTGTTAATCCAAGTTCATTCCGCATGACTGAAACTTCCTAGAATTTTAATTAGCATAATTTATACTGTAGAAGGAAATAGCCTCCAACTAAGAAAACACTTTACAATAAAAAGAAAACAATTTACGAAAACGTATGAACCCGTTTCATTGAACTAACTAGATATGACTAACTATAATGAGTATTCTACATCTAGACAATTTCAAGTTACAAAGTCTAATAGGATTAGATTACTTCCTAGTATCGATATTTTTTTAACCTAAGCTTAATGATCTACCGTTGAATCACTGGTGACATAGTTTGTGATTAAGGCACGTGTGTAACCATATTCGTAATCAGTGAGCATCCAATTGAGTTTTAATGTTCTGTGAGATTAGCCCCACCTTTCAGGGATACTGATTTTGGCTCACCCTAAATACAGTCGGAAATTCAACTATTATTTTTGACCTCGGTTACTCAATTGATGTTCTTGACAGACTCGCAGAGCAAATTGTTCTCTATTGGCGGCACTGAACATGTTAATAGAGTTGGTTGGTAATGCAAAAAACACGCAGCGCTCGATTCTAATTATAAGCACATAATTCTGACTCATGAAACTCAATGACTTGTTTCATTTGAAGTGCACAATGAGCACTGATGGCTTCTGCATCTATTATTCATGAATTGTGTGTCTGTCATATATTTAAATTAAATTCGAACGGTTACAGATCTTCGCCGAGTTTGAAGCGCTCACTGGAAAGGACATCGAGGAATCTATCAAGAAAGAATTCTCTGGTAGTGTTGAGAAAGGCATGTTGGCTATCGGTGAGTTGAATTATTTTAATTTAATTAAATATTTAGTTTTATTTCGGTGCACTTTGTCCTGTTAAATAAAGCTCTGTGATTATGACTAAAAAAAACAACAGTTAAAAAGACAATTCCAATAGAACATTTTTTATGACAAATTTTAAATTGATGTTAATTAAAAATTTCGAAGATTTCTATTCTATAATTATCTAAATCAGAAGCCTATAGTATTCCCTGCCTACCACATAGGGAGTCTGACGTGAACGTGTACACTTGATGGGTTTCATAATATTTTCGACAATAAATTTATTAGGTATATCGTTATGAATACTAATATCATAATTATACTTTATTTTACGGAAATGGCCCTGACTTAGCGTAGTAAGCAAACGGAATAAACAATTAATCACTAGAGGTAGTATTTTTGATGACCTACTAGAAGGTTGTACGTCATTCCAAGTCGTATCATGTAGGTAGATAAATATTTTAATTACTAGTATTTCACGTATTTCATATTAGTCACAATAAACATAAAGAGAATAATGATGATTTTTAGCACAAGGTCGTGTAATCTGTTTGTACAGGAAGCTACTACTGACACGACCTTGCGCCGAACGTTCAACTTTTTGTCTAGCCACTGAACACTTTGTCACGAATTTCATAATTATTTAAACATATTTGGTATTATTTGGTAATATAACAAAAACTAACGATTGTAAACAAGTATACATATCGCTTAAATAATACTAATTACTATCTTTAATATATTTTATTTATCCTATATATTGAGTAAATTTTATGTATTAATTACTATTAATAAATTAGTTAAAATGTACGAAAAAGAAATGTACAATCATGTGAAAAATAAATACATTAATCTATCTTGGCTAAATATTTTCATAGACAAATATTTGAGAAAACACCTCTTGTCAAATGGCAACCGATTTTATCGATACGATTTCTGCGGTAAGAGTACACATAACAACAAAATGTTTGGTTTTACTGTTTCGTTCGAATACGTATTTGTCAATAGATTTATTTGTCCTTGGTCTAGGAAAAATGTTCCCAAATATCGTGATATTTAGAAGTGTCCACCTAGTATCATAAAAGTAACTTGTGAACAGAAACTACAATAGTCTGTTTGAATAAAACAATGAAAATGTAAAGAAACGAATTATTTACCCGCCCATATCTGGTAATGTCTAATAATAAAATAAAAATCGACCGATTCAACTTACTGAGTTACTAATTGCATTTCAAGTGTTTCCGTGATAACTTTAACAAAACTTGTTTTCCCTTTAAATAAGTTATATTTAGCAGGTTTAACTACTATACATACAATATATTTTCTTTAGTTAAATGTGTGAAGAGCAAAGTTGGTTTCTTCGCCGAGCGTCTGTACTACTCCATGAAGGGTTTGGGTACAAACGACAAGACTCTTATCAGAATCATCGTCAGCCGCTCCGAGATCGATCTTGGGGACATCAAACAGGCTTTCCTTGACAAATACGGCAAGCCTTTGGAAAGTTGGATCGCTGTAAGTACTTTTTTTGTACTAAAAGAATATTTTCTTTTTATTTTTGAAAGTTTTACTTAATATTTGTTAATGCATTTTGGCATTATTTGAGTTTTGATTCCCAATTTCATAATACTGGTACACTATATATAAATACTTCCTTATATAGTGTTTATATGTTTATGTATGTGCTAACATTTATAGGTACATCATCTAACATTTTATTGTTCAGGCAACATTAATTTATTTATGGCTTTATGATCATAAATGAGTAATAGCTGATTCATTCTGAAGCTATAATAGATTGTATTCTACAATTCATTATAGCTCAAAATATGGCGTTAGTGAGACGAGATTATTTTATCTTTAATCTTTTCTAAAAAAATATATATTTAAAAATATCTGCTGGTAAATAATCGTACCTACCACTAAAGTTATAAAATTTTAATTAAATAAAGATTTTTAGTCTTGTAATTATGTATTATTTATCTCTTGTTCTAACACTAGTTTACCTTTATCTGATCTTAAAATCTTATCGTCTCTCTAATGCCATAATGCTATAAGGCAAAACTTAATATGCAATGTATATACTTACTTATTTATTATTATTAGAGACATTTATATTGAGCATATGTTTATCTCACAGCATGGATATCTTTGAACTACTTATAACATAGATTCAAGAAACTGACCCATAGTTGCGCATTCAGATAGAAAATAATCAGCATGTATTAATAGTTGATACTCTATCCATTCATCTGTCCTTATCCCCATTGTAATTTTTCTGAAATAACACTATCGGTGTCTTTATACAGATCTATTTATGTATACAAAACAAAGGGAATTAGTGTGATCATGTGATAATGAACGTCTTCGCTTAAAATTGTGGAAGTTTTGATAACAAAAATTCATGTCAGGTCTTTAACGGAACAAAGATCAGTTGCTAACCAAAAATTTAAAAATCGAAAACAAATGAAACTAAATTTCGTCAGTTGCTTTAAGACTAAAAATCGCAAGAGAGGTTCAGAATAGACAATTTTGATTACAGGATGACACGTCCGGAGATTACAAGAAGGCTTTATTGACCCTTGTCGAATAAATTAATGGGCTGGACTCGGTCAGGACTGCATCGATTGCCATAACCACCTATCTGATTATTTTAAGTTCATTATCCGTCAATTGTTAGGATGTTAAGTGATCTTTTATTGCATGTCAACAGCGGGTTAATATAATAAAACAAATGTACAAAACATGTCACTAGTCACATAGTCAATCAAAAATAACAGTTAGGCCATGCCTTCTTGCTTCGCAGTGATTGACTAAATATGACGTTTGGTTTTTGTTTTGTTAGATTCTGCCGCTATGGACATGGCTTATTAGTATGCGCACTGAAGATGAGCTATTTTGAGTCTGTGTATTTAAGTGGTTTTGCCTTCAGTGTACATTAGGTTATCCAATTCCACGTTATAAATGTCACCAATCGATCTGTATATTTTGCTTCCTAATCACATTCATGTAACTTTCTTTGCACAGTAGCTAACATCTTTCGCATGAGGGCGTGGTCGAGCCACTTAGCCACTCTCGTTTGTTTGTGTTTTAGTTTTACAAGTAGTTGTTGCGATTTTTTCAGGAGGACATAGGAGGTCCGATCGGCCAACTACTCTCGACAATGTGTTACTAAATACTACAGAGTTTAAACTTAACACTCAGTATTACGAGCGTCATTTCGCTGTGCACTTAATAGTGTGTAAAATAATATATTTTTGTAATCAAGTACAGTCACACTTGCATTTTATATTAAAGACAATTATTTTTTATTCTACTTTAAGCTACTTAGTATAGTATATGTGATTATATTCTTATCAAACGCTTACCTCGAATGCACGTGTGTGAATGCTCCAAGTAAATTATGGGCCAGTTTCTTTATTATTATTTTTTCGCTAACGTTTTGTTCAGTATTGGTTTTCAATATTGGTTACAGGAAGACCTAACTGGTGACTTCAGGAATGTGCTAGTCACATTATGTGCTTAATCCTGCAAAATAAACAAAATGTAGTTTGTTTTAAGCTTTGCATGAAATATGTTTAAGTTGTACAGGTTGCATACGCTCGATAAATCGTTACAATTTATCTTTACAATTCGAACTGTAACGATTAATTTTACCGATTTGTCGTATCGTTTGTGACCGGGGTTAGGACCATGTTGCGAAGTACAATGTAATATTTTGCAGGATGATACTAAGGGGGACTACAAACGCGTGTTACTCACTATCGTTTCGTAAGATCTAGCATAATAATTACTACAAAGAGTTTAAGAAGGTTCGCCTTGTTATAAGCTCTAAGCACTAAGTTCCGACCTGAAACTGCCTTTGAATTGTATAACTGTTGAGATGTAGAAATGAAGCTTGATATTTTCGTGAAAATGAGATATTTATTGGTGCTGTAATTTTGTTTACATATATACATTAATATTAAATTAAACTATGTACGATTAAATGTTAATCTTTGTTTTATTCCACGTCCCTAATTCCTTCTTGCGTTATCTGAAAATAAAAAAATATATCAGCATCAAATATACAAGTAGTGTGTCTAGTAAACAATGAATGAATAATTCAATAAGTTGATACTCAAAAAAGTGGAAATTTCACCTAGTCTAGTCACATGGTATGTATAGAAGTTTTGCACAAAAAATATTATTCTTATCATAATGATGGCAAACAACCATATAGCTCGTTTGATGGTAAATATTAACTAAAGCCGAAAGACGTATATATCACAAATAGTGCTAATGCCATATGTGCGCTTATTAATTTTTTTTATCGTATTTCCTAGTTGAGTTTGATAAAATTTCCTTTTGAAATCTCAATTAATTAATAATTTAACACAGGATTTAAAAAAAGACATTTATACTTTAGAGCCAAAGATATGTCTTCAATTTATAAAAATACTAGCTTCTACACGCGACTTCGTGGGCCCGAAATATGTTTTTTTTATGCAACTTAGAATTGCAAACAAGCTGACGGTCCACCTGATGGAAAGTGGTAATCGTCGCCTAAAAACTAGCAGTACCATGGACATAACAGAGTATACTGTTTCGCTCATGTTTCGCCAATGAGACTCGGGTATTATTTTGTACCCTGTAAATTCACTGTTTACTAACCAAAATAAGAAATAGCCTATATCCTCCTCCAATCACTCAAACAGTTAAAACGCTCTAAGGTAACAAACAAACTCATTTTCACATTTATAATATTAGTAAGGATTTTCTCTATTTACAGAAAAAATAGCTTTGATCAATTGACCTAGATCGAATTTCGAAATCTAAAACACGCTTGTCGCTAAAAATGCTAAAAGGTGCATTTTTATTCAGTTGCCGTCAATTGGCAAACAACCAAAATATTTCTACATGCATATACCATAATATTACTTGGAATATTGTGTATAATTTGGCATTGATCCAACAAGTCAATCATTCGAGTCAAACAAAACTTAACAGTGAGATGATAATATTATTGCACGTGTTATTGATTGATAGTATTTATATCAGACGTGATTTTATATACAAATCATTACTACTTCATGTTAGAACTGAATTCATGTGAAATCTGAATTTGTACTGAATAAAGACATGCCAAGATTGTTTGCTAAATATGCCAAGCATAAAAACACAGGTCATAGACAGTGATGTCTTGTGTAGTTTATTGTTATATTATAAAGAGGAAAGATTTTATCCTTCTTTAATAAAATGCTGTATTATCAGCAAATTACATATATATAATTTTTATTTATTATTTAAAATTCTATCTACGCATACGAAGTCGTGCCGGATGGCTAATCGCTAATAATTAAATAAATTGGAAACGACTATCTAAGCAAATGGTAGCTCAGTTGGTAAGGGCATTATCTTCAGTGCAGCAAAAGTCTGCACTAAAGTTACAATATATTGGCACTAAAGAAATATATACTAGTAATATTGAAATGGGTATCCAAAGAAAATATATAAATATCGGAGTGGTACTAATATTACCCATGTCTAAAGTATATACAAGAAAAAAGGTATTCAAATATATTATGCTATGTAATATTGTATGTTGTATTTATTTATTGTTTACCTTAAATCTTCCCACGTTGTTGGGTGAGTTATTACTTTTAAGCGACAATGCCAGTCTTTCACAAGAATTATTAATAACAGAGAGAAGAATACGCTTGTTACAGCGGTGTGCCCACGCATCGCCCAGAGACCCCACAACGGAGCCCGTCGACAGCCCCACCCTTGTACTCATTTCATTTGTTAACACTACCTAAGAAATATTAGAAATGTATACAATATTTTCGAAACCAGGAATAATGCGATTACAAGGAAATTTAAAATTAATTTCAAAAATAAACATTATATAATATTAATATACAATATCATATATAATAATCAATATATTAGTTAAATTTGTAGACATGAGGTTGTATTTCAAAATACTTTTGAAAAAAATTAACTAATAAATTTCTAGGCCTAAATTCACAGTGCACTTGCTGGTTTCAACATCCTATGGACGATGGAAGTCTTGAAATTTCAGTAGTATCTCATACATAACCAACCATTAAAATACAATGGATATTATAATCAAAATCATTGTTTTGATGTCAAATATTTCAGTGGCAGATTTACCCTTCAATCTGCAGGTGCTTAGTGGCAGAAATTAGTAAACTCAAATACCTCTGACTATCTCATTTAAGATAAATGTAATATTCTATACTATTTATTTTTCATTCATTATCACTTACAGCAATTTGTTTCTCCATTGCCAATCTTTGTAACTCAGCCATTTGTCTAAACAATAAACCTGTCCTTTGTCCCGCTGATATGCCTTCTTTGTAAGGAAAGGCTATCGAATCTATTACTATTAATCTTATCTGAAAAAAAAAAACAAATATTAGTAATAAAATATTATTATTATTCAAATTGAAATATGCAAGTTTATAATTAGTATAAACAGACCTTCCTGAATGATAAAAAAAGAAAACCAGAAAAATATGATTTATAGAATCTCTCCATCAGATGTCTGCATTGGCATATCTAAGTTTATAAAGTGCATGTGTAGTCTCAGATATGTCTTTACTCACAGACAAACTTGATTCCAGATGACACTGGGATAGGCACTAAACAGTTCTGGGTTAAGCTCAGTTCACACAGAGAATATAATACTATACTAAATGTATACATTCAGATACAATTAACATTTGATTAAAATATATTACATTAGGGTGTTCATCAACAAATCTTGACAGGGTGTGCATAAAAGCACAAAATTTTTCAATACCAAATGCATTCACATAATGCAATCTTTTTAATACATCTTCTTCACTTGTAACTATAGGACAATTTAAAACCATTTGGCATTTCTTTAAACTGGCAGTGACAATATCTGTAACAAAAAGTTACATAAATAAAAGGAAAAATATGTGCCTTCACATATAATTACACATACAAACAACACAATTAATGTGGAAAAGTACTCTTCTTACATATGGAACTAATATATTTTTAAACATTGTAATAAGATGAAAAAAAATAGATTTATTATAATTCTAAAATATTGTAAAAAATATTTAGTATTTATTATTTTATTATGAATCTATGGCAGTTACATACCTACCCTTAAATCTATATGGTGTGAAGTGTGTATTAGTGTCTATATATAAAGCTTCAGCATCTAACCCACCAAGAGATTTAGGAATTTGAACAGATGCACAAAGTTGAATACTGAAATTGTAAAATAATAATTCATGTTGTTTTTTATTAAAATCTTATTGCATCAAATATATTATACCTATAATTAAATACATTAAAATATTTATGGTCTTCTTCCATAAACTGTTTTTTGCACTGATTCACCTGCATTCATGACTGAACTGGAGAAATAAGTTTGTATTTCTTTGAAGATTATATATCTGAATAGCACAGATAATAAACAGCAATTCTACAAAAAGTAGATTGATAGAAAATTTGAAACTAGAATTAATCAATTCATTCATTGGAAAACTATTTTCTAAAAAAAAACACCTAACAGCTTATCTACAGCAAATATTTCATTATTGTTTATTATATCACTTCCATTGTCAATAAACAATATTTATACTCACCATATCTGAGTTTTTCCTGAGCCAGGTAAACCTAATAATTCAGTAAGAGTACATAGCTGAACACCTTCATTACCAATAATTTTATCTAGACTTTGACTAAAAGTAGGTATAGACGGAAGACTTGTTTCACGCTATAACAAAATAATTTATTATTACTAATTAAATAAAGTATGATGAGTCTCTTTATGAAAGGTAATAATTGATAAAGGTAGTATTTGTTCAGAAAGTGAGTTTGTTTGTTTTATACCTTATATTACTTGTGGATATTTATCTTCAGTCAAGTAACTAAAAACAAAATATAATCTTATATTTCTGAAAGCCTATTTTTAAAAGAAAAATTAAAATTATTTCGTTCTTGATTATTTTGCTGATTACTGGTTGAGTTTTAGTGCCTATACTTTTTTGTGCATAAAAAAAACTGTGACAGTTAATTACAATTAGTTTAATCAAATGACTGATGTTATTAACATAACAATTTCTAAATATTCTTAATTGCATAAAAAATATATAAAAGGCATTTTTAGTTAAAGTTGGTAACAAAATGTTTGTTTTGTTAAACAACTTTTTATAGTTATCTAAATATGTACTAGTAATATTGTTTATTTTGCTAATTATTTTTTATTTAATTATAGTAATTAATTGTACATTATATAACTGGTAGAGACTCTAGAATTATAAAAAAAAAGTTAAATACTACCTTTCTTTTTACTTGATCAGTGGCTAATTTTAAAGACCCGTCAAGTATAAGTAGTTTGTTTAGTTTCTTGTTGATTTGTTAATTAATAAGTGCAATTTATAACTAAAAACTTATCTTTTATTTCAATTGATCTTCAGTCTAATTTGTAAAAAAAAGCAACAATTTGAAAATAACATTGTACTTTGTTAAAAATTCATAAATTTCTCGAGATACTCAAGAAATTTCAGTCAAAAATTCTCATGCCACGAGAAACAAAAATCAAGAAACTAGCAACAATAGCTTTGACCAATCGCTGAAATTTGGTATACTCGTATAATATGGGATGTAGGAGAATATAGGTTACTTTATATCTTAGTTTTTTTTTGATGGGTGAAAATGGTATGGTAACCCCGTCTGCGCTAACGGGATACGCTGGCGGAGTACCAGTGAAGGGTGATAGATGAGAATGGAAACAGGTCAGTTAGTCCATCATGATGAATTCATCGAGAATTAACCATGATAGTTTCCAGGGGGAACCGCGAGGAGTTCGACCTGGTTGGGTATATTGCTAGCAATGGGATTCTCAGTCTCCATTACTAACAATCACTTTCCCCCTTTTTTATCTTGGTTAATATATATATCCCGGTCACACGGACGAAATAAAAGCTAGTAAATATTTTTAATACTTACATGCCATAATTCGACAGAATTATATACCTTACTAGATATATTCATCTCTATTTTTGTATCGAAAAGTTAGAGAACGTAAGTATTATAATATAATTTCGAAGTATGTATATAGTTTTAGCTAATTATAACATGAAATATATTTATTTTAAAAATAAGAGGGAATTTGAGAGAAAATGACAATAAGAAAGTTTCAAATTTAAAGGTAGTGGAAAGCACAGACACGGATAATATAATTGGCACAGATGTGCAAAGGCAAGGCAAGAATAACATTTAACAAGTTCATTACAGATTAGAAAGAAAAATCATGTAAAAACAAATGTAAAATCACAATAGCATACTTGGCGGGGGGACGGGATTATTAGTGGTGCGGACTACTAGTCACATTGCTAGAAATACACCTCGTCGGGTCGACCTCCACGTGGTTCCCCCTGGAAACCATCATGCTGAATTCCGGGTGGATTCATCACGATGGGCTAACTGACCTGCTATTTCATTCTATTTCACTTATCATCCCTCACTAGTGCCCCGCCAGCGTATATCATAGCGTAGGCGGGGTTATCATTTTATTTTCATCCATTAAAGAAAATAGCATACTTGGCATTCTCTTTTTATATTTTCAATTTAATTCATTTGACAAATAATAATGAAAACTGTGGCAACTACTTCATCTATGGTAAACACATTTTTAAAAAAAAACAACTTTTTAATTAATATGCTAGTCTACGTATATTTACATAGATGTGTGTGTGTGTGTGTGTATATATAGTATGTATGTATATTATATGTATGTATATGTATATATATATATGTATGTATATATGTATATATACTGTAAAATTCTTAGAATATCAGTGTTTTGCTCTTTTAAGGGCAAAGCAATAAACTGAGCTGTGACCATTTTGTGTTACTATGGCACACGCATGAAGGAATGTTAACAAAGGAGATTGTTAGATTATGTATTTTGTTTTTGTATTTTTGGTTTTTTTATTTGTGCTTTTTTTTATTTTTATTCTTTTGTCTCTTTTGCTGTGTATTACGTGTATGTTTTTTTTTTATTGTAATTTGTGTGCTGTTTTTAGATTAACATAGGCAATATTATAAAAATAAATTACTGTAATTCCTAGTTTTTCTCAGTTATTTATTAATGAACGAAATAACAAACATTACTAACTATATAAGTTCAATTTAAAAAACAATTTTCTTAATAAATAAGTGTGGAGTAAATGTTGGTAGTATAGTATTATATTATCTGTGGTTAAGGTAAAGGAAATCGTATAATTTGGTAAAAAAATTACACATATGAGTAAAAATAATAAAATCTCATCTGTCAACTGCCTGTCTTTATACAAATTGTTTTTAATCGTTTTCTGCCAACCTTAAGGCAAAACTTGTTTGTTTTCATTACTTCTTTTTCCTATTAGTTCTTTTATATCAAATAATCTTATTTGCTTTTTTTAACCTTTATAATCATCATCATTTCAGCCATTATTCGTCTACAGCTGGACATAAACCTCCCCCATAGATTGCCTTTTTTAACCTTAGATTAATAAATTTATTGTAATAAATTTCCCTAGAATAGTATAAGAGTGAAGTAAATTGTGAATTCAAAAAAGTTATTATAGAAGAAATATGAATCATAACCAAATGAATATGCATGTTCCTATGAATCCCGTCGCATCATCGTCAAATGTAGGGATGCAGATGCAAGTTCCTGGTCCCATTATGCAGCAGCCGTCTCCGCAACAAATGCCCTCAGCTATTCCTCAACAAACTTCTCAGGATAAAATGGACAATATATCTAAAGTTAAAACTTTGATGGGATCCCTTCGTGAATCCATCCCAGTAAGTATCATAAGTAATCTAGGTTGTATAATAATCAGTCTTGGACAGAAATGTATACATTATTTCTATAAAATTATCCATATTTTCTATAAAATATATGTATAAATACATATGAACATATATGTACTCTCAAAAAATAATGTTTAAGATAATTTAACTATTTACAAGAGTATAAGCTTAACTATTTCTGGAATATCTATCGATTACAAAATTACGAAATACTAATAAATTGTTAAAAATTATTCCTAAAAATAATTTGCAAGGAAACTGATGATCTTTTTTTATTTAACTCTGCAGTTTTAAGGAACTTGAAAACTGTCTTATCTATTCTGAGTTATAGCCCTAGATATTCATTATCTGGTTTCTCATAATACAGGGTATCCTAATTCGAAAATATTATTTGCATCAAACTGAATCATACAAAATAATTATAATAAATTAAATTATATTAGTAGGCATATTTTAAAGGATGGGCCAGGTTTTTAACGGATAATGATAGAATGGTACTGCACTAACAGTAAACACTGGTAGGGCACCAGTAAGGGATGTTAGGTAAAGCAAGATAGTTAGATGATATGTATAGATAGATAATAGATAGATAGGATAGAACCAAAGCAGTTTAGTTAGCCCATTGTGACAAATTAAAAAATAAATCAATCGCAATGTTATCCAGGGGGAACCATGTGAAGGTCAACCTGATAGAGTATATTGCTGACAAGCCCAATTATTAACAATCTCTTCTCCCCTCTGGTAGGGTGGGCTTTGGCTTCTTTACTATGGCTTAGTGCCCATCACAGTATCAGGAGCAAAGCTTTCGGCTATGGATGGAGACATATCTATGAGCTCATATCTGCTTTTTTAAGAGATGAGCCTTCCCCCCGATCTTAAATATGTCAATGCTTATAACAACAATTTTGTTCACCAGATTGGGGTATATTGACCAGCATAAATGGAAGCTTAACTGCCCCTAAGGGTACATTTTGTTTGATGGATGATAATGAAATGGTAACCCCGCCTGTGCTATCAGTAGATGCTGGTGGGGCACCTGTGAGGGATTATAAGTGGAGGTTAAAAGGCAGGTCACTTAGTGGTACACACTTGAAATTTAACAAGATGGTTTCCAGGGAGACCACATGCAGATCGACCTGACAAAGTATATCTTTAGCAATGAGACTGGTAGTTTGTATTACTAACAATCCCCCCCCCCCTTCCCACCAGGATACCCATTATATTTTTGGTTATGGTATAGTCACCCAGGAAACCTCAAAAAATCAGAATAAAAGAATTATGTCCCTCTACCAATCAAATATCATTCAGAGTGGTGGTACCATAAGATTTAAGGTACAAAGATGTAACAAATTTCACATTTATTGGATTAGCAAGGAAGTAAAGATATATATATTTATTCTGTCTTTTCAGATGACATTAAAATCGGCTGCCCAAATATTACATCAAAATCACAACATTGACTCAAATTCTCAGTAAGTATAGAAGGCATCCACTTCAATAAATAATGTTTATTTACATACATAAGACATTCATTTAAAGTTTTAAAAAAACTTAAAAATTCAACAAACAAGACATCATAATTTCTACAACATAGCTGTTTAACAATCTGAGCTTATAATAATAATAACTTAAAAATATTGTTGCTATAATATTTTTTCAGGAAAGGAATTGATAATCCCGTGCCGAGATTTGATAAAAATTTAGAAGATTTTTTCTCACTTTGTGATCAAATGGAATTACATCTGGTAAGTTAGAATTGACTTTTATTGAAGACATTGTTTCTATGTTGTTAGTTCTTGATGTATTAACATTATGTTATATAGATATAAAATATATTTCCTTTGTTTTCCAAAACACTACTGCTACTCTACTACTACTAATATTCTATGATGTTTATGATGATGGTTCTCACTTCCCTCCATCTATGTGGGGCTTGTTTGTCGCCTCATTATTATTCCCACATATTTGTTAGATTATTATATTAATAAAATAATAAATATGTATATTGTTCCAATCCAATTATAAAACTAAATTGTGGTGGATTACCCCGTGCTGAATTTGTTTATCTCTTCTTTTTGTATAAGAGCAACTGTTTTTATTGTTGAGATTCTCTCTGTAATTATATTTTTGATTTAATAATCAATTTAATAAAATAAATATAACACCTATAATACATACACAAATTAAATATTTGAATTGTTGTCACTCAATCAAATCTAGAACTATTTATATTTGTCAAATACAAATAATATTTAAATATTTACCTTACTGTTAATAGTTACAATAAGGCTTTGTAGTTTACTAGATTTATGTACTTTAGATTAATATATAAAGTAATTGGTATTTTCTGCAAATATTGGCACTAGTGGTTTAAATACTAAATTTTACCAATATTTAAAAGACAATCATTGCATAAGTATTGGTTAAAGTGAATAAGTACTTGAAATGTGGGTTAACTGCTTCACAGGGTGATGGGGATTATTAGTAATGGAGGCTGGACTCATTATTATCAATATACTATGTCACCTATTATCACTTAATGTAATTTCCCCAACATAAATAAACAACAACAGTAAACCTATTTACATTTTCATTAATTAAAAAAGAAGTTGTTTACAAAGTCGGTTGACAAGAACAAAAATTCCCATAACTGTCACATACCAAAATAATGAAATAATCTCTTTCTATAGCTGTCCCCTATACCGTATGGGATTTGAATATGCTGCATATAATGTGGATATTCAAGTATACACTAAATTTAATTACAAGGGTGAGAGTGAATTTAATTTAATTAATTTAATGATACAATATATATTGGTGATATGAACACATCGGAACATTATTGTATGCCTAAGTGCTATTAACTTATCAACCTGGCAACAGTCACTAATCACTATGTACATAGTTAATCACAGAAGTCTGGATGTCTCTATGCGACTTGCTATCACTAGTTGTCAACAGTATTATATTTCTAATGTCCAGTATCACTTTCAATGTGGTAGGTATACATAATACTATTGTAGGTGGTAGTATTGTGAGATATGAGATACTAGCTTTCATCCGCGACTTCGTCTATATGATTTAGATATATTGATTGACCAGTATAAAAAGTAGTCTATGTCCTTCTCTATCCCATATAGTACGTGTATACAAATTAAATATATATAGTGTATTGTATATATATATATATATATTGTATATATAGTTTTAACTAATTTACCCTTTACCTAGTTTGTAAACAGAATAAATGTAAGAGAACTGACCCTTATAAAGGCGTGTATGTACTCTCAGACGCGAAGCTTTACTCGGGTCCTGGAGAGAGCACGCCCCCCCCCCCCCTAAGTACGCCTATGAGTATCGCTAATATACAATAAAATGTATATCTAATAGTATTAGATATACATTTTTATTGCAATATATCTAGCGTGTTAATTAAAACTATGAATTTATATATAGACTTATTTCTAAAAGAGCCAGTTATTTGTTCTTTTCACCGATGGCACCTTATATTATAATGTGAGACCTTATATTTTTAGCCTTTCTAGTTTATCAGGTATTAAATATATGACTCATCCAGAAGTCATATCTTGTTTATCTTCGTCTTTAATTAATTCCAGAGCGGAATACAAAACAAGGAATGTTATCGATAACAAGGTTAAACATTATAATTACTCTCAGGTATTGCTGTTTACTGCGGCTTTGAACATGTCACGACTTAATCTCCGGAAATTTAAAAAAGTCCTTTTTAAAGAATGCCAATAAAAACAAACGTCATAAAAGGAATGTATATTTAAAATTTCTAGTTTCCTATTCCAATCGTTTAAGTCATATTTATAACATTATCGGGTAAACGGCAAAACATGTGTGTTTTATTATTACTTTATCAAAATATATGTAGGATTCCCAAAAAACGTATTTCTTTCTTAGATTTTACTATAACTGCCAATTTTCATTGCCATAGGTATAAAATGACACGACAGAAAAACACACCCATGCTTACCATTCTTTCGTCTTGGTTGATATATTATTATATATATTAATATATCATCTGTGGCAAGGCAACGCAAGATCTCATTTTAAGAAAAATTATCACGCTATTCTTTCTTTTAAAAAAATTTTGGCAAGTATAAAATTAAGCATTATATTCAATACCAAATACCTCTCCCTTAGTAGTCAACTATAGAAAATAATGTCTTTATTGAAATGGCTATATTATTGTATATACGCAATTTTGCGTTCTAAACCCGAAAAGTGTCGATCCCGAATGTGTATTATCTTGTTCATCGACGTATTCGTTTAAGGTAGAAGTCGGTTTATTACAGAGCAGAATATACTTTTTCGGGGGAAAGGGATTGTTAGTAATGGAGACTGAGAATCCCATTGTACCCATCCCAATATACCCAACCAGGTTGACCTCCTTGCGGTTCTCTTTGGAAACTATCATGGTTAATTCATAATTACTTCATCATGATAGACTAACTGGCCTGTTTTCATTCTCATCTATCACCCTTCACTAGTACTCCGCCAGCGTATCCCGTTAGCGCAGGCGGGGTTACCATACCATTTTCACCCATCAAAAAAAAAAACTTTCAGATATCTTACTTAGATATCTGAAAAAGTACATTTTGCCACGTATTCTGTTTGTACAGTTCAGCCAAATTTCTATTTCATGTCAGTTTTAAGAGTACATAATGTAATTAGCCCACAAAATAATATTTGTACAAGTTTAACTTGTTTATTCACTTGTTTATTCATTAAATACACTATTAGTTACAAGTCAAGTAAATATATATGTGTAACGAAGATTTATTACAATTTAAATAATAGAATTTAGACAATCGCATTGGCGTTTTTAAGATTATTTTTATGGGGAGGTATTAAATAAGGCATACAGCTCTTTTCAAAGCTTTTTCGTTCGCGTCGTGGGGTGGACACCGGATAATTGAGGGTGGACACGGCCCCCACCGCTTAGATACACCTATGACTTTATAATAGTTTCTTAAAATACGGCCCTGGTTCAGACCCACCCCTCCAGGATTTTGTTTATGATAATAACGAAAATAATAGGTCAGATGTGGATAGTATAGGTCACGAACGAATAATATTATTCGTTTTGTTGGTGATTATGGTAAATATTTATTAAAAAAGTTTTTATCATTATTATTCAGTTTTATTTATTACCTACTTTACACTTACACTAACGCACGCTAATTTTGTACTAGGTTCATGGACGGTGCGGACACGAAAATATTTGTCGAATAAGACCAACTGGGGGAGTTCAAATGTTAAGGTTCACTCCCCTGTTGTTTTTATACTATTGTCACCAATAATATAGCTGTAATAAGGGGTATTTTATTATATATTAATGTCATGTGGTCCCCGCATAAAGTAGGCCACCCTTTCCTTTTTCTTCAGTTGTAATCTGATTTTGAAGATAATTTTTTAATCGAAAAATAATAGGTACCTTTATGCTTTTTCATGTGGTCTACTAAAACGCATGGATATTAGAAGTAGGAAAACCAATAAAATGGATCATTTCTAGATGGTGTATCAAGATAAAACATTCAGATATATAATAGTGAAAACGGCATTTACTTTGTTGCAGTAGTTTTTGCGCAATGTCGAAACAAGCATACGGACAGACGGAAAATAAAAATTTCAAAAAATTGTTAATTTGACATCTATCGCTCTTATTTAGTCTTCTCAATAATTTTTTTTTTAATATCTCCCATGTACGAACACTTATTTACAGTTTTAATATATTAGTAAGATAATTTGATTATTAAAAAACAATACTTATTTTATTTTATTGTTTTAGCGAACAGCTATAACGTGTATTCAGCAAGCGCAATCAGCAGCTCACTACTTGCCTCTCACCGTGATACCGTCCAGACTCGACTCGGGCCCCTCCACACAAGTAAGTTCTTTTTTCAAGTGACTTTCAAAAGAAGTTTTCTCTTAACTTCTTTTTATATAGATATGTTACATGATTACGCCAAGTCTTAACCGGTTTTCACAGTTCTTATTGCAATCAATATGATTTACCCGCTTGTTAACAAGGACCCTCACTGGACACTGCAAACTAAACAAGCATAACACCCAATTTATATCCTGAGGAGAAAAAAACGTCGCTAAAAAAGCATCTTAAAATTCTTACCATTGATAGGAATTAGTAGTAAATTTTAAAAAAGGGCGTGCACAAAAGATCTTGGAAATGTCGCAGTGTCACAGGATTTTCTGCCTGAAAAAGCCCATGTTTCAATATTAATACTCCCTTGTTGGTCCCGTATAAATTTTATAATATTGATGACTGGAGTTTCGTAGCAAATTCAACTATTAACGTGAGATGTTAAATATAAAATATTAATCACAAACCATCTATCGTTCATTGCTGAATATCCTTATATATGCCACAAAGAACGATTCATTTCGGCGGAGCGTCACCACATACTCCTGCCTGAACGGACTCACCTTTCTTCTGCATCATTTTCATTGCCACTTCAAATTGCATAATTTAATTTAAACTAATATTATAAGAAAGAAAAAATTGTCTTTATTTTTTATATACAAATATATTTTTTACATATATACAAATCTGTCACGCCTGTCTCCCATTAGGGTAGGCAGAGACAATGGAACGCTAAGTGCTTTGATTGAAACAAGTCTCTTTCGCCTCCTCCACAGTCATCATTCTACTCTACACGCTCGCCGGTTACGGGTATTTTTAATTTGGTATTTCTTCAGCACGTCGCTTATTTAGTCGACATATGAATATCCGTCTAGGGCGGCCCCTACTAACATCTCCGTTTTTATTTATTTTCTTAATAAAGTCAAAAATACTTAATCAATTTTAATAATTCTTTCACATATAGAAAGTAACACAACAAGTAATATGGGTTGTATTTTATTAAAAAATCAATATGTTCTACTTATCTACCCGTGCGAAATCTCTGCGTTTATTACATTACAGTACATTGTAGCTATTTATAATAATGTCAAGTTTTTGACCCGAATTGACAAGGAAAAACTTCAACAAGTCACGTCCCATTATCACTTTATTTAATTTGTTGCTATCCATTTCTTATAATATATAACTATAGTTGTTTCCCGTTGCTTCGCTTGCGCAAAATATATTTCGCGCTATTGATATATTGCGCGATATCTTCCGTTCCCGTTGAAATTTTAAGGATTCTATGCATAAGGAATCCTGCTCAAAATGTCAAGATAATAATCCTATTATACATACATAAGTTGCTAGTTTGGTACTTACTTGGTTTTAAAAGTATCCTACGAGTTATATCCTAACTTATGTAAAATCGCGAGAAACGTCAACAGTAAAAAAAAATCTAAACCGATTTTGTTAATGCTTTTTGCCATTGATAACGTTTCCCATCCTGGCATTGAATCATCCCATCCCATCACTCCTTCCTTTCCCGCGGGGGTCGTAAGAGGCGACTAAGAGAACTTAATGGCCGAGGGATGGACAACAGCGTTCCTCTTAAAACATTACCAAAGCTTAAATGCGGTTGCCAACCCGCCTGCCAAGCGTGGCAATTACTGACAAAACCTCCCAACACCTATGTTCAGTGGTGGATAGTTAACGGCTGATATGATGATGAAAATGACTCTAGTGTTGTTTTAATATTAATTTTGACACTTCAGTCTCGGAGGATTTGTCATAATATTAGATATAGTATAATCAGTAACCTGTGACACGCGCCATTATAATCTTCATTAGGTAGATATGCTCCTCTCTCCTACAATGTATCGAACATGTTAATAATAATTTATTCATTGTTTTCAATAAATATGAATCCGGGTTCAATTATTGGTGGGGCAAATTTAGGAAACGAACTTTGACTATTTACTTTGTATCCATATGCGTTTCCTTCTGTCAATAGTTAAAAAAAAAAGTTTTTTGACAGCTGCTGATATAATGTGACAAAACACGAAACTTTCTTTTCTGAATTAACTGTTTTTGCTGTTTTGACTTACACCCCATTTTTTTTTTCGTTGGCTTATTTTACATAAGTTATTCTTATATTTTATATGGCAATATCTTTAATAAATTGTTTATTTTTTTCTAGGAAACTACCCTGAGTTACCCACAATATCTGAACACCGTGAGACTCCAAATATCCTACGCTAAAGACATACATGACATACTAGTCGCTGCTGCACAGAATATATCACCGACAGAGTGAACGTTTAATTTATAATTGATTTATTATAATTGTATTGATAAGCACGCTTAAATTTAAGTAAGTTTTTATTTAAATAAAAACAATTTAAATAAGTAAATAAACTAACGCTTTTTATTATTTTCGAATTAGATAACGATATTCTATGACGTGTTGGCCTTGAGTAAGTCATGCTCACTAAAATGTGGGCCGGATTATTGAGTTCCCTGAAATATGGTTGAGCGCAATGATGGCTGGCTCATTCGTCATACTCGTGAACGGGGGTTGTCTGTAAGAATTGGTCTGTTCTGGTTACTGCAATTAATTTATTTTAATACTACTTAGTAGTTTGTATTTAGACAAATTCATTATTTATATAATTAAATTTATTGAAAAAGTAACAGCTGAGTTTATTGCCCATTCTTCTTTGCTGAAATTGTGTTTCGAATGAGCGGTAATGAAAAAAATTACCATTCAAAAATGCTTAAATCTAAGTTTACTGAAAAATAATCTTTCTTTTTTATATATCCAACCAAAGCGCCGGTGTTATCTGTAAAACTTTTAATAACAATTGAGAAAAATTCAGTATTTCTGATTGATTATTTAAAAATGTTGTGATAACGAACTAATATGTTAATCATAGAATAAATTCACAGATACCACTAAATTTTTTATGCTATCAAAAATAAAATTTTGTTGAAGTTAAAAGTTTTGTTTCATAATTAACATTTTAATTCGCAAGAGATAATTTTTGCATAGCCATGCAGAAATATAGAAAAATAATAAAAAAAATATTTTTCAAAATTAAGAAATCATTACAACTGCTATGACGTTGCCATACTTTGGTGGGCTTCCGACTTGTAGTGACTGAAAATATTTTTTTTTATATTTCCATCGGTCCTTGCTCAGTAGGCAGGGAAAACTGATTAAATGCAGTAATTACAGGAAGCTTGTATTTCTTTTTCTAGCTGTAATATTTTAATTTCTAACTTATAAAAACTATTTAAAATGTAGTTAAAAAAATAGACGTATGGAAAAAATATACGTCTATTTTTTTTTATCTTACATGATTCCTCAGTATTTCCGGGCCGATTCTAATTTCTTTTGCAATCGACTAGATTAATGCTCATGTCGATCCCATTATAATTATATCCAATTAAAATAAATTAGAAGTAGCAATTTTTTTTTAAGAAATAAAATCTACTAGTCCCTAAGAGATAACATTTTGTATAGGAATTTACTGCAATTCGATGTAAGAATTGAATAAATAAAACAAATACTTAAATTTAATATATTTTAATTACATTGTTACAGCAGACTGAAATGCATAATTTATATTGGAAAAAAAATACACCACTTCTTCGTTTCACTGAGATCATGTAAACTATGTATGATAAAGTTGTTGCACAATTTTTTTTAAATATTATGTTAAAATCTAAGATTGAAACATTACTAGGTTTACTATCAACTCTTATTTAGAACTTTCACTTACCTACCGATCTAAAATCGCATTTTCATCTTAGTTTATTTATGTAAAGGATTTATGTAGTTTAATTCTTTTAAGAACAAGTGAATTATCATAAAACAACAACAAAAAAATGTTTCTCGTACTTAGGTTTACATAGTATAAAACAAAGGCACTGCCCGCCAACTGCATTCATAATCTTTTAAATTATGCAACGGATTTTCATCAATATATAAAGTGATATAAGAGGAAGGTTTATTTAAGGTATAATTTAATATTGTTTTGTATTAATTTGTTGAAATATGACGATAATTGTTTAAGATATCGAAAAAAATGAAGTCGGTTGTAGGCTTTCATCGAAAACGCTTCCTAATCTGCAAAAATTGATAAACAAGCTGATGTAAAAAAATATAATAACAGATGAACGAGCCTGGAAGTATAGGAGGCTCAAACTTCTTTATCATCTTCCGATTCGTGTTTCTTTGGAAAAAAATGTTGTTTCGCTTAAAAGGATTGCAATGATTTTCATTTCTTCCTGGGAAAAGAGTAACAGTATTATATAAAAAATAACAAAAGCGCAAATAAAAGTTGATAGTAATCCTGTTTTTCCTTAATAGATATAATTAATAGAAAAACTGAATTAGCACATCAAATATTAACATACGAAGTTATCTTACTAGAGATGATACGCAGGCTGTAACTAATATTATATAGTATTATAGATAGTGTGAAACTTAACATTTTTCTGTAGTTGCAATACCTAAAAATTCTTCACAAAAACATGATGGATGTTTAATTTGTTTTGAATATGCCGTTCAAATTGATTTAATTGTGGATTGCTTAATAAAAAAATGTAAGTATATATGTTCATATTAATATTTACACTTCCTATAAAGTAAATCCAATTTGATAAAGTAATAATGTAATTACTTACAATAATATACACAAATATACTTATTTCACTTTAACAATAGCTAATTATTTATATATCTATCAGAAAAGATCTCGCTGTAATTACATTAAAAATAGATCGCTTTTATTAGCATATGTGTAAAATAAATTTACGTAACATTAAATTACAATTACAAATTATTAAATTACAATTTATTTATTATTAGAAACATATTGAAAGTCAATATAAAATTAGTTTTTAAAAAAATCAATTGAAACTATTATATTCTAGATTATATTTTATATTTATTACTATGACTATTATTCAAAGATATTTTATGAGAAAAATAGCAGAATACAGTCTGTGAATCAATCTTGATCAACAAGTTTTGTCAAACCCTTTGACTAGCATATCTGGGAATATAGTTGTGAATCTTTTATATGTATTTGTTTATAATATATTTAATTTTAAAGGACCGTATGGTATACATGCGTATTTGTACTGTGTATATATCATTGTAAATAATTGTACATAGTTACACCAATATTTTATATATCTTGATCAATTAATTTAATTTTTACTTATTTAGCAGGATCAGTAAGGGTTGGTCCTGTTAAATAAATAAAAGATGTTAATGCGCTTTTAATGCCTTATAATTCAAATCTTATTGTAACTATCATAAAATTGAAAAATCAAATAACTATCAGTCTTTAAAAAAGAAAATAATTTCAGGAACATGAGATATCACACCAATCCAGCTTGAATATGTACCTGGAACAAATACAATAAGTTTACTTTTTTCGTAAGAAATAATATTAATACTGAGAGATATATTGCTCGTTTTTACGTTAGGAAAACCAACTTAAATAAAAATATAAACTACTAAATTGATCTCTCTCGTAAATTTCTTTTTTTTAAGCTGGTCTTTTAGAATATAGGTACTATTTATCTACATAAATAGTTGCAAAAGTTATAAACAATGCTAACTTTACACAGAGTTCTTTATTTTAATTTAAATAAAAACGGGACAGCTAGTACCTATATAAATTATTTCGTACAGGGAATCTATACCTGATATCCATCCGCTAGGTATATTGATACTTATTTTTATATCTTTGATACTAAGCCTTTGTTTTTTTTTTATTTTCGAATCTATTTCGAATGAACTTTAGGTTCATTTCAAAAATAGTAATAGTCTCATAACAACAAGCCTTGGGGGGCTATAGATAGCACTAAAAGGAACATAACTCTTTAGTTATCAGGGAGGAATGAAGTCCTCGTTCATACATAACGCATGTTTGTGCTGCGTCGACCCCTGATAAACTTAATATGACATAAATAACGTCGCGAGAGTGGACTGGTGTGGAATATTACAGGTCTCTGTATCGATTCATATTTATATAGCATATAAATAACTAAGTTTTTCTCATACATTCTTTAGAAAAAAATACAATTTATTATTATCAGATCAGCCATTAATTGTTCGTCGCTGAACATAAGCCTTCCCCATATGGGGAGTTTTACCAGTTGTTGCTACGCTTGAGGGGTTAGCAACCGCGGTTAGTTTTGTGACATTTTTAGAGGAACGCTGCTACCTATCCCTTGCTCATTAAGTTTCCTTAGTCGCTTCTTAAGACACTCATGGGAAAGCAAGGTGTGGTCCATTCTATGCTGGGACTACACGGCGTTATGCAAATACTTATCTAGGATGTCTACGTACTCGTATCTAACTATGGACCTAAATCAACTTAAAGTTGATTTATAATTGTGTTAGAATGGCGATGGATCTGTGTACACTTTAATATTATGCGAGATACCTACTTATCGATCTGTTAAAAGCAGGGCCAGATCGATAGACACAAAATTGAGGGCGGCTGATCGTTAAAAGGAGCGGTAAATGTATTTTCATCTGGAGCGCTAAAATTTTTAGATTGGTCACTGATAAAATTGTCATAGACCTTTTTCCTAATAGTATTGAATGTATTTTATATTGTATCTACGTCGAAAATTAGAATGCAATGTATAACCATTTCTCATTTTCAAGATGTAATACTTATAATACCTGTGCCGTAAAATCACAACAGATCAATATCTATTGTGATTTTTTCTAGTAGTGGGCTCTTTATTCATCATCATCTTCCTACCATTATTCCAATTATTATTTGGGGTTGGCGTAATATGGTTTTATCCATATTACTAAAAGATTTGACTTATAGTTTTACGACCGGCCGCCTGCCTGACGTCAACCCTCTTTGGGAGTAGTGTAGAATAGAGTAGTTTGGTAGTGGGCTCTTTATTATATCTTAGAAATGGAGAGTGGTGATACATTGTATTCTAATTTTCGACAGTGTTTTGGCTTAGTATAGGCTTTAAACATTGGCTAAATTTCTGCCTATACCAAGTAGTGCGGTAACAGTGTGTGGCCAGTAGTGGGATATTAATGTGTTGCTATGGTTACAACATTATTAGTTTATGAAAATAGGTAAGTATTGTATTACGTGTCAGTTACCCTGTATCTGTAAGCGGAGGGCACAGACATTGAAACTCTATATAGGTAGCAACGTAATAACATTTTTACAAAAGATAATTTAAAACACTTTTATTGGAAAACAGGAGGACTGGCGATAAACGGGCTCTGGTCATTTTATAAAGACTGGTCTAATTATAGGTAGATACCTAAATATGTTTTACATTTTGTAATCAATATGTCTGTTACTATATACTAATAATAAACATTTCGTTTTTATATACCTATTGAGTACTATTTAATTTAGTAAAGCTCTTATCATTTTATACTTATTTTATATTTAATAACCTCTCAATAATTCGTTAGGTACCTATTATTAAAAGGATAATTTTTAAATAGGTAAATCCGCCTGGCTCACGTGGATGTGGATAAAAGCAGATCAGTTAACCCATCAATAATTCATCATCATCATGGTTTCCAGAGGTATTATATGGAAGTTTTCATTACCAACAATCCCTCCCCTTATTCATTAAGTATATAAGGTATAAGTGAAAATACTATTGTTTCCACTCATTCGTTTTTAAAAAAATCGTGTCTTGTTTACAAAGGCGAGAATATCTTTTTTTAATAGAACGACTATCCCGCCGGTGTTATTGATTTACCTTGGCGAAATGCCAGTGAGGAGTGATAGGTATGAGAGAATGCAGTCAGGTCAGGCAACTTATCGTAAAGAATTCGCAAAAGCGCAAAAGGGGTTACTCTTTCATTAAGAATCACATAAATGGGAAAAGACAAGAACCTAGTAGTAATATAGGATGACAGTAATACATATACAAGTGCCTGTCACGTTCCTAATAAATATGTCTTGAAATTCAATACAGTTTCAATACAAAAATAATAAAATCACATTATTCATTATTAATTGCAATGGATTTAATATTTATATATATTTTAATTATTTAACATAATAAACTGTTGTGCGATAAATAAAAAAATATGAGCATAAAATGTACCATGCAATATGTAGTGCAGTGATAAAAGTAGCAAACAACAAGCAATGAACATAAATCATAAGACCCATTCATTGACATTACTGGCCGATAGTAAAGAAATTAATTACAAGTTAATCAAATTATCTAGAAGTATCTCAACATGAGACTCTTTAATACTAATTTATGAGCTTCGACAATGTTGTATTTAGAAATCAATAAATTTAGATATAAGAATAAACGTTCAATAGCAACTTAATTTGAAAACAACAGACACGCGTTACTGGATAACTCAACAATCGAACATTCCTTATAAATTTACATAAATTTATGAACGTAAGTAATAATATTAATTAGGTCGCTATAAGTTTATTATTTGAAGTTAGTCATGAAAGACATTTATGTATGTAGAAAACAGTCATATTACCTGAGGTATTTATATCACACTGTAAATAGTCGCAATTTTGTTACTACGGTAACAATAAAGTTTCAACGAATTACACCAACTCAGTAGTAAATAGGTAGTGACACTTTTTTTTTTGATGGGTGAAAATGGTATGGTAACCCCGCTTGCGCTAACGGGATACGCTGGCGGAGCACCAGTGAAGGGTGATAGATGAGAATGAAAACAGGCCAGTTAGCCCATCATGATGAATTCATCCAGAATTAACCATGATAGTTTCCAGGGAGAACCGTAAGGAGGTCGACCTGGTTGGGTTTTTTTACAACACAGGGGGCAAACGAGCATGCGACTCACCTGATGGTAAGTGACTACCGCCGCCCATGATCACCCACAACACCAGCGGCATTGCAGGTATAGTGCTAGCAATGGGATTCTCAGTCTCCATTACTAACAATCCCTTTCCCACCCAAGGTAGTGATATAACATATAGCCCTTATTCTTATGACTTCACATTATACTGATTAGATACCTGCACTGCTATTTTTAAGTGATGGATTATTTTTCATAGGAGTAGGTTTTATAATTATCTTAATTTTGCATTGTAGTTATACCATATACTTAGTTATGTTCATTCTAAACCAATGTAGATATTTTTTTAATAATCAATAGAGATATTTGTTATGTGACGATTAAATTTTGTCGTTCTTCTTTTCGCAGAAGGAAGCTGGTAATTGCGAAGCAAAACAAAACATGATTTCGCGTGTAGGTATATTAAAAAATAGATACTTTCAATGTAATCTAAGAGTCTAATATATCTACAAAATAGGTATGGTTTATTGTATGGTACTTATTTCAGATAATAACGTATCTAACGTAAATACGTTACCAAATGTAGGTACCTCAAAACTTTCAAGTATCTAATAGTTGATAAATAATTAGTTAGCTCTGCAAAAAACTTGGTACGTAGATAGTATTTACTTAGGTATAGATAGAGTATATAAATACTATAATTACACAGGTACTTACAGTATTCATCCGAAGACTTGCTGAGTTGCGTAAGTGATGTGCAAGTAACCGTCGTGTCCACGGAACTGGCTGTACGCCTGCGCCATCGTCATGCTGTGACTTGCTAGCACTTTGTTGTTTACCAGCAAATACAATGCCTGTTGAAAATATATATAATTTATCATCATTTACTTAGTTTTACTCATAATGAGAAGAAGAGACTTTGGTATTATTATTTTTATTTTATACTGTATAAAAAACAGAAGGAGGTATATAGGGTCCTTCTAATAAGATTTTATAAATGTCTATGCACCTGTATATAATTTTGCCTAACTATAATGCAAATTTATAGGTTTAATAATACATTCTTAGAATTTACCTGTGTTTCTCTCAATTTCATTTTCGTTCTAATTACGTACAAAAACTGAGACATGGTAAGTTCTTCGGGTACGAGGAATTTACTTCTTCCCAGCGACGGAACCTCTCGTTCACGTACATATTTATGCACGTATAACTAAAAATAAAATTTAATTATTAAACATTTTGTTCCATATAAAAGCGATATCTGTCTTGACAAAAACGGGACGTGATTTGAGGACAATACGAAATAAATCCTATTGATTGCAAAACAAAATACTCGTATCAAAATTTAGAATAATATGAAATTGGCAAAAATAGATATTTTTTTATACACAAGTCAATGGCTCGTCTTTTTTAAGACACTTAAAATGATAAACTGATGGCCCACCTGATGGAAAGTAGTAACCGTCGCCTATACACATGAAATGCATCTTAAACATTCCGAATGCACTGTTATGCTCATGTATCATGCGTTGTCATTCCTAAGGACTACGATGTTATGATCGGTTGATGGAAAGTTCTTTTTTTAAAACACTGGCAGGGCACCAGTGAAAGATGATAGGTGAGGAAGTAAGTAAATAGCCCATCGTAACGAATTTCTTAAAATTAATGGAGCCATTAGACCCTATTACTAACACATTACTAAGAATACCCCTCCCCCCACCCCTCCTTCCCCGTAACTATCACCGGTAGACTTGGACAGTTCAGAATATACTATGGTATCTATAATACTAATCATATGTTGCCATTCCTAAGTATCAAAATCTTAAGCCTCCGTACTCTATAATTTCACTGTCATATCTCATCCTTTAGATGTAAACCTCTTTTGTAGTTATTCGACCTAGATGCTTTCGAAAAACCAGAAATTGAAACTTACGGGCACTTTGTCTGGAAATCTATCTCTCATTGCTTGAACATCTGCTTTAGTCTCTTTCATATCTGTAACAAGACATATAATGTATGTATCTACTATTACATATGCCAAAAAATATTACACATAGACTAGGACAAGATTGACAGTATAATTTTAATCTTGATTATAAATGAGTGTGTCACTTGACAGATTACGGATTCGAAACTTAAGTATATATTTTACCTACATATTTAAATACCTATCGATTATTTTAAAATTTTACACTCAAAATATTGTCCTGGAATCTGATATTTTTATACAATGCGTTAGTTTCACAAAACCTCGAATCATATAATATATAATCAAAAGTGGCTAATAGTTATGTAATTCTTGAACATTAGGTTTGTTCCGAGGTCATTTCCAACTAACCTTGAATAATGCATTTTGTATTTAATAATTACAACTATTTAAAGACGAACTTAATTTATGACAACATGTACCTATTGTTTTTTAAATTAATAAAATTATACCATCACGCTGTGTAGTTATGTAGGTACCTAATTTACATAATGCATCGGTACATAGACGTACACTTAAACGAATTATTTCATTTTAAATAAATCTTAGGTAATAAATACGTATGTAGATATATACAAATTTTAAAACTTAGTAAATAACATTTACTTAACTTACCCACTGAGGTTTCATCTGCCATTGTAGTGTATATTAGATATACAATTAAAAAATTTAGCTTATATATAACTTTACAAGCACCTTGAAATTTTAATGCAGTTCGCGAATAGTTGCAATATAGATTATCACTACCTACCTTCATCCATATAAAGGAAGGTAGTAGTGTAATTTAAAAATCTGTCAAGAGTTTTTACAATTATTTGTCACTACCGCCTGTTGTATAAATACTTTTTTTATTATGTTTCAATACACGCAGAGAGCATCGAATCTTTAACCAGCTTAAAAAAGAAAGAGGTTCTCACTTCGTTTGTATTTTTTTATGTTCGTTACCTCATAACTCCGTTAGTTCTTAACAGATTTGGAAAATATATACAGATATACTTACAGAATGCTCCCAGAGAAATTAACAAATTTTGATTAAAATAGAAATTTTAATCAAAAATAGTTCAATAGTTAAGTTTTTAGATCAAAATAATTAATTTTGTTACAATTGAAGTCGGTTTTTTATGTGGGACACAATATTTAATTGTGCGAAAATTAATTACTAAGGCTGGAACATCTTTCTCTTATCTTTCAAACTATGTGGTTGGACCATTATAATTTATAAATTATAGATAGCTAATTCTGTTCCTAATCAACTCATACACTGTTATTTGTAACACATCAAAATCGAGAATTCCAAAAGTTACTTATCTACATTTAAAGCTAATTTTATTATTTATTAGTTTGAATATCTAATTTATTCCCTACGTCTTGATATAACACAAATAAATTTTTAAAAAGGTACTTACCATCTTTATAACCGAAAACCTCTTGTGAAGCATACGTCATGTAAAGAAAGCCATCTTCGTTACCATAATCCTCATATGCTTGTGCCATTGTTAAACTCATACTTAGCATGGATTTGTTATTGATTATCAGATATATAGCCTGTCAATTAAAAAAATATACATATATTAAAAGTTGTTATTTTTTTGTACAGGTTTATATTTTTATATAGTATTGAACATAATAAAAATATTAAGTCTATGTTGCGATATATTCTAAAATCTAAAACTTATCCGAATTCGCATATCTGCTGTCAATCCTTTTTTCTATGTATTGTTAACTTTAGGTATTAGTCTGTAGTTATTATATCTATATTAATATACATATAAATTTTTGGGGCAAAACTACTTACTTGATTTGGCTTAATTTTTATTCTATTCCGAATTATAACTAGGAATTGCGACATAGTGATGTCTTCAGGAACTAAGAATTTTGTTTTATTTAGTATTGGCAAATTTCTTTCCTTATGATACCTTTCTACTATAAGCTGTGAAAAAAATAAATATATAAATATAGGTACATTGTCAACATCTATTTAAATATATTAGAATTTCGATAAAAACTAAATTGATACACAATAAAAACTGTCTAAGGAAGAAGGTAATAATTTATAACTAACTTAATAATCTACGGGTAAATGTTAAAGCCTCTTAACAATAACAGATTACTGTTCATAAATGATAATGTGGCGCTTTCGTATGAGTGCAAATTTTAAGTATATAAAATTTTCTTAAGGGAGTCTAAAATATATGTTTACTTACAGGAATTTTTGACGGAAATTTACTTTTGATAGCCATTACTTCTTCTTTTCTGCTAACTGAAAAAAATAAAAATTATTAAGGACACTTTATACTATATATATAGTATTATAATATTATCTATGTTGATACATACTGGTTTTCAAATATTATTTACATGAAATTTAGATTGCCAAATAAGCTTTTTTTTTATACAACTTAGAATGGCAAACAAGCTGACGGCCCACCTGATGGAAAGTGGAAACCGGCGCCTATAGACATGAGCGGTACCATGGAGATAACAGAGTATACTATTTCGCCCATGATACCCCCCATGCGTTGCCATTCCTGAGGACTCAAATGTTATTCCTCTGTACCCAGTAAATTCATGCCATATGCAAACACAACTTCACGCGGTGCCCCTGGAAAACGTTATAGTTAATTCTTGTGAAATTCATCGCTATGGCTACCTGACATACTTTTATCCTTAACTATCATCTCTCACTGGTGCCTCGCCAATGTATACCGACAGTGTGGTTACTATTCCATTATTACCCATTAAAAATGGACATGAAGAAAACCAAGAACATCTCAAAATAATTTGTGATATAATATATATACCCCTTTCTACCCCTTCATATAATGGCATTGCTGAGGACTACGGTTCTTAAATTATTTAATATTAGATTATTATTATTATTTAATATTTATTTAATACAGGCTTAGTATAAGTATCTACGTATAGTTTACTCAACTTATTTCTTATTTTGTACATATCTCGTAGGAAATTTTTTTAATTAGAATTTGACTTAATGTATTTGCTAGAATAAGGTTATTTTTTTATAAGTTCCATCATAAGAAAATTAAAAATTCAAAAGAAAGTCGAATTTTATTCTGCCACAATGTAGGCGTATATTAAAACTTATTAATAATAATAAATAATAATACTTTTAAAACACAAAAAAAATTCTCCATATGCAGTTGCACTTTATTTATCTTAATTTCTTATTTGGTAAATTATTAAGTAAAAAATTGAAATTATAGTGATATTATAATAACACGACATCAAGACTGCACTATTACAGATTTCGTAGCTTCGTGGCCGTAGCAAAACCGTAGCATCTTTTAAATCAATACATTTTTTAACAAAGTTCCTAACTGGTATTTCAATGAATAGATCGTTATACAACTATGCACTGTAATTAATCTAATCTATATATCTATGCCAATTTACTATTTTTTTTTTTGTCAATAATAAAGTAAAAATAACGACTTATAAACGAAATAGCTGGTAGGTACGCTAGGCTTTGAATATCAGTAAAAGAAATTAAAATAATAAATTAATACAAATACCATATATAAAATATCTAGTTATCATTATATATTAATTGTTAACTATTAACTATAAATTTATTTATTATTATTTATTTTTTAACTAAAAAAAGAAACAAGATAATGTTATTATTATATAGCATACTAAGCATACTAAACGGAAATAAAAAATATAAATAAATATCGCTTCTAAAATTCTATGTTTTGAAGGTTGCAAAATCTTATGGCTATTGATTGATACATTGTAGATATACAAATGATAGACTATAAACATTTTTTCTTCATTGTAATATGTAAAATACATATTACAATCCACTAAGATAACTTTATCAATCCAGGAGGACGTCCATGTATTTACGCGAAATCTTCGTTAAATTTGCATCTATTTGCATTACGAATAAGTACTTTATTTGAATTCACCAGTATAAACTCTCTTGTTGAATCTATACTGATTAATTTTAATATAATTTAAGATGTTTTTTCATGTGTTCTTATATTATCGTTTCACAGACTCATGTTTTGAATTGTTTTATTTTACAAACCCTTCTTACAGATCTGCGGGTCTACTATGAAATGAAATTCCGAAATTTCGGACTCAATTTTGTGTTTTTTTTTTTTTTATACCAAAATCGGACCAATAAATGAAGTTTAACATTTCGTTCGTCATAGATCCTATCATAAAAGTCCAAAGGAATAATATTTTAACATTTTTAATATTTCCAAACGTCATGTATTATGTAATTTTAACATCAAATTTCTGTTTCGTTTATCTCCGAAATTTCGGAAAAATTTCATGGTAGGCCCTCTGTTCTGCAAATACATACGTATTGTGTATCAATGCAAATAGATGCTGAACTAAAAGTCACGTATGCACAACAAATATAATCTGTATTCATTAATTGGGTAATTTTGATGTAGACTGATAATAATGATGCACAAATAAGTAGGTATATAGATACAATTCTAGAGTTCGTTGATCTTTATAAGTCATTTGGCGTAGGCCAGGAATGTGTATTATCAAAGCAATAGGTGCCTATTTATTAATAATATGAAAATACTAATTATCCAGTGTCGGTTCAAACTAACAAAGTACCTATCTAACATTTTAATTAGTATACGTTACAATGTATAATATTGTGGTATCACTTTATAGTTTTGTTGGTAATTTTATAGATAATTTTCATCCTTACTAATATGTGAAATAAATATGTTTGTGAATTGGTGTCTTAACGCCGGAAATAATAAGCTATTTTGACCAGATCAATCGATATATCCAGGTGACAAGGACGACGTCACAGGTAAAAAGTAAATACTAAAAATAGATGAAACTACTAAACTGATATTTGAATTTGGTCGTTTATATCCGATTTTAAATAATTTAAGATTTTATATAATTAAAACCTTGTCAAAATAATAGTCAGTATAAGAAGTCAATAAACACAAACGTCTATGGTGGCTCACATAGGTATCAGTACCTAGTATCATATTGTAAGGAAAATAAGTAAAAAGTGTAAATAGGTAATTAAATGTATATACAATTTATCATAGATTATTCTAAATTTAACAAATATGGATATGACTAAGAGAAAGAATATGTTTTATTTTATTAGCTCCACACATATTACTGGATAATAAAATATTATGTCCCACAAAAAAAACTTGATTAGTGGTAAAATTAGTTATTTTGATTTAAAAACTGAACAACTGAACCGATTTTGATAAAATTTGTATGGGGCCAGTCTATCCGTATCATCATCATCATATTTCTACCCTTATCCTAATTATTATTTGAGGTCGGCTTAAATGTTTTTATACATATTACTAAAGGATTTGGCTTATAGTTTTACGACCGGCCGCCTACCTAACGTCAACCCTCTTTGGGATGTCTATCAGTATATCCTTTCAAATAAAAAAGATAATTTAAATCGATTTAGAAGTAACAAAGTTATAAGGTAACAAACATAAAAAAATACAACTGAACTGAGTCTCCTTTTTTTTTAAAGTCGATTGAAAATAATATCACATAGGTGTCTCTTATTTACTAAAAACAATAAATAACATTGAAAAAAAAATATAAAAACTATTTACCGAAAGGTTTCTTGGTTTTGATGCACTGTTTCACGTTGTGATTCACATCGTGTTTAATTAAAGTCGTTACAAAATTTAATTCCATTTTTATTGAATTAATACTATTATTAAAAAAAATATATATAAATTCACTCGTCGGAAGTAATATTAGTTCGCGTTAAACCAAGCACTCACTCCGCTGTGCAATGATAGACTACGGCAGAGCAAACAAAATTATGTACTTTTATCAAATTGTATGAGGTCCCGGTATAATAGTTAGTAAACAACAGTTGCATTTATTAATACATTTCATAATTTGTACCATTTCATACCATGTGATAATTTAGGATCACAGAATATTTACTAAGTAATTAAGTAGTAAATATTAAATGATTTACAAATTGAAATAGTTGCGGTAGGTCGGTTGGCCACTTTGACAGCTTTTTGAGGAGTAAAACCGTTGTAGGTAGGTCAGGTTTTCAAACATGATGGAACATTATTGTAAACCGTTATGTACAAGTAGAGGTCATATGTAACAAATGAATTTGTAATACAATTTGCTTCTTAATAATGAGTAACGATTAGACCCGACTTCGATTTTTATTAATATAAAATGCAGCTAATGTTAGGTACTCACTGATAATATAGCGTTCTATAGGAAAAGCAATTATAAAATTGGTCCTTTTTTATTTTTTATTTATCTATTACAAATAAAAAATATATATTATAAATTATAGTTTTAATAAACATCGTTAATCATATGTTACCTTTTTTTTTGTAGATAATTATATAAACAAATGCCGATATTCAAGCGAGAAAATTCGTCCTCGTAGAGTACTTCTTTACAAGATGCTAATGATTTTGAATAAGTGAGGGTATTGTTAGTGACGTCACAGTATAAGTAATAAATACTAAAGTAGTAACGCAGACTAGTAACCCCAATGGTAGCAATACATACATCCTGTAAGGTTGACCTCCTGAGGGAGTGGAAAAACATCGAGGTTTTTTTTTGGTGGATTCATTAAGATGGCCTAGCTGATCTAACTATATTCTCATCTATTAATTCTACCATCATTCACTGATACCGCGCCAGAATTTACCAATAGCATAGGCGAAGTTAGTACCTTTTTTTCATAGAATAAATATTTCATCAATCATCAAACAATCAAAGTCATCTGTATAGAGACGAGTTGTGTCCACGATTTCGACCACTTTGTGATTTCGATTACATTCTAAAAAAACCGGCCGATTGCAAGTTGAAATCACACGCCTAGGGTTTCGTACATAATATATTCCGTATATAAATATAAGATAAAAATGTTAATTATTGCATTTCTCATACGAAATATACACCTAACAGTTATTATTATTAATACTACAATTAGTAATTTCTAATTTTGGGCAATAATTGTAGTAAAAATTGGACTACATAACTAAGTTAGTTTTTAGAAGTATTTGATATTTTTTTTAAATCCTGTATTACTTAGAGACATCGTTTTATTTTTCCTGCAATATTCATATAATATTCAGCGTTAAAAGCTGTAATTATTTCAGATATTTCGCTTTACAAACATTAAAGATAAATGAGGTAATGGATGGTATGTTTCTCATATTTTTGGTCGTAGCTAATTAAATAAAAATCTGTTTTAGAGTACACAAATAAATACATCCCTATTATATGATATCCCACTTAAACTGGTAGGTAGGAACAATTTTAAAATTTCGAATACCTCTTTTTTTAATTTTTCATTGCGATACGTGTGGGCCAACAATATATAAAACTATTCCATATTTCAAATCGATAGTAAATAAAATATAGTGCCGTAATAGATGGACGGACATGCGTTAGTATCTCTACCATTTATTTAATTTGTATCTTCTTAGTGCGGAATCATAAAAATGAAAATAAATAAAAATGGCCTTAACTATAATACCTGAAGATATTTATCTATTGTTCAATCCATTATATTGAACATAATACTTAACATGCCCATTTTTTTGCAAGCGTATTAGAATTTAGAATTAAAAATGTATCCGATTTTACAGAAGGGGCGATTAGATTAGGTAACAATAAAATTAATTTAAAATAGAAATATAATTCTTCATTATTCTGCGGGCACAGAATAGTACCAATAATATTGACTTTTAGGGACGTCACGGTCGGGCGGCGCCCTCAGATTTTCACCTAACTCTTCACTCAATAATAATCGCTTTTACCCTTTTACATAATACATTTTTACAAAACTTATCAAAAATTTAAGATTGACATCCTTTATAGAACAATTTCTTAAAAACCTCCTTCCTTTCCCATGGGTGTCGTATACGGCGATTATGGGTAGCAGCGTGCCTCTTAAAACATCATCAAAAGCCTAACTATGTGTGTCAACTCGCCTACCAAGTATGATAATTACTAACAACTCTCACTCTTATGTGTCACCGATGTTCAACAGTGAAAAATTAACGGCTGATGATGATGAGCAACAGTTTATATTGTAAAAAATTAAATTCTAAGTATAGTATCACAATTGTAGTATGGTAACCCCGCCTGCGCTAACGGGATATGCTGGATAATTGTAGTAGTAGGTATAAGTAATAGTCCTGAGTACTACTCTTAATTTATGATGATTTTATATTAATAGTCTGTCTTACCGATGCACAAATTTTCTAATACAACTACTAATTATTTGACTAAGCAATTCATTCGTATGAATTCGTAAATTATTTGACTACTAATTTTATTCATTGTCTGTACTGCTTTTACTAATCGCTTAAATCATTAATAAGTACTTGTTTTTGTATGAGTTAGTACGAAGGTAGTCGAGTTGGCTGATTGCTTAAATGACGAGATCATTTTTTTTTTGTGGTTGTTAATAGTGTTTCTAATTTAGTATATGTGGTAAAAATTAATAATTTTCAAGCTGATTAGTTATAAAAATTAATATAAATTGCTAAATAAATTAATTACTATTTCTGTTTTATAAAGATGTTGCATTAACAGTTTTGTTTTCTTTTAGATTAAATTATCAATTAGTAAAATTATTAGAATACGAAAATCAGTATATTACTAATTGAATAGTCAAATTATAAAATAGTAATTACTAATTAATCCAATATCTAAATCATTCGGATACGCTAATCTATCTTGAGATGTCAATTCGTCATTATGACACTTCATGACAGTGACAGTTTGGGAATAGGGCTTTTTGCTTGCTTCTTGACCTTGCTCTGTGATTTGCACGAAATATTTAAATTTGTTCTAGATAAAAAAATATAAAGATATTGTTATATTGAATTTTAGATAAGTTTTTAGAATTGTAGTAAAACAAAATATTATATACATGATTTGCCATCAGAATACAAAGTAGTTTACACTTTGTTATTTACATCGATTTTACAGTGGACTTTAGAATCGATATTTAGCCCAATTTCGTTAACTTTATGTTACGTTTATATAAAATTATGTCCTATATATTTTGTCTTGTTTAGAGTGTATAAGTGATAGTTAACATGCTATTCACGCCAATTTATATAGCAATGACTTTTATAAAAACTTGGCGTATTCGGTCGTTCAGAGCGCGATTGCTCGAGTTCTTAAATGGTAACACGAGTGTTGCTTTTTGCAAAGTGCCTGAAAATGCCGCAGGTAAAAGTTTATAATGATAACAACAATATCTAAAAAAAGGATTGTTAGTAGTGAGATCTAACAGCTCTATTGCTAGCAATATCTATTAGGTCGCACTCCACGCAGTTCCTCTTGGAAACTGTCATGGTTAATGGCATACATGCATACAGACTGGTTTACCATTGTATTTTCGTCTCATTAAAAAAATCTAATAGGTTGATATGTTTTTGAGTTATAAATGAATTATTTTTTATTTCATGAAATTAATGATATATTTATATCTGCATTTTTATTTAATATTCAATAGTACATATATATATTGTCGGCTCAGGTCAGCATCTATGGTTGCATGGCTGTTTCAATTTGAATATAACAATGATTATAAGATCAATGGTGTAAGACCATAGTTCTATGTCTTTTTACTTTTTAGTATCACAATGTATTCATGTTTATAAATGTTATATAGAAATTTCTAGTTAGCTATTAATTTGTTTGTTATTATAAGTATTTCTTTTTTCTCCAGAAACTCCAACATTAAGCTCCAAACTCTGTACAAACCCGAAGAATGCTTATCTCTGTGATTTGCTAGACTATACAAATGCTACTAGAATCTGCAGTATGAAGCCCACCCAGTGTATAGAAATCAGTGACTGGGTAGCGTGTGCTGGAGGACTACCATTAGGATTTAATGAACACTCACCTGTTTCTGACTTGGATGTTGATGTGCTATTTGAATGTGAGATGGAGCCACATGAAGCTAGTTCCTACCAAAATATTGCACATGTATGTTTTCAATAAGTTTTAAAATATTAAAAAGCTTTAACACATTTTAAATTCATTAATTTCTGTTTAAAAATATTAACATATATTTTAATAATAATATTGCATTGTTCAATAAAATAATTTTATTTAATTATAGTTGGACACTATGGGCCAGCCAGTGGCATGGAAAGCAGGCTCTCACCTGGCAATAGTGTTAAAAACGAATATGGAGAACCTCAGTGTCATTGGCTTCAACTTTGTTGGTGGTGAATTTGTTATAGATCATAAATTGCCTGTTGTCAGGGTACAAAGTTAGTAACCATTGATTTATTATTTAGATTATATTTAAAATGTATTTTTATTTCATGTCACAAAAGTACTAAAACATTACTTAATTCCAGCTGTTCAGTTATCAGGGGAACCAAATAAAGCCACTGACCCATCTATGAGGACCTTACGTAGTGAAATCCAACATAGTCTTAAAGCATCACATGATGAGTTCAGGTGGCCTGTTCATGCTGCATTACTAAGAAAATTGTCAAAAGTTGTAGATATTAAGTCAGATATCAAAAGTAGTGTGGAAATGAATGGAAGCAGAGAATTGATTCTTGACACAATGACGCTTAGTAGAAAAAATGTTACTTTAGCTGATGTTAGTGTGAACACAACAAAGTCTCTTTCTGCTGAGGATGATGTTGAAAAACCTGCAGATATAAAAATGAATACTTTAGAGCCATCACAGAAGGCTTCTGAAAAAACCATAGAACACACTATAGAAAGAATGCTCGAAAAAACTATAGAAAAATCACCAGAAAAGAAAATTGTAAAAGCACAACAACAATCAAATGATAGTGAATTAGTTGTTGAGAATGTGACTGTTGAAATCCAACATAGTATAACCCCAAAGAAATCAAGTTTAAAATTAGATTTGAGAAAGGGTACTAGTCAGTTGTCATCATCTTTGCTCAATATATCGAGTCAAATTAAATCAGTGACGACTCATAAGCGAGTAGTTAGTACAACTGGTCCAAAAAAGTCACAACCACCAATTGAATCATGCCCGCAAATCAAAGAAGATTGTACAAAAGGTTCTTCATCTCAACAATGTACACCAAAGTCTACTAAATGTTCCCGTCCATTAGTAAATACTAAGTCGCCAAATGTGTTGATATATTCAGATAGTATAGCAGCTAGAGATAATTTGGAGGCATCACTTAGAAAAGTTTTAGATTGTGACAGGTCAGTAGTTATGTTGTTTGTTGTTTAACTATTGTTTAACCAATGTTGTTTATTTTCATTATTTATATTGTATTTTTTTTTATATATCACTTCATTAATATATCTATGTAAATTAAGAAGTAACAGTGGAAGGGCTGATATACTATGGGCACATGACTTGCAACTTTTTTCAGATCACAGTACATTCCATATATTTGTTATATATATACTCTGCAAAATTATTCACTCATATTTTAATTTACTGTTCTGTCTAATCTGATGGTTTGATTGAAAAGTAACAAAGAATAGGTGTTTAATATGTCAACTATAGCTACCCTCAGATATTATGTGTAACTCTATATTTAAAGTAATTGTTAAGTGAGGAATCTTTATAAATATAATAAAACATTAGACACACTTGTATGAGTTGAATGGCTGAGAGAGTATGAGTATGCTGCTGCTGCTCTAGTAGAGTGGTGACCGGGCAGGTACACGGTGTACGCGGTGTCGCGCGAGGCGCTGGAGGCGGGCGCGTGGCGCGGTCGTGCGGCGCTGGTGGCGGCGGCGGGCTGCGTGGGCCGCGCCGCGCCGCTGCTGCTGGCGCACCTGCTCAGCGGCGGCCGCCTGCTGGCGCTCTGTTCCGACCTGCTGCACGCCGTGCTGCCCTACTACAAGACTGCCGAGGTACTTGCTACACTCATTACCTTTTACCATTTCAATAATAAGTGCTACTATCACCCCAATCGCTTGGTCATCAAGCTAATTTAGCTAGTTATGGGGAACCAGAAGGTCCCCCAAGAAGAAATTTTCGGACTCAATTTTGTGTTTTCGTTGATATCGAAATCGACCCATTAAATGGGACTAAACACTTTGTTCGTTATAGATCCTACCATTAAAGTTCAAAGGAATTATATAATATTTTTCAACGGTGTGTAATATTTAATTGTAATATCAAATTTGTGTTTCATTCGGCCCGTAATTTCAAAAAACATTTTATGGTAATCCTTCAGGCAAAGAACATCTAGGGACACAACCTAAGATATTATTACTTACTTATTTTGCTTCCGATCATCTACACATCAACGATTACAATAACGGCCGAGTAACTCTTATCTCTGTTTCTGATCACTCGTAAATCGAGTGTTAGTTGAAAACTATTTTGTTTCTTTTTATTATATCATTAAAGAAAACAATGAGCATTAATTTATATTGATTAATAATGTAATGAATGGTGCGAAGGCTTTTTTTATAACAATGGGTCAAATGCCACATGCTCAATGTGGCTCATCTGATGATTATCGCCGTCTGTAAGCATCCATAAAATCAGAACGATTTGCAGGTGTGTTGTGTTGTCAGATTTTTAAGAAGGAATATGATCTTTTTGTGAAGGTTTCAAGGCTTCTAAAATTGTATTAATTTTCTTTTAAATATATAAACTTATAAATATATTATTATACAAAGTTGTTGTATTACATTATAATATTCTATTTCATTATAGGTTCGTGAAAATGAAATAGTGCAGTTTTCATATGACAAATGGAAATCGGTGAAGATGAAACATCACATATTCTGTTACCAGGCGTCGCCAGCTAAGAAACAATTTTCCACTGAAAGTGATAGACAGTAAGTGACTGTTTTATTGTTAGTTAACTTTCTTATGTGTCTTATAAAAATGTTAATGTGGGCTATTTCTTAAAACTAATAATATATTTTTACTATAACAAAGTTTAAATTTTCAGAGCAAGTCAGGATAATAATATTTGTTGGTATGCAATATCTTCATAATATCTACATTAATCAATAATAATAATACGATTTATAATTTTGCATTTTGACTTATCATTATTTTTGTATTTTATAAAGCTTAAAATATTATTTTGTGCAAATAATTCAGTACACGCGCGATTTTGTTCATTAGAAAAAAATACTCGAGATCACGAGTGACATCCAACAAAATCACAATATTGCGCGTGAACAATTTATTGTATCTATAATTTTTTGCAAACATTAAATAAATCCCTGTATCCTTGCATGTTGGGAAATAGATTTGTTACTCTAGTATATTTCAATTTCTTATTATAATAATATTATATACAATGTAAAGGGTACATACTAATAATAACAACAATGAAATAGAAAGGAGAAGTCACCTCAAATAGAACTGGCGTACATAAATATTTTTATACAAACATAGCGTGTGATTGGTCTAAAAAATTAGCAGCTTATCGTTTTGTTATTGGGTCAGATCAGGGTCAGATTGCTGAGTGGGGGACATTCATGTTAGGTCAAACGAGACAACAAAAATTTCTGTGTATATACATATAGTACGCTATTTCTATCTCACGCCTTGGGCTATTTATAGAGTTAATGCGTTAGTTTTATTTGCATGTGCGTTACAATCATTTTAGAAAAAAAAAGAGTTAATATTTACGTACTTACATAAGTGTGTACATATTTACTCTTACTTATTTAAGAACCTAATTATACCAAGAATTTTTATGATTATTGTAAATCTAAATTAACTTTTTTTTTCATATTTAGTGTTCACAATATCAAAGTATATGCCCTGTTTACACTCAGCTTACTTTAATAGCATTGATCACGAAAGTGGTCAATGCATGTAAATACATTATACTTCTTCTCTTTTTGCCGTCTCTATTCTCAAGCTAGATGCATTGCAATGTGCTGTCTTGCTTATTTACTGTCGAGGGGCGAAGTATAGTATTTATTATACTTATTTATGGTCAATATTACTTACTGATTGAATGGATTAACTTTCAAGTAGTGTCTAAGCTAATTTATGTATAACTGTATATAATCAGATAATTTAAAATTATATCAACTTTATATTTAAACTAGCTTTCACTCGCGACTTCGTTCACGTACCCACAATAAGGGTAACCTATGTCTTTAGCCATCCTAAATAGTAAGTGTATATCAAATTTCATAGTTATTGGTTAAGTCGTTAAGATTCTAAGAGATAGCAAACAAACTCTTTTTCAGATTTATAATATTAGTAAGGATTAAAAAATAGCACTTCAGCCATAATAAATTTGCTTATGTTTCAACATCGTCAAAATTTGAATAGGAAATACTTATTATATTCGATGCTGTAAAAGAAGTAAATGTAATTAAGTAACCTGACAGTACAAGTAGTGGCATTAGCTGAATGTAAACAAGGGCTTATATAGAAAAAAATAGTAACTATTATAAAACTTAAACACGTTAATTTATTTCTAAACGTAATATTTATTGAGTTGTATGTTCTTTAGGCCGTCCAAGTACACAGGCCATCCGGGGCACGAGCTAGACATCCAAGTACTGGCGTCTGAGGAGACGTGGCGGACACCTTCACTGTTGCAGGCCACCGACCTCACCAACAACGGAATTGCTATTTTTTCACAAGTCAGTCAATATTGTATTTTGAAATTTTACACTTTATCCTTTATGTACAAGTGTTACAATCAATGCCTACAATTGTTCTGAGTAGTTGTCTTTTATCCTGTATTTTATTGCAACAACATTGCTGCAACCCATTGCTATTTATTATGGCCTTTCTTGTCCCATTAAACTTAGTCTACCATTGCAACTATCTTATTATTATAAATTAATATATATATATTTTTTTATACAACTTAGAATGGCAAACAAGCTGACGGCCCATCTGATGGAAAGTGGTAACCGTAGCCTATAGACATAAGCAGTAGCATCGACATAACAGACTATACTGTTTCGCCCTTGATAACCCCCCATGTGTTGCCATTCCTGAGGACTCAGATGTTATTCCTCAGTACCCTGTAAATTCACGCCATATCTCGTCCTTCAAACCGAAACACAGCCATGCAAACACAACTGCTTCACGGTTGAAACACGAATATATAAAAATATATAAAATACTTTAGATGGTAAAATAAGTAATATAAATTACTGTTATAATTACATTATATAATAAAATCTTTGACAGACACTAGTGTGCAGAGAACGAAAGAATACTAAATTTTAAAACCATTGCAATCAAATTTAAATCTTGGTATAATAATTATACAGTTGAAAATAAAACAACAAAACCACTCGTGCTATGCCACTATTTACAATGATAATTAATTTTCAGATTCATCTAGAAGCCGACCCGAGCGACTATCTAGGAGAAGAGGGTATTAAAAGTAATGAAGCGCGCTTAGAAATTATTCACAAGATCTTAGGAGACATCCTTGGGCTTCATGTTGTGAATCCGCGGGAGATATCTCCTGTTGAATACACTAGGGGTTTCTTTCTTGGAAATCATGTGGTAAGTTATAATTATTATGTATAAATAAATATATTATTTTCGCATCTCCATTAATGTAGTGATTGCTGAACACTGATTTTTATATTTCAATATAAAAATACAATTTTATTTAAATTATTTTAATTCTGTTAAACCAATGTAAAGTTATATACAAAATCTATTTTTTTGTCCGATACTTTTCACACGTGTTTCTCAGAAGTAGGAAAACTAATTATAGATCACTTCTAGATAACGTATCGAGATATAAAAGAAAATCAAGAATACAGTAGTGAAAATCGCAGTCAATTTGGAATTGTAATTTTTGCATGATGCCAGAACAAACATACAGGCAGATAAAATTTGTAAAAATTAAAGATTTGGCTTCCATTGCTCCTATTAAAACCTCTTATATAATTTTTTTTATTAATATCTTCCATGTCATACATAGTCCATTCATAATTTAGTACATAATATATAATTTATGTGTATTTCTTTTACAGTATATGAATTCGTGTACTATAAAGAAATTTTGATGTCTATTTTATAGGTTACCATAAAAAAAAAAACATAAAAACTCAATAGAAATTACTGCGAGAATTCTAATAATTATCAATTTTTGAAAAATTTTGCGTTCGATGTTTTTTGTTTTAGGTTATTTTAATAATAATATTAAAGGTAACTTAAACATTACCTGTTTTGAAATATAAAAATCATTGTAACTATTAGGTACAAAATATAATAAGACTGAGTAATCTGTGATGTGAATTTTGCATATTTAGAAGTATGAGTAATATACAATTGGTAAATAATGAAAAACGTAAAATAGTCTCACCTGGCACTTATCGGATGTCAAATGTCATATTTAACCATGGTTTGTCTCTTTCTTTGGTGTAAATTCTAATTTCTGTATTTATTATGTGTCAAATAATTAAACAAAATGTGTCTTAATATAGAATAGCATATGGTCCACCTGATGGTAAGTGGTTTTCATGACTTCTGAAATCCTGCAATAAATATCAGGTGCATTATGCGTGTGTTGTCGACCCTGTAAAAACCTCTACCCATTTTTTTAAGAACCTCATGCTGTAGAAAAACGTCGAATTTTTAAACAGTTTGCATTGACTAGGCTCAATATCCATGGTTCTGTGAATTCTTCTAAACACAATGAGTCCATAAAAACTAAGAAGTTTTTATGGACATTTACAGATAGTTTTCACTACTTAATTCATTATTTAGAAGTAATACAATTATATTATGTTTAAGTCTTGATACTCTTATTCTTACTTGAGACTCTTACGGTATAAATCAAGAGAACGAAAGAGACAAAACATGTTTGTTAAAAATACATTTTTTTATAAATAATGTTAGTAAACTTGTTAATTTTTGAGCCTCTGGTCAGACTATATGGTCATAATGTATTGTAGCCACGCTTCTTAGAAACGCCGTCATTTGGTTTCACCATAACGATTTATCGACGACATTATATTAAAGTTATCATAATTCACATTCTACAAATAATGGCACTATGTATTCTAGTGACACGTTATTTCTATACACCAGCTACACACATACACTAAGTTATATTGTCTATATAAAATTTATAATGTAAGAACCGTTTAAGAGCTTTCTTACTTGCATTTAATAAAAAATACTGTAAAGTATATTATTTCCTAGAGGTATTATTATAAACATAATTTAAAAAAAATATATTATAAGGCCTTTCGTCAGTTACCCCCTTATTCATAAAAACGTCAAACCTCTTATAAACCTATTTTAGCTATTGAAATTTGTCCTTTTACACTACTTCTCAATTTGAAAGATAGTGACAAAATAGCCTAATAGTTAAAGTAGGTTTGTAGAACCTTTTAATTTTTATGAATAAGGGAGATAGATTTTTTCTTTAAACAACATTGTAAACACTTAAAAAACTATATCATTTGAAATTGGTGTTATATCATATTTTCATTATATATACTCGTATTTGTATTATAATATTATTTTAAAAATAATTTGTCAGTTCTATATAAATAAAGTATTTAATGTTACAAATATTTTTTAGATTTACAAGTATATAACAGAATAAATAAGATAAAAAGACTTTATTCTGAAATCGAATGACGAGAACAGCAGAACACATAGTGCTGTGTCATTGTAAATTTACCCGTATTGTGTCGTAATAAGTCACGTTTAGGATGTTGTCCGCTAGGCGGCGTGGCCGTCGTCGGCGGTCGCGGGCCCTGGCCACGTGACGGTGTGATCCTTGGTGAGACGCACCTGGCTTCTCGCTATTAACGTTTTATTCATGTATATATACCTACCTTCTTCAGTTTCTGCCAGCCTAGTATTTCAATAATGAGTGTCAATTTATAATGTACGTAATAAATTCATAAGTACATAATTTCTAAGAAACAACTAAAAAGAACTGTTCCTTTTCAGGTTGACAACCCAATTTGTCTATGATCTTAGTTGAAATTGTACAGTATCTGACAGTGAATATTTCACGTCAAACTGTATTTCTATATATAAATATGATTCATATGACACTCTATAAAATCCCAACAGGCTGTCATTTTTTTCTTTTTTGTATTAATTGCCAGTAATGACATTATAAAATATATATATATACCAGTAAAATCGGGTGTTTTGTTTAAAATAAATATAATTAAATAAAATAAATATTTTATTTATTTATAAAATAATTTTATACTAAAAATATTTAAATTTATCATTTTTGTGCTCATTGTTGAAATATTGTGGTTGATGATATTTAAAATGTTATCGCTTATGTAGTGTATTTACAACTTTAAAACTTGCGAAATTATAATAATTTTTATCCTGCTTTTGCTTTAGATATAGTTTGCTTAACATTTAACAATGTTTTGAAAATTTGGGATTTGCTTGCTTTCGAATGTAGCCTGCTCTATCCAAGACGTGTATATTTAATTTCTAAATATTCCATATAATTCCTATATAGGAACTCTGTTTATCTATATGTCACTACCGTTTTTCTGAACCATTAATATTGCTAATTGCTGTTTGTCACAGTTATGCTGGGATTAATGAGACTACTTTTACTGTAAAAAAAAAATAAGAATATTGTTAAAGCGGGACAAATTAAAATTAAATTTTTTTTATATCATTTAATCTTCTTCTTTTCTTAATATGAGCCAAAAATACTTTTGTACTTGTATGTTAGAAAAAAAAAATATAAGTTTTGACAACATGAACAAAGTATCTTTGATCGATTAAAACTAACATAGATTTCACTCAGATTTAAACGCTTATGACTGTGACTTTATTATAATTCAACTGTCTAAATTTTATATAACTTTTTTGTTTTATATCTTTTAATAGTATTTCACGTTAAATGTTAACATTAAAAAAGAAATACATAAATTGGCATCAAGGATTTTTTTTTACATACATTTATTTAATTTATGTATTAAATACTATTAATATTTATTACATAAGAATTAATTTATCTATTTCTTTTTTATAAAAACGTAAAATACAAACGTTAACAAATTATATTTACATAATCATGTTTTTGTATAATAATCCATCGTCAACGATATGTGCTGTTAATCTGTATTTATTAATACTTGGCACGTTTAGTAAACATAATACTTAGCTTGTCTTTTATCGAACTTAATATTTTAAAAATAAAGTCGACAAATAATAGCAATCAATTAATATAAAAAGAATTTTTTCATTTAGCTATTTGTGTATTTTAAAGGGTCATTATTTCGATAAAGACTAAATTGTTTACTACTTGTGAATTTACTATAAAAATATACAACTGGGTATCAACATATTGTTTCAAGTGTAGTATTGTTTTGCAGCATAAGTTGTCACTTGTAGAGCAGTGGTGTACGCCTACGCCGGAGGGGAGGCGTGTTCAAAAACTTGGTGACTTGACTATACAGTGGTGTTTGCGCGGCGAGACACCTATCGAGCCGCCCTCGGAGACTTTTCTGCCGGTCTACGTTTATGAATGCCCAGAACACTTTTCTACAGTTGAATATTTTGATGTAAGAATTTCTTTTATTCGAATTTATTTCTAGTACATATAGTTAAATGACTACATGCACTATGTATATATGTTGTTGTTTTTAAGTAATTAATATTGGTTTTGTCCCAAAGAGGGTTGACGTCAGGCAGGCGGCCGGTCGTAAAACTATAAGCCAAATCCTTAAGTAATATGTATAAAACCATATTACGCCGATCCCAAATAATAATTGGGATAAGGGTAGGGAGATGATGATGAATATTGGTTTAAAAATTGTATTGTAGTCTAAGAAATTAAATCCTTATCAATATATCTTATATATAGAATATATTTTTACAAATTTACTTTTTTACTGTATTGAATATTGAAAATGCAAAAATGAGTCATCATAATTATTTTTGTGTTTCTATTGTTAAATAATTAAACCAATTTTTTATATGAATGTGTATATATAAGGTAGTATGTTTTTGTTAGAAATAATGTTTTATAAAAAAGATGGATAATTCTTTTATGCCTGTGAAATGAGGGAAGGATAATTTTGAATAGATATCCCTTTTTAATATGAGTTTTCTTCGAATACGTTGTATACGAGGTTTGTCCGGAAATACATAGCGTATTTTTGTTGATCTCGCTCTGGATTACTTATTAGTTTATATATCAATATGGGAGATAATCAGCCAAATCCGGCGTTCGGTGAATTTTTTATGATCACGGAACGACATGTGTATAAATTTTTTTCATTTGAAGTTCGTTTCTAAATTTCGTGGACCACGGTTTTGCCCAAATTGTCTTCAGAACCTGTCTGACCGTTAAACGACGGTCCCCATTAACACAAGTTCATTCTTTCCACGTTTTCGTCGGAATGGGGCGACGTCCTGAACGTGGTCATCTTGGTCTCGGCCCTCTCTGGACGTGCATCATCCCCATAAACTGTTCTGAGATCGGCAAAAATTTCACGGCCATTCTTGCAGTTTCGAGAGTTTCGACGCGCGTGGCGGGTTTCGTTAAGAGGGCACAGATGGCGTGCGCTGGCGCCGGCGGTCAGACCAGTGAAGCATTGTTAGGGACATAAGGAAGGGGCGCGCCGCCACTCCTCTTTCTCGCCAGAACACTTTTATACGAACTTTCCGGACGCGCGCGCATACATAGCGTATTTTTGTTGATCTGCTCTGATTCTTATTAGTTTATATATCAATATGGGAGATAATCAGTTCCGTCGTTGTTATGATCACATTACACATGTGTATAAATCTGTTAAATTGTTTGTCACAGAACCTGACGTCGAAGCAGATGGGGCTGGTGGTGCCGGACGTGGTAGTACGACGCGCGTGGCGCGGCGCGCCGCCGGGCGTGGCGGCGTGGCGCGCCCAGGGCCCGCGCGCGCAACCGCTGGCTGTCGCCGCCCGGGCAGGCCTCCGTCTCGCTGCAGGTGCCGTGCCCTCGTAGCTCCCCGCGGCCGCCGCCAGGCCGCCGCCCAGGGCCGCGCGCGCAACCGCTGGCTGTCGCCGCCCGGTTCCCTCATAGCTACCTGTAACCTGCCCGTCAGGCGTCGACGTAGCCAGGGATTTTTTACCGGGTCAACTAGTTAGCTTGTCAGCTAACCAGCTGTTTATTTTGAGTAACTTTCATAACAGCTATTCTTTCACTTCGTTTCTTATGGTACATAAGCTCTCGATTTCCTTAAAATATATCCTTGCTAAGCTTATCAAACTTACTAATCTGATTATTTATTAATATGAAATTATAGTGAGCTACTACTTACCAGTATTTCACTACTGGATAATAGGCACTTCCTTTATGAAGAACGTATTATTTTATGATAATTATGATAAGCCTTTATCTTAGTACGCTTTAGTAATATGTAATGTGTACAACAGGTGTGGCAGAAGATGTCCCCGTCCCTGCCGCTGCTGCAGCACGCGGCTGCGTTGGCCGCAGTGCGCACAATCCGCTCGCGGCCCACATATGAACACCTCGACATTAGGTATGTGCAATATTGAGTACGGCCATTTTGAAATTAGATTATCTCAGCAACTTCTAAAAATTGCCAAAACTATTAAATGTTATTAAATTTAACCATTTTTCAAATTGTTAGTTAAAAAAATTAATTAAATGTCACCCTGACAATTTTTTTTTATATAACGGTACCTAGGAGGAAGACATCTGATGTGTATACGATAAGCTGTAAAGAATGATGCTACAGAATCAATCCCATCGTCTGAGAGTTTACATTACATTATTATACGTACATATATAAAAATATATAAGAAAGCATAATTTGAAAATTAACCGGTTAACTTGTCGATATATATTAAAATTAATCTTTGTATTTATACATAAATAGGATAAAATGGCCGAACGACATATATTATGGGCGCGAGTTGAAGATCGGCGGGACAATCACCACGGCGAATTGTATCGGTGACGATGTTATTATCCATATAGGTAAGTATTAACAAATTTGAGATATTTAGATAAATATATTTAGCAAAAGACCCCCAAAGAGGACTTCTTTCAGTACTTCTTAAATAGAAATTAATTTGAATCTGTAATATTAACTATTAAAAGTCGAGTATTTTGTTTGTCACACGAAGTAAGATCAATATGAGTAAAGGTTTTATTTACGCATTTACATCACCAATTCTGAACGGATTTCCACAATTATTTTGCAATCTGTAGGGTTTACTCCCATGTCGACCTTTAAGTTTCCTTAGTCGCCTCTTACGACACCTACGCGAAAGGAAGGGGTGTCCTATCTATGCCGGGACCACACAGCAAATAAAATATTTTTTTTTATACGATTTAGAATGGCAAACCAGCTGACGGCCCACACTGATGGAAATGAAATATATCATTACAGTATCTGTTTCGCCCATGACATTAAATAATATTGATGGAATTAAATATTATAAATATTATTAATAATGATTTTTTCCAAAGGTACCGGCGTCAATATAAGCAATAGCGTGCCGACGACGTGCGTGAACGACATCATATCTGAGTACAACAAGCGGCACGGCTCCTCCCTCGCGGCTTTCTCCGTGGAATGCTTCCTGGCGCTCTACTGCTCACACCTCGAGACCATACTCGAGGACATGGCCGCCCCCGGGGGCATCAAGCGCTTCCTCGAGCACTATTACCAGTATTGGCTGCACACGTAAGTGATACATTGCGTTTCCGAGGTGTTCAGAGTTCTATACTTCAAAAGAAAAAAAACATAACTCTTATAGAATCGCTTTGCTATCCATCTGCCTGTCCATATTCTTAGGAATGATAGGAGGTATAAAGGTAAAATTAATATCAAATTTTCAAGTCTGTAATCTCTTGATATAGTGAAAAAATCAAACTTGTAAGTCTACGCACTCAAAAGATATGACCATTTCTAGCACATATTTTTACATTTGCAAGGGAATCAAAACCTATAGAGTACTTCTCATTATCCTAAAATCATGAAACTTAACAAGAATCAATATCGTACAGCACAAGTAAAGGGAAAAGTCCATCAACCGTTAATTTGAAGTTAGTTCACAAAAAATATTGAATTTTTTTTTATTATAATTTGTGATATACTTGCGATGCACAAACCCTATTCGTATTTGGCTGTTTTTCTTTTTATTTTTATGCACATAACACTTACATATTTCATCAATTACTGCTAATACTAAATAAAAATATCCTTGGCTATTTCTATTTAGTAACTTTGTTAGGCGGTATGGCGTAAGCCATAAGCCATATAAGCCTTTTAGGCATTGATGTGTAACATACTTCCAAATATCTTTATAAAACTTTTTTTATATTCATTTTAAAATTTTGTAATAGCCAAGGATTTTTTTTATTTTACAATTGTATTTTAACAGGGGGGAAGAGATCCGCCTGCAGAGAGAGGGCACTGCCACGCCTGTATCCGGCTGCATATCGGGCGTAGACGAGGCCGGCTGGCTGCTGGTCAACACGCCCATCGGAGAGCTGCGGGTCGCGCCCGACGGGAACACCTTCGACATCATGAGCGGACTCATCGCGCCCAAGCTATAGTGGAATTGATCCTAATTTTAGGTAATAACTGCCTTTCTATCCATCAACTTTGACTTTTTAGATTTATTTAATATTTCAAAGCTAAATTAATCACAAATCAAATTTCGTTTATGAAGAAACGCTCTCTGTCTGTAGACTTGGTTCTGGTAATCTTTCGTCGTATACACGAAATTATGGTCCGAAGTTGAATATTGTAAACCATATTCTATTCTGATGGCGATAATATAATTTATTTAAGCGCAGTTTCAAAGTAGTTTTGGCTTAGTTTCAATGACCAAGCGGCGTTGTGTATTTATATACATTACTACAACTACAAAAGTATTAGATGAGTTGTACGTAAACACTTTATATTAGCCATTAAACAAAGTTTTATATACGTACTTTTTATATTTGGTTGAGGTTTTAATTATTTCTAATATGTTAATGTTCCATTATTCTTAAAAAAAAAAAATTAATTGATATGGTGTATTTGAGGTAGTGAAAAAGTTTTGGTTCTGGTTTACGTCTTAATCTAAATTGAGTATATTTAATATTATTTTCCTTCAATGTATCTGCTGACTGCATACTGTTTTGTAGAGAGAAGTAAAGGAAATATATTCGTTGTAGATTGATGACTAGATTGCTTATTATAAATAGAACTTGCTTAAGAGTACCAACAAGTTGTTATGTTTTGATATAGTCATATATTTTTGTTTTATGTCATGTTAAGTGACTTAGTCCATTTCAAGACGTTAAAATCACTTTGCACAATAATGTAACAAGTTGATTTAATTGTATACTTTTCAGTATGTTGTAGAATAGTAACTTTTCAACAAGTAATAACTTAATTAGAGTGAGATAAAATGAAAAATTACATGATTGTGATATAATTTTTATTATATCACATTTGTTAGCTTAAAATTATCAAAAGACTTAGACTACATACATCACAAAAACAGATGGAGTGTGGGTATGTCTGTGATTACAGAATAATTGTTTTCTTATTTTAATTTTTTCCGCCTATTGTACTGGGAAACTGTACGCTTTATGATTTTTTTATTTAATATTATATTTGTACTCATATGTAGTTTTTGTTTGAACTATTGCCAGCTTTGATTATTACAGCGTTACTATAATACAATGTCAAATAGTTTTTTATCTAAATATAATTTAAGCATATAGACAACGTCAACAGACAATTTTAAAAAGTATGACTTTAATATCACTGTGAAATGCAATAAATATTTGAATTGAATTAAACAATACTTATCGTTATATAACTATTATGTTATTTAATATCGTTATTGCGAAAAAATCTCTCCAATAATAACGTATCAGAGATATTATTTTACAGAATATAATATATTATACAGGAGATTTCTATTTGCAACTAAAATATATTTATAAAGAATTTGTGCCATTTTCAGTCAGAGTATAAATTATCTTTTATGTAATTTTTAAAACTTAAACACCAAAACTGTATTACAATAGTACTTGTTAGTGTGTAGTAGAGTTTATATTGAATTCTTACATGGTAAGATTATTTTTTGTACAAACATTTTTATGTTAAGCGTATGAAACGCCTACTAGGGGCTTTAATACAATTTAAGCCTCACAAACCTAGGTTCGATTTTTAAAAAAGTTACTGTGTTACTTGTTAAAAAAAATAAGAATTGTAGCTTATAGCAATCAAAGTCAATGAAAATGTATTAGTACATTAGTTTCATATAAGTAGATACCATACCTTATGTAAGGTTTATTTTAAGTTATTAGTAGTAGGAGGGTAGAGGGCGTAGGGGGTAGTGTGGTCGTAATTACAAAAAAAAATAAGTTATTTGTATTTTCGTATTTCTTTTTTTTTTATTTTTATATTTTTTTACTTCTATTAATTTTGACTATATAAATACGCCTGAATATGAAGTTTTGAAACCGATCGCGTATATAAATAATAAAAACACTTTGGTAAAGACAGTGGAACAATGTACAAGTATTTTGAATAATATTATATAATTAATATGACAAAATTCCATCAAGAAATTACAACAAAATCGGTGTTTTTTTTTTTAATTTTTCAACTTTTTTATTTCACATTCGGTACATTTTTACTAACAATATCATAAACGTAAAGCAATTAAGCTTATGTATTATAACAGGATTAGACATTAAATGGAGAAATTATGATAAACTGCTACTGTCTTCATAGTACTGATACTGATGCTGCTATTTACTTTATACATTACGAAAAGGACTTTTACATAATAAGCGACGATTCAGCAATGTCACTGCTCGTATATCGATCTAAAACTTAAAAAAAAAATGCATCCGCTGCTCTAAAATCTAATGAAACAAATATGGCGAACATCTTTCGCCAATTACTTGTTTTGATGTTGTAATTATTATAATAAATAAAAATTATTTTAGACCAATTAAGTCACGGGCCTATTTTCTTAAAAAAAATATCTTTAGAAACGATTCCTAACAAAAAAATCTCGCAGCGAACACGCTTAACATGAACGAGGCCCTACTTGGTGACACATAACACACGTGTTCAAATAGTGAAGCGAATGAACAGGGTGGTTCATATAGAAGGTTGTATGTAGATGTTATGAACTATATATCACATAGATAACTCAGCGATGTCACTGCCAGTGCTCTTATCGAATATCGTTAGATCAATGTAAAATATCTGTCCGGGTGTATCGACATAATTATAAACATATAAAGTTAGCAGTAACGTCGTATTAGTTTTAACTTAATATCGCGTTATTAGATAATTCAATAATGAGACATGTCGCTGGCGAATTAACATTGATCATAGATACTAATCGTGTTTGAAGAAAATTATTTCTCATGTCAATTATGTCGCTGTTATGTTGGAATCTCTGAAACATTAACAAATGTATCGATATATTTGTAAATGCTCGTATCAATCCTATTTGTACTGGGTACCTCTGCTTGCCAAACAATAGACATACTAGTTTAACTTATATAATAAAAAGTAATTAAAAAGGGGAGCTGCCTATTGTATATTATTTAACTGTATGTGACAACGCAGGGGTGAGTTAAGGGAGGCAATATTCCGGCCCGTCAATGCATAGATATATTTTAAAGGAAAGTAGTTAACGTAAAATTATTATTTTTAAACTTAGACACAAAGATATTCAATAGTTATTGCTTTTGACTTGTAAGTAATATAAATAAAATCCTTATAGTCTTTATGTCGATGGCAAATGGCTGTCATCTGGGTAATATAATGTGTTGCATTTTAGGCCATCACTTTTCATAAGGTGGTGTAAGTCTAAGCGTGAACCTATCATACAATAAAATACCTATTTGTTGCACCATTTTTTTTCTCATTAAATACATAAAATAACACAATGGACCTGTCTATTCGGCGATGTTATGTACCAGTCGATTAATCTTATAAGCGAGTCCAATTCATAGGCAGTTCCTCTTTCTAAATATAATTTCATTATCAGAATATTGAATTATTCATTGAATGATATACACGGTATTAATTGAATATAAAGAACAGGTAGAATTAATGCAAATGATTTATTTACATACCTAATAAATAAATATATTGTTGGGATATTCTGCTTTAAAATACAACATGACATTCCTAAAAACTATTAGGATAAGTACTTATTAAGTGGGAGTGGAAAATAATTCCTGCAATTTGAAATGTGTGCAGAATTATATGCAGTAGATAAGAGTAGATTAATATAAGCGGTAATGGTAACATATTGTTAATATTGACAGAGTTTCGAATGTTGTTTTTATGAACTATTTTATCTCTCTACATAAAAGTGTTGGCCTCTTTAAAAAATTAACCTACTTGTGTAGTGAGTGGATGGTGTATTTTAGTGGTTTTAACTGGTTATCATATTTAGCAATTACGCTCGTAAAAAGCATAAACAAATAATAAATAAACGTAAGTGATGTTATTTAATTATACGCAACTATATTAGTGCTTCTTTTGATTGTTTATATTACTACATTCTTGATATTGTATCGGAAAAATGTGCCTAAAATGTGTTAATGCACATAATGCATTTAATTGTAATGTTAATAGATTTATTAATTATTTTAATTAAAATATTATAATGTAGAATTAATATAAATCACAATATTCTACTTGGATGTAATCAGTAAAAAAAAACTATTAACTTTTTTATAATTTATTATTATATTAACTATTTTAGCAATTATCGGTACAGTTCTTAACTTCGAATACTTTCGAATATTAACATTGAATAAATAAATGTGGGTGATGGGAAAAGAGTCGTGCTGAATGGGAAAGGATGTTTTCGTATTATTCGCAAAAATTCTAGTCATTTTGCTGTTGTCGTGTGATGTTTTGTTATTTGATAATGGAGTCTAAAATGTTATACAATTTCTTGTTATATTGCTCTTGTTGTATCCATGTCGTCTAATAAATTATTTCACAATAAACAAGGGGTATTTTATTTAAAGCAACAATTAATGTCTGTAGCGCTGACTGATTGTAACCAATGTAAATAGTAACCAATATTTAGAATAAGTATGTAATTAAATAATCATTTTATTATATAATAATTAATATAATAATTAAACCTTAATTATTCTAAGTAATTTTTATGAATTATAATTTGTTTCAAATTTTAAATTATTAATTACTAAAAAATCTAACGAAAAAGTTAATTCCATTTGAAAAAAACAAAAAAAAAGCATTACATATATTTTAGATACACAAATAAGTCACAATATTAATAGCAATCAGCATTGTCGAAAGCAAACTTATAAATGGGGACACCTCGAGTTCCGGTCTGATGCAAAATAAATATGGCACCCGAGAGTGGTTCACGGCTCAGTTCGTCTGGGGATATGTTGCGTCTGGAGGTAGTGACGATCAGGTGGTTAAGTTGCGGCCCCGCCCATGTCACGGACGTCGTCCGAGATACCGGCAGTTTGTACTTTTCTATTATAGTCCTCGATTCTGGATCGATGCGGATTACCTGATAAATTTTATGTGATATAAGTATAGGTATTCTTATATATCTTCGTATCTATCTATATATTATTACATTTACATATATAATTAGATTTGTCTGTTAGATTTGTTTTCATAAGTTTATTCCAAAACATGAAATTCTGATTATACATAAATACACATAAATGAATTCATTTATGTGTATTTATACCACTTTCCATCAGGTGGGCTGTCAGTTGCATATAAAAAAAATTAATTATTTGCCTGATTTCTAAATTGAACTATATGAATAACACTTATGTTTAATTTAAAAAAAAAATACAAAAAGTGTAAAAAAATACATAAATTCAATTACCGTATGGAAAATACAAACTAAAAGTAAGACAGGACAGGTGTCCTGTCTTCTTACAAAACATATCCAGACTCGTCATAGGCGTGGTTGTAATTGATGTGATTATTGTTTTAATATTTTATAATTTCATTAATTATTGTACAAGGATTTGCATTATATGAAGACATGTGCAAACCACTGTTAATTGATATTTGAGTAATTTTATTATTGGCATGCTATTCTTCCGTGCTTTACAGTTTTGATGTATTTATCTTAATACTTACTGATCCCTCGAACATAAGAGCGACCCACAGTAGGCCGTCCTTATCAATCGTCATACCGTCAGGGATGGCTTTGTTATAACCATATTCCTTTATGTTTAAAATTGTGCGTCGATTGCCTGTTAGTATAAAGACAATTAATTGTCATAAAGTACTCGTAACATAGTAATTTTAAATATTATATTAAAAATTTTATTTTATATTTTTCTATGTTTAAAATAATAAAAATATCCCAACGTTATTATCCCGACGTTAGTCTTAGCAAGAATACCTGTTTATTATCAGGAAATCTTCAGTGAGATATACATATATTTTATATATAATATTTATGCCTTTATCGACTTACTTATATGACCAGTTTTAACTTCAAAATCAAACGCTTCAATTTTCCTAGTTTCGGAATCGATATAGTACATAACGGAGTCGTTAAGGGCCCAGACTAGTCCGTTAGAAATGGTGACAGGCTTTAGTTTTACTCTGGCGGTGTACCACGGCTGTTCTAAACTGTATAGAGCAGCTTCGTCTTGAGCCACTTTGTCCCCACGCTGAGGGCCCTTTGTCCCTGTAAAAAAAACAAACACACAATGGGATCGAGTCTTTTCTTTCTTAATCTTTAAAATTAAAATTTCTGGTTGATACTACAACGAAATGTAAATATAGTTTATGATTTCGCGAATCTATTAAATTAAAATATAAAGTTAAGAGATAGGTTTGTAGAAATATCGTCTCAGGATTCACTTTAAGAGACAAGTTTAAATCGAAATCGTTGTTATTCTTTTAAAGGAGTCTTCTATAAATGAAACTGATTGTTTTTCCTAAAGAAACACGGGTCGAAAAATCACAGAATGCTAATGATTTTGATACTAATAATGACTATTCAAATAGAAATTTGATTTGGATGATTGAGGCATAACTCGTATGTATTAAATGTATTCATGTAAGGATATGATATAATCTCATCACAGAATAATCTATGATATTTAGGATGTTGTTTATGTCCATAGGCGGCAGTAAGCGTCTTTTATCAGGTTGGGCATTATTTTGTTTGCTATACTAAGTTGTTTTAAAATGCGATAAGTCCATGACACAGGTTCATATTTAAAGACTATGGTTACCATTTTCATTAAAGTGGACAGCTTGCTCGCTTTAGTAATTATATATATTATGCTCTAAAGAAATTGTTTGGCAAATACAAAAGGTCAGACCGGCCCAAAATCTTCCCATTGCATCTGCTTTGCCTTCATTGATAACATTGTCCGGTTTGCCCTGGTCGATGGCGGCGACTAATCTAAGCGCAGCGTCGCCGTGTTTCTGCCAATCTAGCAGGTACACCTCTGCCCTGACGCCGACCAGCAGCCGACTGCTATTCATTACTGGCACTACCACGTTCACTTCACCATAACCTATGTAAATAATCAGAATTATCATATAGAGAATGCTTATACTCTTTTTATTATGTTGGTACTAAATGATTATCTAATTACAGTGTTTTTTTCTTTATTAGATTTACAGCTATTATATCTAGATTCATTTCATAATGTACTTCAATATAAGAGCAGGGGGTAAGGGTTTATTAGTAATGCGGACTATTGCTAGCAATATACTAGAAACCATCGTGTTGAATTTTAGGTGTACTCATCACGATAGGTTACCTGACCTAGTAAGTAGTAGAAATAATAAACAATAATATGTTACAATGCGACATACACGACCACCCACTCGAACGTCACTCAGAGAAGTGGCCTGTAACGGGGGGCTTGCGGTCTATGCTATAATGAGTACATCACATCTTCATTCTGACCTATCTTCTCTCACTGGTGCCCCGTCAGCATATACCGTTAGCGCAGGCGGGGTAACCGCTCTATTGTCATCCATTAAAAAAAAATATACATAAAAGCACATAATAGGCATTATTTCGTCCTACTATCTTAAAAATATACAATGATTTTTTTTTATTTATTATTTGTAGTCCCTAATTTCTTAATTTCTCAAGTGTAAGAAAATCCAAATGGGTATAAGACTTGATAAAAAATTACGTATACGTACTATAATCTGAGCCTCGAACTTATAAGCAGTAGTGAGGTAAACTGAACACCAGACCAGAGGGAGACTGAACAAAAGTCGTTTGCTTGGGCACCTCTGTCTCATTCGTGTTTCAACTGTGAAGCAGTTGTGTTTGCATGGCTGTGTTTCGGTTTGAAGGATATGGCAGTGCATTTACAGGGTACATAGGACCTGAGTCCTAAGGAATGGCAACGCATGGGGGTATCATGGGTGAAACAGTATACTCTGTTATGCTCATGTCTATAGGCGACGGTTAACACTTTCCATCAGGTAGGCCATTAGCTTGTTTGCCATTCTAAGTTACATAAAAAAACTGAGCACTTATTATTTACAAGGTGAAACAGAACTATAACGGGCCAAAATCAAGCAATAGCGTGATATCCAAAAACTTACACCTTAATCTTATAAATATAACTTCTTATATCCTTACTAATATGTTTGGTGGTGTGACGCCAAGTGAAATAATCCAACACGTGCACATCTTGATTGAGAACGTCCACCCAATACAGTTTATTGGTCTCAGAGTCCCATACGGGACTCTCGGCATGTGTAAACGTCAAGTTTGTATACGCAAATACATTGTAACTGATATCCCTCAGATACTTCTCTTCAGGGTATAGTGTGCTAAACTAGAATTAAGTTTAATATAAATTTAAGTTCTCATACAGAAATTTATATATATCTACATCAATTAGGTTTCAGGAGTAGGAATCTACTTTCAGGAAAAAACAATAAGTAATTGGGTATATGATACATTCATCATCATATCAGCCTTTAACTGTTCACTGCTTAACATAAGCCTCCCCCTTAGGGGGTTTTTCCAGTAGTTGCTACGCTTGGCAGACGGGTTGGCAACCGCTGTTAGGCTTTAGAGATGTTTTAAGAGGTATGCTGCTGCCTATCCTTCGCCCTCCCTTAGTCGATTCTTATGACATCCACGGGAAAGGAAGGGGTAGCCTATTCTATCCCGGGACCACACAGCAATAATGATACATTACGATTGATACCTAGGCATGGTATTAACTGCGTAAAGTCGTATTGCTTTTCCTGGTTCTCGTTGATAGAACGATTTGTCTAGGGGCCCTGGCCAGTTTATGTTTTCAATAACTCTGATGACAATAGAAATTGACCTTTCTAACATCAGCTTTGGACTGTCATTGACAAACGACTACTGATAAAAATCCCGAAATATGCCTAAGGATCGAAAGAAACGTTGAAGAACTATAATGATCACCTAACATAATTTACTTCTTTAATTTACTTCAATTTACTTACTTATCTAAGGCTAAACTTAGCCTATCTGGAGCCAAGTTTATGATGGTGCTCCTCCCCATGACGATAAAAAAGATACTTTTCTTACACTTCGGCACCCCTTTTAAACCACGGTGCCCTTCTTGAACCAGGCGCCCTCGAACGCCGCTCGACCAAGACTCCTCTTAAGACCGTCACTGGCGTATAACAAATTAAATCCGTCTATATACTTAATATATTACTAATTGAATACTTACTTTACATGAAACAAATTTGATATAAAATGTTGATAAAAATAATACTGTGATTGCTCGATACAACATTATTTTTGCTTAAAAATGTTGTAACATCAAAACCTTTCCATGAAGACCAGGGTTCTTTTATTTGCTGGAGCCTGTAAGTTTATGTTGTTTATAATGCGGCATGCAGGTGTAATTAGACTTAATTAGTACCGTGGAGGTGTGAGACTAATCGTGAAATAGTACAATAGCACGATGACGTTATTTTTCAATTGTTATGTTGTTAGGTACATAGGTAGTACCTATTTCATTTATTAGTTAATAATGAAAAGTATTTAATTTATAAATGAAATACTTATAAACAAATATTCTCAAAACTGGAATTCCAAATACAGCTGTCAGAGTCAGTTTCTAACTAGTCCATGTTTTGCAGTAAATATCAGGTTTATAAACTCACGGAGGCGTGAGATAGTGGAGGGTAACCTACCCACCACGGGGGAAAAAGGATTGTTAGCAGTGGAGTTTGACAGCCCCATTGTTAGCAATATATCTTATTAGGTCGACCTCCACGTGATTCCCCCTGGAAACCATCGTGGACAATTCTTGTTGAATTCGTCACGATGGGCTAACTGACCTACTTCATCCTCACCTATCACTTCACTGATGCCCCGCCGGTGTATACCGATAGCGCGGGTGGGGTTACTATTCCATTATCATCCATTAAAAAAAGAACCTACCCACCACTCTCTTTGCGTAAATTAGGTCCGGGTTTAATTTCTGCAGGCATCAAATTATTAAATATTTGTTATTAAATCACACCTAAACGAATCTGAATGTAATAATACGGGTAAATTATATTATAACTTAAAACATATAATGATTCAAACGGGTAAAGTTGTAGGAAACAACTAGTGAATAATAATTTTAAAGTAATCAAGATTAAAAGAAATTTTAATTAACTTATTAACTGTAGTCGTAATAGTGTTGATAATGATTAAGAATTCATAAAATAAATATACCTTTTTTTTAGAAAAACTTAGTGTTTGAAACGCTAAGTGAGGCTAGACTACTAGTGTAAACAATATATAGATGCGGTTTTTAACTTATTTATTTGTGAACGTACTTGATGGTTCTATGCTTATTAGCCAATTACATGACATTTATATTACTCAGTAGTCAGTACGTGATGATAACACGCTGTGTGTTCCATCATGTTTTCATGAAAACATGCAATAGCAGTTAGGTAAATTAAAACTTCGAAAATATTTTGATAAATAATGTGAATCTTTATATGTATTGATTTAGATACAAATATTAGAATTGTATAAAAATAATTTAGGATTATAAAATAAATCACTACCTAATAGGTTTTTACAAATAATTACAAAATCCCTTAGGTATTTGACAGTACGTGAAGCAACAAAAACTATACAGAATAAGTAAAAACCAACGAGCTAGACTTTTATTTCATTTTTTATAAAAAATAAAAACTAAAAATTAAGTTTACTTTTAAAACAATAATTGGGGACAACGTTTATAACATTAAACAACAATACCTATTTAATTTAATTAAGTTTAAAACAAAACATTTAATATGTGTTAGCTTTATCAAATTGGAAGTAGTTAGGTGACACACCGCGTCTGCCTGTGTCTCTAATTGTGAAAATGGCGCCTTCTAATGGTTCCGCATTTATTTTTACCTTGTCTTGAGCGGTTGTAATGAAGAGCTCGTCTAAATTGGGCCCTCCCCATGCGACGGAGGTCACTCGGGAAGTCGGTAACTTGTAGCTGTGGATTATTAGCTTGGCATCTGGGTCGATGTGTAACACCTAAGGCAACGTCTTTCCATTACTTATTTCTTATAGAATAAATAAAAAAATATATACTTTCACAATTTTCCTGTGTTTGTATCTAGTCATTTGGGTATTCACTTTCTTTCTATGCATATTATCTTTCATATTATTCCTTTTTTAACCAACTTCAAAAACGAGAAGGTTATACCTTCACGGCGAATCTTTTGTTTTTATACACCAATTTCGACGTTTCCGAGTCGATTTTTTTTATGAAACTTAGAATGGCAAACAAGCTGACGGTCCACCTGGTGGAAGGATTCCTTCCTTAAAACATTAATTTCATTCTTACACATGGGAATGTAATTGTCATACCAAGATAACGAGGCAGACTTTTTAAACAAAATGAGTTTGACACTAATAAGTTTGAATTAAAAGGAAATTTTACTTACAGTGCCACCAAACATAATCGCCACCCATAAGTGTCCCCCATCATCAATGGTCATTCCATCCGGTATAGCATCTTCATATCCGTAGTTCGATATGTCTATAATAGTCCGCCGACCGCCTATAGAAATAAATAAAATAATAGAATAAAGGACTCTTATTTTTTATACCACTGAGGTGGCAAACAAGCATAAGGCCCACCTGATGATGATGGTAAGCGGTTACCGTAGCCTATGAACACCTGCAATACCAGGGGTAATACGCGCGCGTTCCCAGCCCTGAAGAAATCTCTTTAACACTTTTCTGAAGAATCCCATGCTTAGTCTCTTTTTTAGGATCTCTACTTCTTTCCAATCAGAGAATAATTATTGCTATTTTGACTAACTTTTTGCCTTGTAAATATTTCCAACATTCCTATAGATCTTTTTAAAATTGCATATTACCTTTGGCATATTTTGAATGTTAAAATATTTTTTTAGAGACAATACTTTTACTGTACATTGATAGATTAGTAACACATCTATCGAAAATGAAACAATAAATGATACCTTTGGGAATTAAGGTTTCAGATTCGATTTTTGTGCGCAGAATGTATTATAATAATTGTTTATTAATAAAATATAGGTACCCACTTATTTCTCCTTTCTGAATGTCAAAATCAAATGCTTCGATTTTCATGGTGGGGGAATCTATATAGTACATTACTGAGTTATTGAGTGCCCAAACTAATCCGTTGGAGATTGAAATCGGCCGAAGGTGGATTACTGGATTTCTAAAATTGTTCTGATCGATACTGTACAAAGTTGCTTTATCATTAAGTACGTCTTCAAATATTTGATAGCCTTTTGTACCTGTAAAATAATTGAATTGATTACTATTAAAAATATATTTCATCAATGTTTCAAAAAGAAATTAAAGTAAAAGGTACCACTCAGTTATAGAAGCAATATTTATTTTGGAACTAGACAGCTCTCTTTCTCCTGTTTCCCTTACTCTCTATCTCTGTCTATATATATAGATATCTGTGCCCTTTTCTTTCTCCCTCTCCTTCTTTTCTTTCTCAATGAGTTCTCTTCCTGTTTAAGTGTGTTCTGAGTTATTTATTTATATAGTAAGTAACAATCGCTACCTATGATCGCTTGCAACATCTGAGGTGTTACTCGAATGTTATCGACTTTATGATACGAAGACTGAGTCATGTAACATACCGACCCAAAACCTTCCTTCAGCGTCTGGTTTGCCTTCATTGATGACATTGTCTGGTAGTCCCTCATCCAGGGTCGTGATGAGCCGGAGCGCGTTGTCGCCTTCCACATCCCAATCGAGAAGATACAACGCAGACCTCACCGCCACTAGTAGACGCCGGGATCCCGACACTAGAGACACTACATTCACTTGACCATATCCTGAGGGGGGAGGAGGGATTGTTAATAATGGAGACTAAGAGTAATGGGATCCTTAGTCTCCTAGCTATATATCCGCTAGCAATATATCCAACCAGATCGACCTCCACGTGGTCCCTCTGGAAACCATCGTGTTGAATTCCAAGTGTATTCATCACGATGGGCTAACTGACCTTAACTGTCTTTTCATGTTCACCTATCATCCCTCAATGGTGCCCCGCCAGTGTAGTGTGTATACCGTTAGTGCAGGCGGGGTTACCATTCCATCATCATCTATTAAAGAAAGACCATATCCTGAAAAAAAATTTATGAAACTGGAATTATCTACTTTGAAATTTATATATATGTATATCATTGTGAATAATATGACTACTCTGCTACGAATAAATACATGCTCAGTGTGGTGGACAGAAATTCTCAATGTAGTGACACAATTTGTGTGATGTGGGACAGTGTGGTTAGAAAAAAAAAATTTTGTCTCGAAAGCAAATATGACAACACTGCAGCAGTCTACTCGTGACCATGGCTGGTGTAACCTGATAGAAATCCTGATCGCGTTAATTTCCGATTCTTGAAACCATAAAACATACAACGCGAACTTTTGATTAGCTAAATTATTCATTCGAGTTTATATAATGCTGCTGTAATGAAAAATATAGCAGTCCCCAGTTTAACTGTTGAATGGATTCAAATAAAATTTGATACCAGACCGTATTCAAGATAAAATATATTTAAAAAAAAAATACCTTCACGCACTCGGAAGAGCTGCGAGATACAGTCTAAAAATATATAATAATAATAATAATCGTTTATTGAGTTTATAAATTACAAATTATACTAGTTATAAAGATTAACAATATGTGCACAAACAAAAAGAATAATATTAACGAAACTTAATTATACAAATGTAAGATAAATATGAAACGGTAGGCGGTCTTATCGCTAAACAGCAATTGCTTTAAGGCGCCTTGTAAAGTGAGGACCCTGTATGCTCAAACTAGGTTTTACACATGTGATATAGGCATCAGTGCTCTCTTATTTTGTGAAACCAAGTCATCAATCAATCATCACTAGCATATACTTAATTAAATTATGCACACACTTATTATTTTATTTAAAACTAATAATTTTTTTATGTAGTAGTGTGCTACATGTAGAATATAAACCTAACCGATGTGTTTAGTGTATATCTTGCCCGAAGTGTAGTCAAGTCGATGCACATTCTGAAGGTGTACGTCCACGAAGTAGAGGCTCTGCGAACGCGGGTCCCATACCGGGCTTTCGGCATGATTAAATATAGCCGGCTTGTCAGGATTGTCGTTTGAAGATACCTTTATAATAACACAAAAATATATAATTTTTTTTTATTATGTAGAGGTTGAAACCTAAACCATCCTACAAGTAGTGATATTGAGGGGAAGGGATTGTTAATAATGCAAATTACCAGTCCCATTGCTAGCAATATACCCTGACAGGTCGACTTCCCCCTAAAAACCATTGTGTTGAATTTCAGGTGTATTCATCACGATGGGGTAACTCACATGTCATCTCTCACTGGTGCCCCGCCAGCGTATATCGTCAGCGCAGACGGGGTTACTATTTCATTATCGTCAATTAAAAAGAAATAGTCATATTGAATTTTTCCCCCAAGCACACAGTCCAAACCGCCTAAAAGTTATGAACATTTGGTACTAAAAGCTATACGCATCCTTCTATGTGAACTTTAATATTTCTCATCGTACATTGACTCATGTTCTTCAGGGGAAAATATTCACTATCATTGGTAAGGCAATCCCTTTTAGGTTTTCTAATAATTTTGAATTCACCTGTATACATAAATATATAAGAAAAAACAAACCGGTTAACATTTGACTGCTGAGTATAGGACCCAGGAGTAGGACGTTAACCAGTTTGTTAAGCATTAATGTTCTATCAATAGTAAGTCTTCAAAATTGAAACATATTTTTCTTATATGTCTGATTCAAGGATTATTGTTATCAGACTTTAAAAAAAGGAGGGCCCCAATTCATTTGTAGGTATTTTTTTATGTTGGTTGCCTCAGAATTCAGTCATTTATAATCAGAACATTACTTTTTTTTATCTAAATGGATATTTTCTTACTTTTAAGTAGGATCTGTAGACATCCTAATAAAATGGGCCCAGTAATGTTTTAAACAAAAATAACTGGTTTTGCCGATTGAAGTTAGTATCTTTTTTTTGTGCAAATAAATCTACTTATCGAGTCTAAATTACATAAATGAGGACTTACCATTGAAATTTTGTAATGTTTTGAATCCTCAGCTATTGCAACACTGATTTTACTCACGGTAAATAATAAAAACAAAAAATTTAACATTATGTTGATTTTGTTATATGCCTAATGTATCCAAGATATACCTATTTTGATCACACAAACATAGTTTGCGACAGTGACAATGAACAACTAAAATCGATTCCAGCTTTTCTAACAATAGAAGTTTGTAAAAAAAAGACATTTTAGCGTCGCTAGAAACTTGATATCATTTATAAAAGGAAAAAGAATGATAACGCCTGAATAGTAATTATCAAACAAGTAATAGAAATACTTTATAATGGAAATGTTTTTTAATTAATCTTTATTTTATACTGAAACATTCAATACAAAAGCAGAATAAAAAAATAAATTTCATTTCTATAAATAATTTTATATGCAAATAAAAAACAGGTTGGATTTTATATGATTTATTTCATAACTAGTTGTTATGGGTACTTATTAGCTTCTAGCTCCTATAAATATAATCTTATAATACTTACTAAATAATTAAAACTAATTACATGTTGTTACATCATCCATTCCACATATTACATACAACGATCAGACAGATCAATTTAAATTACAGAGAATTATATGAATATTCACTCTAATACATTTAATCAAACACAAATATTCTTACTCACGCATCTTTTGATATCCAATGTCTAATTTAATTACAGTGAGTGTATAAAAAATATCTTGAGTCATATCTAGAGTTGAAATCGCACTTCATTTCAAATACAATGGTATTGGTATAAAAACAACGTGATTCTAAAGCCTCTTAAGGCTTCTGTATGGCATGTTATATTTGTATGAGGATAAATTCTTTTCTGCGGAGTTAATTAATAAATTCTGTTCTTTTTTCTTCACAGTATAGCTTATATTTTACTTAGAATAAATAGCTACTGATTTTTATAAAATACAATTTTTTTTATGACTGTGTGTTCTATTACGACAGTCAATGAAATACAGACACGTATAAAGATAAAGTATACAGAGAATTGTCCTTCAACACTTATTAGCAATTTAAAAGTTTTTTATTACAATTTTTTTACTGTTTAAATTTGCCAACTACTTTTTAACCATATTTTGGCGTCTAGCTATGCTAAAATGTTGCATACTTACGTAAGTTCGGAGACAGAACAATATCATCGTACAATAAAGCTAGTCAGATGAATAAGACGGAAGGTGGCTATAGGAACTCATGAACTATGCATGATAAAAATGTTCGTTCCATGAGTGGCCAGAGTATGAGGATGTAACTAAAAGGCTATAAAAGTTTATTTTTAAATAGATTTTAAGGATGTTCAGCCATACCATAATATTTGAAATAGAGTTTGGATGAAAATCAAATGAATATCATTCTTCCCTGTGGTAAATAAGTTCCCCAAATGGACACAATATACAGTGTGCCTGGTGCATGATTGTCATGAAGTTTACGCGTGCTGTGGCTGCGGCGGCGCGACGTCGGGCGGCGCCTGCTCGACGGCGCTGGGCCCGGGCGCCGGCGCCGCCGCCGCGCCCGCGCCCGCTGTCGGCGCCGCGCCGCTTTCCGCTTGCAGCCTGACACAGGTACCACAATTAATAACAGCATTAGCTATTGGTATAAGTCGATAACTATATAAGTATAGGGAGCATCCTTCTAGGAGTTCATTTTCGATATTGTTACTTGCATAACTATTACTCAAATCTCAATTGAGTGACGATGGAATTGAATTAAAATTTATTACCTGCCATGAATATTTAATTAATATTACTTTGATTAATTAAAGGCAAATTATTAGATCGCAGCTCGGAGCCTAGTGTTAATAGTGTCGGCACCTAAACTGCGAATTCGCAGTTTGGATACCGAATTTGCCTGAAGACACCTCATTTAGAGATGAAGCACGCGTAGTAAAACGTAAGCAAACAAAATTATAGTTGGAGATTGATGGTTATTATGGAAGATTGTGAAATATCTGGTAATAGTGGTGGTCAATCTTTGAGTGTTGGCAGTCTACATATACTATTACTAATTTAGCAGAATTAAACAAAATATTTCTAATCAAATAACCCGTGATATGGACTTCTGCAAGATAACACCCAGCTCAGTAAAATATTTACCTCTGGTGGGCCTGATGCCTTGCCCTGAATTCTGCTGCCTTCAACTGTTCAAGATGGAACTGTTGCCTTTCCTGAATCAGCTGTTGACGTTGGTATTCCAAACCTGGGAAACAAGTAATTCATTTTTATACTAACTACTATACAGTTTATATTAAGCCTTCTCTTATTATGAGGTGAACTGATTTGATGAGAGCACATTTTTTTCTCTAATTTATAACTATAGGAAAGTTTTCTTATAGCTATAGTTAAGTTACCTGTCAACGCTGTATAATTACAATAAAATGTTAAAATATGAAAATTCTGTGGCAGGGCTTTCATTCACGATGATCTTTAAAACTGTTTAATTGATTTTATTGTAATTGTGCACTCCAATTTGATGATTTATTTTTTAGACTTAAGTCTGATTAAGTAACAAGTTGTTAAATATATGAAAATCACGTGTCACTATACACCGATGCGAAATCGGGTCAGATCACCAATATATGTATAAATACCTTCTCTCTCCCGCTCCATAGTGGCCTCGAGTTCGTCGAAGTGTCGGAGCTTGATCTCCAATTTTTTCATTTGCGTCTCAACTAGTAATGCAACCAATGACTTGATCTTCCTCTCCTCAACACCGGCTAAGTGTTTAGCCTTGACCGCAGCCGCTGCGAGCGCCGCCGCAGCCGCTGATTGCAATTTAGCGTCCACTGTTGCCGGGCCCTCTGTTAAGAAATAAACAAGGGTATATTAAATTCACAAAGAGCATTAAATATTAATTAAAACATAATCCGCCAATAGCGCGCATACTTCTGTAAACCATGTCATCTCATGCATTAGTTTTATGGCTTGTGTCAACAGCAAGGAACATCATCTCAGACCTGCCTAGTATCCAGGTAAGACCGACGAAAGACGACTTGAGAGGGTTATGAATGAAATTGAGCAAGAAAGCTATCAGAATATTTTTTTATACAACTTAGAATGGCAAACAAGCTGATGGTCCACCTGGGGGAAAGTTATCACCATCGCCTATAGACATGTAGTAACAGTACTATGGACATAACAGAGTATACTGTTTCACCCATGATACCCCCCATGTGTTGCTATTCCTGAGGACTAAGATGTTATACCTCTGTACCCTGTAAATTCACTGCTATAGTTAATAGCACATATTCATAGAATTTTCTTCATATATTAGTACTAAATTAGAACTGAAACCGTGTCAGAGAAAAACAATCTTTCATTGAACTAACTATACTCTCTTTACATTTTATTCAAATCATTGTAATATAATAAGAATTACAATATTTGATAGAAATCAAAGTGTATATATACAAATGTACTTGAAATAGGAATATTCTCCTTAATTAAGCCAATTGAAAGAAACTTATATTTTATAATAGAGAAAAGAAACAGTCTACCTGGTTGCGGTGAGGGTGCATCTTTGCTAGTGCTGTCTTTGCTATCTTCGGCGGCGGCAGCTTCACTCGGTTCGTCTTTGATCTTTTGTTCGCCTCCTTCTTCTACTTCCATAGGTTCAGCCTTTACATCTGATGAACTTTCCTTTTTCTCAGCTGTTGGTAATGAATGCATAATAAATATATTATATGTATTGCTTATAAAGTAGTACATAGAGCTCTTTCTTTATTGTCCTAGTGACCAAAATTTTTTTTCATTTCAAGGAAGGAGTCTGAGCTGAACAAAATACCTTCAACGTCACTTCATAAAAGTAGTTTATGATACTGCTGATTTGGAATAGGGGTCAATTCTCATTTCTTTTTAATCTTGAAGTATTCAAATAACTTTTTAGATCAATATTGACCATAATTCAAATTATTTCTTGATTAATGATAAACATTTGGTACATATGTAGGTACTAATACATTTATTATTATTATTTCAGCAGTTAACTGTCCACTGCTGAACATAAGCCTTTCCCATAAGGGGAGTTTTGCCAATAGTTGCCACGCTTGGCCGGCGGGGTGGCAACCGCAGTTAGGCTTTTAGAGATGTTTTAAGAGGGATGTTAATGCGGCCATCCCTCGCTAACACATACTTAATAGGGGGAAAGGGATTGTTAGTGGAGACTGAGAATCCCCTCAATTACGACACCTACGGGGAAACTATCATTATTAAAGATGAATTCATCATGATGGGCTAACTGGCCTGTTTTCATTCTCATCTATCACCCTTCACTGGTTCTCCGCCAGCGTATCCCGTTAGCGCAGGCGGGGTTACCATACCATTTTCACTCATCAAAAAAAAAAAAAAAAAAACACATACTTAATATAGCAGACAAAATCGCGGGAAACAATTAATATAAACACAATCTCTAAACTCGATGTCACTTTGTAAAATCATGTATTGTTAGAATTAGGGGTTCCCACATAAAAATAAGGGGTTAGGTTACCGCTAGGGTCTGGGTCGGGCGCGGTGCCTGCGATGCCGGTAGCTGCGAGCGCGGCGGCAGGTCCGTGAGCTCCGGCAGCTTTTACGTGCACCTCCATCATCGCCGCCGGCACCTCGTCCTGTGTACCATAAAATCCCATGTTACATCTCAAATAAATATGCTACGAGTACAAGCATAGCGCGTCAACTTTTTAACACAAACATGATGGTAGATCAAGCAAACAAGAAGGAAGACATTCGTCAGTCAACGCCTGTATATTTGTCGCCGAGATATGAAATATTCCATTAAATTAAAGTTTCTTAAACACATAGGAGTTAGATTTTTTGCATAATAAGTATAAGACTATTTGTTGTATATTAGAAGATAAATCGGCCATTAATAGATTTTTGTGTATTTTATACTTCAAAGAACTACATAACGTGTAATTACCTTAATAGCAGCAAATTCATCCATGGCAGCCTTAGTAGCTTTAGAAGCAATACGTGGATCGACCACTGATGCGAGGAATGCCACTGTACTCATTACAGGATTGCCTGTTTTGCTAAATGGTATAGGCTGGTAGGCCAATGGACCCAAAACTCCTCCTACAATAAAAAAAATATAAAAAAATTAAAGGACCTTCTATTTATTATTTAGTACATAATGTATATAACATATACTAGCCAGACTTAATAATAAAACTTTATCTCCCAGTCTACCGTAAGAAAGCTTATTCCAAAAGCATAGCTACATAGCAATTTTACATGAGATAATATAATGTCTTAGGTTATATAGATAGAGCCACGAGTCTCAAAAACGGGCCAACTTTTTGTCAGCTAATTGTCAAATTAGCCAACTCATTTTTTTATCGGTATTTTATATCGTTACGCATACAATGTATCTTGAAGTATTATTTAATAAATAAATGAGAGACTTATTAAAAAGACGTAAAAATTATAAGACAAAATAAATATAGAAGATATAAAGAAATCAGTTGTCACTATTTATAATGCAAATTTGTATGAAAATCTTGATTCGCTTTTCTCGAAGCATTTGTATAGAGACACTCTATTTATCTAAGTGTAATGTATAAGAAATAATTAGGTTACTATATAACAGAGACTGTAAATGAAGGAGATAGGTAGTATGACTCTTAGAAAGGCAGGAGTAGAAAATGCTAGACCTGCGGCGGAGTCGTGCAGGTAGGGCTCCTCGATGGGCAGCCGCAGGAAGTGCAGGATGCACTCGTCGTGTGTGCGCGTGCCCACGTGCGCGGCCACGCGGTTCCAGTCGTCGCGGTGCAGCTCCAGCGCCTCCAGCAGCAGCAGCGTCTCCTGCTCCGTCCACTCGCGGCCGCGAGCGCCGCCGCGATACTGTGTGCACATGTTACTTGTGTAGCAGTTGAAACATGACATACGAATAGACTACTGCTACTACACGAAAGGGCGCTGCCTCTCATGTATTAGTGACCCGGACGGAGTAGAATCTATGGGATAAGTCGCCCGCCCACACATCATCCGGCGGGCAAGAGAAGTTGTTGTTGTTGTTGTTGCATTAAAAATAGTTGAATTGTATACTTGAACGAATAACTCCAACATTGCCATATTTTAGTGAACGCTTTTGGGCTAGCACTATAGAGATACATTCTTGGACCACTGATTTTCGGATGCTTAAATATTAGTCAACGCGAAACATAACAACACATAATAATACGTGAAATGCGACGTTGTCTATCTTTCGTCTATAGAAAATCTGCACGATGATTATCAAACTATGGATGGAAATGAAGGTTTCACTGCGGTACGTCAACATAATAACCAATCTTCCATACAATCTTACATATTAACTAATTGTACCTCAAGTATATACTCAAGTAAGAATGGTAAGATCTAATCTACCAGTGTATTGTATTAAAATGTTTAGCTGTATCTTATGTTGGTAATCCTATAAATAAATAAATAAATAAGTTATCACTTTACTACCTTTTGTGAAGAGAAAATAAACTATTTATTCATTTATTCCATATAGTGTAAAAGAGCAAAAAAACTGTATGCAATTTGATATATTGGCATTTTTACATGGATGATCAGCGACCGATGATCGTCTTAATGTTTGCTAGCAAGTAAAGTGCATTCCTTACCTGGTCAAGCTTGAGACCGGGTAAAGTGCCCAGGTCGAGGGCGGGCTCGGGCTTGACGGCGGGCGGCGTGGGCGCGGCAGGCGGCGCTGCACCCGGCCCCGCAGGGCCCGCTGCTGCCCCCGCAACGCCTGCTTCCGTCCCGTTTGGTAGACCTGCCTCCACCTTTGGTACAGCCGCGTTCTCTGCTAAATTAAAAAATTTAAACATGTATTATCAAACATTTTATACTTTGTATTTTGCACAATGCAACAATTGGGGATCTTGACATTTGGATCTTATAAGATTTAAATTTAAATAAACATGAAGTGTATTTTATACCTCATGTTTAGTTTTAAACTTATACTGGCTTGAATATTCTCAATTACCTGGACGACGTGCGACTAGCGGTTGTAGGCCGGACGGCGTGTCGGACAACACGTGGAAGTGCGACGTGGGAGGCGGACCCATCGCAGTCGGACGTGATTCTGCCTCCAACTGTTGGAACATTCAGTTTGAAAAGTCAAAAACAAATACAGATTGTATGAATTTGAGTAGCATTTCAAATCAATTTGTTGAATTGTCTGCCGTTCATGGTTCAGGTTATTTAAATCAGATGAATAAAATCATGGTTGTGATTTGAACCCAGGTTGTTTTCCACCATAGTCAGGTTTACGGTGAAAGGATATATTTCTCACTACTGGTGCATGTAAGTGGATAAATTAAAGAGTAAGTAAATGAGCGACTAAGTGATAAGACCTGATAGTTGACGAGTCCCCATTGCTCGAGGAAAGCGTGAACGCGCATGATGGCGCAAACGTCGCCGGCCAAGTTACGCCGGCAAGCCGTGCTCGTCAAGTACTCGGTGGGATTCAAGCGGTAGGTGTCGATCATGAAATTCCTGAACATTTACAAATGGGTGTTAATTCCAATATTAGTGCAAATTACTGTAATATTTTATTTTGAATTTAAATTCTATATATAAAATATTATAGAATGGTATATGGGCATTGTGTATATGATACCTGTAAGCCAGATATATTTCGGGTGTCTTAGATTTGTTTTTCCCATTGAAGAACTCTGGCAAAGCGCGTTTCTCTATGGTGTGTATGGAGTTGTAGTCGAACCACGCTGAATATGACGGCACGACGATGTGATGCGTCTGGTCTGTCACATTGTCCTCTAATTCCTCTTTTATCAGCATTTCCTATATATATGAACAAATATCAGATTAATAAACTGAAATCAATTCTACCATTTTAATAATTATTTCTTTGTATTTATTATTAGAAGATTGTATTGTAAACACAAATGGAAAAAAAAATTGGAAATTGAAGTAAATTTAGAACTAATATGACCTTTCGCGCTGTCTTCCGTCTTGCTCAAACATCAATAAGAATAAGGTTCAGCGGTTTTAGAGATTGTGAACGAACATTTTGATATGGAATTTATATACTCATGTATTAAGAAGATAAAAAGATAATGTAACTCACTCTCCTAATAAGAAGCCTAACTAGTTATATAGTATGTCAGACCTGTGTGTTAGAGTCGGAGTGTTTGCCCTGCGAGTCATCGTGCGTGTCGTGCGCGTCGGGCGGCGGCGCGGGTGTGGCGGGGGCTTCGCTGGCGGCTGGCGCCGGCGTCGTCGCCGTCTCCGGCGCTGGAGTCGCCGCTGCAGCTGTGCACACACGATTTATATGATTTCCACTCGAGCAAGGCATATTTAGTTTGCGCTAAAGAGGCTTATGGAATTTTAAAATTTTATGCCTTCTCTATATTAATTGATATAAGCATAAAGCAAATTACATCAACGTATCAAATTTACGAATCATTTTTATGAGAAATGGGATTTCATCATTTCTTTAAGAGCAGATGAAAGTCCAAATAAAAAAAAAAAAGAAAAATGCTAAAAAAATCTTGTGAATACAGAATTAATTGAAAATATACATACATACACACATTGTATATATTCAATATACATGCCATGAAGTACACAAAATAATATTATTTATCGCCTGATTGTGTTAAAATCTTACATTCAGTTGCCCTTTCGCTATCCGGCGTGGGCGCGGTGTCCGTGTTGTCCCTGGACGCGTTGTCCTCCTCGTCGTCGGCGTCATTGTCGCGACGCTTTGTTGTGCGACTGACAAGAATAAGACTACTTATTAACTTCCGTCACCAGGGGGAAAAGGGATTGTTAGTAATGGAGACTGAGAATCCCATTGCTAGCAATATACCCAACCCGGTCGACCTCCTCGCGGTTCTCCCTGGAAACTATCATGGTTAATTCCTGATGAATAATCATCATGATGGGCTAACTGACCTGTTTTCATTCTCATCTATCACCCGTCACTGGTGCTCCGCCAACGTATCCCGTTAGCGCAGGCGGGGTTACCATACCATTTTCACCCATAAAAAAAAAACCTTTCGTCTCCATAACAACACAATATTACATAGATAAATAGTCTACTATTGCAAAACATTAAATATAATGTTGTTATTAGTTAAAATAAGTAGGTAATTTTTTAAAAATTTTAACAATTTTCTCGAAAAAAGAATATATTAATATTTTGACAAAGTAATATAATATATTAATTACTAATTTACTAGAACTGAACTACAAGTAAATAATTATTTAAAGTTTTTTTTTTAATTTTACTATTTTAATTAACAACAGTAAATTTTAATATGATTGTATCCCTGAATTACTTTTTTATAAGTAATGTAAGAACGGCAGATATGATGATGATGATGATGATGATAAACAATACCTCTTTCTCTTGCCGTGTTTCTGCGGCGGCGGCGACGGGGACCGCTTCCTCTTGCTGCCTTTCTTGCCCTTGCTAGACGGCTCCGCGCCCGGTAGTAGGTCATCAACCGACAAACGCAGTTTGTGGACCTTGTAGAAAAAACTTATAATTGTATTTAGGACATAACAGTTTAAAAAATTTACTAAAAAAAAATACTTCTATAACACATTGATAAAAATAATAGGGGACCAACACAAGTAAATCCAATTGATTGCAATAATAATTATAAAAAACTGTTTAGAATTGGTGTAATAGTTGTTTGTATATATCCCAAAAATTACAGTACCTCTTTTTTAACTTAGCCTAAAAAAGTTTTGACTATATTTTTATAGAAAATTGATATGATTTTATATGCCCCCATGGCTCTACCTTTTTCTTGCCGTTAACATCAACTTCATAGTCTTCCTCATTCATCCACTCGTTGTATTGCGGAAGGTCAAGAATCCAAGATGCAGACACGCGCCATGGCTCAGAGCGGTTGCACTCCCAATTAGCGGTTTCTGGTACATCCACCTAGATTTTTCAAATTTCATTAAAGGCACATTCGCGCAATAGGGTAGGTTTCAATTGTAACTAAGTATATAAAAATGACACAGTAGTAAAACCTCCAATTTTTTATGTTAATTAAAGCGATGTAGCTCATGCGCTCAGCTTATTTTTTCACGTAAAAGATAACTACACCAATGAGAAGTCACTCTATTTTGTCCCTTTTGGGGTAAACAAGAGAAATTAATCAATAATAATATAATATCTATCTAATATTTCTATCTTATTATAAATTGTTTTTAACCCTTAAAAGCCTGATTTTTAAATCAAATAAAAAATATATATAAGTGTACCCTTTACTGTGTTTACTAATGGACAAAAATAGTAAATAAATCAAAACGATATTTTTTAAATATTTATTTAAAAAAAAAAATTGGTATTATTTTTGATACTTTAGGCATTACGGTAATCAAAACATAGAAATTTATTTAACAATTTCATTGTTAAATAAATTTAAATATGCAATGCAAACCCCGGTATCAAATTTGAAACTTCAGGTATTTAAGGGTTAACTATATATCAGAATCCTTGCTTGCCTTATAACTTGTTAGTGTTATTTAAACTGCGTTCTTTAATTATATACATTACCGGCAAATCGGCCGGCGCCCACGTGTCGTGACTGTCAGGTAGGTAGTACCAATGCACGAGCACGTTGTTGCCGCGACGGATCACTGGTCGCGCGTACTCCTCTTCAAGAGGATCCACCGTTGGATATATTATGTGCGTAGCTTCCTCCTCGTCCTCTGAACCCACACATAACACATGAAGATCAATTATTATTATTTAACTCTTTGTTGCACTAATCTATATGTATCAATCTATTTCATTGTAATTACACGAACTTGGTGGTGCAGCAATTTGAACCGTCTTACCTTTCGATAGTCGTAGGTTTGATCCCCGCACAATAAATTCATTTGTATTTATTAATATTAACAATTGTAATATGAATTTGCATATTTCAATAACAATTGGCAATTAGTATATTGCCAAGTGTCTAATCATAATTAAATGTATCAGGCTCTCAATTCTATACCTACCGCAAATATCTCCATGATGTCCGATAATCTCTTTAATCTTATTCACAGTGGCCTTGTCCACGTCTGGTCGTATGTAGACACACGGCGTGCGTACTATCTCAGCGGTGCTCAGAGAGGATTCAATCTCCATCATCATTTGTACATTCAGGTCTTTGCGCGATGGATTCTGAAAATGAGGAAGGGGGGACGGGACGAGAGGATTGACGTCCAATCAGTATCAGATATTTAATACTTTTAAGTAAAACTAATTAAATGTATGCTATTAGCAAGGATTATACATTTAACATCTCAGATATTAGGTTTTATGAACCTCGACCATTTCAGCAACACTCATCTTGTAATTAATAAAAAACTTTTTAAAAGAAAATGATGTACCTTGTATCTGTCAAGTTCCGAGGCGTTAAATGGATAATGACAAAACCCCTAAGAGGTAACCCTTAAGTAGTGACACTACATAATCTGTTGTGAAAAGTAAACCAACACTTCTACAAATGATATACGTTACATTATTATAACACTGTTATCGTCAGCTGTACGCGTTGTTTTAGGAATTTATAGCAAGCCAACATTCATTCCATCCCTACTTTCATTTAATGTAAATATGTTAAGAGCTCATTTTGTATGTTGTCTCTTTGATTTGTGCGTTTGGTTCTTTTACGTAACATCCATCTTTTAAACGCGTAGTGACGACAATAGGAATACAAACGGAGAGCGTTCGTAGACCCCCATTTTATTGTAGAACAATAATTAGTTAAAAAAGGCTAGGGAATCTAGGAATGCTTTTGATAATATTTTTTGTTAGAGGTCTCGTATATATCGTATCTGGAATGCACGCCTATTACTAAGACCCATATTCTATATACGATCTTATTGTAATTCCGAGATAAAAAAATATATAATAATCGTTTTATATGAACTTAGAATTTATACATAAATATACCTCAAATATCTATAAAATCCTGACAACCGTTTTTGTAATGTGCTTACACATAAACACAAATTCATAGCATTAATCTAAAAATCTACTTATTGAAAAGTATAAAATTCGCAGATATAAATTTGTAAATTAAATTGTAATAATTTCAATAGGTACATACAAATTGGTACAAAAGGGCATTAAATATTTGTCTTAACAATAAAAAATAAAGCATGCAAACCAAAATGAGGAAAGGAATTTATATTAGTCACAAAAATTCACTGGTTATCAAAAACACAAAATGCAAGACTTGAAGGGCCCCAGGTAGAAATTATTTACAAATAATAAAACCATTTCAATTCCCAAAACAAACACATTGAAATAAATGGATTGCATGAAATGAAAAATAATAATGAGGGGAGAATTTGGAATACTTTTAAGCATACAAGTCCATGATAAACACCATGACAAGGAAATAATTGTGTAGTAATAAAAATCTTGTGATAAGTAATGGTTTAACTACTACAAAATGCATAAAAATAGGAAATTCTGAATGTGAGAATAATTGTGTTTAATAAAAAATGTGCTTACACACGAAATTGTAATATTTACATAAATTTGTGAATTCATATATTTTTAAAAATGTGTGGGTATATAATTAACATCTCATTAAAAATTCTAGGTTCATGTACTGTTGTGTAGTGTGCAATGTTAATTATGTATATCATACCCTTAAAACATTCGTGCCATTGAAAAACATGAGTGTAACATTTACTACGTAATAGTAGAAACAATAAGTTAAAAGTAAATATTTGTGAAGATTAAGGCTATTATTTTTTATATAAATTTCATACATTTTTTTAAATAAAAGAGTAGTAATAGTTAGAGTAAAATGTAAAGTGGACTCTTTTTCACACTAAGCCTCTCATATGGGCCATTGTGTGTAAGATTTTAGAGTAAAATAGAAAATGTTACAAGCATGTCAAATGATGCATTGTTAGAGCCGCACAGTGCGGGGTCTGGCAGGATCTGGCGAGATCTGGCAGGGTCGGGCGTGAGCGTAGCGGGGTGCGGGGCAGTGCATACCTTACCGACCTGGAAGTCGAACTTGCGCCACCGTTGCTCCGACTTAAAGCGGAACATGGTGGCAAGCACCGTACACAGGGAACCGCCTGGCTTCATGTCCATAAACACTTTCATCTAAAGATTATTAAAATTTGTGTTGATTAAATTTTATTTTTTTATATACATATTTACTTCAATTAATTTTGTGATAAAAAGTTCAGATCAATGACATTCTAACATAAGAACCATAAGTCCTGTAAATATTGTAATAAAGAAATTAAATGTGAAAGCACTTTCCACCTGGTCTAGTTGCTTTATAGACTTTAGAGTACCAAGTTTCTACTTAAAATTTATATTAAGCTTTTAGGATAGACAAAAAAGTACTAGAAGTTATATTTTATTTATTTTAATCTAATTTTGATAACTGTAATTGCTAAAAATTTATTGTTTTAAAATTGATACAATTATATAAATGAATTTAATGTACATTTTAAATTTAGTTCTGGTTATATTTGTAGTACTCATTGTTTGTCTTTGTCCATGTTCTGCAGTTTATAAATGTAGTTATAACTTACTGGAAGCCGAATAAATGGTGGGTCTGATGCATTTTTTCCCAGTTTATTCTCTTGATATTGTATAAGTTGAATGACAAGTTGAGCCAAGCCCTCTTTAGTCGGTGGGTCGGTTTGTACATGCTACAAGAGTATAAAGTATATTAAATATAAGGCCATCCTTTGACTAAATTAAACAATAAGCCCTTCAATTAAGAAGTAAATCGTCCAAATTAGGTTAGAGATTATATGCTTTAAGAAAGCGATGATTTTTAATGTAAGCTTAGTTTTATTGTTACTTCTATAAAATACGTTTAGTATATATAAATATAATAATGATATGTTTTGTTTAAACTGACCTTTTTGCAATTTTTTTGAAGCCAAACACGAATTTGATCAAACTGAGCAAGTGACTCCGGTGCCTGAAAATAATCCACATTGGGCCCTCCATCCTTCTTAGGGCATATAGTAGTCATGTTTAATAATCACTTTTGTATTAAAGATATGTAATTTATGCGAAAATTTAAAGACAAAAGTTAATCATTAAAACTGTAAAAACAAGCCAAAGCGGCGTCGTCGTCTATTTTTTGACATTCATAAACGTCAGTCGCAGTCAGTCAATTTACTGACACTGTTACTATCAGTCCTGTCTATAGTTTTGGATACTTACCCTTTAACGACAGCTTGTTTTTCAATTCATTTAGTACCTATGATATGGTTGAGATTATGCATTATTATATACTACAATACATATAATACTACAATTACAATAGTAATACAATGAAATTAAATAAATACTATGAAAAAAAATATCATCAAAATCTTTAAATGGTTTAATTTGTAAATCGCTTTTTTATTTTATTATTAACTTTTACCTCTACGTCATTTTCGTGTATTAAAAATGTAATTCCGGTTCGTTTCTCAAACTATGTAAAACATTGCTCAGAGATTTGTTGTGTGATAAACAAATCCAAGAGATAAAGGAGCTGGGTAATCTATTTAGATAGAGCATTGACCGACAGAGAAGAAAGGCGTTCTCGATGTATATGATCGCATAATGTACGTCACAAAAAAAACTTTGACATCCGTAATATATCTCATATGTGCCCTTTTCTGAAAATATTTGTCTTATGTCTCTATATCGCCATATCCTTTCAAACTGAAACACAGCCATGCAATCACAACTCTAACACATGTGAGATAGTAGCGAAGTTACCATTTTATTACCTACCTACCTACATATATATCACGCTTGTTCACCATTGTAAGCATGGTAGATAAAACAAAAAATATCATCAGTTGTTAACTGTCCACTGCTGAATATAGGCCTCCCCCATAATAAGGTTTTTACCAGTAGTTGCCACGATTGGCAGGTGGATTAGCAACCGCAGTTAGGCTTCGGTGATGTTTTTAGACAAAACGCTGCTGTTTATCCTTCGACTATTAAATTCCCTAAGTTGCCTCTTACGACACCAACGAGAAAAGAAAAGACGGTTTATTCTATGCCGGGACCACACGGCTGTAAATATTTACTTAACATTACCAGTTTTTAACAAATAAACAAATATCTTTAATACGAAGTAAAATTATAGATTATAAATGTCTAGGCATTTTATCAATAGCTCAGTTCAATACATATCACGAGTGAATGTTATTAAAATTAATAGGTACGTATAAGGAGTTATTGTTGCAACTATCTATGTATGTGCAACAATAGTCGATAATTCTAATAGGTTCTTAGATTACATTACAATGAATAATCAGAATCAATTACAATGGTAGGTATACAAGTATTCAGTACATACATTAGGGGTTAATATTTTTTTTAACTGATGATAATGGAATGGTAACCTTCCTGCGCTAACGGTATACGCTGGCGGGGCATCAGTGAGGGATGATGAGTGGCAATAAAAAGGCAGGTCAATTAGCCTATCGTGATAAATTCACTTGGAATAGAATACGACAGTTTCCAGGAAAAACCGCGAGGAGGTCGACCTAACAGGGTGTATTTTTTTATGGGTGTATTGCTAACAATGGGGCGGAGCACCAGTGAAGGGTGATAGATGAGAATGAAAATGATAGTTAGCCCATCATGATGAATCATCAGGAATCAACCATGATGGTTTCCATGAGGAACTCGCGAAGAGGTCGACCTGGTTGGATATATTGCTAGCAAGAAAAAGCTGATAGTCTCCATTATTAACAATAGTATTATATTAACAGGCTGTATTGCTAACAATGGGGCTACTAGTGATGATGAGTGAGTGATGATAGTTCTCATCTATCATCACTCACCAGTGAGGGATGATAGGTTAGAATGAAAGGCAGGTCAGTTAACATTTGATTATATTGTTTTATGTTTGTTTGTTACGTCATATCTCCATCATGTCATAAACCGATTTGGAAAATTCTTTTTTTATATAAAAGTATAATTAATTATTGATGGATGTAACAGTTCCTTCACCCCCAATGTTAATATTAATATTTAAAGATTATTTAGGGATATTTTCAATCAGTTTAAAAAAACTCAGGAGGTTCTCAATTTGATTGTAATGTTTTATGTTTGTTTATTACCTCATATCTCCATCATGTCATAAACCGATTTGGAAAATTATTTTTTATATAAAATTATAATTATATATACTTATAGATTAGTTCCTAAGAAATTTTATTTAAACCTGTTTAGAAGTTTAATTTTTAAATCAAAACAACTGGTTTCGCTGCAACTGAAATCGGTTTTTTTGTGGAACACGAATTTAATTATTTTAACTAACTATGACAATAACTGTAGGTACCTAGAATACAAAATTGTGTTGAATATTATGCATATAAGTTTGTGTCAAAAATCTAATTAATAGATAATATATATATATATATATATATATATATATATATATATATATATATATATATATACGGAGGCACTAATGTATTAGAAACATCGAGGTTATACTGAGTAAAGATAAAATGTAGACCATAACCTTGTTTTAACTGTCTAGAAGGTTAATAATAATAGATATTAATTCAATGTAGACCGCATAAATGTAAAAAATATCTAATTAGATATAATGGGCTTCAAGTAAAAAAAAATTTATTTGAAATATCGATAAAGAAATAAAACATGTAGCGACTTATTTAAAAAAAATATGGATAATTATCCATATTTTTTTAAGTATCTATACAAATGGTGAAATATAAATTGAATTAGAATAGGCCACCCTTCCTTTCCCGTGGGTGTCGCAAGAGGCGACTAAGGCAGGGCGAAGATTGATCAGCAGCGTCCCTCTTAAAATATCTCTAACGTCTAACTGCGGTTGTCATCCCGTCTGTCTGCCAAAGATGGACTTTTTTTAAAAAGTTAGAGAGTAAACATCGATGACGGCCCACTAATGGAAAGTTTTTCATATAGACATGGCATTAATGGACATAACAGAGGTTATACTGTTTGGTCATGATAAAATGCGTTGCCATTCCTTGTTTCAGGTGTTATTCCTGTTAATAATATTAGATATTATTTCGTACCGAAATATAGCCATGCAAAACAATGCTTCAATTAGATATAATGGGACAGAGTAAAAAGCAATCGACTTTTGTATTTGGTATATCGGTAAAGGATTGAAAACATTAAGGGATTGTTAGTAATGGAAAAAATGATAATTGTGCTATATCTATACAAACCATCAAAATATAACTTATTGTTAAATTTGTCACGATAGGCCAACTAACCTGCTTTATCCTCACTTGTCATCTCTCACTGATGCCCCACCAGTGTATACCGTTAATGTGGACAAGGATAGCATTCCATTATAACTGCTATATCTCATATCATACCTAAAACTTAGTCATGTAAGCACACCTACTTGCCAGCAAAAACATTAATGAACCAAAAATATAGATGACTTTATACAAAGTTTCCCGAGTGGGACAGATGTTAGACATGTAGATCACCGTATACATAAAGTATGAAAAATTAGGTGGTCTTGTAAAATCAGTTTTTATAAAACTTTGTACAAAAGTCGATTGCTTGGGTACCTCTGTCCCATTCGTGTTTCAACCGTGAAGCAGTTTTGTTTTCATGGCTGTGTTTTAGTTTGAAGGGTGTTATTGCCGTGAATTTACTGTAAATTACAGAGGAATAACACCTGAGTCCTCAGGAACACAGTATCATGGGCGAAATACAACTGCTGTTATGTCCATGGTGCTGAATATTTATAGGTGACGGTTACCACTTTCCATCAGGTGGGTCATCAGCTTGTTTGCCATTTAAAGATGCATAAAAAAAAAAGTTAAAAACTGGCTATCGTGGTAATTTTTCCAAAAGGTATGTTGGCTTTAGTATCAGTCTACTGGTGTTATCATGACATCCGGGCAAATCTAATGAACTAATGGCCCCTTAATTGAAAGAAATTATAGGCGCGATATACAGGATTACTTTGACTTCCTAATGTTCAACAATTAAAAACCTTGATCAAGTTTAAGACTTCCGCTGTATGGCGCGTCGAACCGTGACAGGCTCTGTTTTATGTGAAGCTATAGATAACTTATAATAAAGATAATAAAATTGCATACCTATTATAACTTATTCACGGATAATTTACATCAGGTGGCCTACTTAGAAGGACCACGTGTGAAAACATGTAATGTTTCTACATTTTATTCTTATAAACGAATGTTTGGACTCTTGACATGAGAACTAATAGCTTTGCTTGATCTGATTATTTTGTATTTTTATCTCCGGGCTGGAAACCAACATGATTATCTATGATACGATATCTTACTACATCTTATGAAATTGTCCTGATAGGCTAACTGACGTGATTACATCTTCACGACACTTCATGACTCCAGTATACATTGACTGAATACTAGTATTCAGTCAACGTATATCGGAGTCTTGGGGCAGAGAGTAAACAAAAAAAAAACAGGTTTAAGGCTTTTATATATATAATATTCTTGCAAGGCATACAATAACGATTACTAAAGCAGTGAAGGCTATATTATTTGATAGTGACAACGATCGTTGCGGTTTGCGACCTCTGTTTCATTTATACCACGCTACTACTCCACGCCGGACGCAACTGGGTCAAAACAAAAGCAGCTAAACTCTTTTTTTTTATCAATTAACAATAGCTAATAAAATAATTTAAGTAACGAAGACGTAATGAAAGTCAACATATTAATAGCAGTGTTTTTAACTGTATTGATTAATATAAATGCCTACAGATCGCCTGCACCGCTTATAAAAAATGTAAGTGATAATTTCTTTTTTTTTTTTGCTAATTAATTGTGAAATTATGAAGAAGTTACACTTGTTTGGCTAAATCTGACTAAATCTTATAATCTTTTGTTTTTAATAGTTAAAATCAAAAAGAAAATTAAGATTTTGCATCGCAATATCGCTATAAAGATAACTAGGTACTTTAGTCGTGAGTGATTAATATAAGATTATCACGTGAGTAAACCATATTGATTTCAAAATTAATCATCTAAATCGGTTCTGGAAGTGCAACATAAAAACAAAAAAAATAAAACAGATGAATTGAGAACCTCCTACAGATTTTTTAGATGTTCCTTAAAAAGTTTGCTATTATCTTTTGAGTATGACTCAATAACTATGAATAAATAAATAAATTACCTGTACGCCCAATACAAGTTTATAAAATTATTATGCATCTGTTATTCCCCGTTTAGGCGGTCATTGACATGTTCTCATGAATTTATTATAATAACTAAATCGTTATAATAAAATATGTATTGGAAAGTGACATTTTTGGAAGACATAGTGACAAATAGTTCGTAGCCTGTACACCGAATGGTTTATTCCTTTGTTCATATGTCACTATCTCGTATAAAATGATACCTGGCAAGAGATATTTCAAAAAGAAAAAATGTAGGAATATGAAAATCATATACTAATAATTGTTGAAACATTTCGAAATGAGTAGAAGTTATTCCATCTATTTCGAAATTGTCGAAATAACGTGATTAAACTGGTAAGAATACAGGACCCGCCATAGCAAAGAAAGTGCTGATTCAAATCCCGTCTGTTTTGAATGTTAGAATATGATTTGTATATGTCAATAATATTTTATAATAATATTATATACATAACAACTTGCAACGAGTAAGTTGCAAAGCGTGTTATCATAAATATTAATAATTTATGATTAATAAAAATATACTTGCTTATAACAAAATGTTCACGTTTTATTTGGTTATTATTCTATTTATTTATATTTATATAATCACTAATGATGTTGTAAATTTAGAAAGAATACCATACCTAATATATGTATTTCAGATATTCCGTAGCGATGGTCACTTAGAGGGTCCTCATTGGTCGACGGAGGAGAATGCTCTCTATTTTGTAGACATAACAGGACAGAAGGTGCACAGACTGGATGTACAGACTGGCAATATTACTACCAAATATATAAGTAAGTATAATTCTATCTCCATACATATACGTGAATAACTATTGTGACCTAAAAAGTTAAAATAGTCGCATTTAATACAATCGCTTTATGCAGCACATAATTAAGGTTCATTTTCTATCTAATACTTATATAAGAACAAATATTAGGTACAAAACGAATATTACTAGTACAATAGTACTATAAAATAATATAAAACGAGTGGTAGAGACATACCTTACAGAAATTTATAACTAGTGTCCGACCATAACAGGTTTTACAGCCGAAACCGAAATCGAACTTTCGGTGTTGGTCTCTGTTTCGGCCGAAACCGAAACTTACTGAAACATATTTAAAATTTCTCTTGTATACTGAAATCTAGTGTATTTTTTACACAATTATTTACACAAACACACAGATAGTTAAAGGTAATAATAAACACTAATTAAAGTATGTAACAAATATGTCATATATATTTATATATAAAAACATGTTAAAGTCATGACTTACTCTTGGAAGTAAACTTAATAAAAAACAACTTTCAGTTAGACACACACACAACCAAAATTTCGGCGCGGCCGAAGTTTCGGATAATTTTTGGCCGAAACCGAAACTAAGACCGAAAGTAGAATTTCTGGCCGAAACTAGCCGAAACCGAAACCGAAAGTTCGGTCGGACACTACTTATAACCACTCAATAGATTATGCGCTCTGGGCATAGATAAAACAATAGTACCATAGTCCTTGCATTGAGGTGTGATATTAGTAGAATTATATTATTCATTCCATTTCTGTATTTCGTATAATTTTTCTAAGTCAAAAACAATAAGGTGATGACGTTAAAATAATCTTTCAGGTTATGGCCCTGTTTCCCTCGTTGTAACAGTAAAAGACAATCCCAAACTGATACTGGTATCATCCAGATCGGAGATGTACTTCTTACCGTGGGATTCTGAATCTGTTGACAAGTCGCTACGGCTGTTAACCGTTGTTGACTTAGGGCTACCAGATAATAGAATTAACGATGGCAAAGTGGATGCTAATGGAAGACTTTGGTTTGGTAAGTATTTATGAACTCATCTATAAAAAAAAAAAAAACTTAAGATACGACGATAAATATTAGAAATTAGTTGATCCTGTGACTTAACTCTCGTGAATCCTACTAATCCAAATAAAACGGGGGAATGGATTGTTGGTAATATAGACTACCAGTCTCATTGCTAACAATGTATGTATCAGGTCGACCTCCCCGTGCCCCTCTATGAATCATGCTGAATTCCATAAAAAATATTTAACTTTGTTACTCAGTCATCTTTAAATGTCTAAATGAATTTAAATGAAATATGGTAAACGAGTCGGTTATATCCTAACTTAACCTAAGGCACTTTATACATATATAGAGGCACGCAGACAAAGTCAAGAAAAACAGCTAGTTAGTATGTAAATTTTCCTATAATTTTATAGTGGAACGTAAATGGGTTATCATGTTTATTGTATGGAGCGATTCAAGTGAGTCTATCATATCTTTTTTTTCAATTTATAGGAACAATAGGCAACGAAGTGGCAGGCGTGGTGGATCAGGACAAAGCCACTCTGTACATGCTGGATGAGCATAATTACGCGCATCCCGAAGAGAAAGTGCGACCAGTGAGCGTGTCCAACGGGATCGCTTGGACCTCAGACAACAAATACATGTTCTATATCGATTCTCCAACAAGAAATGTTGACGTGTTCGATTTTGATTTGAGTACTGCAACCTTACGTAAGAAATATTATTACTGTTCTATACGAGGTTTGTCCGGAAAGTACGTATAAAAGTTTTTTAAAAATTTTATTTTACAATTATTCAGGTAAATCAATTTTATCCCCTTCAAAGTACTCCCCCTGTGACATAATGCACTTGTGCCAACGCCGTTTCCACTGTGAGAAGGCTCCTTGAAAGTCCTCTGGTTGTAGGTTTCTCAGCTGCCCCGTCGTAGCTTTTTTTATCTCATTTATGTCCCCCAAATGCCGCCCCCGAAGTACCAATTTGGTTTTTGGGAACAAGAAGAAGTCACACGGGGCCAAATCCGGCGAATAGGGGGGTGTTCGGTCACCGTAATGGAATTTTTACTCAAAAACTCACGGACAACAAGAGAGGTGTGGGCAGGGGCATTGTCGTGGTGAAGAATCCAACGCCCCTCTCGCGCCAATTCTGGACGAACTCGTGCCACACGAGCTTTGAGGCGTCTGAGCACATCGACGTAGAATTTTCCATCAACTGTCTGGCCTGGAGGGACGAATTCTTGATGGACAATCCCCCGAACATCGAAAAAAACAATCAACATTGTCTCGGCCCTCTCTGAATCTTTTTAGCCACTTGTGGACGGTTGGTTCCTTCACAGCATCATCCCCATAAACTGTTCTGAGATCGGCAAAAATTTCACGGCCATTCTTGCCGAGTTTCGAGAGAAACTTGATTACGACGCGCTGCTCTTCAACGGAAGCGGGCTCCATGCCGACGGGGTTTCGTTAAGAGGTAACTTCACAGATGGCGTGACAAGCCAGTTCGCACCGCACGGCGGTCAGACCAGAACTGAAGCATTGTTAGGGACATAAGGAAGGGGTCTTGCGCTTACCTGGCCTCCCCACTCCTCTTTCTCGCATTCCAGAACACTTTTATACGAACTTTCCGGACAGACCTCGTATATAAAAAAAATGACGACTAAGAGAAGGCGAGGTGAGGGATGGACAGCAGCGTCCCTTTTAAAACATCTCCTGACTGCGGTTGCTAATCCACCTGTCAAGCGTGGCAAATACTGGTAACAAGGGGATGCTTATGTTCAGCAGTGGACAGTTAAAGGCTGATATGATGATGATGAATACAGTTTTATTTGTGTTATACAATATTTACTAACATAGTTGTAACTCAACTCTTTCTATTGTCGTCGATTACTTGCATTTTTATTAGTAAATATATATAAATATTTAAGAAATAATAAAAAAAAAATGAGGTCTTAATATGGCCAATAAAAGTTAAAACTTTTTTTTTTTATTTGTATATCTGTATATTTGTTCCAATGTTACCTTAAAACAACTGCATCAAACTAAATGGGGTTTTTATAGTCGTGTTCCTAAAGGTGTAACTTAATTTCTAGCACGTGTTTTATCTTGATACCATCTAGAAGAGATCAATTTAATTGGTTTTCCTACATCTGAAATCCGCGCATAAAAAGTAGCGGGCAAAAAGCTCGTAGAGATTAAAATATTTAAGCAAAATATTTAAAACTTAAATAACTCTTTTACAAACTTAGAGTAACGTAGTAAACGTAGAGAGAACAAATAGTTCACCTGAGTTAAATATTAATTCATTATAATTTAAAATAGATACCTATTCATATTTCATTGAATGGATATGGATCATGTACATATCTACATGACAATGTTTTATCGGAACGTGCTATTTTTTTATGAGTAATAAATAATGAAATGGTAACGCTGCGCTATCGGTATATGTTGGCGAGGTATCAGTGAGTAAGGTGAGTGATAGATGAGGATGAAGTAAGATCAGTTCTGAATTATTAATAATTTATTAATAATTTGTGATTATATTAAAAATTGTAATTATGAATAAACCAATAGCGTAAGCTTTCTTTTCGTCAAGTTTTTTGGAAATAAGAAGAGCTGAACTATTTACTTATCGTATGATACAGAATGTACTTATTAAATACCTATATTTTTACCCTTTTTCAATATTCTTAATATATAATATTATAATGTTTGGCAAATACTTTTCTAAAGCTAATTAAAAAAAAGTAGTTTTATACATCAGCATCCGGCCCCGAATTAAGTAGTTTATGCTATGAGTATTGGAAGACCGATACAAACTTAAATATATCTTATACTAGTGATCCTGCTCAGCTTCGCAGGGCTCGATAGAATTTTCGAAAATAATATATGGCTTGTTACTCCCCGATAATGCAGTTTTGAATTCATTACAAACCGTCTGTTCATGCGGACTAAGAGTTCCATTGCTAGTAATACACCCTATTAGGTCGACCTCCCTGTTGTATCCCTTGGAAACCATTGTGCTGAATTCCAAGTCATCACGATGGGCTAACTGACATGCCTTTTCATCCTCATTAGTTAATTAGGAAAAAGTTCTATTATGATATTATATTTGCAGGTAACAGAAGAACACTGTTTAGTTTCCAAGCCAACAATGTGACAGGGGTACCAGATGGCATGACCATTGATACTGATGGTAATCTATGGGTGGCGTGCTATAAAGGTGGCAAGGTAATTATTATATTTTCAAAAGATCTAGGAGTATAGTACTCGTATTATATTGTCTTTTTTTATGCAACTTAGAATGACAAACAAGCTGACGATCCACCTGATGGAAAGTCGTAACCGTCGTATATAGACATGAGCAGTACCATGGACATAACAGAGTATACTGTTTCGTCTATGATACTCTCCATGCGTTGCCATTCCTGTGGACTTAGGGTGTTATTCCTCTGTTCCCTGTAAATTCATTGCCAGATCACACCCTTGTCTGTCTGTGTTTAGAATTGTCGATTAAAGACAAGAACAATGTCGATAGAATGGTTTTAATTTTACAGTTTACTCTCTTAATCGGAAAAGTGGATAGGTATTGCAACAGATATCTGCTTTCTTTTACTTTCACCTGTACATACCTTTCATTGAAGCTCCTTGTAAAAAGTAAATCGGACTGCTGTAGCTAGTGACTACGACAAACGTATCACAGACTAGTTATTTTATATATAGTAAATTTCATATTATAAGAAAATGGGTAAATTCAAGTAGACACGGCACCTAATTCGATATTAATAGTTTTGTTATTGTATTTAAGTACAGGCGAAGTAGAACAAATCAATTTAAATATCTATGTGATAATAAATTATCTGTAGACGACTATGAATTTAATAGGCAAATAATTAAAATACATCGGCACCTACATATGGTTTTAATATTTATAACATTTTTGCAATCATTCGTATTAAATTACTTGGTATCTATTTATCATCATAAATGCCAGAGAGATATTTACATCACTGTTGTGCAAGCATGGACGTGCATTATAGAATACTAGCTCTTACCCGCTATTTCTTCTACGTGACCTTGTTGTGAATGAATGAATGAATCAGTATACTTTATTTGCATTATACAATATAGGAATTCAACAAGGCAATTTACAAACACAACGATACAATTGTATAAGTACAGTGACGGTCTTATTGCTGAGAGCAATCTTTTCAAGACAACCTTAAAGTTATGTTTATTGACAGGGATAAAAAGTATAGTATACCATTCTCAATCTTATATTATTGTACACGTATACCAAAATTCATAGTGTTTGGTTAAGCCGTTATAAGGTAACAAACAAATAAACTTACTTTCACATTTATAATATTAGTAAATATTATGACCATATACTATTTGCCCTCTGAGTTTAATCAGGCACAAATTACATTGACAATGGTATAAAAATTTACCAAGTGAGATTTCAAAGCGTTTATTTAACAAACATAATTTTAGGTAATACCACCTATCTTTTTCAGGTCATTAAGATAGATTCAAGAGCGGGGAAGCTGCTAGAACAGCACAAACTAGAAGTAAGTCAAGTATCTTCGGTGATGTGGGGTGGGCCTGACCTATCTACTTTGTTCGTCACAACAAGCCGACGCGATCTCTCTCCTGCCCAATTAGCCCAAGAACCGGAGGCTGGGTCATTGTTCGCCATACAAGGAACTGGATCTAGAGGATTCCCAGAGAACCAGTTTGTATTCGCCGATGCAGATAAATATTGATTACATAAGACTTGTTACAAACGTTTATACTTTGTACTTATCTCTGTTTTTATTGTTCTAAATTATGTGAAAAATTAATATGTAGTTATATAAAATAAATTACTTTATTAAATATTACATTTATTGTATTTAGACTTAAATGACTTATTTTAGGGGGGGGGGGGGCATTGAGGGGCAATGTTCTAACTTAAAATGAAAGGCTTCAAGAGAATTAGATTCGCTTTTTAGAAGTCATTTAATTATGTCTTCTGCCCTAACAAAAAGTTCTTTTGCCCTACCTTAAACATGGGTCTAGCTAGCTACAGCCCTAACTTAATTACATTAAAAATACGAGCAATAATATTAATGAAATGCTTTTAACACTTTGTATTATATTTTCGAAATATGAACAAAGGTAGTTTTGTAAGCCAACCAATAAAACATTGATTGCAAATGTATAGATTATTGTTTCGAATTGCTCATTTTGTCTTTAATAAGCGGAAAACAGCCTGCAATCTTGTTCTGAACTTTTGTTTGAAAGTAGCTACATTTATACGTACCTATAACTCAATATGTACAGGATAAATACAAGTAAAAACCAATTTAATATGGGGGTCAATAAGAAATATAAAGATAAAATTTTTATTACTTTTATTTAAACATTCAGATTTCTATGTTCAAAAACTGATGTATTTTTAATTGGAGATACAAAGTCGATATAGGTAGAAGTTAGGTATTTGGCATCAGTGTAACGTGTATGTACAAAGTACACATAGATACGTAGAAAGTGACACAGAAACAAGATATAACGATTTAGTAACAATTAATTGACATCACGCCAAACATTACAACAATGTTTTATATGGTACACATATTAACAATGTTAATAGGAAATATAACTATTATATTAATATTAAATGACGTATACAAAGAATACACCATCAAACCTGCTCCCGTCTCGTTAACTGGTTACATGGTAATAATTGTACTTACTTTTTTTCATTATTTCCATGTTATAAAAACACACATTAATTTTTTAAAACTTTTAAGTTTTTTTTTTCGTTATTTCCTATTGTGACTTTTTTAATTATTTTATTTAAGAAATACTCCCTGCTAAGTATTTCTTTGCTATTATTATCATTTTAAATATAAATCTTGCGTACATAATTAAATTGTGTTCCATAAAATTTTAATTGTGGCAAAACCAATTATTTTGATTGAAAGATTAAACTACTGAGCCGATTTTGATAAAATTTCTTTGGAACTAATCTGTAAGTATATCCTTGCAGATAAAAAAGAATTTTCCAAATCAGTTACAACTGATGAAGTTATGAGGTAACAAAGATAAAAAAAATCGAATTGAGAACCTCTTTCTTGGAAGTCGGTTGAAAATAATTAAATGACGATGAAACCGAATTAATCAAACGCGTCAACCCGTGATTTAAAAGTAAACGGAGATTCAAAGTATACAAAGTACGCAAACACAGACTTTGTTTTATACTACATATTTAAAGAAGCGACAATTATTTCTTTTTGCTCGAAGCGAAAATATAGCTGGTTCAGCTACAGTATTTAGTATACAGTCGCAACCGTGATGGATAGCGTGTCATTCTATAAGACTATACTTAATATAATTTAGGTATAGCCTTAGTAAAAATATCAACATTGACTTAATAGCTAAATACGGCGACAAACCTACTTATGCGTTTTGGGATATCTAGATATTATGCTTATAATATTTTAAGAGGACGTCACTTACACTATATAATACTGTTATAAAGGTAAAAATATTATTATCTAACGTTTAAAAATAAAACTCACACGTAACAGATCGCAGAGATCGTTGAATTGACATTTATTACATTAAGTGATAACATTTCATTACAATGATAACTATATCTCATATTTTGTGTAATTATTGTCATTATAGTAATTGCATAATGCTGATTATTTAAATCAATTTTACAACATTCCAATTCAACCACAAGCTTCAACTTTACACTACAATTATGATAAACATACGACTTTTTTTCCACTTTCGTGCAGGCTGAGATCACAATCGCCAGTAGCTACCTATTTTGACGTAATAATTAACATTTTACATTCATGCATTTCATCATGCAAACGTTGGGACTTTAAACTTGCTGTCTCTTTCCTTTTATACCACAATGGTTGCGAGCAAGCATGTAGTCCGTCAGATAATAAACGATTGGCTAATGAAACATCACTAATTTTATATTTACGTTGCATTATTAATAATTATCATAACATAACATGTGAAATGATGAATGTATAAATACTCAAATGGTGATTGAATAAATAAAGCTTACATCAAATTACACATTTTATCCACCGCGACGATGTTACTTAATGAGTATTTATAATTTTATACTTATTGCAGAATGATATTGGAAAATGCAAAAAAAAAATCTAACAACAATACAATTGGTAAAGGGAAATTAATATGCATTTTTCAATGGACATTATTGTGTCATGGAAGTTTACTAATATTTTGTATTTCTTAATAAATGCACATGTTGTAAGGAAGACCCTGAATGATGCATGACCCATATTCATTTTGGAAGTATATTAAAACTAATTAATACTAACAAGTGTAAAAAATCCACTCGTTAACAAAATAAGAAAAATATTGACATAACCAAAACTACAATTTATAAATAAATAGTATAAATAATTGATATTTTAAATAATATACCGAGAGCAAGCTTCCATGTCACAGTTTATAAGACTACATCATCTAATAATCGGTAGTAAAATAAATTATAAGCGTATTTATTGCAATTGAAACATACTCATATAGTGTCGAGTTTTTATATTTTTAACATTACGTGTTTATATTTTAAAGAATGCCATTTAGCGGGGAAAACTCATTATCATTTTAGCAACGAAAATTTACTTTAATATAGGTAATAAATGTCTTTTCAATACAAATAACGATATAATGGTCAGTGTCTTTAATAAGTGTATATGTTACTGTTAGAATAAACATAATAATATATATGGAATAAAGAGATGGGGAGGCCAGGTAAGCGCAGGACCCCTTCCTTATGTTAACAGTTCTGGTCTGACCGCCGTGCGGTAACTGGCTTGTCACGCCATCTGTGAAACTTAACGAAACCCCGTCGGCATGGAGCCCGCTTCCGTTGAAGAGCAGCGCGTCGTAATCAAGTTTCTCTCGAAACTCGGCAAGAATGGCCGTGAAATTTTTGCCGATCTCAGAACAGTTTATGGGGATGATGCTGTGAAGGAACCAACCGTCCACAAGTGGCTAAAAAGATTCAGAGAGGGCCGAGAAAGAGTTCGATGTTCGGGGGATTGTCCATCAAGAATTCGTCCCTCCAGGCCAGACAGTTGAATATGTGCTATCAAAGCTCGTGTCACGAGTTCGTCCAGAATTGGCGCGAGAGGGGCGTTGGATTCTATCACCACGACAATGCCCCTGCCCACACCTCTCTTGTTGTCCGTGAGTTTTTGAGTAAAAATTCCATTACGGTGACCGAACACCCCCCCTATTCGCCGGATTTGGCCCCGTGTGACTTCTTCTTGTTCCCAAAAACCAAATTGGTACTTCGGGGGCGGCATTTGGGGGACATAAATGAGACGAAAGCTAATATATATTATGTCACAGGGGGAGTACTTTGAAGGGGATAAAATTGATTTACCTGAATAATTGTAAAATAAAATTTTTAAAAAACTTTTATACGTACTTTCCGGACAAACCTCGTATATTAAAGAGATAATTGGCATTCAAGTAATTTATTTAAACAAAAATTGTAGTTATTCAATCTATATTTCTTAATATTTATATTTCACTAGCTATCCGGCCTGGCTTCGCACGGATAAATAGATTTTTCGAAAATAATATACAGCCTAGATACACACTGGTAATGTCGTGAAAATTTTTTTAAAATCAGTTGAGTAGTTTGAGCTTATCCATTGTAGACTATCAAATCTTTCTTCTTTATAATAATAGTATAGAAAAAAAAAAACTAAGTTACACGAGATTATATGGCAAAGTGAGAGCAATTTTGACATAATGGTATTTTTTTGATAGATTTATGTGAGTAGCCCGAGTTTCACATGCCTATGTTTTAGCTCACCAGAAAACAACCATGTCGATAGGGAATGATTTTCCTTTTGATAGTACAATCTATGAAATGAATAATGCCTACCATCTAACACTGACGACGCAAATGCGTAAGCACCATTCGTATAATATAAATTATACTAATTATATAACTACAATTATACTGTTACGAATATAGTATAATTTATATTATGTGAATGGTGTTTATAAGCAATTTCATTTAGATGAGTTATTTCCTTGTTTATAATTGCCAATAATATGACTAGATATTTTATATTTTTTATAATTTTGATATTTGTAATTTACTGTAATCAACCATTGCTTCGTATTATATATTTTTACAGTATAGTTTGTATTTTATATAATCACACATATAAACCAATAGACTTGACTAGATAATCAGCAGATCAATAATATAATCTGCACTTTAACTATTTTATTCACAGTAACAGTAACATATACACACGTATTTAATAATTATGCTATTAAATATAACAAAACAAAGCTATAACAAAATCTATTACAAATGTACAACAAGATCCAATATATGTATAATATCACTTTGAATAGTCACATTAATGAAGAGTTATAACATAATTTGGGTTATTAATAATGGAAATGTTCTGGCTGATTATATTTAGTATTAAGAATAAATATAAGTTATATATATATATATATATATATATATATATATATATATATATATATATATATATATATATATATATATATATATATAACTTCTTATCTCACCCGTTCATTCTGAATACTAAAGTAGCGATTCCTAAACTTTTTAGGTCATAGACTTTTCCATAGAACTTATTTTTAGGAATCAAATAATTATTTTTTAAAATAATACCTTGACACATTAGTGACTGAATGACCGATACTCTAAAGACCTACACATAATATAATTTTGTTAATATATAAAAAATTGTGAAGATTGAAAAATGTGCTTGTAATGAAAGTAAATGAAAACATATATTAACATGGACATATTATAATATGAAATTATATGTTTTTCATCTTTTACGATTGGCGAACGCGAACGTTCTGACAATCTTAGCTTATACTAGGTGCTATTTTATATAAATAAAGAAATATTTCATATATATTTATTATTCTGGCTTTGTTTACATGTTTGTTCACTATATTAGATATAAATTAATTTTTAATTTTTGAAAAATATAATACAGTACAGAAGCACCTTTAGGTGCGAGTTTTACTCGGAATTGACCAATTTTTTTATTACTTTTTTTTTAAATTAAATTACAATTTAGGAGCTAAGAATGCACATTCGTAATACAAAGCTCAGAGTGGGGCCTACAACGTCTATAATAAATAAAAAGAAATCATTATTATAATTTATCTTGTACAGTTGATCATATAAACATAATACTTACTTTATCGCTAATTTGTTTCTGATATTACTAATTCATATTATTATAATGAACACTAGTATCAATTTGGGCAGCTTCGTGACATATTTCATCAGATACTTCGATTAGCGCAATTTGATTTTAACACTATGAAATTGTGAAGCAGCAAAACATCATTGAAGCAAGTAAGATGTCATGTGAAAAATTTATGTTAAGAAATGAATAAAAAAAAATTGATACTTAATAAAAATAAAATTTCTTTCTAAAATAAAAATAAATTATTGTCAATGTAAAATGACTATATATTATTTGATATAAATTATTATTTAAAAATAGCTCAATCTTTCAATCTATCTATCTCAAAAATACACTATTTTATCGGCCGTCTTCAATTATGTATTATTCAAATACCTAGTTTTAAAGTACACACTCGGTATGCAAAACGTCCCAATAATATATTTATGTATAACAATCCTGTTTCCAAAATTCAATGTTTAGCAGTAATTTGGGAATACATTGATATTACATTCATTGAATATATTCGATCGACTACAACTAGTTGGCAACATATTACTGGGAACAACTAATGTACGAATTTCAAATATAATATCCTAAACAATTATACATAAAAGCCTTGTAGGATTAATGGCAATTATGTTTATTTTGAGTGAATAAACAATGCCTTGAATTCGCTAATTGTAAATCGGTATAATGATTTAGTTTTGCGAAATATTTTAAGGACTTTTAGTAATACTTTTTCACAAAACAGGCGTTGTGGCCTGAGATAGTCTCCTCGTTTCAAATAAATAATAGCAACTTGCAAATTATCGCAATTCATCACAATACAATCTTAATACAATAAATAATCACAATTCGAACAATGAACCGATTGCATGCTATTAAATGTGAGAAAATAATTTAAAAAAATGATCATAATGTTGTCAAACATTGGTAGGGATTGTGTATTTACTTGAGTCCCAGTAACGCCTCGGCTATACCCAGATAGTAGACAGTTTGTGCGATGCCGAACAAAGGAGCTATTACAATCATACGACACATACCGCCCTTGAAGAATGCCGTGGGGCCTTCGTACTTCATTGTTTTTCTGTAAAAGCAAATAAACGGCTTACTTTATGATACTTGACATTTGATTGATCGTTTCAACAGAAATGGAATCATTATTAAGTGGATTAGATAATGTTACTGTCCGTGTACATTTTTGTTATATATTAATATTTATATTATAAGTGAATGTACAAAAACATATAAATAAATAAATGCTATATTAAAAATGTGTTGCTGGGATGCAGTGGGTGCAAGTGGTTCAGTACATCTAGGGAAGTAGCAAAAGGGTGAATGGATATACAAGATGTAGACATAGAACAGGATACCGGACGTCACCATCTCATTCTATACTATACGAGGTTTGTCCGGAAAGTACGTATAAAAGTTTTTTAAAAATTTTATTTTACAATTATTCAGGTAAATCAATTTTATCCCCTTCAAAGTACTCCCCCTGTGACATAATGCACTTGTGCCAACGCCGTTTCCACTGTGAGAAGGCTCCTTGAAAGTCCTCTGGTTGTAGGTTTCTCAGCTGCCCCGTCGTAGCTTTTTTTATCTCATTTATGTCCCCCAAATGCCGCCCCCGAAGTACCAATTTGGTTTTTGGGAACAAGAAGAAGTCACACGGGGCCAAATCCGGCGAATAGGGGGGTGTTCGGTCACCGTAATGGAATTTTTACTCAAAAACTCTCGGAACGATCTTGGCGCAAATTTTTTTTATTTGAAGTTCGTTTCTTAGAATTTCGTGGACCACGGTTTTGCCCAAATTAAGCTCTTCAGCCACCTGTCTGACCGTTAAACGACGGTCCCCATTAACACAAGTTCGAATTCTTTCCACGTTTTCGTCGGAATGTGAAGTGGAAGGACGTCCTGAACGTGGGTCATCTTGAACGCTTTCTCGGCCCTCTCTGAATCTTTTTAGCCACTTGTGGACGGTTGGTTCCTTCACAGCATCATCCCCATAAACTGTTCTGAGATCGGCAAAAATTTCACGGCCATTCTTGCCGAGTTTCGAGAGAAACTTGATTACGACGCGCTGCTCTTCAACGGAAGCGGGCTCCATGCCGACGGGGTTTCGTTAAGAGGTAACTTCACAGATGGCGTGACAAGCCAGTTCGCACCGCACGGCGGTCAGACCAGAACTGAAGCATTGTTAGGGACATAAGGAAGGGGTCCTGCGCTTACCTGGCCTCCCCACTCCTCTTTCTCGCATTCCAGAACACTTTTATACGAACTTTCCGGACAGACCTCGTAGACATGCTAGCGATAACGATTATATCGATCTATTTGTTTATCGCCTGTTTATGGGGGGTTCGACTGGTCGTAAAGAATTTAAGAGAAGGCTTATGTTAAGCAATAAATGATCATTTGCTGATACTTTTTTACCGCAAATGTGTCAGATATAAGTTTCGGAATAACTTCAAATTATCATGAAGCTATTAATTGATTTTTTTATCACCATCACATTGTAACGCTTTTACGTATTAAATATTAACTTGACGTAATTAATTTCTGAGGCGAGTTTAAACTATTAATTTACTCTACTTATCAAAACCTAAAAATATTTTAAAAGAGCTTCGACTTATCATTCCAATATTATTTTGCCGTCAATTGTTTCCCAGCCTTGATCGTAATGTACTATTTCCGGAAAACTATCACTTCAGCGGTAATTATGTCATTATTTGTAATACTTACACAATACAATCCATGATAGAGCTATATTGCCTTTCACCAGTCCCTTTGGTGAGAGTCTGCATGCGTGTCTTCACCACATCCATCGGGTTCACGACCAGCGCCGCCGCCGAACCGGCCGAACAGCCCGAAATGAACGACCACCTACGTATAACAAAATATTAATAGGTTGAACAACTAATATTTATTGATGGTGACGATCTCCGTAAGTCAGCGGGAAGAAAATGATTTTGCATCCATGGATAGCAGAGTATGGCATTAGTTGGAAGGCATTGAGGAAGACCAATATCTAGCAGTATTGGAGATAAGCTGATAATAAATTAATGGAGAATGGTCTAATTGTACTTAAGTTTTTTATATAAATAAATTGAAAAGAATGACTGTCGAGTGTCTCGTAATTTGCTTATTCTTAGTAAATACCTACATTCCGAACCTAGCAATCGAACTATAAAAGTTGACGATTTAAAAGAACTTATAAACAAGTTTATTTGACTAAAAATTATTTCTGTTCTAATTTATTAATGAATTCATTGATCCGCAAAAAAAAAAAAGCTGCTTCACTGAACGCATCTGTAATCCAAAAGATGTTTTGTAGAACTCACAACAAGCAGGTTTTTGCTCCATAAAGAAAACAGACATAATTAAAATGGGACTAACACCAGAGTACACTTGTTTCTATCGAACCCTATTACCCATCGATTGTATAAAGAATTGTAAAAATCGATTCAGAGCCGACGACTACATTGGTGTAAAATACCACCAAAAAAAAATTTAGAAGCATTAAAAACCTTCTTTCGCAAGTTACTTTATAAATGGCTTTATTATCCTAAATACATACAATTTTCCTCTAGAGATAGAAGAATTATTTTTTCCATTACACTAGAACCAACATTACGCTCAGATTATGGAATAAGCTGTCGAGGTTTTTCCTAAAGATTAGAGCATGGGGTTCTTCAAAAGGGGGGTAAAAGTTTCTTCAGGGACGGCAACGCACGCGTAATACCCCTGGTAATGCAAGCGCTCTTAGGCTACAATAACCGCTTACCATCAGGTGGGCTGTATGCTTGCTTACCACCTCAGTGGTATAAAAAAAGAAGCAAATGTACTCGTAATGGCCTCGCGTGTACTTACTTTTATTGGTTATGCCAAAAAACATTTGTAATAATCCACTAAAAGATGTACATACGTTTAAAAACACACTGCTGAATATTAAACGAGTCGTGAGAATTTGTCTTGTCAAATTGGTATTTTAGGACGTATTAGATAATTTTTATAGCTCGCGAGCGTATGAATGCGATAGTTGAAGTTTATGGGCCGCTGTAAATATAAAAACTATTCGTCGACGTGTGAATGAACTCTTAATAGATACTTAGGTGAAATCCAAGCTGTGCATGGCTGGAAGCATCAATAACGATACCCTTAAACTTAGGCATTATAATTTATGTATTCTCTCTCTTTTAGTGTGTGTGATGTTGCCACTTTCTAGAAGGTGAATCATAGATATTTGTCATTTCAAGTTGTATAAAAATATTACAGATTTAATAAAGGTAAAGTATTAATAGGAGTCGCAAGAAAACACTGTATGAAATACAGGAAAATTTAAAGAAAAAAGTTTGTGGACTGGAACAGTTTAAAGGAAAAGGGATTGTGGATGGGAATTAAAGAAAAAGAGGTTGTGGACAAGATCAGTTTAAAGAAATAGAGGTTGTGGACAGTATTAGTTTAAAGAAATAAGGGTTGTGAACAGGAACAGTCTCAATAAAGAGGGGTCGTGATTCCGAATAGTTTTAAGAAAAAGGGGTTATGGATAGGAACTGTTAAAATAAAAAGAGATTATAAATATTTACATTTAAAAAAAAAATCTACCACTCACCAGAAAGCGGTCGGACCACCGGGTTTTTCTTTCGGGCCGAGGTCATTGAGCGTCGCGAATAGTGGGAAATACACCACACTGAAGGACACGTCACGGGCCGCCGTGGCCGTCACGCCCTTGTAAAGACCGAAGACTCCGCGCTCTCGCAACAGTTTTTTTGTCAATTCCAGCGCAGTCGTTCTCTGTACTGTACGACCCTCTGTAACAAAATAATTTAAGATGAATAAAAATCAATTTTAACCTTAACAAAATTAGTATGAGCAAATGTATTGCTTGTATAAGCAATACATTTTGTTTCTTTGATTATGTGAGCAAACATGATTAAAAAGAAACAATAAAAATACATACATAATTCGAGAACAATAACGTCAACATCAATATTGACTGGGATGACTGGGATATATATATATATATATATATATATACTGAATTTTGTAGCAACTTGTAATTAAAAAAACTTGAAACAAGAAGCCTTACTTTTTGCGGTAAGAGAGTAACAACAGCGAGACTTGAAATGTATTTCGAAAGGACTATTTATAGTATTTCGTAAGGTTCACAATACGAACCCGCTTTGGCTTGTGCTGCGATGCGCCCAGCGTCTTGCATTTGAATTTTCAGCAGTTCCATGGGCGTTGTGATGACAATTTGGCAGGCTCCTGCGCTTCCACCCGCTATCATTTGGCGGAATACAGGCAATGATCTGTGAAGAAGTAACTGGATATGGCACAATATTGGCTGTCGGACCTAAATTTATGATGCACACTAACTTTTAACCGTGACTTCATCTGTAGACCAGGATATATTATGTTGATTGATCAATATAAATAGAAACGTACGTCTTTCTCGATTATAAATACGAATAGTACATATATATCAAATTGCAAGGCGATTAACAGATAAGATAATACATAAACTCACTTTATATTTACAATATTAATTCTTTTCCACCATACTTATGTTCAAAATACTCTTATTCCAATAATTACATACATACATATCTGTCACGCCTATCTCCCATTAGGGTAGGCAGAAACAATAGAACGCCAAATGCTTTGATTCAAACAAACCTCTTTCGCTTCTTCTACATTCATCAATCTTTTCATACACGCTCGCCGGTTACGGGTACTTTTAATTTGGCCCTTCTTCAGCACGTCGCCTATTTGGTCAACATACGTCCGTCTAGGGCGGCCCCTACCGACATCTTCATTCATTCTTGCTCGATAAATCTCTTTCGTAATTCTTCTTTCATCCATCCTCTCCAAATGACCAAACCAATAATTAATCCTTACTTAATTTTCGTTAATCGGCTATCAACTTATAACTAAACAAAATGCCTGACTAGTGACGGTGGCGGTATCCTCAAACAGGGGAAATACCCTATAAGTTCAATATTTATCAAAATTTTATCAGTAAATTAACACACGAAAATTAAATATTGTTTTTATGAAATAAATATATGATCCGATATCTATTGTATTATTTCATTAGAACAAGCTAGTTACCGGCTTGTATGAAAGCAGGTATAGCACTGCATGTAGCTTAGGTCATATATGTTACAAGTGGAGCCTTAATTTCAATAAACTTTTTTCATTTAGCTCGGTTTAAAATAACTGATAGTTTTCAATATACCTACTATTGGGACTATTGTCCATTTATCTCTACAATCTGGGATCATAGTTACGAATATAATTTATAGTTTATGTAAGACGTATCTTATGCTAATTAGAAAAAAAAGTGTTAGTTAAACCCCAATAGGCAGTTCTAATTTGTAAAGTAACAAATACTGAAACATATAAAACAAATTTTACAAACGTTTACATTACAATTATTTATTTAATTGTCATATTTTTTTTAATCTTATTTTTTTGTTACACCTTGACCAGACACAATTTTAATTGTTCCTCTCCATCCTATCTTAGGTTACCTGAAAAAGATTACTATTTAGCGATAAGGCCGCCCATTGTTGCCTTTATCTTGCTTTTGTGTATTTAAGTATTCATATTATTTGTGTACATATTGTTAATCTTTATAATCTGTATCATTCTTTGAAGGATTTCCATTTATTCATTCATTTGAGCAATAGTTTATTACGACATTGAAATGCTGTGTATAATATTGCTTAGTTTACCACAATGCATATGAATTATAGATTCGAAAAGAATAACATCATAATTTACATTATGCGCACAGTCACGCAATCTAGATAAGATCAATCCAATGTTAAATAGTTTCTGTAATTTTTTTTATTTGATTTTTAACGAGTATTTGCTCAATTCATCTGCATTTTTTGTATACTTATGCTATGAACCATATTCATCAATTCTAGACCTTTTTAGAATAAATAAAATTTACTCCTGTGTTAGTGCATATTAATTTTTTTACGATAAAAAACTGTTTTATCGCGAAGCAAAATCTTAGATTATTTTCCAGGTAATATTTAAAATATTATTATTAATCATTTTATGCATGTGATATTTACAGATAAGATACTGTATTTTGCCGTTAGTTATATATGGCAGAAAATCTAGTATTATTAAAAGACACACCGCATTTTGAAGCATTTGAGACTGTTGCTACCGGTGCATATTATGCTGGTAATCAATTGAATACACCATATCAGCTATGGAAAAGTTCTCCAGTGTATTTCAATGCCTAGGAGTTTAATGTAAACCGTCTAAGAGTATAGGGTCGGATATTTCGAGCATGTGTTACAACATGGTAGATAACAGCTGATTCAACTTATAAAAATACAATGGAATAATTAGACAAGGGTACAATTAGAGGGAAGTGAGACATCGAAATATGTGTACAGAGGTACATAACTGAGTTAAATATGAAAAATAACCGAAGTTGCTAGCATTTAATAAAACGCTAGGACCAAGGATGCTACTACTGTAGAGCGCGGTATCTTGACTGGTCTAACAACATTACATAAAAAGTCTCGTATCTGAACATACATATAGTTTATAATTTCCTAATAACATCCAGATTGTCTAGATCTTTCTAGAAGTATCATTGTTTGCAAGTTCATTATGTGACATAGACATCAATTAAGATTTTTTTATGACAGCGTTCGGAAACTATGAGTGTTAGGGTAAACAGAGCCGCGTAATTTCGTTACCGAATATTTAATTAAGAAAACAAATCAAATGTCTTAAAATAAATGTAAATCATCTTTTCAAATATTTTAAATATTATTATATAATTTGTATAATAAAAACTTCATATCTCATAGAATTCTTCTATAACTATGGTAAATAGCGTAGCATAAGAGTTTGTCAATAACAATTGGTTCAATAGGTTCTCGCTTCTAACAAAATTCAAGGTTGGTTACTATTAACCATGGTTATTATGTATAAGGAAAAAGGCAAATATTAAACACTTTTTAGATTTCAACTAATATTATAGGTAAACTAATATGGACTTCTAGTTTACATATTCTATTAGATGATCATAATTATTGTTACAAAATTGGTATCAAATCTGAAAAGCCTTAGATTATTTGTTAAACTTTTAATTTGTAACTTAACATCGTTAACAAATCTAAAATAATTGCAAATTAACAAATGTACGGCTACAAAAAGAAAACTGACTTATTACACGAAAGTCCATAGCTTTTTAATTTTGCCCCACTAAGAACCGAGAACTAGATATTCATAGAAAACAAAGTACATTTAGCCATTGCATTAAGTTCTTGAACGTCGAATAATGTGTCTTACCCATCTGGAAGTGTAAGGTAATGTCTGAACATGTCATTGGCAGCTAGTTTTATGGCCTTCTCCGGAGTAATAAGGACGATGTTGACTGCAGACCCTCGGTACATGCCAAAATATCCTTCGGCTGCATATGTTTTTTTGAAGCAATCCAACCTGATGAAAATGACAACACTAATATAATAACAATAAATACGAGATATTAATATATAATCTACAGAGCGCTATCTAAAAACAGAGTTTTTTTTTATACCACTTAGAATGGCAAACAAGCTGACGGCCCACCTGATGGAAAGTGGTAACCGTCGCCTATAGATATGAGCAGTACCATGGACATAACAAAGTATACTGTTTCGCCCATGATACATACCCCCATGCGTTGCCATTCCTGAGGACTCAGGTGTTATTCCTCTGTACCCAGTAAATTCACGCCATATCCCACCCTTCAAACCGAAACACAGCCATGTTAAAACAACTGCTTCACGGTTGAAACACGAATGGGACAGAGGTACCCAAGCAATCGACTTTTGTACAAAGTCTCCCTAAAAACAGAGTCTAAGTAAGTAAGTCAAATTAAACAGAGCTTATACTATGGGTAGATAATTGATACGACTACTTAAGTATTTTTATACTAATAATGTTATATATAGAAAACACCCACAACAATACAAACAATAAAATTCATGAATACAAATGTTTATACCCTATGGGAATTGAACCCGTGACCATCGGAAGGTGAAGCGGTGTATTGCCGCTAGACCATAAAGGATTAAATAAGAGATAATATAGATTAAAAATAGTTTTTAGTCATAATAACAAATGTTGTGACAGTGGATGAAGCAAAAGGTGCTAAACCAAATATTATATATGGTTTAAAATGAATAATTTTGGTACTGGTTCTCTCTGTCTACTCTGTAAACAACCTAGCGTGATAGATGCGAATGGGAAATTTCGTACAAATCACTTATGTAATTTTATCTCATCAATTAATTTTGTTGTCAAACTTGCTAAATCGCTGTGTTCTTGTTTGGAGAATAAGATTAGAGCAGAAAAATTATTATACAGTGATATTTAAGATCTTTATGTCACAAAGATTAATAACTATACTTCTTGTGTAGTAAACGTTCATGCATAGGTAGTCGTTTACCTTCAGGCGGACCGTATTTATGATTGCAACACTGCAGTATAAACTAATGATAACAAAGAAATAAATATAATTGTGTATTTCGCTTTTACTACTTTTACGCTTTTTTAGATTTTCTTTAAAAAGGGTATATTAGGTCGTCAGGTTGGCAAACGTGCTCGTGACACTTCTAATGTTGCAGGCGTCCATAGGCTACAGTGAACGTTTACCATCAGACAAGCTGTACGCTTGTTTGCCAACTTTGTGGTATAAAAAAAAAATACGAAGCACACTTCACCTTGAAAATAACGGAAAGGAATGGGATGTTGTATATTGGAAAGTTCAATAGAGAGTGAACATTGTAATAATTCTATAAAACATTTCGTAACACCATTACAAAAATAGTTTTGAAGGCAGTAATTTATAATGTATGGTTTAGAGCTAAGTTTCTTTCAGGTTAAGTACTTTTATCGACAACAATCATTAGTGCTACCTTATTCTAAACATTAGATTCTGGGGGAAGGGAATCGTTAGTAAAGGAGACTAATAGCACCACAACATAGCAATACAGGGTGCATTGTTATATAACGCCAGGTCGACCTTCACGCGGTACCTAGTGGAAATCACTGTTGTCAATTATTGTTAAATTAGTCACGATGGACCAAAACATATGATTCTGTTCTCACCTATGCCCCGCCAGTGTATACCGACAGCATATGCAGGGTGACTATTTTATTTTCACCTATTAAAAAGCCTTTTAGGTTTTAGTTATATTAATTTTAATAATAATATATAAAAATCACGAGTCAAAATGTTCGTTCCTAATCATGGAAACCGCCCATCCGATTATAGTGAAATTTTGTAAATGTGTATTTTTTGTTTCAACTTTAGAGATAGGATAGTTTTAATCCTGATAAGTGACCTACAGAGGGCAAACTATGCTTAATGGGTCAGCAGCTATTTATAATTTTTAGTGAAAGATATCTAAGTATAATTTCTTAGTTTTATGTAAAATTATTGCTAGCTGATTACATTATCTTTAATATGATATGATAACATCTTTAATTGCTGTTAATCGCCATTATAAGCCGAGATAATATGTGTATTCATTGATAATTACGAGTTAAAAAATTAAATGAAAGTATGTTCTTGACAGTCGAATAAAATTTTAAATAATATTTTTACATAGGTTGAAAACACAGTATAGGACTATAAATAATAACAAAAGTAGTTGACTTTATTATATATATAAAGAAGCCAACTACTACTCCTACTTATATAATAGCACATGTAACCACAACAACTTGAGCAAACAGCGATTGTTTTTACTCAACTTTGAGTCGCATACAAGCTGACGGCCCACCTGATGTAAAGTGGTAACCGTCGCCTATAGACATGAGCAGTACTATAAACATAACAAAGTATACTGCTTCGCCCATGATACCCCCCATGCGTTGCCATTCCTGAGGACTCAGGTGTTATTCCTCTGTAAATTTTTGTAATTGTTTGTCCTGGTTGACATATCAATGCACAACCAAAGCTTCTAAGTCTAGAAAGTTGAAATTTGGAATATCGGTTCTAAGAAAATATTTTGAAAATTTTAACATAAAAGAAAGAAAACATTTTGAAGGGTGTGATATGGCAGTAAATTTACAATTTACTGCCATATCACACCCTTCAAATAGAAACACACTTCTTCGAACGCAACTGCTTCACGGTAGAAACACGAATGGGGCAGAGGAAACCAAGCAAACGACTTTTGTACAAAGTCTCTCTCTGGATAATATGCTTCATATATGCGATCAACCGAAATGATAATGTTCTGTTCTCAACAACGGTTGGACGCACTATGCCAGCTCATTAAGTGTTTTTTCACGCTATGTTTGAAGAATCCGAGGTCATAGGACAAAGGACTGAAATGTATATATGAATAAAACTATTTGGTACATATTTCTAGATAAGAATCAATTTTAAAAATTATATAATTATATACGCACATGTTTTTGTACTGTTTCTCTCCATTTGGGCCGACAGTTTGATTCTGCAGTCGCGTCTTTACCAGATCCAGTGGGAACACCACAGACACGCCCACGATGCCTGCGATGCCACCATTTATGATTTTAGGCAGTAATCTGAAACAAAACATTTAATTAACTACACTCTCCTTGACTGACAGACAACCCACCAGTCGCTCTAGAAGCATAAAATTATAGTTCCATGTCATTCGGCGTATTTTGTAGATGAGTAAATATTAAGAATCAATTTTAGAAAATTTATTTAAGAATTATCCATTAAAAAAACCTTATCGGTTTCACGATTAGATATTAACAAAAAATAATATTTTATGGACTTTATTTTCGGGAGAAATTATAGTAACATATTGTATACTTAACCTAAGATTATTATTTGCCAGGTTGGCTAGTAATATAATTTTTAAGTAAATATATTTTTGTAATTTTATACATGCAAAATATAGATCATTTATTCATGATTTACAAAATAATAAGTCTAGTTTCAATTAATTACGTCAGTCCCATTGCAAGTTTGTCATATTTTATTAGAACATAGCGTTTTCTATATAATAATAATATGTTTAAAAGTAATATTAATTTATAACAATATTAATCACGTCACTGCAAATTGTTATTTCATTAATAAAATTCAGCATCAGAGATTACTAAATATATATGTAACTATAATTGATAGAAGATTTCATATCTTCATATCTTCGGTCGGCAAAATTACGCGAAATATCTCTCACAGTTTTTATCTGATCTAATAAATAAGAAAAAAACATGTTAATACATGATATGGTCTATATGTGCAAGAAATTACATCACAATTCATTGAGCTATTTAGATATGAATTAACAAACATGTAAATTCGGAGATAATATTAGAAGAATTATTTAAAATTATATGAAACTATGTTATACTCGTATACTTATCATAAGTAGCTATATTATAAAAGTTATCTTATCTCAAGAAAAGTTATTTTAAAATCGCAAATGACCCTTCAATTTCATTTGTAAAGATCAACCATCAAAGATCAAGAATATATAATAATATAGATATAATACATAGTGTGCTACGATTGCGTCAATTAAAAATTTTATCAGTAGGTACTTACTTGTGATAATATGCACACTTTTATTTAAACAAAGAAAATTATGACTAACTATAGGTTGAAAAGTTTAATTTATGTCAACTCGAGATGGATTTCAATTAGATTTCTAGTTTAATACAGATGTTAACAATGCCATTTAGTTCGACATATGTTACTTAATTACACTTAAACGGCTGAACGGATTCTAATGAAACTTGGTACATATATAGACAATATCCTCGCTAGATTGACGTGTTGCAATGTCACGGGTTATTCGTTTTCATATTTTAAATTCTACGCGAACGTAATATTGATACATCTGACATAATCATTGTAATATCAAATCTTGTTTATATTAAAAAAATAAAAAATAAATATCTTACTAATATAATAAATTTGTAACTAAGCGATTTCTGTAAATGGGAGATATTTAGGAAAAATCAATATGAGGAGTATTAATAAGGCTTATAAATGCTAAGACAATAATTTTCAGAAATTTTGTTTGTATCTGTATGTTTGTTCCGGAATCATGCAAAAACTACTGCATCAAATTGGATGCGGTTTACATGGTTGTATTCCTAAAGGTTAACATAAAATTAGGCGTATGTTTTATCTAGATACCTCATCTAGAAGTGAAATGTAATACATTGCTTTTCTTACATTTGAAATCTACGCGTGTGAAGTATCGGGCAATATCCTAGTAGTCAATAAGAAGACAAACGTAAACAGATCTCTAAATAGACTAATATAAATAGATTACCTACAAAAAGTTACTTGGATATAGTTTGTATGGCAACAAAGTAGGATAATTTATTTTTAAAACATGAATTCTACAAAGGTCGAATTCATGTTTTAAACTACATATACATACTCGTATATATTACATAAAATACATGATGTATGTTGGACGGAAACAAGGTATAAGAAGATAATAAACAATTTCTGCATAGATTCGAATAAAGAGTATATAAAATCGAAAGTTCTAAAAATAAACTATCATAAGGACAAAATTCAATGTGTAATAAAAATCAAAAAAGAAACTTCATAAAATTAGTATGCAAATCAATGCGTAAATATCACGGGTAGATAAAATTAGTAGTATTAAAACCTTTTGATTTAAAAAAATTGGATCAGTATTGGTGAAGGTGGCCGAAAGACACAAAAACATTATCAGAATCATGATGTAGAAAACGATATTTATTACTAGCAGACAACCAGTCAGATAGTCAGACGGTATTGTCAAATGGCCGGTAAGATAAAAATTGAATGTCAATGACACTGTAGGGACGGTTAAAAAAAACTCGCTTCACACAATCGTAATTATATGATTAATATACATAAATATTTATAATCTTGCTGATGAAATTGTAATAGTTTGTTTATATTATATTACTTGTACATTTCAAAAGATTTTATAACAAATCATTAACTGTGCATACTGTTCGACTATGGAATAGTATACCAACCTCTTCACGAAATATACAATACCTACGTAATTTTAAAACAAAAGTTAAGAACTTTTATATGAGCAAGTTGTCATATTTGTAATTTGTATCTGTTTAGCATAATTACAATCATTTTGTTTTTATTTTGTAACTGCATATGTAAATGTATTCGTTTGTGTATGATTTTATATATAATATATATACATATCCACATTCAATAGTGTTAACGATTATAGACACCAATTAAATAAGATTCTATTGTATCTCTATATGTATTTGGAAAAACGCTAAAAACATAATGACCGTTTAAAAATATTAAAAATCTAAAATATCTTCCTTTGAACATTTATGGTAGGATTTATGTCATTCAACAGGGTCGTGTACGAACAAAAACACGAAATTCGAAAATTCGGAATTTCATTCAAATGTTCATAATTATTCTTCTCCATTCAAATGTTGCCTGGAAGAGCTCGTTCTACGCGATAAGGCCACCCATGGTTTTTTTTAATGTAATATTTTCTTGTAATTGTTTGTATTTAAGTTTACTACTGTAATTTTCTGGATTAAACAATAAAAAGTATCTATCCATTACGCTATTAACGCAAAATGTATAATCAACTCTGCGTGTTTTGTAATATGATTCATATTACGATTGGCCATGGATATAACGACCTTTTTAACTCCTGGACTATCATTATCAATTAGATAGAATGTGCATAGTAAGTACAATTACAGTACTCGGCGTCAGTTGGTGTAACTAATCGGTTATTTAGCTAGACCAACAAAAACAACAGAAATCTATCTGTATATATATACACATAGACAATATTGATTAATACATAGACTACTTTTCATATTAACACACACAGGAAACCTCATGAGACAAAGCTAGTGCTTTTATATAATTAAAACATTTAGGTCACGTCCCATTTAATAGTCACATCCTATATGTGATAATCATATTTAGCAAATAACTAGAGTAAGTGACTTATGTATCAAAATATGCTTTTGAATAAAAAATATTATTATAATCAAGACATCATCTAGGTTTCTAAAAAAAAAAAATCTTATCTTAATATCTACTTAAAAATCACGATTTCTCTTGCCCCAGATTGGCACTTGCTGTTATCTACATACATTCCACTTACTTAATCTACATTTGTAAATTCCAATTTAACATATTGATAGTAACCTAGAATGTTAAGTCTGATGCACTATGTACATTATTCTACATTTTTTTTTAAAACTTACATAACATTTTTTTAAATTACATTATTCATTCTTAAAACAACTTTTTATTTACAAGATAGGTGAAGATTAACTATATGATTAATTACTGATTAAAACACCTGATGCAAAATGCACAGCATAACCAACAACAAGAATTAAACCTTTGGTATTATAAATGTACATACACATTAATCTATACTTATAATAAATCTGTAGAGAGGTCAATTCTGTAAATGAAATATATTTCCAAAATAACTATGATGGGTATCGATACTGATGCCAAAAATGCAATCAGTAAAATTTTTGTCTATCTGTCTGTCTGTATGTTCGTTATAGAAACAAAAACTACTCGACGGATTTTAACGAAACTTGGTACAATTATTCTTTATACTCCTGGGCAGGTTATATTATACTTTTTATCACGCTACGATCAATAGGAGCAGAACAGTGAAGGGAAACGTGTCTGTTACATCAAAACCACTGAACCGCGAGGAAGGACATAGGCTAATTATTTTACGAAAAAACGACGGAAACGCGGACGAAGTGGTGGGCAACAGCTAATATATATATATACTTATTATATATTATAATACTATATACATTATTGTTATTTTTAATATTAGGTTTGAATTTTATTTCCTCTTTATATTAGTTTACTAGTTTAATGTGAGAGATACTCATAGTATTCCTTATGAGGACTAAGGGACTACTCACACTTATTCAGCTTTTGTCCATCGAAAACAACGATTTTCTGTAGAGACGTATACGCATCGATTCAGTTTTCCGCGTCTATTCTGCTTTCGCGGCAACTCAGTATAAAATGAGAATAAATGTGTATTTATCATGCGAATGCTATAGAGAGCGTTCAACGCTGTTCCGCCGCATTCACCGTCGAACACGGCGAAACAGCTCTTTACAGGGATGTTTCGCGACTCCTTGTTAACAAGTTGCGACCTGTATTGTTTCTGCATTGATTTGATTTATTATTGCGTAATCATTATGTACACAACGATTAAAGAGTGCAGACGTATTTTATAGTAATTATAATATAGAAATGCAGCATATTTAACGCCGTACGCAGTAGACAAGCGTTTCAGCGGAGATAGCAAGCTATGACGGCATTTGTCATTCTTACGGCGCCGTACGCGGCTGACAGAAGCAGAGCTGTATAAGTGTGACCAAAATCATTCTACGAAACACAAATAAAAGCTGAATAAGTGTAAGTAGTCCCTAATTCTTGTACCTCTTTTCTCAGTGACTAGGCATCATTTATTTATTTTTTATTGATCACATTTACAAAATATATAGTAATATATATTTTTATATTAAATTATTAGTATAACAATGTACATTTAGGAATTGTTTCACTAAATTACTGAATCAATTTTGAATAAATTGAAAATATATTCTTTCAGACTGATCCCACAGTTTTTCTTAATTGATTCATAAAGGACAAAGTTATAAAGTAACAAAAAAAAAATACAACCAAAGTGAGACTCTCTTCCCTTTTTGACGTTGGATAAAAAAGTGGACTTAAACCATCTATAGATGGTTCTCTTTCTCTGTCAACCTTTGAGAATTCAAAAATGAAATAATATTTTTCAAAAATCAGTTCAATGTTCAATAATCTTTCATCTTTAGGATATCATAAGAAATATCTTCGCATATAAATGACAGTGCATCAGAGTAAAAGAAGAAAAGTAAAAAGAGACCCCACTAACTTCACATCCTTTAACAGAGATCTCTTATGAGGAGTGGTATGTGTCCAGCAATGGAATTTTAATGGATTGTTATGGTAGTACAATAAATTTATGTAGGTAATAAAAAAAATGTATATTTATTATAAAAAAAATTGGTACTTACGAAAATTGTTGGCCAGGTGGAGCAGGGGACTTAGGTGATCCTGATGAACTCATTTTAATGATTTATGTGGATCTGTGATGTACAAATAAATTTATTAATTTAATTAATAAATTATAGATTGTTTATATGAATTGGATTGGCAAATAAGATGACAATCCACTGAATGGAAAATAATATATCATCCCCTATGGGCATATCAAGGACCATGGACATCACAGAATATACTGATACCAATGGTATCTCTTAAGAGCTACTTCGGAGGAATGTGTCTTATATCTCCATATTGATTAATTTTATTGCTATAACCCTATTAACACATATAGAGCACTCATGCAAACAATCTTAAAATAATAGTTTCCTATGGTTGTTACTGTAGTAGTAAAACATACATAATAAGTTGGAAGCAAATCAAGACAAATATAATGATATTCTAGTTAGATCTTTTGTGATACTATTTATTTTTGTTTAGATGTAGTTTTAGCAAAATTGGCAATGTTACAAAAAATTTGAGGAAGTGTAATATTTGAAGTATTTATAAAATACACACAAACTGCTATTGAATTAAAATTAAATTAGCTTCAATTTAAACTAAAAAGGTTCAATGACAATTTTAATGATGGCAGGAAGATATCCAATTGGGCAGCTCTATGTCCACACTCTATTAATTTAGTTGCCAACAAACACATCACTAATAATAAGTACAAGTATCTATCAGATACGGAGAGTTATAGAGAAGAAAATAAACTAAGCAATATAAAGGAACATTTAGAATTAAAGTCAGAAAAGTCTAAATACATATTTTTTAATATATAATTATAATAATATAAGGTATGTGCTATACAGTTTATGCTAATACATAGTTACTAATTTTTACCACATCTGTAATTGATTATTTTTTACATTTTTATATAAAATTATACATAAAATAGTATTCTTTGGTATTAATATTGTAGGGAAATAAGCAATTTCTTTACGTAACAGCAATAATTACTCACATTTTGAACGTCAAATCGGTTGTCTTGGTGTATGGAAAAAATTAGATGGTGTTTTAAAAAGTAGACATACTGATTATTGTGAGAAATTAAAAACTATTGAATAAACTAGAAGTTGCGGTGTGAATCGATACACAGATGAACAAGACGTCTGGCCTGGTGATGATGACAGTTTGAATTTTGATCGATTATTTTTGTTGACGTGTGACGTGACGTCCTTAATGACGTCTCTGTAAGTGTTGCCAAGTAATATAAATTATGATTGATATCGTAGACAGAGAATAAATCCTATTATATGTATGTAAATATGTATATAACATTATACTTTTATATTGATAATTCTATCGATTTAATTAAAACAGACCAAGTATAGTATGAAGATAAACACAAAAGAATTACTAGTAATATGAACTTCGATAGAGAGACTTCAGTTTTATTTAGTTAAATATGTATAAGGATCTAGTTATTAAGGAGCTTCTTGAATCTGAGCCTCGCCATAAAGAACATTTGAAATGGCATTCTAAATGAATGACCACTCGATATAAAATACTGAATACCATGTTTGTTTGTTTATAGACATAGGTGTAAGAACGGCTTACCTATGGGCAATACAGGATAAACCGAAATGCCCGATGATACACTACTACATTACAATTCCTGAATATTATGTCGATGTCATTGTGGCTAGTAATTTAATAGCGGTAGGGCAAAGTTTAAAGATATCTAGATATAAGAAGATTACCGACATAAGCATATTTAAGGGAAGGGGAGGGGGGAGTTGGATCGTGAACAAAAATTGCAGATGCCATTTGACCATTAAATCAGGAGATTATTTAATAGGATGAAAAAGAAATTCTAACTTGGTCTGTAGGTGTTGCCGATTTACACTAGTTACGTACCAGTAGGTGATGAAAGGTGAAGACCAAGTCAGATCAATTGGATCGCCGTCGTGGTGAAATCACTAGAAATTAATCACAACGTTTATCTGACAAAGTATAACATTATTATAAATGGGGACTGAAGTCCTTTTTATTAACAAACTATAAAAAAATTACTTAAAGTAGGTACAGAAATTCATTTCATGTATTCCATGCTAAAGATATCTATTAAATAAGTAAATAAACAACAATACAAACACATGTAGATAGGTATAGCTAGCAGATAGGTGCAATGAAAGTGATAGTAAGTACCTAGTGATATTTTTGTAATAGTAAAAGATTACCTATTACCTAGCGTTTGCTCTTAGAAAATAATGGCATATATTGCTACCTGCCAGAGCAATCCCTTTCTATAACAATTTCCGTGTTCAACCATATAAAATGTTATGATTTCTTCAATAAATCAACACTATTCTATTGGAACCAAACAGCAAAGTCTAAACACCAGCGGAAAATATGGCTACTAAAATCGCCGTAAGATTTTATTTATTTTATTATTCACTTAATATAATGAACTATAAATTTATATATATATATTATTGCGTCAATATTTTTTTGAGTAACTGAAATCTACAGTTGTAGGTATTTACATACCTCTTTGTGTACATAGCTGCTTACAGGATATAATTTATAGTAATGGCCACTTTATTCTAGTTTACTAGTTTTTTTGCAGTAAGGCCAATTTTGATGTATGTAAACAAAGATTTTTTGTTAATGCAGGTTGTAATTATCAGCTTGGTTGCGGTGATATCGGCCGGGAATCGCACTGAGAAAAGGAGTGTGGGTTGGGAACCGCCAGCGTGGCCTCCAGTGGGTTGGGTGCCGGCTGTACAAGGACATGGTAATATTTTCAATATTATACTTATTTTATTTGTTTTTATGCAACTTATAATGACAAACAGAATGGTTACCATCACCTTAAACACGAACAGCTCAAAGGATATCACAGAATATATTATTAAGTCCATGATACACATACGGGGCATCGCCACACCTGATGACAAAGATGTCATGACTACGTAGTTCAGAAACCTATAATTTTACTGTCAAACATTCATACCGAAACAGGGCCATGCAAGCACAACTGCTTGATCACAGACACACAAGTTTAACAGAAGTCAACTTTGTATAAAATTGCCTTCCAGAAAAAAACTATTGCATTAATGTTCAGGAGGCTGGTCGTCGGATACCAACTCGGACGTGGCCGGTGCGGTGGCGGCAGCAAAGGCAGCCACTGCAGCGGTGATGGCGGCGCAGCATGAAGTCGCTGCAGCGAAACATGCAGCTTTAGAACAGCAAGGAATCGCCAGTGCGAAAGAGGCCGCTGCTGCTCATGCGGCACATAAGAGGTAAATGATCTCTATATATACGTATCCTTACGACGAAACAATGATTGATGCACGTGAGCAAAGTAGCGGAAAATAGCTAGTCTCTCATATTATATTATAAAACAATGTCGGTTCCCCTCTGTCTGTACGCTTATTTTTTTTAGATTACGCAATAGATTTTAATATGATTTTTATTAATTATCTATTAATATATAGAGTGATTCAATTGGAAGGTTTATACTTATAGTTTATAATATTGTTTTATTAATTGTTTTTATTTATTAGTTTGTTGAAATATATGTTATCTTAAACGATTATTGTTATATTATATTAAATATGATAATAATTATTTAAAAGTCGAAAGAAATCAAGCCTGTCAGCTTTTGAAATATTACAAAATGATGTCTGATAGAACTGATCCGCTTTATTAGGGCTACGGTAAGCGATAACATATATTTATATTATAAAGCTTTTAATGAGCTTTTTAGTATTTAAAAAAATTATATTATTATATGAATTTTGATAGGCTATGTAGACAGATATAATAATAATATTATAAGTCACTCCACTGTAGGAATTACAATACGTAATTTTTTTTTTATATAGCTCATAATAATGTAGAAAAAATATAATATAATATAAAGTTATATATATTAGTTATTAATATTATAATATAAAGAAGTTATTCGTACTGGTGTAAGCAATACTTCACATTAACCACTTAAGTTTTTACATTGTACCCGTGTGAAGCCGGGGCGGGCCGCTTGTAAAAAATAAACCAATGTGTAAACAGCGAAGAAGCAGCAAGACAGGCTCGCGCGCACGCCCTGGAAGCAGCACAGGCAGCAGTGCAGTCGCAGGCGCAGCTGGCCGCAGCCAAGGCTCGTGCAGCTGTTGCGCAGAAGATCGCAGCAGCGCGTGAGGCCGCTGCCGCCAAGGCTATACAACGCGCCGCTCACAACCAAGCCGCGCGGTTGCAGAACGCTGGTAACATTCTAGTTTCAAATTAAGTACATTAATTTGGAAGTCAACATGAGTACACACATATTCACTTTTAAATAATTACGCAAGCCAGTAATGATGCAGTTGCATTCGGGAAGTATCTATTAGTGTCATAGTGTATTCAGTGATATACGTGATGCTATTCATGTCTATTCGCCATGGTTACCTCTTTTCATGAGATTAATATGCTATTCTAAGTATCAGAAAAAAAAATTAAATATATATTTAGGCATAGTACTATAGTCTAAAGGAATAGTAACGTATGAAGGTCATCATGGGTGTCATAGTATATTCCATGAATATCATCGTTCTATTCATGTTTTTATAGAGATGACGGTTACCACTTTCCAGCAGTTATCGATACATCTGGCCTCTTTAAGAGAGTAAGCAAAGAGAACCCGCATATAATCAATAACAGAACTGTTCTTCAACAGCAATAAACATATAATTTATTACATTTTCTATTGTCCAGACATAGAGGCACTGAAATTATCAGTGATCCAGAGCTCAGGAGCTGCTGGTGCCGCGGGCGCCGCACAGCACGCCGCAACGGCCGCCGCTGCCGCTCTCCGTCCTCAGGTTTACACACCTGAAGCCACTTGGCCCAAACCCTGGACATCGGGATGGACACCATCCCCTAATCCTTGGAATTGGCCTTGAAAACCACATTTGATATTTAGAATGCTTCGTAATCTACGTACAATATTTTTGGCTCTGACAACAAAGTTGGTTTATAATTAGGCTTACTACACGTATGTGTAATATTGTTACCTATACTTATTTAGTTTTTTTTATAACTTCATCTATTTGTATAATAGATAAAAAGTATATTTGTAATATAGAAAATATAGGTACCCACGTTATGTTTTTATTATGAATAAAATATGAAGAAATGCCTAATTTGCTTTTTTTTTGGTGTTCGTAAGATTCCTAAAAATTGATAAACATTTATCAGACGAGTCGATTATTTCTCGTTTCTTCATTATAGTGAAAAAGGTATTTTATTTTATAATCATTATCGTATCAGACGTTAACTGCCCAATAATGAACATAGGCCTCCTCCATAGACTATCATAAGGAACGGCCCCAAACTAAAGGACTGGAGGGCGATTTCCTCCTGGTATTTGCCATTGGGGGTATTCCCAGTAGTTGCCACGCTTAGCAGGAAGACAATTTTGTAATATTTTTGAGTGCATGTAATTTTGACATCATTAAAAATTTTATTTTACTCTTTAGGCGACACACCTCTGTTCTGTGTGGAAATACTGGTTAATCTTACACTATCAACTGTTTTATCAATAAGATAATGGCTTAGATAGCAAGTAAGTATATGTACCTATGCCGTGAAAGTAAACTTATGTACCTAGATACTATTAAATTTAAAAGTTATAAATATTCGGAGACATATTATTATCATGCTACTGTAAGTAGGTAGCTATTTTAACGATAATGAATAATAAATTCGATATGTAAACATTTATTTATTAACTATAAATAAATATTTATTATTAGGTTTTCTATATCAGATTATCCATATATATTTACTTATCAGTAGCATATTTTTATTAAAAAATACTGAATACCTTTAGAGATACTAGCTTCAATTGATTGGTAACTTACGCCTGCGCGATTGCATAACTAACGGGAGATGAGGCTCCATCTATCGCAGCTTTACAGCATCCCAAATCACCTGTCCTCCAAGTTAATGCCTATATTTCTTTAAAAAAATCAGTTTCAATGATCATAATAACCATTTAGTACGGCAATGCAGCTGAAAACATAAGGTAAGATTACGCAATTAGTCTATTGCTCTAGAGACAGTTTCTAAATGGTTTCAAACGTACCCTTAAGAGAATAAAATGGCCAGGGGTGTGACTGAAATATTAATATGCAATCAAAAGTTCCATCCTTGTTTACATAAACTGTGCTAATTTGCTATAAAGCGGTCTTAATGATTTTATAAATAATGTACTTACTCTAAAATATAATTTTAAATAGTAAAAAAAAAAAAACACTATAATATTTACGGTATTTACTCAACGACATAAACAACAAAAACATCTGTTATTTATTTATTTTTGATTTCACACAATAAGTAAAATTATCCATACTCTATTATCCATTCACAAAAATAAAATATTCCATCTAGGTCTATCTAAGTACCTGCCTATATACTACTTGTTTACAATTTTGTTCGAAATTGGTTTTCTTTTATTCATTGACCGATCACATAACGTGCAGATGACTGTAAATGATAAACAGATTTAGATAGGTCTTTGGTGTATAAGTAGACATAGGTTAGATTTAGAGAAAAAACATCCAATATTTTTATATATAAATAACTACTTTTATTGCTGTTCATAATTTTGTTTTTTATTAGAGGCCAAGATAATGTCGTACACAGTCATTCTCTTCGTGATTTGCTGTTACGGTCAACTAGCTTCGGCAGAAATCGACAGACGTCGTTTCTCGAACCCTACGTATTATAATGTAGGAGGAGTCCTTTCTAGCAACGAATCTATCGCATTCTTCAAAGATACAATTTCTGTAAGTTTATTCTTTCACTTTTGTTCCATTTGTCGAGTAAACTAGTTCATAGTGAGTTCAAGTCATCTTAAAAAGGGGTGCATGCATGAGATTAAAGGTTGAAACAAAACAAGAAATGCCTACCTTATAACATTAGCAGCGAAATATTGCTCATTTATTAATAATGTAATAGATCTACGATTCGAGTTAAAAACATTTTTTTTGTAATAATATATAATAATATCAAGGATACGTTTGTGTACTAAAGTACAATCAAATTCGATCAGCCATTTCAGCATGTCTGTAAAATAAATCTTTTATCAAAGTTTGTAACTTTCACAATTTATTAGGCACGTATAAAAAAAAAAAAACAAAAAATAAATTATATTTTATTAGATATTATTTTTTAATTGCTTTCAGAAATTGAACTTTAAAGATCAATATGTGCCTCGCGGAGTTACTTATCATGATTATTCAATATTGATGGATCCAAATCCTATAAAAACTGCATTGAATGTTTGCAAAGACCTCATCGCACATCGAGTAAGTTTATATATTATGCATCTGTAATTATAACTAACGTTATAAATTAAATTGTCTATTGTTTTCTTCTATTTTTCTGTGTCTAAGTCATAGTCAGTTTGTGGAACTAACTTTACTTCAGAGTTAATGTAAACCTACGTATAATAAATACGATATTATTATTAATCTTATAATTTTTTTCTCAGATTTACGCGGTTGTCGTATCTCATCCCCTCATTGGTGATCTGTCACCGGCAGCGGTATCCTATACAAGTGGCTTTTATCATATCCCAGTTATTGGAATATCGTCAAGGGATTCTGCGTTTTCTGATAAAAATATACACGTCTCATTTTTGCGTACAGTACCACCTTACTCTCACCAAGCGGATGTGTGGGTTGATGTACTGAAACATTTTAATTACATGAAAGTAATTGTTATTCATAGCTCAGATACAGATGGCCGCGCTATTCTGGGGCGGTAAGTCCTGTAGTTTCTATATTGCATTCATTATACACGAAAACTTCTGATCTAGCTCGTTTTGTAACTTGACATAAATGTAACTCATAGACAATTTTATATGTGAGATAAAACGGCAAAACTGTAACAAGGTAATTTGATTTTTTCATATCACAAAGGTGGCAAAAAGCATATATTTCTATAGACGGTTACTGTCATCGTCTGAAGAGCTAAGCGTTCTGGACTTTCACATTTTTAATATCAGTTATTAAAACAGAGAGAAGCTATATATTTTACTATCGTAAATGCACGCCACCATACATACATTACATACGATTACCTATTTTTTAAGCAGGTAAATATAAAAAAATAATAATAAATCAATTCCTCATATAGGTTTCAAACTACATCCCAGAGTATGCACGATGATGTTGATCGCAAAGTTGTGGTTGAGCAGGTAATTGAGTTTGAACCAGGATTGGATTCATTCAGCGATAAATTAATGGATGTCAAAGGTGCCCAAGCAAGGGTGTTTCTTATGTATGCAAGGTGAGGAACATTCGAGATTCAAAATTTATGTGAGAAACATGCGTGCAAATGTTAACAATATAATTTTGTTCGACATGTTTAGTCTGTATGACATACTAATTTACATACATAAGTCAATTTCATATAATGAATCATCGTTATATATTCAGATTTAAAATATAAGTAAATAATAATAATTGTCAGGCGAGAATAAAAGAACGACTTGTTATCATTATCATCCTTTCTGCCTAGTACTATGTATTCACAAACTTTAGTTACCTTTAGATAAAGGTACGATGCTGAGTCACATACATGTGTCTATCACTGTCTTCCTGGAAGGCATCGAGATCCTCACTCCATCTAGTAGGGTATCATTCTACGAAATCCAGCTTTTCTATTTAAATGATACTCCAAAGATTGTAAACACTGATAATAAATACCTACTTCGCTCCTTATTAAGATAAATTCGTGTTGTTTCTTTTTCACGCGACTTATCTTAAAGTTTTTGTATAATCAGCACGCAAGATTGCATGAGCAATCTTAGTCTAATCGCCACGTAAGGTGTAGATAGGAACAGCAGTATCCCAAAGGCTTTCTTTCTGACCTTTTAGCCCGAATATCGGTATGTTGTTTTCCCCTCAGATAGTTATTTTCTGGTTTTTCCTTTTACTTGTTTGTATAAGAATGTAAACTTATTTTATTATTTTATTCTATTACAGCAAAACAGATGCCGAAATAATATTTAGAGATGCAACATTTTTAAATATGACAACTGCTGGCTATGTGTGGATGGTGACGGAGCAAGCTTTAGATGCAGCGAATGCTCCCGAAGGACTCCTTGGACTGCGTCTTGTTAACGCTACGAACGAACATGCTCATATCCAGGACTCTATGTGAGTTTATTAATAAGATCTTTAGATATTCTTAGTTACGTTAATGAACAAAATGTCCATCATCATATTATTATCATTTTAAGTAATCCATTGAATATGCATATAGGTCAAGCTAAACATAGTATTCCCATCCTTAACAACCCATACAGGTTGACACAAATCGCTTCCAAAGAAGAGAAAAAAGATCATATTACGAGAAATATTACGACCACGACCTGGTGCAATCCATGCCACAATGTCGACTATAAAAATTAGATATATAGGTACTATTTATCTGCATTTGCGTCGCGTTAAGTCCCAATAGTGTATTTAAAATAGATTATAATGATGTTTTCCTGTTATTCTTCATCAGAAATATAAACATAAGGGTAACTGGATTAGGCATATAATATCATTTGGAATTCTTTTTACCTATTTACTTTTACTACTTTTACTAGACATGTTTATTGTTTTCTGACAGTTACGTCTTAGCATCAGCCATTAGAGATATGAATACTACCGAAGAAATTAGTGCACCACCGTCTGATTGTGACAACTCGGGATCTATTTGGACAACTGGCCGGCTTCTGTTCGATTACATAAGAAGGCAGAGTTTGGAAAACGGCGCCACCGGTCACGTAGCATTCGACGATCACGGGGATAGAGTCCACGCTGAATATGACATGGTCAATGTTCGAGCACAAGGAGAACATGTTGCTGTTGGGAAATACTTTTATTCAAAGGCTAGTCCATTTTTCACATCTATTTGTATTGTATCAGCTTATATCGATACCTTAGCTTTAATTATGCTACCGTTGGGAAGTTTGCTAACTAATGTTGGCTTCGAAATTTTTTAATCGCACAATATTGGAATACGGTTTATATATTATAATAATAATATTTTTATCACAACTAATTTATAAATGTTTTGGGTCTGTACGGGAATTAAGAATCGTAATTAAAATAAGTATTATGATTATTATGATTGAATTATATAAATAAGGTTAACCAAATTAAGTACCTTTCTAAGAATTTTATGAGTTAAGAACGTGTACGAAATGAGATATAAAGTTAAAGTAGAAAAAGTAATAGGCACAGTATACGAGTAGCACGTTGTTTTATATAAAATGTGTCGGTTCGATTTTAAATCTGACGAAATAATACCTATTTTCTAAAATAGTTTAACCATTTAGTTATAATCTATCCAACATTCTAACTAAGATTATAGTCATGAACATTAGAATAATGAAGTTTCAGTGATAATAATAAATAAATAATAAGTAAGGAAGTTACGTTACAAGTAATAAATTATATATTTATAGGAAACAAAAAAGATGCGACTGGAACTAAAAGAACACGAGATTATATGGATGGGTCGTAGTCCAACTAAGCCCGAAGGTTTTATGATTCCTACTCACTTAAAGGTAAGTTAATGAGTGTCTTTTTTGTAAAATTTTAAATCTTACTGACTTTAGGTTCCCTATTAATTATAAAATAAATTAAAGGCTCTTCTAAGTTACAACAAATAATGTAAGACCAAAAGAAAATTGGCTGATCTGTGAAAAAACCTGTATATGTCTATTTTGTTGACTTTATATATGCGCTACGGCACTGATAATATAATATAATAGTTGCAGCATATAGATAGCAATAATAATTCTTTAATAATAAAACTAGCTTTTTTTATTTCTTTTATTATATGTACAGAACGAAATAGAAATCACTTGTATAGATACAAATATTTCTTCCCCCCCATGCGAACACCACGCGTCTAGTTGTCTTCATATGAAATCTTTAAATTTTTTATCGTTTTTCGACCTGTAAAACATGTTTAGTTTCACTGGTAGGAGGAATCTTCGATTTTACCGTGTATCTCAGCTAATTGTTATTATATCAATTAATTGTTTTGACAAGCGAAAACTCTTAAATAATAAAAAAATAAATTAATTGGACTTTATTACTTTAGGTATTGACTATAGAGGAGAAACCGTTTGTATACGCCCGAAGAGTGGAATCTGAAACTGATTGTATTGCCGAAGAAGAAATTCTCTGCCCCCATTACAACGCAAGTGACGACTTTGGTAGTCTTTAATTTTTTAATCCATTATATTTTTCCGGAAATTATCCTTAATCTTACTGTTTTTATAAATGTAAAAGTTTGAAAGAATAGATCTAAAAATGAACGTTTTTTACTCTTCCATGCAAAGATTACTAAACGGATTTGATTGAAATTTAATACATCATAGAATATAGGATTTTTATATATATAAAGTATGTTATGTTCAATGCAATTTTCAATGTAATGTCCAATACTTATAATTTTTTTATACAACTTAGAATGACACACAAGCTGACGGCCCACCTGATGGTGACCGTCACCTATAGACATGAGCAGTACCATGGATATAACAGAGTATGCTGTTTCGCCTATGATACCTTCCATGCGTTGCCTTTCCTGAGGAATCAGGTGTTATTCCTCTGTAAATTGTTTGTCCTGGCTGACATATCAATGCACAACCAAAGCTTCTAAGTCTAAAAAGTTGAAATTTGGAATATCGGTTCTGAGAAAATATTTTGAAAATTTTAACATAAAGGAAAAACACGATACCACACCTGCAAACTTATAGGCAACAGTAATATTATAAACGTGAAATTAAGTTCATTTATTTGTTACATCTTAGCTTTAAAGCTCAACCAACACAACTGCAATTTTTTTTATCAATCAACTGTTGTTCTTATATTGCGAACATGTTGTAGGTCAACTTTACTGCTGTAAGGGGTTTTGTATGGATCTGTTAAACAATTTAGCGAAAGTTATCAACTTTACATACTCATTAGCTCTATCTCCGGATGGACAGTTTGGAAATTACGTAATACGCAATTTTTCAACACCTGGTGCCAAGAAAGAATGGACGGGATTAATTGGTAAGGCGAATTTTAACCTAGGAGTTAATTTATAAACCGACTTGATTTTAACAAGATTCTTTTCTATGCACTTGGCATGTATTTTTAACGTTGCTATTAATGCGTAGACTGTAAACAAAAATAAAACAGATATAATAAACGGGATGAAAAAGTAGATACGATTTTACATGAATTTGATTGCATATATAAAAATTTTAATCCGCAACTATCTTGCCGTTTTAACAATATTTTACTCGTATACTATTTGCCGTGGCATGGTACCTACATTTTGTAGTGTTACAACATATAATTTAAACAACGTTTCTTTGCTTTTATTTCTTTAGGAGAACTGGTTTATGAGCGAGCAGATATGATTGTAGCCCCTTTAACAATAAATCCAGAGCGAGCAGAATTTATAGAGTTTAGCAAGCCATTTAAATACCAAGGTATCACCATTCTGGAGAAAAAGGTACGATTGTTAAAAGATTGTTGTTTGTGTTTGCTAACATTTTATAACATTCTATTTGAAGCATTTTGGGATGTGGGTTTCTTATCAGCTTACCTACAGACTTTAGCTCCGTATGTGTTATACCATGTGTGTTGTACAGTATATTGTGTTATATCTTCTAATAATGGTATATTAATGTATGTGAAAATTATATTTTAATCACGGAGTGTATCTACTCTGTGATTTTAATTATAAGAATACTGAATTAACTGAAGTACGTGTATTTTTGACGAGAATGCTCAATCAATTTGGAAATTTCCGGGACCTTTAATTATGAGGTGCAATGGCATAAGCATTACTCTTACAGTTAAAATATAATATGTGTAAAATGCAGCTTAAAATATATATTTTATTTATTAATATATTTACTTGATCAACAGCCATCCCGTTCATCAACCTTGGTGTCGTTTCTGCAACCGTTTTCAAACACCCTATGGATTCTAGTAATGGTGTCAGTACATGTGGTTGCGCTGGTGTTGTATCTTTTGGATCGATTCTCTCCATTCGGAAGGTTTAAGCTTGCTAATATAGACGGCACTGAAGAAGATGCTTTGAACCTTTCCAGTGCAATTTGGTTCGCATGGGGCGTGCTCTTAAACAGTGGTATTGGTGAAGGTAAGTCAATATTACGAGAAAAATCTTTAGTTCACTAGAAAAAACTGATTGTTAGGAATATGAAGATTAATTACTATCAATGTATCCTGTTGGACTGATGTCCACGCAGTAATCCCTGAAAACCATTTCGGTTAATTTCTCTATTGTAAATTTGCAATTATGGGCCCATTGACTTAACTTCATTCTTATCGTTTTATCCTTCACTAATTCCACATCATTGAATACTATTAGCATAGGTCGTTCAATGCATAAAATCGCTGTTTACAATCTAGGTGTTATAATTATTATGTCACTTCTATTTTACGCGGTGGACAGAGAAATCCAAACTTCAAAGTATTTATAGAGGAATAAATTATTATACGAAGGCATTAACAATACACTGTAATGTTATAACCTTAATAAGCACCTTTTAGACAGAATTTCAGAAAAATACCTAAGATAACTATTAAAACAATTTAGGTATACGTATAAGTACTTATTGATTATAATATTATCGGATATAAAAAATTAGACTCCTATTGTAATAGACATTTTTTCTAGGAACACCACGTAGTTTTTCAGCAAGAGTATTGGGGATGGTATGGGCTGGGTTTGCGATGATCATCGTAGCCTCATATACTGCCAATTTGGCTGCTTTCCTTGTGCTCGAGAGACCAAAGACCAAACTTACAGGGATCAATGACGCCAGGGTATGTGTAAATACGTATTCGTAATTTTTTATAAAGCCAATGTCATAAACGGTTGGGCCTAAACGGTGTGCTTATGTACTCTTTGAGATAGCAGTAGTTGATTACATTATTATATTATACAAAAAAATTATAAAAAAAATGATTATAAAAAAAATGTGCAACACCAGATTGTCAGTTGCGATTTGTGGATTATATTAGTTTTATTAGTGTATAAAAATTGCAAAATACGAAAAGTTGGTATGTGATGTACTTGAAGATAAAATAATAATAGAACGTTAAACAATCAAATCAATTTAACGGGACAGGTAATTGAGAGAAAGGTACTTGTAGTTTGAAACCTATGGGCGTAGATGACATGAAGTTATGTTGGATTTGATATAGCTCATGTACGAAGTGGCAAGACAATTATTATTTGTCTTAGGAGAGATTTTGCCTCACTCTGCGTGTTCTACCGCCTGTACAATGGATTGTGCTCAGAGGAATTGTTCAATATGATGCCCACAGCCACTTTTTACCATCGTACAGCTCGCCATCGACAGGGAGTTCATCCTCATGTCTTACAGCCTCAATGGTCGCATACTGCGCGGTTTTAGAGATGTTTCCTCCCACGAACACTCAGATTGTAGAATGAGGTCCCTGCCGAGGATTTCCCAAGAGACTACAGCATGGGGTTCTTCAAAAAGGGGGTAAAGAGGTTTCCTCAGGGTCGGCAACGCGCATGTAATACCTCTGGTATTGCAGGTGTTCATAGGCATACAAGGTAACCACTTATCATCAGGTGGGCTGTATGCTTGTTTGCCACCTCAGTGGTATAAAAAAAGAATAGTACCTACAACAGCTTTATAATTTCCAGTTACGTAATACAATGGAAAACCTCACCTGTGCAACAGTGAAAGGATCTGCCGTGGACATGTATTTTAGAAGACAGGTGGAACTTTCTAATATGTATCGAACAATGGAAGCTAATAACTACGATAATGCTGAACAAGCTATTGAAGATGTGAAAAATGGGTAGATTATTATGTTATTTAATATTTGACGTTCTTAAGCTGCCTATAGTATATTGTACCTTTATTTTCTTGCCGTTAACTGTCCACTGCTGGACATAAGCCTTCCCCAAAAGGAAAGTTTTGCCAGTAGGTAGTAGCCACGCTTGGCAAGCGGGTCGGCAACCGCTGTTAGGCTTTTAGAGATGTTTTAAGAGACACGCTGCTGCCCATCTCTCGGCCTAATTAATTAAAGAATTATTATTATTAATAATAGCATTTAGCTTAACCATTGTCTTAAATATATATATATATATATATATATATATATATATATATATATATATATATATATATATAAAAGGGGAAAAAAAATAATAAGTGCCACACAATCATATTAATAGCCTGGTCCTCGCAATCATTATCTGGATGACATAACCCAGACCCGAGCCAATTTAGAAAAGTTCGTTTCCTACATTGGTCTAACCGGGAATCAAACCTGGGACTTCATTTACCCAAAATCACGTGCCCATCACTGCGGCAATCATCAATAGATAGACGGTACTTGATGATTGATGAGTACAGTACAAGCACCTCGCTTCATAAATTTCGCAGTTAAAAATCAAAATTGGCCCATTAGTAGAAGAAAATTGTTCTATTTTTTGTCCGTTATTATCGTTTCAGCAAGTTGATGGCATTTATTTGGGACTCATCACGATTAGAATTCGAAGCCGCACAAGATTGTGAGCTCGTTACTGCCGGAGAATTGTTCGGTCGGTCCGGTTATGGTGTTGGCCTACAAAAGGGTTCTCCATGGGCGGATTTGGTCACATTAGCTATATTGGATTTCCATGAAAGTAAGTAGTATATTCCTATAAATACTTCGTGAAATCTTTAAATAATTGTATTATATATTATTGTTGCCATAGTTTATTATCACAATTAACTATAATCACAAATATAATTTGTTCACCATAGTAGGTGTTTCTATTGTTACATAAATTATTATTATTACATAAATTACATAACTATTACATAAAGTTTTTAATAAAGTCGGTTTCAAGAGTTTTCTGTAATGACTACCTAAATTGAGAAATGAGCTCAATGCTATCATCATCATCATATATCAGTCTTTAACTGTCCACTGCTGAACATAAGCCTCCCCCTTCGGAGGGTTTTGCCAGTAGTTGCCACGCTTGGCAGGCGGGTTGGCAACTGCAGTTAGGCTTTGGAGATGTTTTAAGAGGGACGCTGCTGCCTATCCCTCGCCCTCTCTTAGTCGATTCTTACGATATTCACGGGAAAGGAAAGAATGGCCTTTTTTATAACTATAGAAATGTTATGAAAGTCTATTTAGTTGTTTAGTTTTAAATTCAAAATTACTAGTTTTGGAACGATTGAAATCAGCATTTTTTTGTGGAACAAAATCTTAATTATATTGTGTAATTAAATTTTATCCATAGGTGGAGTTATGGAGAGCCTGGACAACAAGTGGATTCTACGGAACAACATGCTGAATTGTGAAGAGAATGAGAAAACCCCGAACACTTTAGGTCTAAAGAACATGGCGGGCGTGTTCATTCTAGTGTTGGCGGGCATTATCGGAGGGATAGTGCTTATAGTTATAGAGGTGGTCTATAAACGACATCAGATACGGAAGCAAAAGAGGATGGAGATTGCGCGGCACGCGGCCGACAGGTGGCGTGGTTGCGTTGAGGTAAAAAAAGCTGAGGCCATAGCGGATAACTACGCCAACATCAAACATCAAATAGAAAGCAAAATATAAATTTGTGTTCGCCCCTATATTTAACCATAGTAGGTTAAAAGCGTTATTATAGACCAATATTTAATATTGAAAATATTTATCTAAAATAAATACGTTTCATGTTCATTATATTCTTAATTTCCATCACAAAATCACCCTGCTTGTTTGTGTTTCGTTGGGCAATATCGGATTTTGAGATTTAAAAAAAAATTACTTAAGTACTTACTTCAACATTATACATATTTTTAAATTCTTGATATGAATACCAATGAAATGCTTTGCTGATTTTTCCCCCAGCACGGTGTTACAGACATCCTAAATTACCTACTTATATAAAAGGTGACCGACATTATTTCTTTATAAAATTTATCTATAGAGAAAACAATTAGAAGTTAGATTATCAAAGTAAGTAGATTTGATACATATCTATCTTAAGATTGAAGAATCGAAACTCCAAAAGCTTAGCGGATGTCTCTAAAACAAATACCTGCATTTCACCTAGAGTAGACAACCAACCTACCTATTTTCTTACGTTTCAAAACACCAATTTTAACTTAGATATATTGAATGCGCGCAACAGATATGACATGCAATGCCCTATATTATTGCTTCGCTCCCCTCCTGCACCAAGCATACTGCATGTATCTAGTTTCATACAATTATGAACTCGAATTATGGGTACTAAATATTAGTTAATTTCAGAAACGCAAGTCGTTGCGAGCCTCCTTATTGCCGTCGCAGAGGCGCGTCAAATCCAATGGAGTAAAGGAAGCTGGAAGCATCAGTCTGGCAGTGGACAGAGGTGCACGGCGACGCGACGAACCCCGTGTACCACGCTATTTACCAGCGTACACGCCTGACGTATCTCACCTGGTTGTTTAATTTTATTTTATCGTTGTATTACGTTTATTACTACTATCATTACGTCTAGATGGCGCTGTGTAATATAACCAGTGGTTAATTTATTATTTTAAATTTAAACTATAAAAAAATCTGTTTTTTGCCAAGGGAATTAAGTAGTCCTTTTGTTTCCTTTTAAATATTTACTTCAGCTAGACGAAAATTTATAACCTAAGTAATTGAAATGTAATTATAATAAGATTTTGAAAAATTACCTTCTGCATTTGTGGTTTGGATGTTTTATCACGTGGCTGGCGTGTCTATGCCATAATTGCAGAATGTTTTGTTTGTGTTTGTACAGTTTGAGGTTTTCAACAAGATCCTATTAATATGTCATGCTGTTAGTCAATTAAAAGGGATCTTTGCAGTGTAATAAATAATATTTGAACACCAATAGGTAGTAGTAATTCGTTATAGGTACTGATTATAGTAAATAGAGAAATAGGCTGTTTACAGCAATTACACCCGCGTGGGTACGATTATTTCTCATACTTGTTCAAATTTCTGAAATTTATGAATAAATATCTACGTTGTACTAAGAACGCAAGAGTAAATTCAAACTGTCATGTTTGTAATTCCATTGGTTTAGGCTGTGAGTTGATAATCAGCTAATGAAATGTATTTATACAATAATTTATTATATTTGATTTTATTATATTTTATAAACATTAGTTTTTTTTTATATTAATTGTCAAATATTGCAAATATGTACATTTTTGTTAGATTTTATATAAATTATCATTAGTAAATAATCTTATTATTATATAAAGTGAGGTGCACTGAAACAAAGCAGGTTTGATGTTTTCTATGATTGTTGTTCGATTATATTCTTTACAGAAATCGAATTGTCTGTTTGAGAAAATAAAAATTATATTATTGTTTATTTTTAGTAGTTTTAATATAATCGATTTTTAATAACTGATTTATATACAAGGTGCCTAATATGGGATATCACATTAATAAAAGACCGATATTTAACACATCTATATATTTATGTACATAAGAATTTGAACAGTGCCATATGCGAATTATATTAATATCCTATTTAAGAGCTATGGTGCTCCTGAAAAAACAAATCTAAATATTACATTGCCAGGATTGTTGGAACAAAAAGGAATATCTTGTCAACTGGAAGGTTCTAATGTGATACCACACTGCGTTCAGTCAAATCTTTGTTTCGATTTAAGTGAAAACAGCATGGGATGCTGCCATCACCCCAGAACCTTGCAGCCTCCAATGATTCCTTATAGCGAATAACATGAAGCGCAAATGAAATTTAATAACAACATTTATAACAGGAGGGTGGGTATTACATTAAACATTTTAACATACAGATATATTTCATCAACCATTACATAGTGCCGTTGTGGTTTGTGCTACAATACTGCGAGTCGAACGAAGCTGGGATGACGTATTAACTCTTATCAGTATCAATTATCCAATATCTATTTCATTACCTAGTAAAATGGTAACATTGTCTTAATTAAATCTTTTCGAAATCCTATAAACTACGTCCTCTAAATAGATATTACAGCGTGTTAAGTGAATGAATTGTAATAATAAAATATCATTTAGTTAGTTTTAGCCGGCGAAACTTCTCGTACAGTTAGAGTAAAGGGTAATATTAATATAAAATTGAATATACACACTGACACCAGAAATCAGAAACATGATCACACATAATTATACATTTTCTGGCGACTTAACGGGACCATTCAGCAGTATACATTCTAAACAGCGATAAAATTGTACGCATTATTATAATATAATTAATTAGGCAAAAGGAAAACACTAATTATAATATTATTGTAACACTAGATATTACGATTTTAAATAATTGTTAGTAATAACAAGTGTGTGTATAAAGTCACCGCTATACGCTTAATCGGCGAATTTACGGTTAGGGTTACGTCCGAACAGGGCGGTACGTATTTCGGGCAACAGCTGCTGGGCTATCAACTCCAGGCGTGACTCCAGGGTGTTGCTGATCTGTAATGAATCATGACAATGTTATCATTATTTAATAACAATCATTTAAGTTCTAAACTACTGATTTATAATTTGATAAGGCTGAATAAATTTTATACTAATTGGTAGAGAGATGGATAGTATTCAATGATAAACATAGAAATAATTTTATTTGAATTCACATAGACTGAACACTATTTTGCAGATAATGCAATAAATGACAAACACAATGTGGGTGATTGCAATATAAAAATATGAAAACAGTGTGTGACTCATCTCGAAAATAGATAGTAAAAATTCTAATGTTTAGTTATACTAATGGTTACACAAACAAGTCGACTGCCAATGATAACTGCCCCTATAAATATTAATATTAAATATTGTCATACACATATGTAGATATAGTATTAACATTTTGTAAATGTAAATTATGTTTAAATGTAAATATAGTAATAAAATGTATTGCTGTGGTAGTCCCCCATGTTTTACCATTCCTAAGAATTGAAAATAAGACATGATACATATTCTATTTTAATACTAACTCATTAAAATTTTATTGTTAATCATATAACTCACCTTAATACGTCCTCTGGCGGCGATAAGCTCGATACCACCGCAGGTGTCTGCTGGCAGGTAAGCTTCAGTATCCACTTTGAGCTGAACATCCTTCTTAATCTTAGCCTTATAGTCTTGTTGGGCACGGCCAAGCAGTGACTCTACTAAACTCTTGTCTGCCTGTCGGACTCGGATAGTCACTGCAGGCTCCACCAACTGCAAGAATTTTTTTTAAACTAATATTTGTTGCTAAGTTAATAATGTCATAATATGTTTGTCAATAAATTTAATACAATTAAAAAATAAACATAAGATCGCCAATACAATTATAAAAAAATCATATACAAAATTGATCTAAACTAAATTAATTGCAACATTTTAGTAGTTGGACATTGACTATCAATTCATGAAGACTAACTCGACTAAGATCTGTTTCATGAATAGAATAAAGGTTCAATGACACATAAATAGTGTATCTCCTGTCATAACATTACTTGTTATTACAAACCATAAAAGTAACTGTGAGTAATTATTATTTTGTTTACAAAAGATTAAGTAATATGTGAAAAACCACTAATTACCTGGAACAGAGCTTGTACAATGAGTGTAACAAGCAGATCTGAATACAGTTTGGTGTCCTTGGGCACCTCAGCCAGGCGCTTGCGTGCTTCATCCAGTACATTGCGTACATGGTCTTCACGTACTTTCAGCACCTTTAGACGAGCTTGGTTCAGCATGTTCGATGATTGACTGTATCAAATAAATTACTTTTAAAATGGGGCTTTACATAATCAATAATACTAAAATACTAAATTTTAAGTGATTAATTACTACAAAGAAATAAGATACATATCATGCACAACTGCAACTCTAGATGAGGTAGTAGTTTCAAGGCAATTCATTGATTTTGTTGTTGCATATTGATACTAGGAATTTGTTAAAGTATATTTAAATTAAACATTAGAGCAAGCAATGGAGGAGGGCACTTTATATTGGAATCTATATAGACATATTAATATAAGTACCAGAGACTATGAAGAGCACCAATGTTATAACACTAATGTTAGAAGCATACTATTTTGTGCTAAGCAGATCATTGACTTAATTCTTCTAGTACAATTTTTTTATCCATTCGTTTTATTATTTATTTGAAAGTGCCAACATTTAAAATTTTTGTCTAGCTGTTTATTAAACTAGAATTAGTTTAAGAAAAAACAACCAGTGTGATTTTCTAACATTTAACCTTTTATGATAATAATAGATGTGGGAATTAATTATAAGTGATTTAGTAGTGCATTGCTAACCCTATTACAAACATCTGCTTGCCAATTTTTGGATAATGATAGTGTGTCAATTTTAATTTCTGATTAATTCTCTGGTGATGGTAAACAAGATAGAATATTACTACTTTATCAAAGAATACAATTTAAATATTTTGTCGATACTTCTATATTTAATAGGAGTAATGAAAAAATAAATATGCTCTAAATTGTATCTTTTCCAAACACTGAGTAAAATATAGTATTTTTTTAAACAAGATAAGAACAATTTTAGTCTTATCTAAAGATAACAATTATGTAATCATTTTTATCAAATCATTCAGAAATATTATAGAAATATAATACTCTGTTATGTCTAAATGAGAGTCTACACTGAATAATAATTATGCATCTTGTCTTCTACAAATAAGATATAATTAAAAATAAGATTTATAAAAATATTGCTATTATGTGTTCATCAATATTCAATTAAAATAAAAAATAATTAAATCTATAGAAATAAAATAACATAAACATAGAGGTACTTATACACAATTGACACATGCAGAATTAACACTGTAGAGTGAACTTTAAAAAAGATATAATGTAATAAATCATGTGACTACATTTATGATAACTAAGCAATGAATGAAGTATTTAAATTTATTATTTTAAATTCATAAAAAGAACAGTCTTTAAAAACATTTTGTTTCAATAAAGTATTGAAAATGATATATATTTCATGATGCCTATGAAAATACTGAACATGTGTATTTGGTATTCTTATTATATGATTTATAAAAGAAATTATACTATTTATATGTGATACTTATTTGGACTGTTTAGAACTGATACTTATGTATATAAAATCATGATAATGTGTTAAACATTAGAGGTTATAGTCATAAGATCAGTTTGATAGTTGACACATGATTCTCAATTAGGTCATAAGTACCTCTATGCCATATTCTGTTTGCAATATAATCAATGGTATTACAAAATAATAAAATTATGTCACGAGGGCAACCAGTTATAGGTATTCTTTAAATGAGACATACATCTTTTTCTGGAGTTCAACTTGTTTCTCTTTCTTTTCATAGAACTCCATGATCTTGAGACGTTGCTGTTGGACCAAACGACCCTTTTCAATATTGAACTCTTCTTCAGCCTTTGCGTCGATTTCTTCGACTTTTTCGTTGGCTTCTTGCTCGATGAAGCCCATCATTTGCTTGATCTGTTAAACAAAAATATGCCATTTCAATGAAAAAGCTGTTATTCAAATGGGAATACATAGTTTACTCGTTCATCCAAGAATAAGAATTAGATGAAATAGAAGCAGTCTCGATCAATCATCTTGACAAAATCATGTAGTGTAGCATTTGTAACATTCCATTTAACTGTTGTACATACCTGTTTTTGAACATCTGCATCGCTGAGCGCCATGGCTGATAGTTATAATTTAACACCACTAACACGTAAAACAACCGATATTGAGCCAGAAAATTAAAAACTGGCTTGAAGAAGTAAGACGACGCCTATCAGACGTGCACCTTCATTGAACAATCATATGATCCCAGTGTTGCCAAAAAATATTATTTCGTCCCAAAGTCCTTCATAGATATTTTGTCTATTCCAATTGGAATGTAGTAAAAACTAAAAGCAGCGTTTTATAATTCTTTTTATTGATTAGTATTTTTTTAGCAAATCAATCGCATTTCAATATGGATTAGTAAAATATTTTTAATTATCTAATTCTTGTTACAAAATTTTAAAAATATAACAAAATTGTATCTTTATAACAACTTTTTTTAGAAAATATAAAGTGTATTAATAGGCACATACCGTCTTTTACCTATTTAACGTATATTATTAACATAACTTTATTATTGTAAAGAGATGCCTACGTCTGCAAAACTGAAGTAAAAGCATTATAAAGTTTTCAATTTTTGAAAGCGACACTATAATTAATACGCAGCATGTTTATTTATTCAAAACTTGGCTTTGTCTGCTGCTTTATACACATAGATTTCAGAAGTAGGAAAATCAATGAAATGATCATTTTTAGATGACGTAATAAGATTAAACATTTTTTACATTTTAAATTAGACCTTTGTGAAAATCGCATCCAAATCGATGCAATACTTTTGCAAATCGGAACAAACACACAAACGCACACACAAAATTTATAAAAAATATTGTTTTGAGATTTACTTATTGATATAATTTATTAATTTCTAAAATCCTTGATATTATTTTTTTCTAAATATTTCTCATATACAGATATCATATAATTACAATTTTATTACATTAGTGTAATAAACGAGTTTGAATCCCCAAGAGGTAAATTTAAAAAATACTTAATAGCGCTCTTTTAGTTAAGACTAAATTCTTATTAGAAAAGTCGGAACTGAAAATTTATTGAATATTGTTATAAATTTTATAATTATGGATTTGTGTATATTCAGTAGATTAGATATTTCAAAAAAAAAAAATTATAAACTGAATTTTTTTGTAATGGTAATTTTTTTATATGTGTCATTAGGTATAATCAATCGAGCGACCGGATATTCTACTTACATTTATTAAATTCAAATAAAAACTTTAAAGATAATACTTAAAAATTATTAGATGTCTACTATTTTTTTTTAAATTGATATATTTTAAAGCATATGTATAATTAGTTATACATCTGATAATATCCTGAAAGTTATGTTTCCGTTTTTAACAATATGGCCGCCAGTTGTTTAGGGTAATGTGGCGTTCGACAAAACTGAGTGAAATTAATAAAATATTTATAAGTGATGTAAAGATGTATAAAGTCTTCATTATTTTATAGCAGTGTTAAATGACAAAGACCGATTTACGTTTTTATTTCGTGTATAAATTTTGGACACATCGTCTTCTAAATTGAACAGTCAACAAACTTTTGTTTATTTCATTAGAGTGAATTTGTTTGTTTCTCCTGGTAATATTTGATTATGAACCATCCATACGTGTCTTGAAGTAGTGGACTAAGGACTGACGTGGACACAATAGGTAATTGTTGCTTATTTTTTCAGAAGCGAGTAAATTTACAACTAGTCGCCATTGTTTGACAGACAACGAATAATCATCACAAAATAATGATCAAAGCATACTGGTTATTACCTATCCTGTATGTGTTATTAATTATTTTATCTTATTCCTCATAATAGTATGTAATATGTATTCTATCGGTCAATTGTATATCTTTAACTGCACTTTACGTGTAGTTTAGCAATATGCAGTTTTCTTTCAGGACGTTTCACTGATATTGTATGCAATTCTGTAGTCATAGGTTAATTAGAAATCTAAATAGTTGTTTTTATAATTAATGAAAGATTTTTAGTTTATCTCAGATTATTGTTTCTGATTGTTTTCGGCTGTGTTCTTGGGAAAGCCTTGTTCAAATTATCCTATCTGTGACAGATTCTAATTCTTTAAATTTAATAATTGTATTTAATCTTTACCTTTACCTTGTTTAATTTTGGTTATTATAGAAATTGAATGTACATGTAATAAATTTTTATAGCAGGGCTTGTTTATTGCATGTAAATGACATACTGAACTGAATGTGAGATACTCATGTGCAATCAAGATATCAAAGGATTATTATTTACAAAATTTGAAGTTGTACGAGTTACAAAAAATATTATTTGGCTCTTTGAAATGTTAGTATGAGAAAAGTCTTACCAGATTCATAAATAATGTTTAGAATAATCATAATTCAAATTATATTAGCTATTAGTGTACTTTAAGGTAGAATTATTAAATTTTTTTCTGATGAGGTTAGTCAACTGTATAGTAATTCTATATAGTAAATAACCTTATGATAGTTTTATGATAAAATCATTAATTACAACATATTCAGTAGGTATTGTCAGTTGTGTCATCAGTATGTAAAATGAACTTTAGAAAGTTTTTAGATTGCCTGCTATCCTCATTTGATATCTTTCATTACAGCAATCATTTATCTTTTCTCAGACCTCAATTTGTAATTTCAAACTTAAAAGCATTTAACTTCATTTAAGCATAAATATTTGGTGCCATGTCACAGATCCATTATTACTGTTTTTTTTTTATAATTTTTAAGATATAGGGGAAAATAGTATTTTAATCTTGTAGCTTGTATAGCTAGTAGGGAGGAAACATCTACGAAAGGAAAATGATACTTAAATAAATTCAAGAAAAACATTTAGCAGAATGTCCCATTAAACCCTATAGTGAAACTTTGAAAGTAAAATAAATCTGAATTTTTTTAAACATTTTGTATTCTTTTACAGGTTATGGCAAACTTGAATTTCCAGCAAGCGCCTAGAAGCTTAGCGAGCGGCGGTGTGGGCGGTCGTGTAAGCTCAGGGCTCGTAGGAGGTGTGTCAGGACATGTAACGCCAACGTTCGGGGGCGCCCTGTCCCCGGGACGGGGTTCCACGGCAATGCCTGGTGGCGCCCCAGCTGCTATGGCCTCGAGAACTACTCTTTTTGGTCAGCGAGCATTCGCGGACAGAAGGGTGCCCATGCCGACGACACTGTCACAGCAACCCAACTCAAATTCCATGGTAAGAACTGTTTTTAATGTTATAAGTTATACCTCTATTAATTTTTAGGGGGTTTCTGTTTAATATCAAATACTCTTTTCCTTAATGTTTGCTCCATTAAAATTATTAAATTATCTCATGCATACTTGTTTGTTACTCCGATTTAATTACTATTACATTACACCCTTATAATGTTAGTAGTATTGTTCATTGCTGAATGCAATCTGTGTCTTATCGCTAAAGCAAACTCTTCCAGACAACCTTAGAGTAGAGGAGAAAAGGAAAATGCCATAGCTATTTTGCATGAAAAGTATTTAAAAAAATATTGCGTACTGTTTAGATAACATCCCTATAATTTCCTGAATATCCTTATGAGCAGTTACTTTTGAGTGTTTCTTAAAAATTTCAATGTGTAATATGTAGGTTAGTTGAAATTTACTTTTAAGTAGGTACAGTTATTATTATTCCTTTGATACAAATCTGGAAATTTGTTAGGTATTCATGATGTCTTTTAGTTTTCAGTTTCCGTTTACATTCTAATTTATTTAAAAAAAAAAAAACAGACTTATTAAAGTTAGTATTGTTTAGATTTAAATAACATAGCTATCGATTTTATGATAGAATCTGATTAGAATGGATATAATTATATTAATCATAGCAATAGCTACTAAGGCCAATTGTTATTTTTACTTAGGACTTAACAATTCTATTCTAATTAAAATACATATAAATGTAGTCTAATTCTTTTGTTTAATTTTATTGCTGTAATGCATTTTGTGTAACATGTCATGGTCTAATACTACTGGAATTAATTTTCCAAACTGTTCATCATTCATAATTAAAAATTGTTTACAGTATTGTGTGTGAATAACAGTGCATTTATAAGGTAGACAAAGAAATTCATGTCAATTGAAAAATATAGCTATTATTAATATACTGCTAGAGACAGCAGTTTTATGCAAGTTCGATTAAATTACTCATTGTAATATGAGAAAGAGTGTTCACGTTCATTACAGCAGTGTTTGACGGTATATTTTATCTTAAGGTATACCTATAAGTATTGTGAATCAACTCTGTTCGGATTGTTTCCGCATACCTGTATATACAAGTGTTGATAATTTTGCGTGGTCTTCATTTTACGCAATGCCAAAGACATTGATAAAGGTAGGTGCCACAAGTGCTCTAATTTATATCACTGCTAAACTACGTGATGTTTCAAACGCGGTTTATTGATAAACCCCTGTGCATTGAACATTTTCGTAAATGCCATCTGCAATAGTTTGTTAATTCTTTACGCTTTTTACGATATATTAGGAACTTTGAATTGAAATATAGTCGAAGTCAATTAGGCACCATAAATCATACCATAATTATTCACATTCACACACGTGTCATTAAAATGGTTTACTATGGACGAAAATATCCATTGTAAAACATTTTGATGACTTTTTAAATCTAATTTGATGACTCTATTTAAATCGAAGCCTTAAAATTAAACTTTTCGTGTTTTTTGCACATGTTTCAATTTGTTTTTAACATATTACGCGAAACGATTGCATGTACAGTATAGTACAAATAAATGTGGGTAATAATAAACATCAAATATGTAGGTACTATTTTTTCTATAAATATTTCTAAATTAGTCTCTTACAGCTAAATATTGTTATTACAGTCGAGTATGGGTAACCTATCTCGGTTCAACGCCGGCAGCAATTACCATTCTGTGTTCGGCGAGGGCGGGGATACATCGACGCCACCACTATTAGACCTAAGCGAGTTCCCATCGTTGACGGCGCGCGGCGCAGGAGACCAGGCGCCTGCCGCCGCGCCGCCGCCCCCTGGCTCTAAACCTTACGGTACACTCTTGTTCTTATTTATCAATTCTTATACGACTAAATGGCAAACATGCTGATAGTCCACTTGATAGTATGAGTGGAGGGAATTGCTTGTAGAGGGAAATGGCAGCCCATTGCTGCAAATATAACCTGTCAGGTCTTATATATCGTTTTCCACTTGGTCCTTTCTGGAAACCCCGTGCTTTTATCTCAATGGGTCAACTGAACTGACTTCCTCATTTACCATCATTTATTGGTTCATCACCAGCGTATATCAATAGTACAAGTGGGGTCACCATATTCTGCTGTCAACAGTCCACTTGATGGGCCATCAATGGTACATTGTTGCCTATAGATCTGAAACCCTGATTTTGATACCCCTTATGTATTACTATTTGTGCTAAGATAATATTCTTTATGAAATTATAATGTAGAAATATAATATGTCATCACACTTTCTTAATCCTAGGATGTCTTAAGACGCGACTAAATGTACAAAGCCCAATATACCATTGTATAAGAAGGATAAATAAAATAATTCAAAATAAAATGCTATTTAGGATTTTTTTAAAATATTGCTATTATAATTTTGCTTGCATATTTAGTAAATGTTTACACAGTGAATCAACATACTTATGTTATTATCATTCATATCATATCAGTATGCTTAATACAAGTTAACTTTTTGTCTATCCTGTAGGGGCGTGTGTATATAAAATAAAATTGTTAACATATTATCAATACAATCAGGTGATGTTATCGACTTTTATTATATACATAACGACGATTATGTATACCGAATATAGAATACCGAATGTTTATTATGCGCACTTGTTTATATATAAATTTGTTTATAGATAAATCTATATAAAATTATTTTCGGCGTAATTCTTATTGGAAAATATGCTTTGCGAGTATTATTGCTATTATTTTACCAATAATTAAATATAAATATTGTTTATTGTCGTAATAGGCCATTGCTTACTAAGTAAGGTATAGATTAAAATTCACATAAATGTTATTTTGATCTAAAGATGAAAAATTATAAAGGATTAAATTCTATGCTCTATGAAAAGACGTTTAATAGAACAAACCAAAATACACCAGTACTAGATAAGGAAACCTATAAATACAATCCTATACCAGTGCAATTGACCGACATGGTAATAAGGGGAAAATGTTCTCCTTTAATGGGTAACGGCCCAGGCATAAGTGGGACAATGGTAACAAAGTTGTTATTTTGTAGGTATATAATAGTTACAAAGTCTACTACGATAATAATAGTAAGTAATTAACTATTATTTGGAAGTAAAATTATATACAATTTATTATACAATTATAATTTATTTTTTTTATAAATCAAGAATAAATCAAGAAATTTATAAATGAATAAATATTGTTAAAAGTATAATGATGTAAGATATCTATCTATAGATATGTTTTCGTTGTCTCAGGTATAAGAGAGAAAACGATAACGAAATGTCTGTCACTAATTTATTTGCTGTTTGCTTGTAGTGTTTTTTTTTTATGAATGGTAATGACCTGTCTGCGCTAACGGTATACGCTGGCGTGGCACCAGTGAGGGATGATAGATGAGAATGAAAAGGCAAGTCAGTTACTCTATCGTGACGAATTCACTTGGAACTGAGCACGATATTTTTCAAGGGGAACTGCGAAGAGGTCGACTTGATAGGATATATTCCTAGCAATGTGTCTACTAATTCACATTATTACCAAACCTCACCTTCTCTGACTCCGACATTGTAATGTGTAGTTTATGTATTAAACAATCGATTGTTGGTGTATTTGTAGTGGGTATGGTGAAGCAGCCAACATCCGAGCAGTCGGAGTTCACGATGTCGTCAGAAGACTTCCCGGCGCTGCCCGGCACGTCGAGTACGGGTGCGAGCGCGGCGGCAGGTGCTGGCGCGGCGGCGGGCGGCGCGGGCGCGGGCGCGGGCGGCGCGGCCGCGGCCGGCGTGACCACACAGGCCGGCCCGCCCCCCGCCTCGCACGCACACCCCTCGCACGCCGCTCTCGCCGCCGACTACACCAACCACAGCACGGACAAACCTAGAAAGGGCATACAGACCTCGCCTGATGGTGAGTAGTTTTTATCATTTTTATGGAGCTGTCGACGACAGTAGAATTTTTGGCTTTTAAAAAGCTTATGTTGTTTTAAGAGCTTATTTTGTAAGTTTAACTGTGATTCATGTTTATTGCGAGAGACAGAGATAAAAAATGATGCTATAATTAAAATATCTAAAATCCTATCAGTCAGTCAACATCTACTATGTAGTTTTAGATAGGTTAGTTTAAGAATGTACATACAATACTGAACCGAAATTGATCTATTTTTTATTTTATATTTATCAATACAATATATACAGTGGAATAAATTTCAATTATTTTAAATAATATCAATCAACTGCTGATTACTTATGTTCTGACATTTATCTAGTAAAAAAAATTTAAGAGTTTTGTTCCTTTGGTCAAACTGTATATAATTGAGTAAATTCGATTTCTTTTAACGAATTAATTCTTTTAACGAAAAGGCCGCTCATTGTTTTCTCAGTATAATCTTTTCTTGTAATTGTTTATACATTTATAATAAGTTTATTACTGTAATCTTTTGTGGAAAACAATAAAAAATATCTATCTATCTACAATAAAGTTTCCTTATTTTATTATTAACTATTGATATTTTTAGACATTAAACATAAAATTGGGTTGTGAAAAAATTTCCCAGTGAATGGAAAATTTTAAATCTAAGATCTCTAATTATAAGAATGATAAATTCAGAAAATAATAACAAAAAGCAGGCATTATACAGCATAGAAAATTTATATAAATATTAAGTTTTTTTTTAACATTTAATACATATACATTTTTAAGGTCACTTAAAAATATTGAAGAATAAACATTTATTTATTTTTAAATAAATATTCTTCAATTAGAATTTCCTAGTAAATTGAAGGATAATACATGAATCATTCAAGTGAATTAACATGTTATGTGACAGTTCACATTCTAATAATAATGAGTAGCAAGTATTTACTATTAGAATAAGTGTAATTAAAAATCCGCTCATAATACGCTTTTTTAATTTAACATTGTATATCACGATATTATACAATTCTACAGTTGCTTTTAATAGGAGAGAAAAATATATGCAATTATATGGAAATACTTATAAATTTCCACACATGTACACAATATTATCGTGTATAATTAAAGCATCTCCATATTAATTACATACATTTTTCTCTTCTATTATACAGTGAAATCAAAATCGTTAGCAGTATGTAAAATTAATAATCGACCTATGCTGTAGAACATGATGATGATAATACTGCCGTTAATTGTTTACTGCTGAACATAGCGGCTCCCCTTGGGTAGTGGGTAGTTTGCTTTTTTTTTTGATAGGTGAAAATAGAATGCCTGTACTAATGGTATACGCTGGAGGGCCACCAGCGAACGGTGCTCGATGAGAATGAAAACAGGCCAGTTAGTCCATCATGATGAATTCCTCAGGAATTAACCATGATAGTATCCAGGGGGAACCGTGTGGAGGTCGACCTGGTTAGGCATATTGCTAGCAATGAGATTCTTAGTCTCCATTAGTAATAATCCCTTTCCCCCCAGTGGGTAGTAGTACCAGTATGCTGTAGAACATATTTGGATTGAAATTTTTTAAATAAAAATTTTAAAATGACAAAAGCCAATTCTCCCATACTAACTCCATAGATGAACGCACCATTCTAGTATGTGAAGCTAAAAACTTTTGTAAACTTAAAAATATTCTGTTTAGCTGGTATACCTTTAAACGGTGCTAACGATTTTCATTTTACAGTAAAATTTATGATATCATTCCTGCTACGGAAAATTATAAAATCGCCCAATGTCCTGCTCGAGCGTACATCATAACGATCTCCGATGCTCCGAGCATATGAATCTATATAAATATAACTTGTTTTTATATTATTAATGAATCGAGGATTACTTTTTTTCTTGTTGTATCTTGTTAAATTTAGCGTTTTTAAATCGAGTCACTATAATTTATAAGAATACAACAAGTTGTTCTCAATTTTATTAAATATTAATAACAATTTATTTAGTACAATTGGATCTCTGTTGCTGTAATGCTAAAAGAATAATTTTGTGTACGTAATAAAAAGCGCAAATTAGGCTATATATCAGTATAATTAAAATCATGGAAATGCATGCATAATCATATTTATATATGTTGTTTACTACATTGTAATTTCTCATCTAATATAATAATAAACGAATATCTGACATTTGCTTTTTCTCCCCAAGTTGTCAGTCAAGGAGCACATACGGAATTCTATGGTGTGTATTATAAAAAATGTAGAAAATTTAACAGAATTGAAAATAAATTGCATTTTGAACGTAATTTGATTTTCTATAAACACAACTACATTATGTTATTGAGAACCTCATCCTTACATAAATATAATATAATAATAATCTTTCATTTTAGGACTTTTTAATGTAGGATGTCCAATTTTCATACAAATCGTTTTGCTTATTTAGCTATGAAAACTAAATAAAAAGAAGTAAGATCAAAATATTAAATATTTAAAGAGAAAAAATCTAAGAGGATGTTTAATTGCATTTTGTCATACTTACATTTATCTATGGAAAATCCTTTGGGCCTTGAGAATGGAGTTAGATTTTGGATCTCAAAGAAGCTTTTTAAAATAATGAATATTTTTTTTGTCACATAGAATGTCTCTTGCTATGTTTCATACTTTAATAACCTAAAACATTTATAATAATCTAAATATTAAATTCTCACTGCCAAACATGGGTTTATTCCTATAATTTATTTCGAATTTTATCACAGTTGGCACTTTATTTTTGTATACGTCATTTATAACAAATTACTAGAAACAATCTCATATTTATAAGCAACAATAATGATATGGTACTCTGAATAATATATGTATGTAAATGTAGTTTAATTTTGAGACATATACTTGAAACTGTGCTTTGTTTTTAGGTACAGTAACAAACATACCAGAGACGATGATACCAAACCAGTTTGGTATCGTAGGACTGTTGACCTTTATCCGAGCAGCGGAGTCAGATCCCAGTTTAGTGTCGTTGGCGCTAGGTCAGGATCTGACTGCATTAGGATTGAATTTAAATTCACCGGATAATCTTTATCTCACGTTCGCTGGACCATGGGCGGATACACCTTGCAGGTAAAAATTGTGTTTTATTTTTACACCAGTTCTATTATTATTTTTGTTACTTACCTGAGGGAGACTTTGTACAAAAGTCGTTTGCTTGGGCACCTCTGTCCCATTCATGTTTCTACCGTAACGCAGTTGTGTTTGCATGGCTGTGTTTCGGTTTGAAGGGTGGGATATGGCAGTGAATTTACAGAGTATATTACAGAGGAATAACACCTGAGTCCTCAGGAATGGCAACGCATGGGGGGTATCATGGGCGAAACAGTATTCTCTGTTATGTCCATGGCACTGCTCATGTTTGTAGGCGACGGTTACCACTTTCCATCAGGTGGGCTGTCAGCTTGTTTGCCATTCTAGGTTGCATAACAAAAAACACGTCTTCCTGTTACACCTATCATTGACAAAAAGCTTGTGAACTGACTTTCAGTAGTTATAGTATTAATTTACCTATATTGAGAAAGGCAAAGGAACTAAGCTATACAGTTCTGATTTTCCATAATGGGAAATTACTTTCACTTGTAAAAATTTTGCCTAGCAAAGTTCTTATAATTCTAGTTGAGGTCTGTTGGTACAGACCTCAACTTATTGGTGAGTCTCACCTCATCGCAATATGTTTGTTTCATTATTTATTAATTTATTTTAAAGTTTTAACTTTAGATCAAAGGGAGACTTTGTAGAAAAGTCTTCTGCTAGGATACCTCAGTGTTATTCGAGTTTCTACCGTAAAGCAGTTTTATTCCTACTTGAAGGGTAGGTGGCAATGATGAAATTACAGGGTGCATATAATCTTAACCTTCAGAAATGGCAACGCACGAAGGGTGTTATGGGCGACATATTATGTCCACGGTACTGTTTATGTCTGTAGGCGACAGTTACCACTTTACATCAGGTGGGTCGTCAGCGGGTTTGCCATTATAAGTTGCATAAAAAAAGGTGTCTTTAAAATTCGTAAAAATTGAAACTAAACATTGAAACTACATAAAAACATTAGTGGAATAATGAAAACATTTAAATGTCTCGTACTGACTTTACAGTCAGATGCGCTGTCTACATAGTTTTTTTGTTTGTTTTGTCGACCCATATTTTTTGGGGAAAAAGATCAGTTTCACTGGTAGAAATCATCATCATGATCATCGTCCTTTTGAAAGGATACTGATAATATCTCCCTATAAATATAACTAGAATAGTAAACAAGTCGATGGCTTAATGAAGAGTCTTAACTGTCGTCAATAAACTTTGACATGTTACTGTGACATATAACGTAGATATATAATTTTAACAGACCACAAGACTTGGACTATCACGTGCCTCCCGAATACCTTATAAATGGCTCTATTAGAGAAAAACTGGCACCACTACGACTAAGTCGATATAAAGAAGATCTATTGTTTTACTTGTTCTACTGTTTTGTGGGCGATGTACTACAAATTGCTGCTGCAGCTGAGTTGTGAGTATTCTGTTTTTACAAGAGATCTCACACACTCCTCGGTCTATAAAGAACACAGTTTACACGAATCGTATTGAGTTTCATTCAGTATACCTGCTGTTGATTTTCACCACCGTATAACCCGTCACAAAGTAAAGTTCTATTTAAACCGTCTGGTTGAGTGGCGGTACTCCACCGTGCAGTTTTCAAGGCACTTACTTCCACGCTTTAGAATCAACTTAAAGCAGCAGTATTTCCGAATCGATTCGATATCGTAAACTTGAAAAAAAGAGCATAATCTTTTTTTAAAGGCTGGCAACACACCTGCAATATCTCTGGTGTTGTGAGTGTTCACTTACCATCAGGTGAGCCGCATGCTCGTTTGTTTCCTGTGTTATAAAAGAAAAAGTATAACTCGCCGGGTTTGATAAGCATTTAGAGCAAATAGCGTAATATTAACGGACTATTACAGTTGCAGAGTCAGTGGATGCTGGTGGCTCAGGACTGTTTTTTTTTTGTGCTTGTCTATGGGCGAGGCTTATGTTCAGCAGTGGACAGATAAAGGTTGAGATGATGATGATGACTACAGTTACATTGGTAGAGTATTTATATATATAATCATATACCAAAAAAAAACTTGCACAAATCATCATGATTTTTTTTTTAATACTAATCGGTGTAGTTTGTTTATTTGTTACTTGCAAGCGACCCATTTTGAATTATCTATGGTATTCAAATAAACATTTGAAATCTATCGAGGGTTTGGTAGCAAGGTAAAGGGTTGGGTGTAATATGTCAGTATTAATTGATATACGTGTGAATACGGAAAGGTAGCGTTTTCTCGTACAGGCTTTACTATAATTTGACTATCAGCTGTAATCATAGCGATTAATTTCAGCTGATATAGCTTGCATTACTTACGAACTTGAAATGAAACAGTTATAAATAAACATCAGATGCTTGTCATTCACTGTCCATTCTTTCTTAATTAATAGTCACAACTACTATTACGGGGTCGTTAGCATCAAGTTAGTGGTATAGTACAGTCGACATGACAAGTGCTTTATAACTGTCATATAAAATATCTAGAACATTGTATCGCATTCAGTGAAATCTTTTAAAAGTTAGCAAAGAATAGACAAATATTTACATACTGTTTTCACATTTTATAACATTTAAACGATTTCCATTTAAGATATAACCGCGAGTGGCGATATCATATGGAGGAGAAGGTGTGGATCTCTCAAGCGCCCGGCATGCCAATGGTGGAGAAAACCTCTACCTACGAGCGCGGCACCTACTACTTCTTTGACGCGCATAATTGGCGCAAGGTAATAATAGATCTATCACTTGAATCCTCATATAGTTAATATTTGTGTATGTTATTTACTATAAATGTTATGATTAATTTTGTAAAAACAAGAAGGGTGTGATATTAACAAACTTGTACACTTTCATCGGTGGGCTATACGATAAATATAACGATATGTAATAACTTATAAGTCCTTTAGGAAGTAAACAAAGAGGAACTCTTATATAGTTTGCATTTGTATTAGCATAGTTGGTTAGCCATTCCACTACGTTCGGGAATTCTAAGTTCGTTTCTCAACCTAAGGCTCTTAATTTTTAAATTTATCTTTGAATCATTTAAAAATGATTATCTCACAGTTTCTGCTTTGAAAGACATTCGTCGTTGTAAAAGAAGCAAAGTCAAGGACTTTCTTATATAAAGAAGAAACAAAGCCTACAAACACTTGAAAGGAAGGGGTGGCCTATTCTATGGCGGGACTACACAGCCACTTTGTGTATATCATTTATTAATAGTTAAAGAAAAATTTTGTTCAATCAAATATTGTTGTTATACATTTACAACGATGTCAATAGTTTACGGGCCATAATAATAATAAACATTTACTTTATAAAATATTAATAGTCAAACAATTATTTGTCCACAGGTGGCGAAAGAATTTCACCTAGATTACAGCAAGCTCGAGGGCCGACCGCAGTTGCCGCCGCACGTGCTCACGTAGCGCTCCCGCTGCAACCATTCTCACATACCTATTGTAGTTTTGTTATATAAAAAGTACAAGTTTAAAAAATATTGGTTTTTATTTATTTTTTTAAGTAAAGGGAGACTACAAAAGTCATCTGATTGGGTGGGACCTCCAACTTCTGTTTCTGCCATTAAACAGTTATTTTTGTATGGGTACTAACCTTTCAAACGACCAAAAATAGCTATATACATGTGACAGGACAGTGAAATTACAGGGTATTTAAGCATAACATCTTAGTTCTCAGAAATAGTTTAAGAGCTATAGTAGCGGTCGCCCAGACTTGAGATCTATGGGCGACCGCTACTACTTTCCATCAGGTGGGCCAGTAGCTATTTTTCTATTTGATGTTGCATAAAAAAAGTTGAACTTTGACGCTCATAAAAAACGGGTATCTGATCCTCGTGAAAACCAGCTTACAGCGAGTGTCACTACATTTCAATATTACTTTGTAGCTTTCAATGTATATATAATAGTACAACGGATATGATGCTTGTAGCGCAGCGCGAATTTAAGTATTGTGCCCTTGGGTAAAGGCATCATAGAACAATTATTTGCTCTCAACACATGCATCTGTATAAATACGTGACAAAATATCTGTTTTGCATTTGTCTAGAAATCATTTGACGTTTTTTATACGTCCATCTTTCATAAATACTTCAGATTCTTTAAATTTTTTTCTTAGTGGGTACTGTTTAGTACAGGTTTGGCTTCCGGGCCTAAATTAACGACGCGGTGACGATGTATCGCCGCAGTACACTCCGGCAAAGTGCTCAGTCCTGTAAGGGTATTTTTTTATAATGCTGTAATGGAATTTTGTCTGTCTGGATGATGGGTATACGCTGGCGTGGCACTAGTGAGTGATTATAGACGAGGATAAACGGAGCAGTTCTCAGGTTTAGGTGAAAATGAAATGGTAACCTCACCTGCGCTATCTGTATACATTGGCGGTGCAGTTTTTTTTTTAATTGATGATAACGGAATGGTATCCTCGTCTGCTCTAACGGTATACTCAGCAAGATGGTTTCCAGGGGGAGAGGGCACGTGGAGGTCGATCTGATAAGTAATCTCAGCTTCGCTGTTGGTATTCTGGCGAGATTCCAATGACAGTTGATACAGGTTAGTTGGCGCCTCGTGACGAAATAAACGAGAAAACCACCATAGTTTCGAGGGGAACCCGCGTGGAGGTCAACCCCATTAATGTAATGCGGTTTAAAATACCAATTTTTAGCAATATAACTAAACAATCTCTCCTTTCGAGAGCAACGTGAAAAATAAAGAATCTACGCGGAGACTTCTAAGATTGAAGAATAAGTTATTCAGAGATAGATTTCAGGTTTTTTTAATAGGTGAAAATGAAATAGTGGCTCTGCCTGCTTTATTGGCTTACATTGGTAGGGCACCATTGATGGATGATACGTGAGGATTAAGCAGGTCAGTCGGCCAATCGTGTTGAATTCAACATTAAATCAAACGTGATGGTTTCTGGAGGAATTCGCGCGAAGATCGACATAATATATTGCTAGGAATAATGGTGTTGCTAATCCCCATTACTAATAATTTCCTTTCGCCTCATTTACTGTGCATTGTAGTATACTGCGGATGATAATAATAAAATTAAAAAATAAATAATAGGTATGTAAGGGAGGTTAAATAAATAATGCGGTTAATTAGGTACTAGTTTTTATATTTTCATCGAGCAAAATATCTCTTCCATCAGTCATCACCTTTCGTATATTTAGTCACATGTAAATATGGGCTTTAAACATTCTGATAACTTATTTCATAAAAAGAAAAGGTTCTATTAATGTCCTAAAAATAATAGTTATCAGAATTTTAACTATAATTATTAATTAAAATGCACTTTTACATGTGGCTAAAAAAATTACTCACAATTTTGATTTTATTATTACAAAATTGATATGATGACAATACAATTGAACATATAAGTATATTAGTTAATAAAGTAGCATGCTGTCATACTCTTATTACATTAGTATTAAATGGAGTAACTTAAAATAATTAGATTTAATAGTTTGTAGGCTTCCTATGTTATATTGTAGAAATGAACATGGCAAAGTGCAAGTATCAATAAGGAAGCAAATGGCCATTCAGGTGGTCTAAATATAGATTCCATTTCATAGGTTTTCCTCTGAATCACGATCTTACTCATGAGGTAATTTTTAATTACTTATATCAAATAATAAATACATTGTTTTGAATCTCAGTCTAAATCTTCAGTGCTAACGGAAGGGGCTGCATTTTCTTCAGGTTCTGATGTAGCTGTAGATGGTTCAGAATCATCACCACCTCCAGGCACCCACAAGCCAGAGTCTATACATCGCTTCATGTAGTAAATTGCTTCTTGTTCAGGCATCTTAGCAATGGTAGCCTGTAGTAATGGGATGTCCTTCTTTTCAAAACATTCTTTCAGTTCCTGTATGTGACATAAGTTTCATAGATTAGAATTATAATATTTCATATATTACAATCATAGTGTGCATTGAAATATAGTGTACTCAAACCCCAAAGCATGACAACTAAGTATTTTAAGAAAGGCTGTATACAGCTAGAATATACAAAAAATACTGATTTATATTTTGATAGGAGTGAAACAGCAACAAATGTGTTGTAATGACTTTGTTTTATTATTTTTATGTTGTAGGACATGAAATTCTGTTGTTGCAAAAATATAAGTACAACCAATAAACATATGGCACCAAAAAGAAAGAAATCTGAATGATATAAAGATGACAAAGAACCAAGCTGCCTATAGAAGTTACATTATGCAAGATATTCTGATTATTACTCAAAAATATTTCTCTTTCTCCTTGTATTCTTCTACATTCTATTTGAGTCTCATAACATCTTCTGCAATGGTACTGTTTTTAAATAAGAACAATATTACAACTTTTGAGGTAAACAAATTCCTTCTTAGTTATTTTCAATAATATGTAGTGATAAAACAATTAAGTATGGATATTGAAAATTGTAGGTATATTTATAAAACTTACAGGTGGAAGTTCTTCCATAACCTCAAGTGGATCTAGGCCACCTGGTCCAAGTCTTGCCTTTCTTTCTTCTTCCTCAGCTTCACGGACAGCTTCCTGTATCTTTTCTGCAGCCCGTTTTCTGATCCTTGCCTTGAATTGCTCTAGTTCATCATCAAATGAATCTTTATATGTCTTTTCAGCTTCTTGAATCCTGTAATGCATTAATTTGTTATAATTTAGCATTTATTTGAAATTTAAGAAAATAGAAGAAAAATGAGCAATCACAGTCCTGACAGAGAAAATGTCTATTTATTATAGGTGGTGCAAATCCATCTGCTATATTTTTTTAATTTCATAATAAACATCTGAATATGATTTTTATATTTAAACAGTATTGAGGTTGTTTCTGGGACACCATTACTTTAAACCTATTTCTTTAAATTAAAGTTTTAATTTTCATTTGATACATACCACATATTTTTCAATTTATAGAAATGCTGTTGTAGAATCTTATTGTACATAATTTATATAAAATGTAATCTTTATTCAAACAGGAAGTTCTTTGAAATTGTAATTTTTTATGACTCTACTGCTATAATTATAAAATACATAATTTGATTACTTGCCTGTTAAAGAATGAACCAATGCAAGCTCTGGGGTCCACATCTAGTTGCTTAGAAAGTTCCAGCATATACTGCATACAGATCACTTGATGGGACACATGGGCCATCAAATCATGTTTCTGTTGATAAATTATGATACAAATTAATATCTCAGAGACTGTACAAGTCATCTATATAGGTACCTATGTTCTTCTTGTGTTTATGCTATAAAGCAGCTTTGCTGACATGGTTGTTTGGGTTTGAAAGGATATTCCTTCAAAGTGTCATTGTCATATGATAGTGAAATTATAGGGTACAGAGGAAAAATAGCATAAACACATGAAGGGTACCTTGGATATCATAGAATAATGTGTAATATTGCTGTTTATTTTTCCTCAAGTGGGCTGTCAGTTTATTTGCAATCGGAATTCAAAAAATGAGTTCAAATTTAATAATGATATTACCAAAATACTTAATTGGTTGGTGGTATTTGGTTAAATCATCTACTTTAAAAAATAATATAATTAGAAATTTCTTATGTGAAGATGGTTAAAAATCAGTAAAAGTACAGCTGATAACCTGATTAGTTTAAAATTTGTTAGAGAAATATAATATTTTTATATTGCATAAGCAAAAAAATAAAAAAAAAAAAACAGAAAAAAAATAAAGTACCATATTCTATTGTGTTTACATAAAACACATCTACATTTTGCTAAGAAGTTAGAAAATCAATATGGCATTAGGTGAGTCTAACATAAAATTATCTTCATTCATGATTATGAACTTTTGGACTTGACCACAACTGTCCATATTGTCTCTGTTTACATGTAGGATGGTGTGGTCACATATCATGCTATTATAATAATTATATAAAAAAAATTTACCTCTTCCATTTCTAAGTTAATACACCATATTACAAGATAGTTAGCTGTTTCCTCACAGACTAAGTGATTATGCTCTTGTAAAAATTTTTTAGAGTCCTCATATTTTCTCAACATGCCATATTGTTTTAATAGTTTTTCATTCTCTTTAATAAACTTCTTCATTTTAGCCTCTTTTTCTTCTTCGCTTAAGTCTTCATCTTTGGGCCTGGCAGGTTTTGTGTTTATAACTGTTTTTGTGAAACCTGGTTCACTTATTGTATCTACGTTCCAGGGTGTTAGCTTCTCCTTCTTTTTCAAGTCATCTTCTTTCTTTTTAATTTCTTTTTCCTCCTTTTCTAGTTGAGCCAATTCCTTCTTCAGAGTATCTAAGTTGGGTCCTTCAGCATTTTCAGATATTTTCCTTCTAATTTCTGCCAATTTTCTAATGTTTTCAGACTTTCTTTGTTCATGTTCTTGTTTCTCTCGGCGGCGCTCCTCCATGCGCTCCACACGGGCCTGGTGTCGCCACCTAAATAACGATGGGGTATCGATATTCGGGTGGGTCTCGTCTTCATCATCAGAAATCTGAAATAGGTTATTTTTAGAAATATAGTAGAATAAATTAGACAATTTGTCATTATATTAATAAAATTAAATACACATTAAAATTTTAAGTAATAGTAAATAATAACATAAAGTAAATGTAATTTCAAATTACAACCAACCTCAATATCTTTCCACTTGCTATAGTCCACCATTGTTTGTAATTAAATCTCTCTGAATATATTTCTAGCAATAATTTTGCACTGTTTTAGTTCTATATGTAGTTGATAAGTAACCGTTTTGTTTATTCTTTAACTTTCGGAACCTAGAATATTCTTTTAGTGAATTGAAAAAATAAGAATGAAAGATTTCGCTTCGCTTCTTATGAGGAAAAATGACAAATTTGACAATGACATTATTTGTCTGACATTGTCAGTGAGAGTGCGACTGTTAATATTACCAGTTGAAATTTTTATTTTCCTCCGACAGTATTTATCCAAATAAAATTTTATTCATTTTTTATATTTGACTAAGTAAGTGCTAAGTAATGAATGACAAAGAAAATAATGTTTACAAACGCCAACGATTTTGTCCAACGATTCCATTTCTCTAAACATATTTCATGATAAAATTTTACCCAGAATGCGAAAACCCTCAATCTGGCAATGCTGATAGTCGCAATAATATATCAGGTCGGCCTCCACGCGGTTCCCCGTGGAAATCATCGTGGTTAATCTTTGTCGAATTCTTCATAAGACTGACCTGTCTTCATCTATCACTGGTGTCTCGCCAGCGTATACCGATAGCGTAGGCGGAGTCATTATTCCATTTTTACACATTAAAAAAAATATATATATACAAATTACCATAAATGCACAAGTGATTTTTTTAAAGTTCCAATAAATTGATATCATAGAATTGATCCAGTATATAATCCATAGAGCAGAGATACTATTAATATGATTTAAAATTTGTCTTTATAATTTAAGAACCTATAATCGGAAAATGCGATAGGAGTATTTGGGGCGAGAGGAATTGTTAATAATAGCTCCATTGCTAGCAATATACTCTATCAAGGTCGACCTCTATTCAATTCCCCCTGGAAACTACGAGTATGTAATTAGTTCTTATGGAATTCGTCACGATGGATTAACTCACCTGACCTGCTTTCATCCTCACCCAAAATTTATTTATTTATACTTTTTCACACATTAAAATATGTCTACAGGGCAGACTACAAAACACTTGTATTATGAAAATCTCTTTATAATTGCAACACGAATTAAGCTTGTAAACAATTAAACATAAATTAGGTATTTAACTATATCTAAAACAAAATTAACATTTTTGCAGATTATTTAGGATGGACGGAGTATTCAGAAATTATGTCATGTGATGTCTCAGTGTTTCTTTTTCTTTTTCGCCAGGGTTGTGAGTATAGTCGTAGCGGTAGTAGTCGTTGTCATGGCTTCGGTAACAGTTGATGTGATATTTGCGATTGATTCCTCTCCATTTTCTAGTTGATTTTGGTTTTCATCAGGTATGCTTATTTGGAATTGCAGTAGTACCACCAAATACGTCACCATCGTTGCCATTAACTGTTTAAAAAAAAAGTTTATATTATGTACTGTCTTGAATAAAAAAAAGTAACTGATTAAAATTAGTTTATTAAGATTGGGATCCCGAGTGGAGCGAATTCAAAGGTGTTATAAAGAACTGAATCTAGGTGGGTTAAGGCCGTTTTTTATAGTGCATAACAACATATTTCCGTGCGGTTCTGGCATGAAATGGGCTATATCTTTATTCCTGTGAGTGTCCTAAGGGACGACTAAAAGAATTTAATGCTCAAAGATGGGCAGCAGCGTCCTTCTTAAAACAACACCAAAGCTTAAGTGCGGTAGCCAACCTTCCTGTCAAGCGTGGCAAATACTGACAAAATCTCCCTTATGGGTGAAGCCTATATTCAGCAGTGGTTAGTTAAGAGCTGATATGGTGATAATGATTGTAATTATTATAAAGTACGAGTATATCTTTGACATAATTTATACGCAAAAGAGCAGTTGCTGATTTGTAAAGAAGTGTTAAATATTTACTTATTCACCGCTAATTTGTTTTTTATTTACATTTAATTACTTTTGGCACCCATAAAAGATGTACAAGTTAATTTGTGGGAATTTTCAGAAAAGTAACATTTACATATTAATTAAGTAATTGTTTAGGTAATTAAACACAAATAAATTTACACGTACAGACTTAAATAGAGTGCGATTGACGTCAAAGTAACCTCCAAGACTGATCTGTGAAGGATTCATTTCGGTTGCGCGGAGAAACATGTTAACTTCTGTTTGAGCGTCTGCGTTCATCCATGATAACTCTACCATCAAAAGCTTCTTTTGAAAGATTGTGCGCACCTAAAGATGAATTGTAATATTATAATAATGCTACGGTTATAGCACTAAAGTTCTTAAAATCGAAGATAACTAGGAACACACTATCCAACAAGTTTAAAGGCACTGTACCTACATCAACAAGGTACAAAAGACAGGAAGGTGATTACTTATTGTTTTCTTATATTACCATTTGATCAGGTCTTAATCATCAAAAAGACATTAAGTCTCTTAAATAGCTTAGGTATAAACTATTGCAACGTGGTCCAAGGAAATACCAACTTCAGAACTTGAACAAAATATACTTGTATAAGATTTGACTCTTCATCAAAGCTAAGGTAATAAGGATCTTTAAAAATAAATTAATGTAGGTAAGTATTAAAAACATTGCAATTAATACTACAAATAAAATTAATACAATAGCTACTTACATTATGAGATGCATAGTGGGCTTCATCACAAATGAAGAATAGCAAAAAAATACTACAGAGAGCAGTCAATGCTAGGCCAATGTCTTTAATTCCGAAGCCTTCCGATATCTGACTTAGGAGGCCATAAATCGAGAGAGTTATAATGAGAAATAAATATAGACTGACGAATGTAAACGTGTAGCAGTTAGCGATGCCAGTGTCCCGAGCGATTTTGCTCAGTCGCAGCCAAAGGGCGCGGTATTCAGCAACTTTTCCAGCAGGGCCAATGTGGCGAAGGGCCTGTAAATAGAACAGTAAATGTGTAAACATTATATCAATTTAGGCAGTCTTGTTAAAAGTCGTGAAGCCAAGATCTACTGCTAAATGTAATGGTTATTCGTTTACTTAGTAGTATGATTACGTACCTAAGACATTATTTTAAAATGTATTTAAGAGCTATATGGCAAGTTTATTTATTAAGTAAAGCATCTAAGTGTCTAAGTACATACTGAATGAAAAAAATAAAAGCATGATGTCAAGATAGATTTTAACTATTATACAAATTAATGTTGTACGTTAAATGTATTCACAGAATAATACCTGTTGGAAGTCTTCGGCCAGAATATTAGCAGAAAAACTGAGGCTTTCACAAAGAAGATACCAGTATCCTCCCAATATGTAAGTCAATATTTCTAGGAATATATATGGAACAATCTGCATGAGTTTAAAGTGTACCATCGTAATATGAGTGACGATTACAGATGTCGTTGATAGTATAGGGATGATTATCGCAATTGCTAGTGCTTTGTTGTATAATTTTACTGGCAGTGATCGACCAGACATTTGTTTATAAGCAATCTGCAAAAAAATAGCATAATTATTATTTGTGAAGTAAACGAGCTATCAGCCCATCTGAGTGGGAATGGCTGGCGTAAATACTTGTAACATAAGAAAGGTTACTAATTTGTAGCTCGTCTTTTAAGAATCTGTAAATACGTTTTTTGAAGAACCCCATATTGTAGCGTTTGTAAACTTGATGTAAAGATCTTTAAATTTGTAAACGTTTGTTATGTACTCCATGTTAACAGTATCCCGTAAAATAAGATAAAAATTAAAGTTTGGATCATTTAAAATGATTGAAACGTACTGCGTGGGGTACATAAAGTAGGGTAGTTAAAGTAGCGATGGGCCAACTCGTATAGTTTTGAACTCGAATCACCCGATTTGAAACGGTGGCTGATTCGAATCGCAACTCGAATCAGCTCGCATTCACTTCGTATGGGATCAGTATTGCAATTGAATATGAACTCATCAGGTCGGTTACTTAACTCGGTTCAGATTTAAATCGTTGACAACGCGAACTCGCGAGTTTTAATCAATTCGAATAAAATAAATTAGCGTAACGTAGTAAACACTCAGAATTCAAAAGTCACAACAACATTGTTGATTGAACTGTTTAAATATTTTTAAAGGCGGTTGTAATAAAAATCTCCTTATTCATAAAAAAAAAAACTAAACATATAATCAACCTATTTTGGCTATAGAATAGTTTTGTACTTTAGAGCTATTAATTTGAAAGAAAAATACAAAACACTAATATTTAAAATATAGTTTTTAATTTTTAACCAACTTCCAAAAAAGGAGGAGGTTCGCATTTCCACTGTAAAACTGTATGTTTTTTGTATGTTTGTTATGCGATTACTCCGTCAACTGTAGACCAATTTTCAAAATTCTTTTTTTGTTGGAAAGGGTATTGTCTTAATGTGGTCCCATTGTCACTATGTCAGGATCTGTTGATGGGATCCCAGGGAAATCAAAGGCAACTCTCAAACTTTATAAGCACCTACAATATTTTTCATGTACTTTCTAAAGCTATTCAGATATTTGGGTCTGGTAGTCATCATCTCATGTTGCTTAGCTGATGATGGAAGGTGCAACTTTTTAAAAGTTAGGAGTTAAGAGATAATTCTTGAAATTTTAGGCACGTTAAAACCGTTAAAAGTATTTTTCAAGTAATATGAAGATGATCTGATGATGGAGTACAACTCCTTAATGGTTAGGAGTTAAGGGACATATTTTAAATATCATAGGCACGTTTACACCGTTAGTTGTATTCTTTCGAGTCACATGAGCTGACGATAAAATAGCGCTCTTTTACTCTCAGGAGTTTTTTTTATGGGTCAAAATGGTATGGTAACCTCACCTGCGCTAACGGGATACGCTGGCGGAGCACCAGTGAAGAGTGATAGATGAGAATGAAAACAGGCCAGTTAGCCCATCATGATGAATTCATCAAGAATTAACCATGCTAGTTTCCAGGGAGAACCGCAAGGAGGTCGACCTGGTTGGGTATATTGCTAGCAATGGGATTCTCAGTCTCCATTACTAATAATCCCTTTCCCTGCTTTTTTTGCTTTGTGCAAAAAACCGCAATTGTAACAATCATCAAATGCCTATTTGTCGTAAAAATAGCTGTATGCAGTATAAACTCTAGTGTAAAAGTGAACATTTGTCAATCTGGTACTAACAAAATACCAGGATGGAAGGCATCAGATCCCCGCGAGATCTAATATTGACAGGGGAAAAGGCGAATTTTAAACAATTTAGACAACAGTTTGAATTGTACCTAACCGCAACGGGACTGTCAGAACAGAGTGATGAAAGAAAATAGCAATTTTTTTTAACACAGCAGGTGAAGAAACCGTCGAAGTTTTTAATACGTTTGATAAAAAACGAACAAAAATATTTACCGATGTATTGGAAGAATTCGAGAGGTATACTCATCCACGTAAAAACATATTAATAAATACGTATCAATTTTTAAATATGAGACAAGAAGATGATGAATCTATAAATTATTTCATCACCAGGGTTCTGTGAATTTGATATCTTAGAAGATAGGCTCATTGCAATGATAATCATCATCGCGATTAAAGATTCAAATTTGAAGGAAATTTTATTAAGAGAAGAGAAAATAGATGCAAAAAAAGTCATTAAAATATGTAGAACAGCAGAAGCAGGAAAAAAATAAAATTAAAAAAGAAAATATAAACATTAGAAAATGATGAAAGTAAACACTCTTAAAAAAGAGACAAAAATTCAGAAAAAAATAATAAATACAAAAGAACATATGTGCAAGGTGTGGTCAAAGTCACTCCAGAAACAATTGTCCAGAATTTGGGAGAAAATATGCTAAGCGTGGTAAATATAATGATACCCCCCATGCGTTGCCATTCCTGAGGACTCAGGTGTTATTCCTCTGTACCCAGTAAATTCACGCCATATCCCACCCTTCAAACCGAAACATAGCCATGCAAACACAACTGCTTCACTATTGAAACACGAATGGGACAGAGGTACCCAAGCAATCGACTTTTGTACAAAGTCTCCCTCTGAAATATTTAAAAAGCCAACTATTTATAATGACTATATCATGTAGAGTAATACTTATTGTGTTCTTAATGAACTTAAAAAGGGGGGATGTTGCATATATGGCATCCCTATCTCACTGCAATTGTAGATGACAACACTTTTAAAAAGAAAGTGATTACATATGTACGCTCCACAATTATTACTTAGTGTTTCATTAAATAATAACTATAAAAACTATTTTGCCTGTCCTGTCATATAGAACAATCAGTAGGTAGTGCATAGTAATAAATAAATATTACGTTTATTGTTCTCTTTGATTAAATTTGTATTTTGTTATTTTTTACTTTTTAGTGTAATGACGTTTTGTGGTTTTTGAAGTCGGTTGAACTTTATTTTTTAAGTTTTTATGTCTATGGGGTATATGTCTCCGATAGAAAGCACTGTGAGGTAATTATACGTTATGCTGTAAGTGATTTAAAAATAAAATTCCTAATTCGACTCGTATGATTTTTTATTTTACTTTTATTTGTATGTTACACGGTAACTCCCCCAAAACTGAACGGATTTCTGATTCTTTTTGCAGTCGATAGTTTATTCCCATATCGCTTCCATACATTTTGTCACAATTGGTAGTAAGTACGTTTTCTTTTTTGTGAAACAAAATGTACTCGATGCAAGAATAGTTTTTATCACTCAGGCAAAGCTAAAGATTTCAGATAATCCTACTAATATTATAAATACGAAATTTTTTAAAGATGTTTGTTACTCAATTACGCTAAAGGGTAGATGGAGGAGGATGGAGGATTTGGATAAAATTTAGTACACAGATAGAGCATTATCTTACACATAGAATATACTTATTCTAATTCACGCGGTAAAAATCATGGACAACAGCTAGTAAAATATTAAAAGGCAAGTAGATATATAAGTTATAATCGTGTAATATTATTGTATAAAAATACTATCTAGTTAAACTTTAACATAATATATAATCTATACAAAATAAAATAGCAAGTCTTACGTCTTTTAGTCATGTTTTCTAAATTTGGCACATATGGAAACACAGGTTTTGTAATTTGTATTAATTTACTCAATTTTAACTGGATATAATATAAATGTTTTGTAGATACGGTTAACTACCTAGTATCTATAATTAAATATACGTATATTATGTAATAGCCCTAAAATTTGAAAGAGAATAAATTATAATAATACCTATAATTTAATAAATAATAAGTAGGTACATACCTACTTATTATTTGTTAAATGTATTACTAATCTTTTTCTCCCTGCAGACAGAGTTCAGAAATAAAATTTGGTCTAACTTTTTTGGGAGAAGTCTGTTTCTTCTTTGATTGGTAAGTAGTCCAGCTTTAGAAAAAAGTCGTTCTGATGGCACGGACGTCGCAGGTATGCATAAATATTTGCAAGCCATTCGATACAGAGACGGAAATATATGTTTTCGTTCTTCCCAAAACTGTAGTGGATCTTTCTTTCTATCTAGATACGGGGCATCTAGGTATTGTTTTAGCATAATTGAAGCAGAAGATATTGGCGTTTGCTGCGTAGTACTGTCATTCACTTTTTTATCGAAGACTTCCCACAGTTCATCGTCACTATTTGAAGAAGTCTGAGTCTGAGATGTTGTTGCCGTATTAGATTCATGTTGTATTTCAGATACCTGAAGCTGTAACTGATATTGAGCTAGTTCTTCTATAACATATTTTATCGCATTTTCTGCAGCACTTTCCAACCCAAATGCTTTTTTCTTGAAACGGGGATCTAGAATAGTTGCCTTTGCTGCAGTCCTATTACCTTCATACACACCCAATCTTCTATCTATGACTTCCAGTAATGATTGTTGTAGATGTTGGCCTGCTTCAGTATGTGGAGTCTTCTTGAGGATAGAATTTTGTAGTCCTCTTACCAATGGAATAATGTATGACAACGTCGGGTAATATTCTCCTGACAAGGTGGTTGTAATTTTTTCTAGTGGCCGCAAAACTGCAACACAATCTTCCAGAATAGACCATTCAGCTGAATTTAAGTTAAGTGGTGGTGTGTCAAGCAATGGTAAAGTTGCAGATAAAGGAATTTTTAATCTTAATAGCCTTTCAAGCATATAAAAAGTGGAATTCCATCGGGTATTAATGTCTTGTTTAAGTTTTAAAATTTCTAGGTTCATCTGGGTTTGCATGTCTCTAAGTGTATTCGCTGATTTTGTACTTTGTTTAAAGTGAGTTACTATATTGCGACATTTTGTAATGACGTTAAGAATTTCTGTATTTTTTAAATATGAACTTTGAATATTTTCAATTTCTTTACCGAGGCAGTCTTTAACAGCTAGATTGATGGTATGTGCGATGCAAAAATGATTCCTTTTATTTAGATAATCGTTTACGGCTTTTTTCATATTGGAGGCATTATCGGTGACTACGGTGACTATTTTGTCATAAATTTTCCAATCGGATAAAATGGTTCTTAATATATTTGCAATATTTTCTGCAGTATGTTGTTCTGGAAGTTCTTTAGTTGAAATGACCATTGATCGTAATTTCGAATATTGTATAAAATGGGCAGTAACACTAATAAAACTTTTTTGGCTATCGGAAGACCAAATATCAGTCGTCAATGCGATATCTAATACATCTTTAAGTTTTTCTTTTAATTCAGTACTACATATTAAATACCTATCTTCTAACATTTGGGTTAATTTTTTTCTTGATGGTATTTCATAATGCGGATTTAATGTTTGTGTGTACTTTATAAAACCTTTATTTTCGACTATTTGTAGGGGTTGCAAATCCAAAACAATCATGTCCATTAATGCATCATTTCCAGATTTTTGATTAATTTTAGTTGGCGCAGTTATACGCATTTGTCTCATTCGCTTTTGGGTTGGTTCAGTAAGTCTTTCATCATTTGGTATTTCCACGAGGGATGGCGATGGTAAAATTCTATTTTCACTGGAACTTGGTTCTGGCCTATTACTAGATAAAAAAATTCTCGAGTTCTCTTCATAACCATTACTTACAGTTTCGTTACTTGGTAAAGCTTGTCCAATTGCTTCACTATATTGAACAATGTGTTTTTTCTTTAAATGATTAATTAGAGTGGATGTATTTCCTATATATTTGTAATTACAATTACACAGTTTACAATAAAGTCTGGTACCACTGTCATCACTGTTTTTACGAAAAAACTCCCATACTACGCTTTTTTTAGGTGGACTCATATTGATAAAAAATAGAAACTGCGAAAAACAATAACTATATATCTATATATTCACTGTTGTATTTTCGCGCGAAACGTTGGTCCGTTGGTCGTTGCATTAATTTCATTTTCGGTGAGTCACAGTAAAAAAAAAAAAATAGTGAGGGGACACAGAATTTGAAAGTTTATTAAAATTAACAGATTAAAATATTTTCTATTAATTAATTAAATAATCAATATATTTACAGCTATGTTTCAGATATGGTAGAGTAATTTTACGACTATTGTCGTTGTACTGAACGTAAATTAAGCTTACTTTTCCATTTACAATATAAGTAAATTGAGGGGAAGGGATCATTAGTAATGTGGGCTACCAGTCCCATTGCTAGCAATATATCCTGTCAGGTCGACCTCCACGCGGGTCCCCCTGGAAACTATCGTGCTGAGTTCCATGTGTATTCATCACGATGGGCTGACTGACGTGCCTTTTTTCATTATTCACCTATCACCCCTCACTGGTGCCCCGCCAGTGTATACCGATAGCGCAGGCGGTGTTACCATTCCATTAATCATCCATGAAAAAAAAAGTAAATTAGAACTATTTTAATTTATTAATAAATATTTGTTAAAAGTTATACTAACATCATATTTTAATATCATCTTGAATTCGTTTGTTTATTATTTCTTGGTGTCTTAATTTATCAAGTAATTGTCATGAAATAATTACCTATTATTTTAAAGTAAGATAGAAGTAATTGCATGAATTACTAATACATCTGCTTTTTTTATTATAAGATTAATCTACTACTTATTTTTAAGAAGTTTATATTAACGTGATAAAAGTTTTATTCACCAAATTTCATAACGATGATTCATATTTACTTACTATATTTAAAAACTTTATTCCATTTTAAATATACATCTTTCATAAATGGTTTTTAATAAACCACCTTAGCATCTGTTTTTGTTAAAATAACAGTGTTCACAATAAGCAAATGACTGAAATAAAAAGGAGTTTGTGTCATTATGTAGGTACCTATTTATTTTTTTTTTATTTATAAATTACTCACTACACTTACAGTATCCCAAAACATGTAGGTTTCTTTTACAAACTTAAAAATTTTGAACAACATTTTTAAAAATTTCATTTTATAAAAATATAAAAAGTATAAAAATCACCTAAGAAAATACATAAAAGTTTAATATTTACATTTTTACTATTTAATTAAATTTATTTTAACATTAATTAATTAAAAACGGAACAGTACATTTCTAAAAAAAGGAGCTCGTCGTCGGCCAATCATGAACCAATTGCCTTCTCTTCCTTTAACTTACGCCTCGGGTGATTCTACTATCTCATTCTGCTTCGTAGCTTGTTCGGTTGGTGTAGTTATGTCGAGAATTAAACACCACACGCTATGGCATGGTGCAGTGCAGGTAATAGGTACATACACATATCAGTATATAATTCAAAATACTTGTACAACGCAAACAGTAAAGCATAGATAATTTACGAAAGTTCATTGTATGCGACAAATCTATGGATCGGTAACGGTAGCTTGTTTTTCTAGTCGTATAAAAATATGTAATAAATATATTATTAGATTGACTTTAACTCCATAAATCTTACTCAACACTATTCTGTTACATTTATAATAAAACTAGCGACGCGCTCCGGCTTCGTTCGGGTGCACATTACATCAAATTAGAAACCTCTTAAATTATCAGTGTTCCTATTATGCATGTATTATAAATATAAACCTTCTTGAATAATGCTATCTATTAAAAAAACCGCATCAAAATCCGTTGCGTAGTTTTAAAGATTTAAGCATACAAAGGGACAGAGAAAGCGACTTTGTTTTATACTATGTAGTGATGATGACGAAGAGCCAAAATCTCAGCTATTATCGCACCATTTTATAGTGCGCGGAGTATAACTGCAAAACAACGCTGACAGAAACGTCACGCAACGAGAGTCTTACTCGTGTGTATGATGTTTCTATTGCATCGCACGCACACAGCCACACAGCATTCACAACTTACGAATCGAGTTAACGTTATGACAAACACACTCGGCCGAGTTGAGGCGACACTAATCCGAGTCCCGAGCGCGGATCGCATTCATATCACGGTTGTGACGTAGGTAGCGGTGTATTGGCTTCATACGAGTTGATTCGAGTTGATAGAAATGCCAGTTCGAATTGAGCCGCCGGCAATGCAGCTCGAGTAACTCGAGTTTTTTAATTCGATTCGCCCATCGCTAAGTTAAAGCCAGTCAGAGCCTTTTGTGTACTACGAAGGCGGCGTATAAACTCTTGACATTAGAGGGCGTCACTCTTACACATAGCAGAATATATAAAACTAAGGTTCCCGCTCCGTTATTTTTTTTTTTCAAGGTAGACTTTTAAACATAGAGGTCAATTTGGTATAATCAATAATCACTTATTTTTCGTCCACATTCAATCAAGTAACTCCATGATGTAACGTATAGAATTAATTCGATAAACTAATTGAAAACATTAATTTTTTAAATATATACATTACCTCAAATTCAACCCATGAATTCAATACGGCAGCAATTTTTCGTGTTTCATACCACAGTATTGGAACTGCGATCATTGGAAATAAGTAAACGGTGAACAGATATTCGATAACAGCTTCCTCGAACTTGCCTTCAGCCCCTGTAGTCCGTAATATTTGGACTTTATGAAGTGAGAGGTAAAGCACATAGCTTACGAGTGAAACGTAAAGGACGACCGAATACACCATAGAGGGTGATGCTATTTGAAACTGATTCACAGCTGGTTTAGGCCTCGTTATTGGCAATACACCAATTAGCCTCAATATTGCAAATACGGGTTTAATATTCTCATATATTATATCTTTGCTAATTAAAGGATTTACGAGATTATCCTGTAGCGGAACTACGGTGTTCGGCGAAGTTAATTTCTTAAATGGAGTCCGAGCGGGCGTGACGTCCAGGTATATCATTCTGTTCTTTGGCTTATCATCCATTTGTGATGCGATTCCATTAGGAATATTCGCTGTTGGAAATAGAGTGTTACCCGTGTAGAGAGACATTTTGATTATAAACGTGTTAGCTGCTTTGATGCACAGTTCTTACTGAATCGAGTTACAGGAGAAGGAAGCGTAATGGGATTAAGATGGCGCCGCTTCGTCATATTTCAAAGGTTGACAGCTTGATTGCAGCCACGTAGGCGTTTTGTCGTCCTTGCATTAATCTTTCACTGTGTACTTCACCTTGACTACGACCTTGAATATTAACTCGTGACAACATCATGATCATTTCAATACGTGGTGTTTAAATTTCTCGTTAAAACACAGCAGGTAATTGGAAATAAAATAATTATTATCTAATCTGACTTGAGGTATCCTTACTAAATTCAGTTAGAGATGTAACCTGAGGCTTTGTTCTCATAAATTATGGTAACAGGAGGTACTTCTATATTAGAAATGTGTTAATTCAATCTACTTTCATTCAAATCCGTCTAGTCATTTGGACGAGATTAAGTAACAAACATCTTAAAGAAATTTAATTTCAGACACGATTCAAACCTTTATCCGTGATTTTAAAATTCTGTTTTTTTTTTTAATGGGTGATAATGGTATGGTAAGCTCGCCTGCGCTATCGGTATACGCTGGCGAAACACCAGGGAGGGATGATAGATGACGATGAAAGCAGGTCAGTTTGCCCATAGTGATGAATTCCACTAGAACTAACCACGATGGTTTCCAGGGGAAACCGTGTGGAGGTCGACCTGATAGGGTGTATTGCTAGCAATGGGTGAGACCCCATTACTTGCAATCCCTTTCCCCCTTTTAAATTCTGTTGAGTACATGTAATTGAAAGACTGTATATATACCTACACGTTATATATATATATATAAGTTGGATTATATGATACTATATAATTCAACTTATATATATAAGTTGGATTTTTTCATACTCTTTTTATCGTCTCTGAGTTTCTCTGTAGAAACAGCTATACTTTTAGATATAGGTAACGCATGCTCCAGCCATCATTGCGTACGGCCACATTTAAGGTCGTCATCAATATAGGTATTTGAATATTGAAGTGAGCATTAACTATGCATTCCTCGTAGTACTCAACACCGTTACACTAATAGACACAAGTTGGAAATAAAGCAGTTTCATGATATCCGAGTACTATTAGAATATCTAGAATAAATCCCCTGATGAGTTTGTTTCTTCGCTAATTGGGAAACAGTTTGAGATTTTAAATTATATAGAGAAATCACTGGGCCTAAAAAACGGGGCAACTTTTTATCAAATTAGTTGAATCTTTTTTTTTATCAGTATTTTATATATGTATTTACGTGCAAAATGTATCTTGACGTATTATTTAATAAATAAAATATTAAGTATTTATGCATTAAAAAGATGCAGAATTTATAAGACAAAACAAATATAGAATTTATAAAGGTTATTCCTTTTCTCTATAACTACATGGGACAGATAAAGGAAACACTAGGCGTCGTGTCGTATAGGGAGATAAAGGATATGGCCTGGGATAGAGCTGGCTGGAGGAAGATGCATGAATTGGTTGCACCGACAAGAGGAAACTCTTAAATGAAAAGAAGATTCCTTTTCTCATAACTATTTACCACGCAGTATTGTATGAAAAAGTTGATCCATTTTTTTCGAATCATTTCTATGGAAACTATCTATATAATCTAAGTTTTAAATATATAACCTCGACCAAAAGAACAAAATTTATTAAAAAAAAATACATTTTATTGATATAATAACATTGTAACTAGACGATGTCTGTACATGGGAGATATTTAAAAAAATAATACTGAAATTGAGGGGTAATAAATAAATATTTAATAGGAGCAACAGAAGTCAAATGATAATTTTTAGAAACTTTGTTTGTATGTATGTTTGTTCTGCCATCACGCAAAAATTGTTGTACCAAATTGGATGCGGTTTTGTTCCTAAGGGTTTAATTTAAAATCTTGCGTATGCTTTAAAAGTCATCCAGAAGTGTTCTATTTAATAGATTTTCTTATTTGTGGAATCAATGTAGTAGTAGCGAGAAAAAACTTAGTTACAAAAATAAGAATATTTAAAAAGCCCGTCTTTTTGTGTAAAAAGTACTGCTTGCTCGGCTGCTTGCAAATTGCATTATTTTTGTTATGACTATGAAGAAACAGAGTAAATTTTACGTATAAATTGTTTCAGATAATATACTTATGCATATGTCGTATATACATGTACATACTATTGTGTATACATATTTAAGGAAACAATGGAATATTACATTTCAGACATATCAATTATATACAACTTGAATGAAATATATTTTATTATTTAATCTCAAGTTGAATTTTAAATTATAAATGCCATTAAATATTCAAGATTAACATACATATTCAATGGTTAAGAGTATAGGTAGAAACGGTGTCCTTCATGTACCAAAGAATCGATATGACCGAAATATAACCTTCAATGGTTTTCCTAAATGTAGATGTTCATTTAAAATTATATCATTCATATTGGCCCTATCAAATAGTGCAATTACAGTAGAAATAAATTATTTTTAGTCGGTTTAATTTCCGGTTTAGGTTAGGTAACTTTTTAAAAACCTGTAAATGCTGTCTATAAATGAAAGAATATTTCCTTTGAGTGAAATTATTTAGCCTCAATCCTGCAGCTTTTCTGATATGAATTGGAAAAAAGTATATACAAAATAAATAAAAAAATAAACGTTTATAATATTTGTAGGATTTACTATTTCAATAATTTTAGTAGCTTCGTGTTATTTAGCTAATTAAAGCGATAAGCGGAATATTTATGTAAATTTAGTACCCTCTTAATGTCTTGTAAGCGCACGAGGGTGCTTATAGCAAGCACTTACTCATTTTAAGAGATTTGTGGAGATTCTCGCGTGAAGATTATATTTACGCATGAGGACGAAATTTCTTGTGCTAATCCAAATCTATTCTCAGTAGGGGTTGTTAAAATATAATTTAGTACAATTGGATCATTGTCTAGGTAATGTATAAATTCATACGTATAGTAAATACGAGTACATACAAAAGTGCATGTATAAATACATGCCTTTTTATTTAAATAACTTTTTAGTAAATTTGTAGGTAAAGGTTTTTCACAATATTCACCTACATATACATAAAAGTGATCGTAATCCACTAATATAACACTTTAATTTTTATAAATATCATCATTTTATAAAGGTCATAAATATTTTGCTTATAGCAAATTCTTTAAAATTCTATCAAAACATGTGATATACTAGAAATACATAACAACAACGCTGTGGTAAAACAATTTTAAAATGTCTTGTTCTATATTACAAATTCAGGACTTTAGTTCCTAAACTTTTCGTATTAAATATCAAAATCCCTAACAATAATATCTCGTATTTACATGTTTATTCTTCGGTTTTAATAATTTACATTAATTGTAATTAATAATAAACAAAACATATTTTGATGTAAAAACAATTGTGTTAATGTTACTTATTAAGTTTACGATTTATTCAAAGGTAAATCCGTAAAAAGCAGAAAAGTTAATAAAAAATTATCGCTGGTCTGCAGATATAAATTATGATGTTTTATAGGGCACCTGCTCGGCAATACATAAACTAGGACATTAGATACTTGTATAACAAATGAACGCCAGGAAATGTCTTTTTATGGATCATAAAGCTTTGGGTGAACGATAAATAAAACACAAGTGTTACTCAATGCGCGAGATGAATTTAGGCCGTAAAGTGTAAGGCCAATAAAATAAGGATTTTTAAATTAAAAGTTGCGATAATATTGTTACTTTGGCTATTAACAGTTATTACATTAAGATTTTGATATTTACATTGGCACTTTATTGTGTATTACTAGAGCCTTGTAGCGGAATTATATGTAAAAAAAAGAACTTTAATTGATAATAATGAAATTTTTTTTCTCCAGAAAAGGTATCAGGTACAGTCTTACTAAAATCAAAGGAAACCTAATACCAGTACCAGTAAAGGATGATAAGTGAGGATGAAAGCAGGACAGTTGGCCCATAGTGACCAATTTAACAAAAAATAACCACTATGGTCGCCAGGGGGAATCGCGTGGTGATCGACCTCATTGGGTGTATTGCTAGCAATGGGCTTGTTAAACCTCATTACTAACAATCCCTTTCCCCCCTGTATGTACCTAGTAGTGATAGTGAAACAATCCAATTGGTTAAGTTTTCTCATCAGTGTATCGAGGCCAATTTTCGTACTTAATCCTCGATTAACCCGCCTCGGTGTAGCCAAATTTGATTGTGAGCGGCTTAAGAAACCCCCGCGGCGAAGCTTTCTTCATAATTACCGGCTTAATAGTCTATGATCAAGTTGTACCTATCTACTTTACGATAGTTGTAAAACTTATAAGCTATGAGCGTATATTCACTCTAATATCTATTAAACTTTTAATTTTAGAGTCAGAGATAGAAAACGACACTTCCAATAGTTTCGATTGCTTATTATTTTAAGAAACAAAAAAGTTTGTTAAAATGAAAAATGTGTCTTGGTAATTTCCTTAGATTTCATTTACAATTAAGTTTTGTATATAGCCTAAAATGGAAAAAAAAATCTTATGGCCTATACCTGATAGAAAGTAGAGAAAAAAAATTGTTTAGGATAAGATTTTTATTTTTATTTTCAAATAATTAAACGACAGTTTTTTTAATAATTTTAAAAATAAGCAAATTGTGATTTAATCTTTTTTTTTGCATCATATGCCCTTGTATAACCTATATGTATTAACTTTGATAGGTTTTTACTGTACAAGTTATGTATGGGTAATTGTTTTTTTTTTTTGCATTTTCGATAATAACTAAAAAAATATTCGTTTCCATTGCAATATGTGAAACTATTCCAAATTTTAAATCGATAGCATTAGTGGTTGCTAAATGTAACGCTGTTAAAGATGGACGAACGGACGGACATATAATAAAGATAATAAGGTTGGTGGTGTGTGATTGGTACGGAACGCTAAAATAAATAATAAAACATTAATGTGTAAGATTAAATGTTATGAAGTAAACTCTTTTCTATTCTACTCTTTACTGTGCTTTATTTTGTCGTTAAAGTGGATGTT